TCGAGGTGGCGACCTGGGCGGGCGCTCTCGCGAAGGAGAGCCCAACGTACCCTCCAGTCGAGCTCCTAATACGGACAGTCTGGAGGACAGATGGCACGACTGTGCGCCCGAATGAGGTGCTTTTTGCGCGATCCACCCTAATCGGGAGGGACGTGCCGTTCAAAGTTTTCAAGCGTTGGGCACTGCGTGACCGAACGCCTATCGGGCCTTTGCTTAGGCCGATGGGAGCAGCAGAAGTCCCTTATACGGGATACGTGCTGCTGACGATGGCCGAGTATCGGTCCGCCCTCAAAACGAGGTGCATTCGGAGGCCTGGCAAATTCGCCATCACAGTTTTCCCCATGCGGCCTGAGCAGGTCTGCAGGGGGGAGATCATGATTGGGATGGAGGGCGCAAAGGTGCCTCTCCTCAAGTTACCCAGCCCCAATAATGAGGGCGAATTTTATGTTGACGATCGCGTCAAATACATGGACAAGCGCCATGTTGTTGTGGCCGTTGACCTGAAGTGGATGGCCATCGAGGAAGCCGCCGGCATCTACAAAACCCGACGCAGTTTGATCGCTGTGCGAGAGGAGATACATGCGCCCTTCTGGCGCGCATGCTATCTGCACCAGGAAGGGGATGTAATATACATCCGTCCCTGGGCGGTCCGTGAGTTGAATGTTCAGGGACCGCGGAGGGGTGCCATTTTCGTGGGACAAAGCTCCCATGCATGACTACTGGTGCCCTCGGTGCGCGCATTTGAATATGTATGGCACCATTCTATGCAATGGTTGCCATCTGCCGATTTTCTATCGTGAGTGGGTGCCAGGCACCGTCCGCTCTCTGGTTAGGAGTGGGCAACCAGTCTGGTTAGACGGACTCAAAGCAGTCCGTGCCAGCAGCTGGTATGAAGGGGAGACCGACGCATGGGCTCCTCTCATGGCATCGGTAAACCCGATCCGCGAGGTGGTCAGCTGTATGATCTCCGGTTTGCGCTGTGCACAATCCCAATGCGGATGTGGTGCAAGTTGCGTTTCAGGAGGTTGCAAAGGTCACCTCAAAGGACACCCACGCTTCTGTGCGTGCGAGTGATGAGGCTCTCGAGCGGTGGGTAGCGAAACAGCTGCTCATCGAGGAGAGCAACACTGGCGTCCCAATTCCCGACAATATGTCTGTCATGACATATTTGATTGAGCACCCGCAACAAGCGGCGCAATGGGGTCGTCATATGACGAGAAAGGGCAGTCTAAATTCAGCATTTGCCCTTTACCTCTCTGTGCATGTTTATGATGCCTACCGCATCGGAATTGAGGACGGATATTTGGTTCCGCTGTATGGCCTAGGCGCCTCACGCGCGGACATCATAATGTCATTGGTGCAGGCTGAGCGACGCCTCGCGGACTTCAATAGTGAGGACCCAAGTTTTGATGCCTCCACTGTTCTTGATTGGAGCATCGAATCTCTGCGGGCCAGTGGTGGATCCATCACGGCCCCGATTGAGTATGCTGAGGCATACATTTATGTCGAAGACAACAAGGTTGACATGGTCCCCGCTGCACAGCGCGACGGCCAATGCGCCATTGTTTTTGCTGACCCGCCGGCTGGGAAGCACCATAGGCGGGCAGCCACTCCTAGGGGAGACCAACGGTCTGCTACCCCGCGACCTGAATCCAGGTCAAAGGGAGATCAGCAAAAGGGCAAAGCCCCTGCGCAATCCTGGCCCAAGGGTGGAGGTCACAAGGGTGACCAGTTTCCAGGAAAGGGTCACAAGGGTGATCAGTACAAAGGCAAGGGTGGCCAATACGGCTATCAACAAGGGCAGTTCGGTCGTGGCGGATCCGCCAGATCGAGAACTCCAACTGGCGGGTATCAGCCTGATGCTCGCGGGTCGGGGTACAAGGGTGCTCAGGCAGCCCCTTTCCCGTTCCCGAGTCCGATGTACCCCGCTTTCCCAATGGGAGGGTACATGCAACAGCCCATGGCTGGTATGATGCCACAAATGTGGCCTGGCGCAATGCCGCAGGGTTGGCAGCCGCATATGCAGGGTGATCCCCGCGAGTTCGAGAATCCGAACTCGCCGCATACCCCTACTTGGGGTGACGGTGACGAATTGGCCGAGACCGTGCCTCCTCCCCCTGGGGACTGGAATGCCAGCAAGGGGAAGGGGCGGCACGGCGGTGGACGACATCGGTGATACCTGAAGTCTGTCCATGCGTTTTGCATGGCTGCGCCAACGCGCGCATGCTTTCATCCCGGAATTCACAAAATGGACTATGCTCCTTGTAGTATTTCTTTGTCTGGGCTATTCGCCGTTTCAGAATTCAATTGCATGCGTAGCTGTGCGCTATTCGCGCAAGCTGCGATTACCTGTCAGGTGTGCATCGCCGCAGCAAGGCAGTCACTCTCGGCGGCGTCTATGGCCGCTGGTGATCTGCATCCACCTGCACCGCTGCTGCTGCTGGTGATGATGCTCATCAAGGTGCCGAGGTGAAGATCACGGGTGCCCTGCACCGCTGCCGGTGATGTCCTACTCGGACCTGAACCGCGGATCGCTGCTGGTGGTATCCATGGCGATGGTCCTCGAATGATCGCGCGCCTAGACGGTGCTAATTTATAACCAAGGCTCATTGCTCTATGCACCATGTTTCAACCAACTGGCCAATGCGCCTAATCCGATAATTAAAGATTAAATCCACTCGAATCGAATGGTTCAATGTGGTTGCAACGCAAATGACAATTCAATGGCTTCATGCCGGCCATTCCGAAGTTGATCCTTTGTTCTTTTCTTTTGTTGCTTTCTCTTGTTTGATTTGGCTACCGGCGAGAATCCGCCCCATACCCGTAATTCGGGGTGGTGGCGGGATCCGGGCACCAATGAGTGCCCGGGTATGGGGTCGCGAACCCTGGTAGCCTAATCGGCTTTGTTTGTCTTGTTTATTGCAGTTCAACTTCAATATGGCCAATGCGCCCTTCCAAATTCACTTCCTCTCTTTGTACAGGCGAGGGGGGTGTTTTTGGGGGCATGTACTTTTATCATAGCATGTTTCATGCCAAAGCCCAACGCGGCTTTTGGCTCAAGCTTTTACCCCTGGCGAAATAGACCTTGCCGCAACCGTCGCCATAGTGGCGCGGCACCGGGCACTGTCCGCTCCCTGGAAAAGGAGCGGCCGGCAGCTGGTGGCGCCGCTCATCGGCGGGTTCGGGTCGAGGACGGTTCGAGGGGTTGCGCTCTTGGTTTGCTTTGCTCGCTTGCTGCGCTGCATTGTTTGCCTGCCTGGTTTGCTGCTTTGTGCTTGCTTTCGGTTGTCTCTGCCCTTGCTGGGTTCATTCATCTTGTGGTTAAAGGCACCCTGTTTTGGTTCGTTGTTTGTGCCAGCCGGGGGCGCCGCTTTGCCCTTGGGACTGGGGGACTTAAACAATCTCTTCTTGTTGGTGGGATTGGGCCTGTTTATTCTCTCCCGAAATACTGTTTCAAACCCTTTCGCAGATGTGTTTGAATCTCCAGCCTGGCAGTCTGGCAGTCTGGCAGGCGTGCCGGATGAGCCGCTCTTGGATGCGCGGGGCCCAGGGTGCTCAGGGTGCCCAGGGTGCCCAGGGTGCCCAAGGTGCCCAGGGCTTGAGTTCCATCTCGCCTTGGAAGACAAGGGCAGTGCAATGAGAGGTAGGGAGGTTTCGTTTCTGGTCAGATGGAACCGAGTAGAGGGAAACCGACAGTCACAAGGGTTTCTATAGTCGGCATTGAGGCCAAAATGAGGCGACCAAGGGGTTTTGTTCCCTTTCGACTTTCCTGCAACCCTAACATGATCCGCAGATCTTTGCCGGCCTCAAGCATTGCCTTTCAGCGGCCATTTACAAGTAAGCAGCAATTGTCAAGGCATACAACGAAAAACTAGGAACCAGTGCCCCATAAAGTGGCGTTTTTTTTGGTTTCCTTTGTAACACCATCCTGACATACCAATGCTCCAATGTAGGGATATTCTTCAAGGGAAGCCAAATGAAAATGAACAAGTCCTTTTTTGGCCAGACGCCTTCTTTTCCGCTCCCGCCACATGCGGAAACACTGGCCCAGGTTTTGAAGGATGCGTTCGGCGCGATTCGACGCGCGCGGGCGTCGACCCGAGCGCGCGGGGTGCAAGGCAAAGGCCGTGCCGATGATGCGGCCGCTGCTGGGCCCGGAGAGGCATTGCCCCTGCTGCCTGCGCCCGGCGGAGGAGAGCTCTAAGGCTTCGATGCTTGGGGTGTCAGACAAATCAGCCGACCAGCCACTGCTTTTTAGGGCAAGGTTGTGCCAAACATCCCACAATCCAAGTTAGCTATCCACCCCATAAAGGCGCCCCTCCCCCCAGAATGCCCAGAAGAAATTGGAATACATCAGGGCGTCCTTTCAATTGATGCTGTGACTAATGTCTTTTGCTGAACGGCGAGGGCTCCATTTTTCCAAGTTGGAAGCTCCCAACAGCAAGCGTCTTTGCTCAGTTCTGTTTAAGCAGCAGTTCGTCACAGCAAAAGGGTGCCCTTCGAGGCCTTCGCTGGCAACAGGACGGATAGGGGTACAGATCCGGCGCGAGAGGACATGCACGAGACCTGCCCGGCGCCTGGCCAGCTCGCGCCAGGCCGGGGAAGCCAAGTTTGCCCGGAGACGCATGGACTGTGCTCCAGGTGTCGGGCAGGGTGGGCAATCCTATCCAAGCCGACAAAGCCCATGAACCCGAGCATGAGGTCCCCTCTGGTTGGTTTGACTGTCCCATGTCGAGGCTCCTGGTTTGTCGCACACCCAGGTTGTGTCTGAAAATGGCTGCAGAGGGGCAGTGCATGATTGATTGCGCGACTGGGCCTCGCCTTCCTCAGCCGTAGGGGCTTGCGGCCGGCAGCAAAAAGGGGCATGGAACCAGAGAGAAGGCCCAGTGCATCTGTTCGGCAGTTCGGCGCAAGAAAGGCCACCTTGCAAGGCGTGAAAACGGGCGGGCAACACACACAAAAGCTCAAGGTACTGCATCACGAGCTTGTGATTTGGCGCCATGAAGCGCGCGCTTGCGCTGCTTCTGTGCTTGGGCCTGGCGAGGACCTTCTCAGGCGCGAGCCCGGCTCGTTGGGCGCGTGGCGCCTCGATGCCCTCGGGCCCTCGATGCCCAGGCCGTCCGCTGTGCCCGCGGACGCACTTTGCAGGTCTCCGAAAACTGAAGGCGGGGGAGCTGAAGGAAGGAACGAGCGCGAGGCGCGTTGGGTCTTTGGAGCCAGGTGCGGGCCCAGCCCGGGGCGGACGCATCAGCGGAGTCCGAGAAGGCCAATGTGGTGGAGGCCTTTTGGAAGTTCCTCAGGCTCGGAGCTGAGTTCGCGGACGAAACGAAGGTCTTAAGTTGAATGTGACAGAAGTGGGTTGTTCCTTAGGCCGCACACCATCCGCGGCACCATCCTAGGCCTGCACTTTGGGTGGGGGAGCTCCGGCCGGGGGGGGTGTCTTTGCTGAGGCTCCAGCGCCATGGTGACCCGCGTGGTCATAGAGAATGGCCAGGCGCCCGACTGGCAGCTGCCTCAGCGACTTCTCTTCCGTGGTCAAAGCCGGCATTCGAACCGAACGATCTCGACTGGATCCGTGTCCCCCCCAACTTTTCCAGAAGGCCGACTCTCGACTTTCCTGTTTTGCGCAAATCTGACAGGCCGACTCTCGACGCTTTGCTTCCCTCAAGTCCTTTGCAGGTCCCTGCTTCCAAAAGCGGCGCTGGGGGTGCTGGCGTTGCTGTGCGGCCTGGCGCCCAGTTCACTCCAACTTCACAAGTTGTGGGCAACCGATAGAACTACCGTGTCCGTCCCGGGATATCGAGGGCATTCTTGTTCCCAGGGATCCCCCGCCCGTCTCCACTGGGGCATGCACCAATTTTGCCTTCTAATTTCAATGGTCTTGCCAAGTGAAGCGCCATGGGCAAGCCGCGAGCTTGGTGGAGGACATGCGGATCCCTTGGACGGCCACACGGGTTGCCATGGCCACCATGGCGACCTATACAATCTGGAGGTAAACCCGAAGCCGCATGTGAGTCCAAAGAACACCATTGGTAAGTGGCCCCCTACGGGGAGTTCTGACCGAAAACAACTCTTTAACAACTTTTTGTCGCGCAGGTCCGCGCGACCCAGCGCGAACCTCCATCTAAACTGGCCTTGACTCTTACCACAAGAACCCCTTGGTGTAAAGGAAAAAAACCGTGCTGGACCTCCTCCATGAACTCGGCTGTCAGTACGCCAAAGAGGCGCAGTTGTCCTGGACCAGGGGCAGTGCAAGGATGCGCACGCCGGCCATAAGCCGGCTGGCACCTGGTTCTTTTCTCTTCTTGGGGGGGACCCTCTGTGAGAATGGGATGAGGCAATGGCTACATTGTGGGCATCAACCAGATCTACGATGTCAGCATCGTGCGGGCCACAGTATGATGCGATTCCATTTTCGACCCCTCCAAGGCGCACAGATTTGAGACAATGTCAGGATGTCATCAACAAGCCCTTCTTGCCGGTGGCTGCCAAAGAGCTTTCCGTGACGCAGGCGGGAAGAAGCGTCGCCCTATAATGTCTTTTTGTGCCTCTGAAATCATCAAAGGGGTCCCTCAACTGGCATAAACATCCCAAACCTGAAACATTACGGACGCTCGCTTGGAACTGGCTTGTTAGTGATGCTTGTCCAACGATTGGATTGGAACCGTGGCCTTGGGGGTACAGAAGATGTAGCCTCCAATCATGGAAGGGAGAAAAGAAGCGGGTCACTGTACCCCAAGCCCTGAACCTGTATTTTTCCCACCCTTGAAAGGCTGGAGAAAAGAAAGTCGTCCAAGTCGTTCCCCCACATTTCTATCCTGGGAGAGGCCTGGGTGCTCATCTCCGTGATGGCGGTGCTCGGGGTTGGCTTGTCCTACAGCCTCTTCGGCCCATGGCCCAGCTGCATAACTTTGGCTGTTGCCGAACGGCTTCAACATCAACGCCAAGATTGCTGTATGAATCATATTAATCATATCATAATATTCATGACATGATAAATCATCCATCTCTCCTGCCGATTATTCCTTAGCCGAGGCCCCCTGATTGGGTCGCTGTATGCCTTCGGCCTGTTCCTTGGGACCATCTACAGCGTGCCGACCGTGCCTCAGTCACATCCAGAGCGGCCATGGGGTTCCAAGCAGGGCCAAAGTGAAGTGAGCGACTTCTGTCACTCAGGCGACTTCTGTCATAGCTTTGCCTCCGTCAAGCACTCAAGCTCTATCCCAAAGCGGTGAGCCCTGGGCATAGAAACCCCTCTTGTCCAGTTGAGCGCCTTGCAGCATGCGTGGCGTCTTCTTGGCGGTCTTGCTCACACAGCTGTGGGGTGCCTTCAGCACGGACAGCTGCGAGCTGGACGTGCTGAATGCGGCCTTGCAGGAGGAAGGTCCTGATGCCTCTGTGGAGCTTGTGCAGCTGAAGAGCAGTGAGACGCAGGGCGAGACGCAAGAGGCTGAGAGCGGCGAAGAGTGGTACCACCGCAACCCAGTTGGGTGGAGAGGTGGTCCTGGTCATGGCTATGTGCACCACAACCCCCCAGGTATTAGAGGCGGCTGGGGTCATGGCACCACCTACGTGCACCACAACCCGCCCGGGCGGAGGGGCGGCTGGGGTCACGGCCACACGTACTACCACCATCGTGGTTATGGTTGGGGTCATGGCAGCACGGTGTACCATCACCACGGCTGGCGCTGAGCCGAGCGACCAAAGTGTCAGCCGCTTTGCTCGAGAGCTTCATTGCCGGATGGCGCTAGCTCTGCAAAACAATAACATCATGAATTTGGCAAACCAAGGATTCTAAGGCAATGAGGGCTCAAACAGTGCGGTGCAGGCTGGCGCACGACAACTCCTCAGCTGTGCAGGAAACTCAAGCCGATTCGCCAATCCAATGAGATGTATGAGATGTAAATGCCAAAGCCCATCGTTTGGCGGGACGTTTCAGACAATAAAGATCACACGCTTCTGTCAGCCAGCTAGACGCCCGCTCAACACGCTTGCCTGTTGCCTTCAAGTCGAGTGCAAGCCCCCGCTGGCCAAACGGGCGATTGACAGCACGCGCACACACACACAACACACACACACACATGCTGTCTGTGCGCGCTCCCCCAAGGAATTTGCCTGAGCCAGGTGTGACTCCCGCGCTGCCAGTTTTTGTCAAGACTCTGGCTTGCCCAAAAGCGAATCGCGCGAATAGAGCTGAAGCTGACGCTATGCGCTATGCCTGCCTGGCTGTCCTGCTCACACAGCTGTTGGGTGCCTTTAGCACCGACAGCTGTGAGGCAGACGTGACCGCAGCCTTGAAGGAGGAAGGCCCTGATGCCGCTGTGAGGCTTCTGCAGATGAAGAGCACTGAGAAGGGTGAGAAGGCTTGGTTCTGGGTTTTGACCCGTTTAACCCTCTATCCGTTTCGAACCGGCCGGGTTAATGCTGCCAACCAACAGATTTCGCTTATTTGCACGGGTCGAAGACCAAAGGTGCTGGCGGACAGCGTGGACGGGGACGGCCGCCGGAGGAATGGCTGGGGAGGAGGAGAGGGAAGGGCCTTGCCACTTGCCAGGAATACTTTGAACACATTGGACAAGTTTGTTTGCATGACGGCCTTTGGCACTGGGCAAGTTCCCTGAGATGCAATAACGCTTGGATTTTGTGAGGGTGGTGGTGTATTGGTTAAGAGGGGACAAGACGGGATTCAACACGGAGTAGCCTTCTTGCTACTGGCAAGTGCAGGCTGGAGATTCTGGGAGTGGTGGATATCGAGAACTGCCAAGCACAGGGCCTTTGCATTTTGAACAGGCCTGAACTTGGCACGTCACTGAAATCATGCTCACAAGCCATCGGCATGGACTATCAACCCCACGGGAGTATCTCAAGGTGTACGTGTTCTTTTTCGTTCAGGGAACTCTCCTGGCTTCCAGGAGATGGACGTCGTCGCAGCGGCTGGGGAGGAGGAGACGGCCGTCGAAGGAGCGGTGGTTGGGGAGGGGACGGGCGCCGCCGCAGCGGCTGGGGAGGAGGAGACGGGCGCCGAAGGAGTGGCTGGGGAGGAGATGGGCGCCGGAGGAATGGCGGAGGCTACAACCCCTACAATCCCTACAATCCCTTTGGCCCGCACAACCCCTACAACCCGTTCCGCTGAAGAAGGCAGGCTGATTTGCTTTGAAAGCGTGACTGCATAATGCAGCCAAAGAGCCGCAGCTCTATCACCTTGGAAGCTCAAGCGCACGATGCAGCTCAAGACAAAAATCACCCGTGTGCGTGCTGGCCTGCAAGACTGTGTGATTGGACACTATTGTCTTCGAATGCACAGGTGATAGAAAGGGTTCCAAGATAAGCTGTTGAAAGTCATATGAGTCATATATGTCGATTTGATCGGAGTGCACATTGAGAATCGCCGCTTGCCACTTGAGCACTGGGCAATAGGAACCTCACTTGCCCGGATTTACTCGTTGTACTTTGCTTTCGCCATGCGTTGCGTCTTCCTGACGGTCTTGTTCACACAGCTATGGGGCGCCTTCAGCACTGACAGCTGCGAGTTGGACATGCTGAATGCGGCCTTGCAGGAGGAAGGTCCTGATGGCTCTATGGAGCTGTTGCAGGTGAAAAGCAGCAAGACGGAGGCTGAGAACGACGAGGAGTGGCATCACAACAACCCACCTGGCGCTAGGGGTGGTCCGGGTCATGGAAGCGTGCATCACAACCCACCGGGCGCCAGGGGCGGCCCGGGTCACGGCACCACCGCCGTGCATCACAACCCGCCAGGCGCCAGGGGCGGCCCGGGTCATGGCACCACCGCCGTGCACAGCCACCACAACCCGCCAGGCGCCAGGGGTGGCCCGGGTCACGGCGTCCACAGTAACCATCGCTATCGTTGAGCGGCCAAAGTGCTGACGACTCAATTGTTCTGTTTTGCAGCCAAGGTCTGCTTCCCATGCCATTGATGGCAGAGCGCACGATATAGTTCAAGAATCAGCAAGACTGCGTGATTGGACACTATTTGTCTCTGAATGCACAGGTGATAGAAAGGGTTCTAAGATAAGCTGTTGAAAGTCATATGAGTCATATATGTCGATTTGATCGGAGTGCACATTGAGAATCGCCGCTTGCCACTTGAGCACTGGGCAATAGGAACCTCACTTGCCCGGATTTACTCGTTGTACTTTGCTTTCGCCATGCGTTGCGTCTTCCTGACGGTCTTGTTCACACAGCTATGGGGCGCCTTCAGCACTGACAGCTGCGAGTTGGACATGCTGAATGCGGCCTTGCAGGAGGAAGGTCCTGATGGCTCTATGGAGCTGTTGCAGGTGAAAAGCAGCAAGACGGAGGCTGAGAACGACGAGGAGTGGCATCACAACAACCCACCTGGCGCTAGGGGTGGTCCGGGTCATGGAAGCGTGCATCACAACCCACCGGGCGCCAGGGGCGGCCCGGGTCACGGCACCACCGCCGTGCATCACAACCCGCCAGGCGCCAGGGGCGGCCCGGGTCATGGCACCACCGCCGTGCACAGCCACCACAACCCGCCAGGCGCCAGGGGTGGCCCGGGTCACGGCCACACCACTGTAGTCCACAGTAACCATCGCTATCGTTGAGCGGCCAAAGTGCTGACGACTCAATTGTTCTGTTTTGCAGCCAAGGTCTGCTTCCCATGCCATTGATGGCAGAGCGCACGATATAGTTCAAGAGTCAAATCACCCGTGTGCGTGCTGGCCTGCAAGACTGTGTGATTGGACACTATTTGTCTTCGAATGCACAGGTGATAGAAAGGGTTCTAAGATAAGCTGTTGAAAGTCATATGAGTCATATATGTCGATTTGATCGGAGTGCACATTGAGAATCGCCGCTTGCCACTTGAGCACTGGGCAATAGGAACCTCACTTGCCCGGATTTACTCGTTGTACTTTGCTTTCGCCATGCGTTGCGTCTTCCTGACGGTCTTGTTCACACAGCTATGGGGCGCCTTCAGCACTGACAGCTGCGAGTTGGACATGCTGAATGCGGCCTTGCAGGAGGAAGGTCCTGATGGCTCTATGGAGCTGTTGCAGGTGAAAAGCAGCAAGACGGAGGCTGAGAACGACGAGGAGTGGCATCACAACAACCCACCTGGCGCTAGGGGTGGTCCGGGTCATGGAAGCGTGCATCACAACCCACCGGGCGCCAGGGGCGGCCCGGGTCACGGCACCACCGCCGTGCATCACAACCCGCCAGGCGCCAGTGGCGGCCCGGGTCACGGCACCACCGCCGTGCATCACAACCCGCCAGGAGCCAGGGGCGGCCCGGGTCATGGCACCACCGCCGTGCACAGCCACCACAACCCGCCAGGCGCCAGGGGTGGCCCGGGTCACGGCCACACCACTGTAGTCCACAGTAACCATCGCTATCGTTGAGCGGCCAAAGTGCTAACGACTCAATTGTTCTGTTTTGCAGCCAAGGTCTGCTTCCCATGCCATTGATGGCAGAGCGCACGATATAGTTCAAGACAAAAATCACCCGTGTGCGTGCTGGCCTGCATGACTGTGTGATTGGACACTATTTGTTTTCGAATGCAAAGGTGATAGAAAGGGTTCTAAGATAAGCTGTTGAAAGTCATATGAGTCATATATGTCGATTTGATCGGAGTGCACATTGAGAATCGCCGCTTGCCACTTGAGCACTGGGCAATAGGAACCTCACTTGCCCGGATTTACTCGTTGTACTTTGCTTTCGCCATGCGTTGCGTCTTCCTGACAGTCTTGTTCACACAGCTATGGGGCGCCTTCAGCACTGACAGCTGCGAGTTGGACATGCTGAATGCGGCCTTGCAGGAGGAAGGTCCTGATGGCTCTATGGAGCTGTTGCAGGTGAAAAGCAGCAAGACGGAGGCTGAGAACGACGAGGAGTGGCATCACAACAACCCACCTGGCGCTAGGGGTGGTCCGGGTCATGGAAGCGTGCATCACAACCCACCGGGCGCCAGGGGCGGCCCGGGTCACGGCACCACCGCCGTGCATCACAACCCGCCAGGCGCCAGGGGCGGCCCGGGTCATGGCACCACCGCCGTGCACACCCACCACAACCCGCCAGGCGCCAGGGGTGGCCCAGGTCACGGCCACACCACAGTAGTCCACACTAATCATCACTATCGTTGAGCGGCCAAAGTGCTGACGACTCAATTGTTCTGTTTTGCAGCCAAGGTCTGCTTCCCATGCCATTGATGGCAGAGCGCACGATATAGTTCAAGAATCAAATGACCCGTGTGCGTGCTGGCCTGCATGACTGTGTGATTGGACACTATTTGTCTTCGAATGCAAAGGTGATAGAAAGGGTTCTAAGATAAGCTGTTGAAAGTCATATGAGTCATATATGTCGATTTGGTCGGAGTGCACATTGAGAATCGCCGCTTGCCACTTGAGCACTGGGCAATAGGAACCTCACTTGCCCGGATTTACTCGTTGTACTTTGCTTTCGCCATGCGTTGCGTCTTCCTGACGGTCTTGTTCACACAGCTATGGGGCGCCTTCAGCACTGACAGCTGCGAGTTGGACATGCTGAATGCGGCCTTGCAGGAGGAAGGTCCTGATGGCTCTGTGGAGCTGTTGCAGGTGAAAAGCAGCAAGACGGAGGCTGAGAACGACGAGGAGTGGAATCACTACAACCCACCTGGCGCTAGGGGTGGTCCGGGTCATGGAAGCGTGCACCACAACCCACCAGGCGCCAGGGGCGGCCCGGGTCACGGCACCACCGCCGTGCATCACAACCCGCCAGGCGCCAGGGGCGGCCCGGGTCATGGCACCACCGTCGTGCACACTCACCACAACCCGCCGCCCGTTAGGGGCCCGGGTCATGGCACGACCGCCGTGCATCACAACCCACCAGGCGCCAGGGGCGGCCCGGGTCACGGCACCACCGCCGTGCATCACAACCCGCCAGGCGCCAGGGGCGGCCCGGGTCATGGCACCACCGTCGTGCACACCCACCACAACCCGCCGCCCGTTAGGGGCCCGGGTCATGGCACGACCGCCGTGCATCACAACCCACCAGGCGCCAGGGGCGGCCCGGGTCACGGCACCACCGCCGTGCATCACAACCCGCCAGGCGCCAGGGGCGGCCCGGGTCATGGCACCACCGCCGTGCACACCCAGCACAACCCGCCAGGCGCCAGGGGTGGCCCAGGTCACGGCCACACCACAGTAGTCCACACTAATCATCACTATCGTTGAGCGGCCAAGGTGCTGACGACAATTTTTGCCAAGGTCTGCCTCCAATGCCATTTGATGGCTGATCGCACGATTTGAAGACCAAAGTCACCAATGTGTGTGCTTGCCTGCAAAGCTGCGCGACCGACTCTATTTCTGCTCAGGATCCAGTCGAGTGCAACTGGCTATCGGAGAGATGGGATGGCGGTATTGAATATGATCTTTGGCTTCATAGATGACAGGGTTCTAAGACAACGTGTTTTGCTCCTGGGCATGGCTCCTTTTCCAATTCTGTCTAAACCTACCTTAGTTCTGCTAGACCCACCCTCGCATGCCAACTCCCCAACACACCCCAAACCCATCCTAAAGCGTAGCCTAAAGCCATCCCGACCTCAGCCCAGCTCCAAGAAATTTATTCTGAACCTTCTGAATGCCTTAAGCCAACCCAGCCGAAATCCAGCTTAATCCCACCAGCAGAACACACCACCCAAAACTCACCTTCCACTCACACCAAACCCAAGCCAATCTGCTTCAACCGTGCCCAAGACTCATCTCGAAGCCGAACGTCAGAGTGCCGGGCAACTGTCACAGCTCCAACGGCCCGAAACGCAGCTGACCGAAACACCTAGAAGCGTCATATCCTATCCGCGCCCGGTTCCGGAGGCTAATCTTTGAGAGGTCTTCGTGTAGCCGCTTCGCTTGGGCCCGCGAAATATGTCTTGATCGCCCATGGGGATCCTGGCAAAACGAGGCGCGGCCAGGCACGCGTTCAGTGCTGGCGTTGGACAGCTGTTGGCTGCAGATCCGTCTGCTTGGTTCGGCTTGCCTTGTTCCCGGGATCAGCCACGTAGAACAAACTCAGCCGAATGTGGCTCTCGCGCAGCTCCGGTGCTGGCGGAACTCGCGTTGTGATCGAACCTTTTAGCCGATAGACATTTGTCACCTAGAGACCTAGAGGAACCTAGAAGTGAGAACTGAGTATGGAGAACTTTTGTCGGAGAGTTGGGCTTTAGGGGTGAGAGGGATCCACGTGCAGAAAGCCACATATGTCGATTTGATGAGAGTGCACATTAACAATCGCCGGTGGCCACTTGTTTGAGCACTTCTGCTCTACCCAAAAGTGGTGAGCACTGGGCAATAGGAACCTCACTTGCCCGGATTTACTCGTCGTTCTTTGCTTTCGCCATGCGCTGCGTCTTCCTGGCGGTCTTGCTCACACAGCTGTGGGGTGCCTTCAGCACGGACAGCTGCGAGTTGGACGTGCTGAATGCGGCCTTGCAGGAGGAAGGTCCTGATGGCTCTGTGGAGCTGTTGCAGGTGAAAAGCACTGAGACGCAGGGCGAGACGCAAGAGGCTGAGAGCGGCGAAGAGTGGTACCACCGCAACCCAGTTGGGTGGAGAGGTGGTCCTGGTCATGGCTATGTGCACCACAACCCCCCAGGTATTAGAGGCGGCTGGGGTCATGGCACCACCTACGTGCACCACAACCCGCCCGGGCGGAGGGGCGGCTGGGGTCACGGCCACACGTACTACCACCATCGTGGTTATGGTTGGGGTCATGGTACCACGGTGTACCATCACCACGGCTGGCGCTGACGGCCAAAGTGCCGAGCATACATTTGGAATGCCATCAGACTATCGGCGCCGGCATGATTTTGTCCAAAGCGAAACAAGTCCATGGGTGCCTTGCAAATTGATGCATGGACGTCTGCAACTTTGATTGATTGTCTCGGTGTCTGAGGCCTTTGCGACTGAAGAAGTCTGCAATAGCGGCGGCACTCATCATTGCGACTGTTCGCTGCCTGGCCGAAGAAGTTGTTCCCCTTCGGGCATTGCGGGGCATATCGCGGGGCATGGTGGGCCAGGAGGCTTCCTGCTGAACTTCGGGGTCTATTATGCCACACGGGCCATGCCCACGCGCCCAGATTCGGATTGCATCCTCGCAGCAGCAATCACAGACACACATCCTTGTATTTTGAGACTCACTCGAAAGCCAATCTTCAGGCTCGGGGTTCCCTTTGGGTGGAGCTTCCCCACCATCTTTATCACCTGCTTCTGCTCGGCCGGCGCCGCAGCATCGCATGGGAAGGGTCACATGACAGCCGTGGCCCGAGGTCTACGCCCTGGTGATCGCAGTCACCAAGGCCCAAGCCCGCAATCCGAGAGCCCCAGACTCCCAGACCCCCAGATTGGCTTGCGAGGACTTGCCGGACGTGCAGGGCGACCTTGAGAACAAGATTGCGGCTGGGTTGCAAGGGCCTCAGCCGAGAGGTTGGTCGAAGGGCGCAGCTGAGGACACTTTTGCCACACGTTTCGGCGTAGGCGCGTAGCGCTTGCAACGCCCAAGCTCGAGCTCGAGCCGCTTTCAGCCATTCGAGCAGGGACCGTGGCAACTGCAGCCAGCATGGTGCTCCTGGCGAACTACGGCGCCGCTTTGGCACGGCGCTCGGAAAGGCCATGCCGAGCAGCGCTCGGCATGGCCGCTTGGCGCGGGCGCGTGACTGAGGCCTGGACGCGGAGTGTCCCTGCGGCCTTCCGGCCCCAAGTGTTGCTGCTGGAGCCTTGGATCTGCACTGGGAGCTGTGCAGTGCTGATCTGCCCATTCTGCCCAGACCAGCGCATGGGATCCTGGCGGCTATGCTGGAGCGGCCCTCAGCCGCGCCGCTTCGCTCGAGCCTTGCGGTTCTGCCGGAAGCTCACAGGCCCGCGGGCTGCTGCGCCTGCGGCGCACCAAGTTCAGCCAAGAGGGCGTCAAGGCTTTCTACAGGCGAGCCGGGCGACTTCTAAGCGATCATATTATTGATGAGTGCCATGCGTGGCTGCGGAAACACCAGGCTGATTTGGCTTCTCTTCTACTCCGAGTATTTTCTGTTTCCATTTGCACCGCACTCAGTCTTCGCATGCGCATGATGCCTCAAGAACGATGGTTCAGCCAGTGGGTCAGAGAATCAGGTCTGATTTTCTTCAGAGCGCGCAGAGGAAAAGTGTGCTCGCAGTACACTAAATTCTGGCTCAACCTGGCCTGCTGTCAAGACTGGTTGCCCGGCTGAGAGCAAGAAAGTTGGCATTACGTTTTTTTCTTCGCCTGGTGAACGCTGTGTTGGAATCTGTGAGGTGCATATTGAAAAGCTTTCGCTTTCGCTCGGACTTTGACACCTTGACAACTTTCGCCTTTTGACTGCGAGCCGGGTTCGGGCAGTTCGGGCAGTTCGGGCAGTTCAGGGCCCGAGGACTTGGAGGCCGAGGCGGCGGCCTTCAACGACCAGGCGGGCAGCTCCGAAGCCGAGCCAAGGCCTTTTCGCAAGTCTTCGCAAGTCTTCGCAAGGCATCTTGTTCGAAGTTTCGGGCTAGGTGCGGAAGGTCCTGGAGCGCCAGTTCGACGTGGCCGGGAGCGGCCTGGCGGCCTTTGGCAGTGACGCGGGTGGGCGTGTCAGCCGAGGCTTCGCATGGCCGGAGCTGTCGGAAGGCTCCCGAGAAGATCAGCTTGAGCGTTTCAGTCGGTTTCAATGGAGTCAACATGTGGACCGTCAAGATTGGAGTCAACATGTGATCAATCGGTGACATACGGACAGAAAGAGCGACTGGGAAAGCGACCGTTGCAGGTGAAAGCCCGAGCCGCAGGGCTACCGCCACCAAGGCCGACTCGAATCGGGGGAATTAGTTGGGGAGATCAGCTGATCTTTGCAGAGTTTTCCCTACCTCAAGAAGGTTCCCTCAAGAGACGCCAGCATGTTCCGAAATTCATGGTTATATTTTCCCTTTCAGGGAAGCAAGTTTGTACTCTAGGAGATTCCAATCATGAGTACCGTCCGGATGCAGCTGCAAGCGCACAGATGGCTCGCCCAAATTATCCAGGAAGACCAGGGGTCCAACACTAAATTTTCCGGCGCCCTCTTGAGTTTACACATCATATTGTCCGTGGCTCACAGGAGATGTTTCCTATGACCAGAGTCAGACCTCAAAAAATACGTGTCTTTCTTGTGTTTTCCCTGCAAGCACTATTCCAATAGGAGCAACCAGAGGTGCATAGGAATGTTTTCACCGGTTCCTTCTGTTTTCCCTGTGGCCACCCTCCGAATTCAAAGAGGCGGCCTCCAAAATCCTCACGCAGGAAGCCAAAGATCTGGTCTGGAGCCGGCGCTTCGCAGTGCTCTCCCTGGCTGCGCATGGCTCTCGCATCGGGTCAAAACTGGAAACTGGTGGTCTCCATCCCCAAGCCCGGAGGTTGGCTCTGGCAAGTGTTGGGTTTCTCCAACTCTCCACCTGGCATTGCAACATTTGAGGCTCCAGGGTTTCAGGGTTGGATCCCATGACAAGAGACGACCAGACATCTCCCTGCTGGCCAGCACCCAAAAGGCCAGTCATACACCCAATTGACCCGACATTTGGACAGCATCCGATATACGTTTGTTCTCACCTTTCCCTCGCGCCGCTTGGTCGGGCCCGCGCGAGGCGCGGTCGTCAGAGTCGCACAGAGAAGCGAGAGAGAGAGAGAGAGAGAGAGAGCGAGAGAGAGAGAGAGAGCGAGAGCGAATCAACATGAGAGAAATGAGAGAAACAAGAGCACACGACTCAAAGGACCATGTCCACCACCATCGAAATCATAGAAGGACGGCAGATTGCAGATCTGAGCCAGGTAGATTTCTGATGTGTGTTGCCACATAGCGTCCTCAGGCACATGAGCCAGGTAGATTTCTGACCGTCTATCGAGTGAGAGAGAGGGTCGACTTCGCAGGATGCACGGATCGCACCAGTCGCCTGGGTCTCAAGAAGGCGATGCAGGCACGGATATGGCACGGATGGGCCTGTTGACAGGGGGTTCAACCTCTGACTTTTGGTTGGCAGATCTACGGAGAGATCGATGCCTGCCACATGGGTGACCGAGCCGTGCCAGACGCAGATCTGCTTGCAATTCGAGCAATTCTCCATGCCGGATCTGGCGTTCCAACCGGCCGCCTGAGGTGATGGGCGACAACTTCACAGAGTATCCCCTGGTGCGGTTCAAGTCGCAGCGGCTCGGAGAACAGCCAAGCAGCCAGACAGCCAGACAGCATTCCGTTTCCCGTTCCCAGGACTGCCGCGGAGAACGCCCTAGCGGCGCTCAAGGCGGGTCAGGCGGGTTCCCCAACGCTTTGCGCTTGACTTGGGCTTGCCGCTTGGCTCATGTTTTTTCCTTTACCAGGTCTACTTAGACGGCATCCCCCTGAAGGGCGAGTGGCGGGGCGGCACGCGCCGACCCCACCGCGGCAACGAGAAGGCGCGGAGCCCCGGAGCCCCGGAGCGAGAGGGAGGCAGCGGCGCCAGCGTCGCCAGCGTCAGGAAACTATGCCGCCGCCTGCACCCGCTGAGGCAGGGGAATGTCTTGAGCGCAGGTGCCAAAACGAGGCATGCCAGGCATGCGGATTTGGGTTTGAAAGGGAGTGCCGAGTTTTGGGCGGAGTTCACGCTTAAGAGGGTGCGTTGATTCCTTGTTGCCGGTGTTTCACTGGTGGATGGATCATTCTTGACAAATAGAATGTCCGGCACATCCCTTTGTCTTGTGCTGAGAGATGCTCAAGAGGTGCCTGGCTTGAAACTGCTTGCTGGACCCCTTCAAAATGATTGACGGGGCAGCGGGTTGTTGCAACCCCAGAAGTATTCGCCGCATCTAAGGGTACTGCGAGCCCCAGCAGAAGACCAGGTATGACCCCACTGTCCAATTGGTCCCCTCGTTTCCACCTGGCCGCCTCCCCAGTTTTCCACCGCCCCATGGACGTGTTGGTTCTTTATAGCAGTACCGACACGATGTGAATTGCATCAATCAAGATATCCATTTTGGACGCCGCGAGGATTTCCAATACCCGACGCCTGAATGTTTGAGCATCCAAACGCCAAATCCAAGTACTCAGGGCCGGTGGTTTAGATTGGTTGGGCTTGAACATGTTTATGTGGTTTAGATTAGTGGTTGGGTTTGAACCCTGGTTCTGGGATTCTGATGAGCCCAGGCTTGGTTTAGAGGCATCGGTTTTCTTCAGATTTGGGTTTGAACAGGTTTGAACCCTTCGGCTCTGATGAGCCAAAGGAACACCCAGATCCAACAGGAGACGACGAGCCGCGACCTGAAGCCGGAGAAGACCCGGCGCAGCCCCAGCCGCGCGGAGCGGGCGGAACGGGCGGAGCGGGCGGAGCGCACGCGCCGGAAGCGGTCCCGCTCCAAGAGCCGCAGCAGGCGGGAGCGTTTTCTTTTTTGTTTCTTCTTCTTTTTTGTTTTTCCCCCTTTTTTTCTTCCTTTTTTCAGCTTTTTATTTTTTTTCCTCTTCCTTTTTCCATTTTTGTTTCTTGTTAAACATAGTGATCTTTTTAGGCCGAACAATTCTGCAATGGCCGAGTCAAGTGAGTGACAACATATGAAAAGTAGATGAAACGCATACCAAAGGTTTGGAAGGCGGGAGACGGATTACGATCACATCAAGCATGGCCAGTGTCGATTGTGAAGAAGTGGCTTTCAACTCCCTTCATGTTTCGGTGCTTTCTAAAGGCCACCTCGCAGTCTTCTGCCTGACCTCCTTTTTGCAACAGCAGAGTGGCAACAGCGCAAAAGGAGAAAGTGTGCCCGAATAAAACCGACCAACGCGGGTCCCATTCCTCCCTTGTCAGGCGGAGGCGCAACACCAGCCCACGGAAGGAGAAGGAGAAGGACAAGGAGAGAGAGAAGACCTCGTTGTCCATCAATACGCTGGCGGCTCTCCTCGGGTGCCGGGCTTGTGATAAGAGACTTGTGGTTGGCACCACTTTTCACGGGACCACTCTTGACATATCGCACCTTTCCCATAGCTCTTGTCGGCCCAGGTTACCTGAGAATAAGGACGCGGGCAACCTAGAGTCTCAGTTGTCAGACAACCCCCTGTATCGTCTGCCCGGCCAGTTTACCGTTGGGTTGGGTTCTTGGCCATGTTCGAGTCGACCTTGGCATCGAACGCAGGGCGAAAATGAGCGGCGCCGAGGGAACTCCGTGTCTCACAGGCCAAAGGCGGCAAGTTGAGTTGTCGCGTGGGACTCGCTTCAACCCGGCCTGAGAGTTTAGGTAAAGCTGGTGCCTGCGGTGACTGGCGCACTGAAGGTGAAAAAAAATCGGGACCGAGCCGGGCAGGGCATGCCATGGCTTGCTGGCGGGAGGAGCAAAGACAGGCAGACTCGCGAGGTACGAATCGTTGACTCGTCGAACGATGGGGTGGCTGCGGATGCCCGCGTCTCAGCCATGCAGGAGGAAAAGGCAAGGCTATTGGCATTGGCCTTTACTTGCTGATTATTGGTTTGAGGGCTGCAAATTTGGATGGACTGCTTAGCTCTGTGCTGCCGTCGGGTAAGGCCCAGCACCGGCAGAATCGGTCGGAGGAGCAGAGGATCAAGGCTGACCTGAAGGATCAGCCGATCTGTCGATGTATCTTTTGCTTCGCAGTTTGGGAGGACATGTAGCCGCATAGAACATGAAGATGTATAAATCTCTATTATATATATATATATTATAATGTATGCATATTTGTTTGTGCAAAGAAACGCCATAGGCGAGAAAAACCCAAAGTGCAGTCGCACAATATGCACATGCAGGAACTCAATGGGACAAGATCTGAGCCGAAGGGACATCAATCGGTTTCGATCCGATCCGCAGGCGCGCGGAATCGGCGGCAGCGAGTTCAGCTCCACCCAGGCGCGTGCTCCGTGTGTGTGTGTGTGTGCAAATAGAGCAAGGCCCTTGGAAGCAGCCAGTCCATGAGAAGCAACCTAGTCCACAAGCCCGCAAGCCCGCAAGAAGTCCATGACACCTCCGACTCTCAGAATTTCACACTGTCAGTCCAGCGAGTCCAGCCACGAGTCGACGGCGCAAGCTGAGAGCCGCTGCCCCAAAGCCGGGGGAAATCTGTCTCGTCGCTTTGTGAAGCGAGGCAGCGACAACGACTCGGACGAGTACTTCAAGCTCGAGTCCCACGAGTCTCACGAGGTTCCGGCAAGGGATCAACGGCTGGCGTCCTTGCGGTCCTTGCATTGAACCGTCAACTTCAAGGGTTTCCTGTCTTGGAGTTGCTATAACAGGAAGGATGCTCGCAGACCTGCGCAAGCTCGCATGGTTCACGAGGTGTCCCGAGCCGAGACGCATTCGTGCTCTTCTGAGTCTTGACTGGGCACCGAATAGGGCCCAGTGCTCACTTCCCACTGACATTCCAAAGAGCGGCGCTGCAAACGCAGCGTCGACAGAGTGCCGGCGGCGAAAAAGAAGACCTCGGATCCCAGGTCGCCCTGTTCTCTTGAAGCAAAAAACGCTTCTCCCGCAGCTAGGGTCGATGTGCTCTGGCGGGCTCTCATGTCTGTCGGCGTTTGGCTCAGATCTTTTGGATCTTTTGGAGGCTCCCAGCTTGCACAAGCAGGGGACGCGCGGCTCTGAGGGATGTTGCCACCTTTTGCCAGACCGAACAAAAAGCATTGGGGTGTCAAATTGTCAGAGGTCAACAGGCCTCTCTGGCTGAAAGACAAGGGATGTCTATTTCGCCAAGAAGCTTTCAACGCATGTCCGAGGTTCATGGGAGCCAAGTGCTGTGCCGGCGAAGAGGCCTTTTTTTTCCCCCGCGCGAGAGCACTGCCGTCATCGGGCATGCAAGTTGCCCATAAGGGATCTTGTGGCTGAGGCCCACATTCGCCGAACCGGGTTAAGCGTTTAGAACCCAAAGTGAGCCATCAAAACCCGGGCAGAAGGTTAAGGGACAATCCCATAGCTGCGGATATCCTTCTCAATTCTAGCATGGGTAGAACATTTTTAGACCCGGGTGAGCAAATGACCCAATTGTGTTTCTTTTTTTTCATGTTTTTTTTCTCGGCCGAAACATGCGATCAGGAGTCGCCGGAGGGCACCATCAGCGAGACCAGACCCGTGCCGGAGCCTCTGAACGCGTAAGGCGAAATGGGCACCGAAGCCCCATGGGAAATTTTGAAAAATGGAAGCCATGGAAATGTTTATTCAAGAACGGTAGAGTTACAGAGCCGAGTATTGCCGTGCAAGGATTTCCCATGGATGGAAATTGAAAGGCTTGCACACATTTCAAGCTTGCATTGGATGAGTTTGGAGGCCACTTCAGGAAGAGATCATCCAGGACGATGGCAAAGAGGCACAGGTGTCTGACAGTCACCAAGGTGTATATCCAGAGCCGAATTTGGAGGGGTAGCTTGAGGCACTTCTCGCCATTTGTGAGTGGACCGCCGATGGCTGAAGGTTTTTACTTCCGATTGGCGGCCATAAATCGAACCGACTGCCCCAAATGTAGTCCCTTAGCTGGTTCCGGGTCCCTTCTTTTCCTGCCGGCTTAAGGTTTTGACCCGTTACTAAAAGAGTACTGAGGGAATGAGCAGGGAGGCCGAGAGGCCCAAACCATTGTTGAAGCAAGGCCGATTAATAGGGACAGTGGTGTCTCCCCCTCGTTGCTTCTTGCCCGCGTAGCTGAAAGCTATAGAGGCTCTTACTTGTAAAGACGGGGCCTGGTTGCTGTGGTGGGTGCTGGTCAGGGTGCTGTTGTGGGTGCTCATTGATGGATTTGTTTGGAGATGCAGGCAGGTGCTGTTGCGTGTGCTGTCTGTTCCTGTGTAGCGGCGAAGCACGTAGAAGTTGGTTGCCATTGCAATGGTGTCCCAGATCATCATCATGATGCTGATTCATTTGCACGCTGTTTGCTTGCAAGCAGCACGTATGTTTTCGTGGCTGTGGGGTCATCGTGATTCTGCATATGCAGCGTATATCGTATTGTGGCTGTGGTATCGTCTTGATGCCATCAAAGGCATCGTGATGCTGCTCAACTCATATTTGACACGCTGTCTGTGCCGATGAGTAGCGCCTACTGGTTCGTGGCTGTTGTATCCTCAAGAGGCTGGCAAAGAATATTGTGATGCTTCTGCGATTCAGGACTCATTAAAATGCTGTTTGTGCCTATATGTAGCGCACAATGGTTCATGGCCGTAATATCATCATGACGGTGTCAAAAGTCATCATGACGTTGCCGAACACATTGCGATGCCGTGCTGGTGCTTATATGTGTGCAAAATGGCTTGTGCTTGCAGTATCATCACGGCTACTGACTGGCGGAGTTGACTGGCTGCAGAAAAATGAGTCATTTCCAGTCAAGTCTCCCATGGTATTTGTGGTCTATGCTGGTGCAATTCGAATTCATCATCTGGGCTGTTTGAACCAGACTTGTCACCGCTGGTTCAGGAGGCAGACATCGCACACACACTATGTTGGGTACGTGTCAAAGCCTGTCAGGCTAGCTCCCTGCATCCCCGAAAGGGTTGCTGTGACACCTCATGGGTCGCGGGGCGGCCTTGTTGGGGCCTCGTGCCCAAGTAACGCAGGGCCTCTCCATCCCAGCCATTTCGCGCAAGGGGCGGCGGGCTCAAATATGTCCACTTTGTCGGAGCCGAGAGCCATTCACGCGACTAAGCTGGGCCGACCGAGGAGAGAAACCAAAGAGTTCAACATCCAGGTGACCAAGGCCCTATCGCCGTGCTAGTTGCAAGTTGCAGGTTTGAAGCGTCGTGTTGGGCTGGAAAGTGCGGCCAGACCCTGGACAAATCGAGACTGGGCATTGATGTGGACCTTACAGACGGCGTCGGCCTGGTCATCGACCAGGCGCAGACCCGCGGAGCGGGGTTGGCGGAGCGGGGCGGGTCGGCCTGTTCCAATCGTTTGGCGAAATGTTGGGAAGTCGGTGAGTCCTTGCCAATGGCTTTGAGCTCGCGAGAGACTCAGGTGAACGAAGGCCTCGTGCGGGACTGGAACCAGGCGGGAGTGCCCCAAAAAAAAGGCCGCCTTGGCGTCGGCTGAGTGAGGTTCATCCAGAGCTGGCGGTCATAAAGGGTGACAGGACGGGACGTGGATGCGATGTAGGGATGTGAACTGGAAGTGAACTGGCCTGCACCACATGTTCACGTTTGAGGGCCACCCAGTGCCGGCTGCCCCATAGGCGCGAGCAACGTTCAAAATTCGTTCCCGAACAAGCCCCGAATCCACCAAATAAATTTCCGACGGGGTACAATGGAATCAGATAAGACCGAATGAGCAATGTTGCACTGCTATAGTAGACAGGCCCCCCATAGAAAAGCCCGGCCGGTGGGTGCATCAGAGATTTAGCAGGTCTTCACAGGCCTGCAGATGTTGATTGGAGATTGCCACTTCACCCCGGGTTAAGCAGGGCTGTTCGAGGATTGTCTCTGCGAACGGCGTTCGTGGCAATGGCGGAGAGATTAGCGAGGCAGCTTTGTACCAAGAGAGCTTCTCTAAATGGGGTGACCCGCACTGGTCGCAGATCTGCAAGAAGAACGACGTTCTCGACCTTGTCATCCAGCGATGAGCCTTGAGATGCCCGGAAAAAGTGGCATCCCTTCTTGCCACTTGCGGAAGTCTGGGTGTAGCTTAGCAGCGGCCGCTGGCGCTAAAATGCGCAGATGTCAGTTCTGCTTTTCGGACACAGCCCCAGGCTTGCCCCGCGAAGCTGTTCAACAAAATCTGATATTTGCACCAGCTCAGAGGGGCAGCGGTGCTTTTGCACTTGAGTCGGAGCCAAAGAGATGCTCACAAGCGGAAGGAAAAAGAGTAGAAAGTGGGGAACTGCTCGATGCTCCGCAAAATTTCAAGTTTCGCCAGTCCGGGGCTAATGCGGATGCGTCAAGCGCGGAAAAAAGGAGCACGCACGGCATCGGCCTTTGGCTTCAGCTGGGCGCACCCATGGGCTGGGCCACTCCAGGCGAGAAGCTCCGCACGCCTTGGCCGTTTGCTTGCGTCGCTCGCCTGTGGCCAGGCCATGTACGGCTTGTCGCTGGGGGAAACGGATGATGAGGAGCAAAGCCGACACACCAAAAGCCGAGTATGGGAAACAAGTTGGCTCAGGACTTTTCTGCAGACAGTGGGTGGATCCCATGGCGGGAAGCCGAGCGGCTGTGGGGAGAGCCGAATGTCAGTCCCCGTGTTTTGTTCTTCTTTTTTTCTTCTTCTTCTTCTTCTTCTTATTTTTTTCTCTGAAAACAATTCAGGTGCTTATGAGGTTACGCAGTTGTTGTTTATCATGCAGCACAATGGTTGTCTCTGTTACCTTGCAAACTTCCCCTGTCAACATGCGTTTTTATGTCCGACTGTTGTTCAACCTCCCGCTGTTTTGCACTGTCAGCGCCCGTGTCCATCGTCTTCATCTTCAACCCTTGGTTGTGTTTTAGACAGACGTCCTTGAGACTCCCACTTCCCGCTTTCAAGCGTCTCGGCGACCCGCGCAGCATGAGGCACGGCTGGCCACGAGGTCAAAAGAGTTCCGGCAGCTTGAACATCTACCTGAACGCGTCCCCAAATTTGGAGGATTTTGAGCTAAAGGGAAGCCCGAAAGGACGCACAACATTCCAAGGCATCTGGTTATCCGGACCTCGATCTTACAAGATGCACATTCAGAAAGAAGCAGATGGCCCCCAAAGCCATGGCCCGCAAGCCTCGCAGATAGCTCGCGAGGTTTCCAACTTCAAACAGGTCAGTGCGCGGAAACCCCGTCTTTTGCGCGCTTGACTGCCCTCACCTGGTGATCGTTTGCGACTGCTGCATCTCAGACATCGGTGGCCGTGCTTGCAAGGTCGTTCTGATTGGGCGTTCCTTATTTTTTGGCTTGTGGCAGTTGCATTTGGTTGGCCTCTGTTGTAAAACTGCACATTTGCGGCGAGCTGCACCGTGCCACGGTCAAGGGAACGACGACAAGTAGAAGCACTCCCGAGAATCAAGTGGCTGAGGTATTGTGGCTTGAAGGGCCACGAGATCTTTGCAGAGGTGGAGGAAGAATATGCCTGGGCCTGACAAAGGAGACATTGTGGTGTTTATGTTTCTCTCTTGAAAGTAGAAGTCAGACAACCCGATAGGCCCCAACAGCGATACCAACTTTCCTGCAATTGTTGCAAGGCATAGTGGACAATCTTGCTTACCACAGGCCCATTTGGGTAGGCCCCCTGGTTTTGTGAGGAACCGACATTCAAAAGAAACTGTGCCCCGAATGCCACTCATATTGTCCGTTGTGGTCGGAGCCAGCTGCCTTGGGCCGCCCAGGTTCGGGACAACTTCAACTTGTATGGTCTGAGACAGTTCCGGGCTCGGTCAGGACCGCCCAAGGAGTTTCCAACATCAAGCGAGGATGCTAAGAATTCATGTGACTCATTTGACTTGAATTCTTTTTCATTTGCATGGCACTTGAAACCTCTGAAGTCTTGCGAGTTGGGATCCCTGAGGCGCTTCCAGTTCTACGACCATGCTCTTGAGATGATCCTGTCAGCAGAGGCTCTCTGCGAACAAAGGAAGAGCAGGGATCGGCAAATCGGCTTTCCTTGCATTGCCTTGAAGGAGACAGATGTCCGTCCCCTTGGTTTTTCCGAAGCCTTCGGGTGACTTGAGGCCCCGGAGGACGATGACCTGGCGGACCCCGAGTTCCTGGAGATCTACAGGCTTGCGACGCCGAGCTCGCGATTGATTTGATGGCGCCCTGCGAGGGACGCCAGCGACCTCTACGGCCCACGGCCAAGAAAGGCGATGTTCCGTGGAATTGGGGGACCCGTTTTTTTAGGGACCCAGGATGTGAGTTTGTTCACCAGATCCGTGTGAGCCGTGCCCGCCCGGGAGCTGCCGAGGTGTCATACATGCTCGGTACATCGTTTCTCCCAGAGGTCTGCAGGCAGTTTGAGCGAGCGTGAGATGTGTCAAGAGGGGACCTGCTGGAGATCCGGGAAGGGATGTGCACACTGCGCAGGCTATGCGGGACAAGTACCTCAAGGGAGTCTTTGGAACATGCCCGCGCGTGCTTTGTGACCGCGTGCGGCTCAGTTCTGCGGCCACGACCAGTTGCAACCTCAAAACGAAACACATGTCATGAGTGAAACTCAAGCCTGCTTCCATTGTGCAGACTGATTTTGTTCCATTTTCAGGTTGTTCCATAGGCGGGCTTACAGATGAGTATGTTTCTCAGAATTCGAAAAGGGCTTTTGATGGTGCAACACATGAGCTGACGGCAATCTGGCACAAACTGCGTAGAGTTGACTGACATGACAGGTTCACCTTTGTTTCCCTTTCACACTGTCAGCTCGGGTCCCTTTGCAGACTTCCCCGGAGGGCTCTCCCCTTCTGTATGGGAGGGTATGTCCTAAAGTACTGTGCCGCTCATTTGTGGATTTGATCCAAAAGGACACTTTAGCAACATATGTAGGGGTCTAAGTCCTGTTTTGAGAAACACCCAACACCCTGGACGCAGCGTAGATCTCCGAATCAGCCATTGCCAGGGATTCAGTTTCAGAATGGGGGCGGCTCACTGCATGAGCCGCCTCCACCGAGGGCAGAACACCCTGCCCATTGGCCTCGCAGAGGATCTCCACGCGGCGCAGGTGAAGATGTTTTGCCCAAAGTGCGACCAGGCGAGTCCGAAGAGAACACCGGGTGTCAGTTGAAGCAGACGAAGCAGAAGGGAAGCAACACATGGTGACATGGCGGTGGATCAGAACCAATGGTACCATGAATGGGTAGGTGCGCCATCCATTTTAGTCTATTTTAGTGGGGATTGGGATGTTCACTGGGGGTACGGGCTTTCGCCAATGCCTGCGGAAGTTGCACCTTGCTGTACAGTGACTGTGATGGTTTTCAAAGCGACTCAGAGGGAACTCAAATCAGGCTCGCGGGGCCAGTCCCATTCTCCAAGAGAGACAAGGGACACGGAGGGGTACTGATGAGCCAAAATGAAAATGGAAGGGCTAACGTTCTTTCAGGGGCAAGTGGGCCTAATCGAAGCAGCATACCAGCAACCGTGAAGGTTAGGAGCATTTTCGACCATCCGAGGTAGCATACTTGCGATTCTCAACGACATAGTGTTGGGCACATTTGGTTCAGATCGGGGTTTAGTCATGACTCATGTGAAATAGTGGGCGCGTGTTTTGTGCGCATGCAGAGCTTATCCTTTGGGACCGCCCTTCAGGGCTCCATCACAGCCTGCCATGTTCCGAGATTCTGGAGTCCAAATGCCACAAGCCCTCGGAGGTCTATGCTTGCAAGAGCAAGTTCAGGGAACTGGATGGGGCCTGCTTCGGTACGTGGAGCCAGCTGGTTTGTCGAGCGAGCCAGAACTGAGAGCTGCGAGCTGCTTGCCAGGTCCTTTCCCCAGGTATTCTTGCAGACCTATCCCTCTCTAGTTCCACTGGAGATTCCAACGCCGGCGCCCGAGATTTGCAGCTTGCCCGTGCGGTCGAGTTGCGGTGGTGAGGCCGTTCGTGCCGCGGATCTTCGGCTTCAAACTGCACAAGCAGAAGTCCATCATCAAGCTCAAGGTGGAGCAGGCGTCGCATCCCAAGCAGCAGGCTGCGTGGAGCGTCTGTGCTTGAGGACCAGGCCGCGCTGAAAGACTCAGGCACGTGCACTTAGCGGTCAAAGTTTTCGGAAGCAAATCCGGCCTTTGTGAGGCCAGACCTGATGAGCAATGCGAGCTTCAGACTTCACTGCGCCATGCTTGCCGTGGGGCTGAATTGTAAGAATGAGGCTGTATCTTTAGCAACGAAAATGATGGACCTCCAAGAGAGAGAGTATCTCTGGCGGGCGATGGAAAACGATGCGATGTGTGCTTGAAAAAATGCGAGAAGGCTTGCGCAGCGCGCGGCACGACGTCTTTTATCAAGCATTTGCCTCAAGTCAGTTGGTCATTTGGCTCTGGTGACTCAAGGCCAGGACCACGCATTTGGCGGAGCTGCGAGTCTTTGTCCCTGACCTGGATCGGAAATCCGGTGCAAAGGCTTTAGTTCCTCCTCCGCCACAAGCATCGATGCACCAGTTGCAGCAGCCCTGCCGCGCCAAGAAGCACAGCGAACACTGCGCCAGAAAGGACCGAGGCTCTTCGGACGTTGGGACCTCGACGTCCTTGAAGGGCACGTGCCAGACTTTGACTTCACCCTCGCCCACCTCAGTGCTTGCGCTGCTTGATTGAAATAGGCTGTGCGTTGGTGGTGCATTGGGTGTGCACCGGTGCGCTGGTGGCGCGTGGTTTCCTGCTGCCGTCAGTCCATGAACCCAAAGGACAAGCTTGTGCATGATGGCATCAAAGAAATGGGACTTGGCTTCGCAGAAAGCGGGACTGGGAGACTGAAAGACCTTACGGACTGTTGCACTTGCAACTGTTCAGCGTCAAGTTGCTGAGTTCCAATGGTTCGAGCGCTGGAACGCAATTTGTTCAGGCGTCCTCGTGCTTGCGGATCGCCATAGCGTTGCCATGAGGCATCGGAGATCATCGCTCTTGGCGCTCCTCCAAAGACGTCGTCCCCAGTCTCCTTGGGCCGGCGCATCGGGCCCAACTGAGTCGGCCTTACTGCTTTAGGGCGCGTGGAAGAAGCGCAGAAGACAGGCCGCGGCTGGACGGCCCTCATTGAAGTGGGCGAAGCGGGTGTGTGAGAGGGAGAGGCCAGTGAAGCCGCCGAAAATGTGGCAGAAGCCAACAACGTGGAGATTTGGCCAAGCTCTTGCTCTGTTGCAGGGGGGGCACTCGGCAGCGGTGGCTGCTGCACTTGGTTGGCATCTTACCTTGATGATTCGTCAGCCCGTCTTCTCGCCGAGAACCCACTCATAGCTAGGTGATGCAGTTCAGGCCGTCGTTGGATCCCTCACGTCCAAAGCCACGTGGCAACAACTCCAGCGCCGCTGTTAGCAGTGTCACACTCCGCTCACATCCAACGACTTCACAGCAGTGTCATGAACGTGCGCCCGGAAAGCACCCTGGCCGCCACATTTCCAATGCTGGCAATATACTTCCTCCTGCAAGTTGCTCAACGGGGCAACTTGTGTGTTTAACTTGTTTGTCCAAATGCTAGAAACATTCGAATGGCAAAGGTGCCCAAAATGCCCATGCCGACGGCCAAATCAAATGGCCGAAGTTGGTACATCGTGATTGTGTTTTCACCTGGCCCTTTGCGACACAAGTTCCTCAGCAGCGAGTACGATTTTCTTTGCTCAAGGTGGTGTCTGACCATGAGCATTGCGCAGAGAATCTAGAAAAGCCAATCAAGCGAATAGGGCAGCCCGGCATGAGGGCTTACCGGATGTGCAGATTGCGCCAATTTGGAACTTGGGCCAATTCGCCCATCTTGGGGAACCCCTCCCGCGCCATGCGGGCGCCGGGGCCACAGAGGTTCTTGCAGTTCGCGGGTTTTGATTGGTTCCAGCAGTTAGCGGACGCTGTCAGGGCGCCGAAGTCGGCGCCGAAGTCGGCGCTGAAGTCGGCGCCGAAGTCGGCTCCGAGCAAGGCGGCCTGGTGCAAGCGGTTCTTGGTGCCTGGAGACCATGGTTGCCGTTCGAGGCGAATTATGGGCCCTTCAAGTCCCAGCCGCGCGCCAAGAGAGAGTGAGACAAGCGGCAAGGAGAGATGAGCGAAACAGAAAGAAGACAAAGAGAAGCAAACAAGAGAAAAACAAAGAAGCAAGGAGCAGAGCAAGGTGAGACACTCGTGGCCCTTGCAACCCGAGGCCCAGCTTGAGGCCCAGCCCAGCCCCCAGCGCGAAGCCTCGTCGATGCGGCGTGCTCTGTTGACATGAGGTGCTCGGCCCAGCGCACGGCCGGAGGCTCAAGCAGCCTGGGAATCAAAGGTCGGCGGGTCAAGAAGGAATTGCAAGTTTGTTTGCTTGTTTTTTTGTAGAGGGTCTTCAAAAACAGATTTGCCCATTTTCAATTCCTTTCATGTTTCCTTTCAAAGAGGGTCAGGACACGAAAAGGGCCATTTTGCCAACCCGGTGCTGTCCCCAACATTGCCGCTTTTTGCGAGGTCAACCAACTCGAAGCGAAAGGCAAACAGCGGGAACCAGTGAGCGGCACGGATGCTGAGGCCGACGGAGCCGACTCGGCCGACCAGGCCAACTGGGCCCAGCAGGCCCCCTGCCAGACCCACCACGCCTCCAACGCCTCCAGCGGAGGAGGCGTTTCCGCGTGCCGACGCGGTCGACGTCGACGCCTCCATCTCGATGGGAAGTGGGACGCAGGCGACGTGGGAGTCCGACTGGGACGCCGGATGGGCAGAGCCTGCGGCCGAGTGCTTTGAATGTTCTGGTTCCTTTGAATGTTCCTTGCGGTTCCTTGCCGTGCGCTTGGAGCCCAGGCCGCCGAGCTCGTGGGAGCTGGGAACCCGTGGCCCGAACGAATGCTTTGGGGAAGCTTCGAAGTGAGGCCCTACGAGCCGAACGAGCCGAACGAGCCGAACGAGCCGGAAGTAGAACCTGTGTCGTCGGCGCCTCATGCTTGCAGGCCTCGGCAGCTCCTACACGACATTGATTTTCGAAGAGACGTCAAGCAAACAGCTGCGGCTGAGCAATGCTGCGTAAAGTTGAAAGGCGGTGGTGATGGTGATGGTGATGGTAGTCAAGAAGATGAAGCTGCAGACAATGAAGATGAAGATGATGATGATGATGATGATGATGATGATGATGATGATGATGATGATGATGATGATGATGATGATGATGATGATGATGACGATGATGATGACGATGACGGTGACGTGACGGTGCTGGTGCTGGTGATGCTGGTGATGCTGATGATGCTAATGCTGATATTGATGATAATGATGGCGTTGTTGATGGTGCTCATGGTGATGATGGTGATGATGATGATGATGATGGTGATGATAATGATGATGATGATGATGATGATGATGATGATGATGATGATGATGATGATGATGATGATGATGACGGTGATGGTGGTGGCGGTGGTGATGGCAATAGTGATGCAGGAAAGGGAAAGCTCGTTTTTTCAAGTTAGAAGATGCAAGTTGGGTTCGCTGCTCAGGTGGGTCAGTGTACCTGGTGAGAGCCTTTTGGTGACGCAGGCCCCGTTCCTTGCTTGATAAGAAAGAAACGAATCAGACAGAGTAAGCAACTCAAATCCCGGCAATGGGACATGTCTGACGATTTGACAACCGCAGTTGCCTGATTGCTTCAACGAAAAGGGCCCAATTCTGCGACTACGATTCAGGCACGAGTTTTGAGGATCGAGCCAGTGAAAAGGCCCAATCAATTCAGCAGCTAGGTGTCAGAGGTCTGCGTTTAGATCCGATGGTTTCATCCGCTTTGAGGGCTACCACGAGACGGGCCCTGCGGTGCTGCACGATCCGGGCATCCAAACTCTGCTGCAGGGGCCCCATTCGCCAGCAGGCAAAGCGGGCGGACTGCTCAGCGAACGACCCGCGCCTCCAGTCGGGTCAAACACATCCGATTTTTCCGAGAAAAACGAGCCCAGTTCGTGGCTCTGGGCAAGGGGAAACAAGTCACTGGGTGGATCCTCAGTCTCGGGCCGAGGAGTGATTCAAACAGCCTCCTGTACGAGCTGGCAGGTGATGAGCTGTCGAGCGCCCAGCGCTGTGAACAGATCAATATTTTGATTTCGGTGAGTTTCCTTTTCGGATTCCTTTGATTTGCCTGCAGCAAAACCAAAGGTGGGTTCCTTCATTCTAGGAGCCGCTAATGTGTGTGCGTGGGTATGAGAAGAATGACAACTCAGATGCTTCCTGAAATAGGGACTCTCCGTCTTGCTTAGAATGAACACCTTAGAAACTGTGTACCAGCTCCATCTCAACCATCCACATGTACCTTTGACATGTTCACCTATCCCATCGCAGAGGTTCAACCAGATCACCTATCAGCACGATCATGAGCCTTGGCGTGAGATGGCGTCAGAGCCCAGATGTTTCTGTGTTTTTTTAATGTCTCTCTCTCGCTCCTTCTCTTCTCTCAGCGGGTTGCTTGGCAGTTGTGAAGGACTGGTCGCTGTTCCCAGAGGCTCGGTTTGCAGAATTAGTTTGCGTGGTTTGAAGCCCGGCCCTGCCAGATTGGCCACTCCTTGAAGCAGCTTGGCTACGGAGAGGTGGCGATTTGCCTGGCCATTTGTGCGCGCCTCAGTTGTTTCTGGGGCGTTTCTGCATGTGCCCCCATCCAAATGGCCGGTTTATTCCACTTCCCTTTGAACAGCTCAAAAGAGGTTTTGCCAAATCACAGACATATGCAAACTCCCCAAGTCAGGGAGGGGGTGGTTGTCCGTGGCAAGGCCCCAACATTGCGCTGTGGGCAGTCGTGGCCCCGGGCATGTCTCATGTGACACGTAGCGAGCCACTCGAGACTCCTTCGATTCCTAAGTCGAGGTGGGCATGGCTGGCCAGCAGCGAAAGCGGATGCAAGCAGCAAGGCCAGCGGAACTTCCGCTTCGCGGCTTCGAAGCTTATCGCATCAGGCTGGCGCTGTGCGTGGCGTTCGCAGCCACCGGCCAAGCGCCGGAGATCGTCTCCAGGCAAGGAAAGGCTGCACACTGAATGGTTGCCACGGGTTGAGCACTCGACATGTAAATACATCCACGCATGTGCTGTTTGTGTGAGTGAGCGCTTTCTTTCTTCCTGTGTTAGTATGCGCTTGAGCTGCATACTGCATGCCCAGGGAGAGGTTCAGTTGATATCCCCGTGCCTCTACCGAATCGAAACAAAGGAACACGCAGTTGAAGCATGTATTCGTGGGTGTGCACATGTTGATATTTCCAAGCAGCTCATCCACTGCACGTTAACTGCCTCTCTCAGTTGCTTGTCAGTGTGCATGTCGCATGTCGGAGCAGTATGAACATCGTACAACCCATCAAACCTTGTTGATGGAGCTGGAGCTTGATTAGCATGCCCAAAAGGCTGGCAGAAGTGCAAGTTGCAAGCTTGAGCACATCGTGTCATGCCAGCGCTGCTCTTTGCCAGTCCAGGCCACTTTTTGCCAAGCTTCATAGTGCAAGCTGAGCGCACCTTTCATGCTAGTAGATATACTGCACCCGCTCACGCGTGCTGCGGGTCCTGATTTATTGTGTCGGCCTTGGTAATTTTGTGCCGCAACGACAACTGATTGGTGCTCCAAAGCAAAAGCGGAGGAGGTTTTGCGCCAGGTCGCCAGACTTCATGCAGCTTTGCCAACGAGCTGACGTCAGCATGGAGGCAGGCAGATTGGCAGACTGGCGGACTGGCGGACTTGCGGACCGTGGCGGACCCACAGAGCTGGCGAGAGCTGCATTTGTCCTGCGCCAAGGGTTTGCCAGCTGCTAGCAGTGGCACAGTGCTCAGAGCTCTGACAAGTCGCGGCATGCTCCTACCATTTCGCCAAGGCCGAAAGTGGAAGAAGGCAAACGCAAAGGAAAACGGCCACTCCGAGGTGGGGGTGCCAGTCGGGTCTTCGGTGCTTTGCTGGGGATGGACTTGCGTATTTTTGTTCGGGGTGTGCCGCTTCGTGTAGGAGTGGAATGAGGACTGGAAGAACGGCAAGGAGAACTGGAAGGACAGGAAAAAGGAGAAGAAGGAGGAATGGAAAAAGGAGTGGAAAGAGGAGTGGAAGGAGAAGGATTGGAAGGAGGATTGGAAGAAGGACTGGAAAAAGGACTGGAATGATTGGAAGGAGGAGAGGGCAGAAGGCCCTGAGGCGGCCGTTTTTGGCATCAAGTGTTGGCTTCCGGTGGTTTCCGGGTTTCAAAGTTTCTGGCGGGGCGACGGGGCCGACGAGGCGGAAGCGGATGCCATCGACGCGGAGATCGAGGCGGCAGCTGCGGCGGCGGCGCAGGACGCGGAGGCGGAGGCGCCGGCGGCGCCGGCGGAGCCGGAGGCGGAAGCCGCGGCCTCGTTCGAGCGTTGGGTCGAGCCCAAGCCGTCGATGTCTTTCCCCAAAAGGGCCGGTTCCTCTCGACCGACTTTATCGATTTCTCATCCATGCGCTCTCTCTTTAGCTCTATATTTGAGGCCGAGATGCCGGAGCCGGAGGCAGTTCCGGAGCCTGCGCCCAAGCGCCCGCGAATGGAGCCGGGTGCCCAGTCACCGGGAGCCCCACCAGTTGAAGCTGCCAGTGGCCACTTGGCCATGGCATTGGGTGCTACTTTCTGACAACAAACCATCACAACCATCTGGGTGTGGCTTAAAATTAAGCAGCTGGGGTTGCGCAGGTTTTCGTGTTTGGTTTATACCAAGGTCCTATTTTGGGTACGTGTTTTTGAGCCACGACCATCTCAGTCAAGGGTTCTTGAAGAGAGCACTTTGGATGCCAGGCTTTCACCAGCTGAGTCTTGCGGTGACAACTTCCTTCATGTCAGGGGGAACCCCATGGTGAAACGAAGGAGACAAAGGCCTTGTTTGCTGCATGTCCATGGCAATGAAGTTTTGGAGTGCAAGCAAACAAGCTATCTGCAACTGTGGAAACTGCACAGCATTGGTGTCCCCTTTGCTTTTTTTGGTTCATGGGTCACTAGTCATGTCGATGGCGCGTTTTCGGCTGGCTGAGGAAGCCCATCCCTCGAGCCTCGCGCTCAGATTCGGAGTCAGTTGCTCTGCAAAGGTCCAGCCTGGCGTTGTGCCGAAAGCATAGGCTTTTATGGCTACACTTCCCGGCCGAATCTTCAGGACAGCCCGCTTTGGCTGTTCGTGGAGAACCCACCAAAGGAGCTCGAGGCGCGTGTCGCCTTCAACGTGCGAACGACGCTTGGTGTGATCATTCGTGGCAGGGCTACATCCTGGAGACGCTGGTGATGGCTTCCAATGGCGGCAAAAGGACTTTGCATGAAGTTGCCCAGTTGCTGAAGGCTCATCCTTTTGCCTTCCTGGCGCCTCCCAAAGAATCATGACTGGAAGGAGATCGCTGTATGCCCAAGCGGATGGAGCTTTGCAAGCTGTGTGGGGCCCCCTGCGCCATAAGACGGTCTTTGTCAGAAAGGTCACTTCCACTTGACTGGGTATGGGTCAAAATTAAGCCACTGGGGGGCCGCAGGTTTCAGTCACCAGGTCAATGTTTCCATCCAGGGCAAGCCATTTTGGGTACCCACTTTTGACCCACAGCCCACTCGCTCTCCAGGCTGGGCAGCGCCGCCAGCGAGGTGACCTGCCGCGACGCCGACGCCAGCGCATGCCCAGAGGTGGGAACAGCGTGAGCTGGCTGAAGGTCCACATGAGGTGCTTCGGGTTGTTTGTGGGCCTAAATGTCCCACAAAGAAGCCTTGCCAACTGGTCAATTGAGGGGTTTCTGCTGAGGTTAATGAGCTTGAACGGAAGCCCTCCGCTTTCTTGCAGGTGGGCAGCGCATTGAAGCTCCTGGGTGACAAGGAGGACGGTTTTCCAGTGTTGATATCAAGACCTTTGCTCAAGGACGGTTTAAATCCGAGCCCTAAATCCGAGCTGCATTTCTCCTCATTTTTTGTGGTGGCCTTTCAAGCAAAAAGAACATCAGGAAGGCGGCGCGAAATCTGTGCATCCAGCAGTCGGTTTTGCGACAGGAGCCCTTCACCCTGGCCATGTCCCCCACCCGCTCCCTCTGCGGCATCGGCGTGGCCGCGACACGTGCGGACGCCCGAAGCCAGCGGTTCCTTGGGCTCGGAGCTGGGATCTCATGTCACACGTCGTGGGCTTGGCGCTTCGAGTTTCGGAGGTTTAAGGCACTTTGAAGAGTGTTAAGGGCTGATGGTTGCCGGGTCTGGGCGTGGGCCGTGTGAAATCAGCGTATCAGCAACCTCGAAAAGGGTAACCCCCAGTCGTATCTTCCCTTGCCTTTCTCTAGTTGACTGCTTGCTTTGACCATCACGCGGCCCCTTGTCTTTCTCTTCAGTGAGAGGGGAAGGCCTTGCAAACAGGTCAGGTGCGGTCGAGAGCTGCGAAGCTGTCCCTCACCACCTTGATTGCGCTGCAGATGGCGGAGAACGGCGAGGACTGCAAGGGGAGAGTTGGGAGCACAATGAGCAATGAGGGATTGAACGGTTCACATGGAGTTCGCACCTGAAACCTTCGCTCGACGGCAAGTGCGCTTTGCCACGTTCCGCATGTCAATACTGGGAGCTGCTCCACATGAAGGCTTTCTAGCCAGCTTGGGCGGGAGAAGCCCCCATGGGATTTGGTGCGCATCTAACTTGCAGGACATTCCTGACCTCTCCGAGGCCACGGAGGTCGCTGATTTCCTAGAGGACGGCGCGAGAGCAGAGGGGTCGATTTCCAAGCGGGAGAAGCGACGCGCGACCTCTCGGCTCAGGAGGCTCGAGTTGCCAAAGATGCGCTGCTGCCGCACGCTCAGCGCGATGGCGGGTTTTTGGTGGCGCCAGTGGTGTTATTCGCCCGTCCAGGTTTAGGCATGTGCACCGTTTGTTGATAGCTGAGGCATTCCTGAATTGGTTACACAAGCCGCAATGCCGGGGCTTAGTTGCCTGTCTCGTGCAATGCGCGGAGCACAGCCGGCCAGGAAGTGAATGGGCCGGAAATGCCGGGTTACGTAGGCTGCGCCGTGTAGCTTCAGTTGCACTGCGCTGGCCGATAGTCAAAGAGACAGGCGTGAAATGCACTGACTCTATCATACGCCTAAGGAGGTTGCCGACAAGCCGTGCCTTCCGCTTGGAAGGTGCACACTCCGAGCTTGGCTCTCAGCTCACAGCTCGCATTCTCTGGGCAAGGGGCCATGCATCGGAGCACTCAACTGACTCGGCGACGCCGCGCCACGAAACGGAGCTCGCACCACACAATTTGCTTGCACTCACCGATCAGCCATGGCCGGTTGCTTCGGATGCTTCGCCTTCTTGCGGCCTCTACCAGGCAAGGCTAGAAGACGCCGGTGGAAACGGCGAGCCGTTTTTTTGGGGGCCCGAAGAGAGGGAACCTGTGGTGCTGCCTATCTTACCCCGACTGCGACCTCGGTGTCAATCCTGGGTATGGGGATGCCCGCGGGTTCAGAGAGTCCTGGCACGTAAGGTTCTGGCAGAGCTTGTTGAGGTGTTGGGAGGTTTGGAAGCTTCGAGAAGTGCACTTTGGGCCGGGACTCAAGGACCAAAAGCCATTTGGTCAGCCCAAGTGGAAAGGACGTGGAGAGAGCGAGCGGGCCAGGGCCGTTGGATGGACCTCCGCCGCCGCCTTTGCGCCAAGCAGCGCGCTCGGTTGTACAGCAACTCTCAAACATGTTGCCAGACGATGTAGACGTCGGCTATATGATGGGTGCGGCTCAAAATTAAAGAGCTAGGGTTACGCAGGTTTCGTCTTGGGTTCCATGTACCAAGGTGCCATTCTGGTACATGTTTTTTGAGCCACAGCCATATGACTTCTTCTTAGTTCCGGGCGGGCATGAACCGAAATACCCGACTTCTTCCCGTGTCAGTTTGAGGAAAAGCCGAGATTGTCAGTAGTTCACTTGCAGTCTACAGGTGTGAGACCAGCTGCACCCTAACAGATGGCCATAAAAAAATGCCCACTGTTGGATGAGATGTGCTTTGCGTGGTTTGAGGTGGTGGAAGGCTTCACGCTCACCAACGAAGCGACCAGCATGTGGCGGCCCCCGGCCAAAGTCGAGACTCCCAGCAGGGCGCCGAGAGGCGACGATCCGACGATCCGACGATCCGAATGCGCAACGCACGACGTGAATCAGAGGTGTGCCGGCGCCGATTTCCGCGATCCCCGAACCGCGGCAGACTCAGTTCGTTGGCCAATGCGAGGCTCTGCCCATGATACCGGTGATACCGGTGCTTGGTGCTTGTCCAGTGCGTCTGTGACATCTGTGGTGTGGCAAGAGTTTCGAGGACGCAGGATCTCACCATGGAGGCACGCTACTTTCACGTACGAATTGGAAAGTTACAGAGCGCCTGACGGACAGTACGGACAGTTTGGAGTCCCTTTCTGCTGGTGAACCAGCACTGAACCACTCAGATATCCGTAAAAGGACTGTTCGGGGATGGCCATATTGGGCCACCTATCCGTGTCCACACGTCCGTACTAAGAACAAGCACAAAAGACCTTCCCTTTCAAAGCATGATCTTTGAGGCTGACATGTTTTCTGTTTTTGTTGCGGGTTTTCAAGGGACGGCCAGGTGCAGAGCATCGACCTCCAGCGACTGTCCAAGGCCATGGCCTGCATTGAGCGCTACACCGGGCTCCGGGAGGCGGAGATCGGGTGTGACACCTGTCACACCCTCCGGCTGAAATTGGGATGGGTACCGAAGGAGGTCGCTTAAAGTGGGGAAACAGATGGAAAAAAGGCATTTCTGACATAGTTCACAGAAGTTTTTGGGGGTCATTTCTGACCGGCTCTGGACATTCCCACTGATTGATGGTTAGCGAAAAGCTCTCTGGCTGGGGTCCCAAACAACTTTTCCTTCAAACCAGTGAACGATTGAACGCATCATCTGCTTGGAATGCTCAACTCAGACAGAAAAAGGCAACCAGGCAGCTCGCCTCTGGTTTCCATGCGCTGCCCCGCCCAAACCGAAGGCCGCCGGAACGGAGGAGAATTGGGCCTCCGTGGCCGGCTCAGAGCGCAGAGTGGCCCAGAGGAGAGCCCAAGCCAATGGAACTTTTGCTGTGTCACCTGAGTTTCCGGAGACTCCGAGCCCGAAGAAGCTTCTTCCAAAGGCCTAAGCTGTGTGTGTGTGTGCAGCATCACCAAAACACCCATGCCGTAGATCTGATGGGATCTCATGTGCTAGGTGAAGGAAGCTTCCGACAAGACCATGGCCCGGTTGCTCAGATCTCCAGTGGTCAGCCGGCTGTCATCCGTTACCTGTCTTACGCTTGCGATATGTTCGCTTCCGCTGTCTGAGGACACGCCTTCGACGGTTTCTCCCAAGGGCACTGCTTCGCCTCTCGAGAAGCCTACGGAGGCCAAAATCCGTCATCGCGGTGCAGATTTGCACAGTTTGTTGCACGCTTTTGCAGGCGCCACGCAAAGCGGAAAAGGCCGGAGATTTCCGGAGATACATCTGGCGCGTGTTTGATGGTTCCATTTGCAAAACTGCAGGAGATCCTGCCCGCTTCCATGTTCGAGAAACTATCCGCACAGCCCATGGTTGACAGCTCAGCATGCACTGCCAGGACGAGATTCGAGCATCAGCAACATCAATGCAGCTCACAGGTGTTTGTTACCCGTTGGTGCCAAGCACTTTTAGGCCCTTCTCAAGCTCGTTTTTACATGTTTCATTGGGCCAACTGGCTTGACGCGTTGATCAAAATTGGCTTGCTCATGAGCCAGCTTGAGCGTAGAGATTCCAGTGTGGAAGGAGTGGATTCGATTGAAAGCATTGGAAGCGATCAGGTTCAAAGTGTTGCGCACCAAAGCGAGCAGACAGCGCAGCGCGGCAGAGCTGCGATTTGAAGCTGAGGCTGTGCAGACCCCGAAGAAGCTTCTTCCAAAGGCCTGCGAAGCTGTGCGTTGCAGCACGACCAGGGCACCCATCCCATAGATCTGGAGAGCGGGTGTTGGTGGCGACGTGATTTTAACTCGAAGCATGGTGCAAAGCACTGTGTTTGGCAATGTTTTCTGACCGAACCGGTGCTAAGTCACGATTTTGGAGTAAGTACATGGTAGCCTTTTGCATGATCAGGAATTCTTTGCAGCACGTGCAATTGAGGCATTTGGTTTGGGTGGTTCAAGATGTGCTTCCCTTCCAAGTATTCACCCTTGGTGTTCTCCTAGTAGTCTCCTAGTAGTCCCCTGTTATTCCCTCACCTAGCATTCCCCTATTGCTGTAGTAGTCTCCTGCGTGCCCTCAGCACTCCCCCAGTATTTCCTTAGGACTCCCAAAGTATTTCCTCAGTATTCCCCTAGTATTGTCCTAGCAGAATTTCACAAATATTATGTTAGATAGGATTATTCAGGAAATAATTCAGAGGTCCACAAATTGTTGAATATTCTGTTTAAATGTTTAATGAATTGAAAGACAAGTCAATTAAAAAAATAATAACCATTACTACAGTTCCAAGTATTTCCTCAGTACTCCCCCAGTATTCTCCGAGTAGAATTTGATTCGTATATCAAATGAGAATTCGAGAAGGAACGAATTCAGAGGTCCCAACATTGTTCAGTAGTGTGTTTAAATGTTTACTGATTTGAAACAGACAAGTCTATTGGAAAAAACACCCTGTGCAACATTTGGTGTGAAATGAATCGCTCATTGCTACAATTCCAATTCAAAATGGAATTTCTAATTTCATGACGTCCTACTAAAGTCTTTTTGATTTCTGTTAGACTTTGACAAAGATAGTAAGTATGATTCATAAGGAAAGAATGCAGAGTGGCTTAGATTTTCCAACCGTGTCCTCCTGCTGGTGATGCAAAAGTCTTGCAATCCAGGATGGGTGTGTGTGTGTGTGTGCGTGTTGAAGCAGGTTGCCCAAGTGCAATACTACAGGAATACAAGGTCAATACTAAGGGGTAGGGTGCGCAGTGGAGACTTCAGGCAGAGATACAGGAGGGGAAAAACCATAAACCCAGAGAAAACAAACACACAAGGAATTACCAACGAAATGCCAGGGAAGTATTTACAAGAGAACACTGCAGGAATACTAGGGGACCACTAAGAGGTAGGGTGCGCAGTGGAGACTTCGGACAGAGAAGCAAGAAGAACAACCACCAATAGCAACTCGATAAAGCCAAGACACCAAGAAGCCAATATTCAGAGAGTTTGGTCCTTCAGTGTCTGAAACTACACAGAAAACTAAAACACCTCGAACAAAACCAATAAAATAAACACAACCAAAACGACTCGAGAATAACAAAAAAAGCAGAGCAACACACGAGAGAACAAGAAGGAAAAAGCAGTATTTGGGAACTCTGTGGAAGACCACAACTTGGGAAGAGTCTCTGAATATGTCTTTTTCACGAACTCTCGAGCTTTTTGTGTTTTTTGCAAGCTCAGATGCAGATGGCTCATGGCTCACAAGGGCAACCATTTGCATTTCGCCCAGTCGCTAGCGTCTGCACATGTACAAAAACATGGTATTTACAGTGTTTTGTCAAGAGTTGCAGCGTAAAAACCACATCATGGGAAGCACCCTCTATGTAGATCTGCTAGGTGAAGGAAGCTTCCGAAAAGACCATGGCCCGGTTGCTCAGATCTCCAGTGGTCAGCCGGCTGTCATCCGTTACCTGTCTTACGCTTGCGATATGTTCGCTTCCGCTGTCTGAGGACACGCCTTCGACGGTTTCTCCCAAGGGCACTGCTTCGCCTCTCGAGAAGCCTACAGAGGCCAAAATCCGTCATCGCGGTGCAGATTTGCACAGTTTGTTGCACGCTTTTGCAGGCGCCACGCAAAACGGCAAAGGCCGGAAATATCCGGAGATACATTTGGTGCGTGTTTGACGGTTGAATCGACTGTCATGCGGTGCCTGCAACTGATCCGACATGCAACTTTGCAAGCTGGAGGGGATCCTGACCGCTGACATGTTCGAAAAGTGGTCTGCTGAAAGGCTTCCGGTTGTGAGCTTAGAATGCAACCCAAGTGATGTGTCGGGTGGCAGGGAGTGGACCGTTTTGGTCAAAAATCACCCAGGCGGACTTCCTGGACTCTCGTACGGCCAGACGAAGGCTGGCTGAATGGGGGTACTTCCACATAGCAAGTGGCCCAATGCGCGCCTTCCTTTGGATATCTCGTTTCTTTTCAGACAATGCGGGCGGCGGGCTTGCAGTCAGAGGGGCACCCGAACTTCCCCGTGTCCTCTTAGAATCGTATACGTCAGATTCTCCGTGCTGGGTATGACAATGACTGGAAGCCCGCTCATTTGCAGAACCGTGCCAGCCGCAATGAGACCCCCTCAATCAGAAGCCTTGGGACATTGCCTGAATAGGCAGAAGAGGAGGATTCTGTGGGGTTAGACTCAAGCAAAGCACGAGTTGAACGAAAGGAATATATCCATGTGTGACACTTTGCAAGGGAAGCGACGGCACGTCACAACACGATGAAGCAAGCAGATACGCGCTCGCACGGGAGCAGATAGGTAGAGGTCGACTCCAGCATTGGATCGAGGAAACTTGGGCTTGGTTGTGGAAACTGTGGCAGGGAGGTGTTTGGATTGTTCAGCATATTGCTTCCGGCTCCTTGGCTTAGGACTGGGGCTCTTCATCGGACCGATTTGGGGATTCATCAAAGGAGCCTGAAAGGTGATTGGTTTCTGGGTTCCGGGAAGGTCTGCTTTTTGTAGGCTGGCTCCGGCACGGGCCTGCACTCTGGCAGCCCGCTAGTTGGTTGCTTGGTTGGTTGCCCGAAATCGGCAAACTGTCTAACAAAACCCCAGAGCAAAGCCCCAGGGAAGCTTGGATGCTAACGCGCACGATACATCATGCTCCATTTCAGCCAGATTCAGCAAACAACCCTAACCAAGCCTCCTGAATCCGACTCGTGTACCAGTCATTTGCCCGAGAATGCGGACTGGAGCTCCCCACTGGCGCCAGAGTCGCCATGTTTCCTTTCGCGCCGCTAGGTGGGATGCCTGGGCGGAGCAGGCGCTGGCGAAGGAAGCGGCACAGCCCGGCACCAGGAGATGTTGGAGGGACGGTGCCAGGTCTTTTTGGATGCTTTGTCTCACCTCCGTGTTGTGGAGATATCAGTCACATCTCAGACATCCGCGACTGCAGACCCGAGTGCCGAGATCCGAGATCCGAGGCCCGGCAGCGTTCTGGTCCCGCACCACTCCAAGGCACGTTTTTTTTTTTTTTTTTTTTTTTTTTTTTTTAACTAAGAACGGTGACGTGCGTTCACGAGCGCTTTTATTCGAAGGCCACATGGAAAGATTACGTCTGGGACTTGGACGTGGGCGACGACATCGAGCTGGAAGGCTGAGATTCCGAAGGGCCAAACTCGGCTGATCTTAGCTCAAGGGAGACATGTGGGGAACACGTTTGGGCGGCGACAAGCACTTGTTTCGTTTGGATGGTTGTGTATCGACAGCCGAACCGTGAATCTCGTGAATGAAACAGACCCATGGGATCATGCTGGTACAAGGAGGGCAGGTCCAGCCCAAGCATTCTTGCTTGCGAGTTACCGGAGGCACATGTTCGACTCGGACCCCAAATGCTGCTGTTTCAAAGGGTTTAGACAAGATTGCACCAGCCATGTGCAGCTAGCACAACATACATGTCAATTTATACACACACTTGAGTGAGTGTTGGAAAGTGCAAAACTGGAGCCTCAATGAATTTGTTTGCTTGGCCCCTGAAGCAACCACTTCTGGCAGAGCAAGTGAGTTCTTACATGTCAAGGGAACCCGTATGGCATACAAAAAAGTCGGGGAGAAGCGAGGCATTTGGATTCCTGTCCGGCCTGGCGTCAAGTTGCAGATCCTCCTTGGCCCGGCACCCGATGCACGCGATGCACGCGATGCACCCGATGCTCGTGGTATCCTCTCCATCCGACTCGAGTCGAGTGAGTCGAGGTGACTCTGCGCTGGGTGCCTCCGGCCCCATTCACGGTCTGACGGTCTGACGGTCTTGCGGTTGTTCCAAGTGGCCGGAAGCCGACTGCCGGGTGGCCCATCTCTTGCCAGGATGCTTGGAGTACAAAGTCGGCCAGGACTTGGATGCTGTGTGCCGGCCCCACGATCACCCGGCCAAATGGGCAGCTCGAAGGGAAGCACCTTGTTTGCGAACTTGCGGCAGGCAATTGAGTCCAAGACCAGCCTAAGCCAACTTAACAAACGTAAACCCGCCGTGAGTCCAGTGCATGCGTTCGAACGTGAGCCACAGCTGGTGTTTGAAACTGATGCGAACGGGGAGCTTCTTGGGAACCTGGCATGATGACATGTTCTGCTCGCATCATTCGTTTTGAGATATAGCTGTTCCCTTTTTTGGTCAAATGTCCCCCCAGGTTCCCCGTCAATTCCGAGTGAGCAGATCCCCATGAGTCCAACGGAGTCCCACGGAGTCCCACGGAGTCGGGACGGAGTCGGCACGGAGTCGGCTCGGAGGTGCCTGGGCTTCGTGAAGGCCAAAGGCCTCCGCGAGCTCTTCGCGCCGCTGGTGGCGCAGCACATCCAGACGCTGGCGCGGAGCGCCCGCTGGGCTGCTGGGGGGGTGCTGTGGGGGGAAGCGCTGCAAGCTGATATGTCGAAAATGGCAGGGGCTTCTCAGCACATCTACTTGTTGTTCAGGAAAACTTGAAGGACATTTACGGCGCTGGATGGCATATGGGGAGATGGAAGGATGCCGAACGTGGCGCATGAAAATATATGAATCCGATTGGAGCCAGGGGTTGAGGTGAATTGTTTTGCATACACAAGACTGCATGCTGAAGTTGGATCTGCTTTTGAAAAGTCCTCGTGTATGTGCTCAGTCCCGCATTGCCAGCTTCAGACGGCATTTCAGGGAAATCAAATTGGCAGCCACTACTCCTTCCTCATGTTCGAGCAAAAGTAAATCTACCGCTTTTGAGTAGTCTTGGGAAATCCGACAAGAGGCCTTTCACCTTGGGATGCTTCTACGTAAAGCAACATTGCGTTTTACGGGAAGCAGAAACGACTCCTAGCATTTTGGCCGTGATTTCAAAGAAAGCTAAAAGGAAACCGACCACGGGGAATGGTTTGAGAGAAAATAGAGTGGGGAACGGAACCTCGGTTTTCCCTTTCCACGCGGCCCGGGCAGATCGCGAGCGGCACCACTGAAGCCGCTGTGGACGTGGTGGAGCTGTTGTGAGTGCAAAAAGATCATCGCAGGGTGCCTGCGACGGCTCGTTTTCACATTGGACTGGGTGAATTATAGCGACCTCACAGGACCTCACCCCAAATGGTGGTTTATGTGGGGAATGGCCCCCCAACCACCTTATTTCAGGCTGGTGAACTATGATAATTCACCCAGAGTGGAGGGGGCAACGCAGTTGTTTTGGCCTTCTTGTGCGCCATTTTGTCAACCACCAAACAATGCACAAGCCTCGTGCGCGCCTTGTTCTGCCGCCCACCGTGTGGATCAGCTGACACCAACATCCATGCAGAACAATCTGCTCCACGTGGCTACTCTTGCATGTACATCGGCTTTGCCCAGCCACTCCACAACAGGTATCGCAAATTACAAGTCTGTCAAGAACCCCAGATATTTCCAGTTTTTCTTGCTTGCTGCATGTGAAGATCCAAAGCTGAGCAACGCAGGAACAAACACGAAAACGAGGGGCAACGCGGCGCGTGATGGCAGAGGGGCAATCCGTAGAAGAGTTCCCTGCTGGCCAGCATGCCCAGCGGGGCAGCCCGGTAAAGTAAAAGCAGAAAGCGGCTGCTTGGCCAACGAGTTGATGTCGCTTGGAGTCAATGCCAGGATTTGTGGCTTGTCGTCCAAACCCGAGCTCAACGAGCAGTGCGCCCGGGAACCGCTGAAGCCGCGCATGAAGCGAGACCAGAGCATCGTCAAAGCACGTCGAAGCAGCATTCGCTGGCTAGAGCTTGACTTCTCTAGAGTGGGCGATTCAGATTCAGCCCCGGATAGGTACTGCGTCTCGAAGGGCGTCAACCCTGACAACCCTGAGCGGCTGTTAGTCGTGAACAGCCGGGCTCCCACGGCCTTTTTTTGCCCCAATCAGGGAATGAAGCAAGACTCCATGCCTCAAGTGGATTGAAAGGCACAAACTAGCTTGGTTCGGTACTTGGCCCTGTTTTGTTGGGGCTTCAAGAGGTCAACAAACTGATTCTGGACATGAAAGACATGTCAGACACGTTGTGTTTGCTGCGCCTGCTACGTCTTGTAGCCAGGGGGTGTAGCGTTTCGCGGTTTTATGGTCTCAATATACTATGTATGTGCATAGATGCATGTTGACGTGGCTATACATGTTGTATTTGTACACACCCACACACACACACACACATAGGTGAGATGAACGGTAGAAATTGATCACTTTTCCGAAGACGCAACTATGCTTTCAACTTCAGCATTCCAATCAATGCCTTGATTGGGGATTCCTTTCTCGGTTCAGGGCTCTGTTCGACAAGTTCAGAATCTTGCAAGTCAACTCTTCGATCCGCTCTGGCAAAAGCATCAAGACAGGCCAGCTCTCCAAACTGACTCATCAAACCTAGGTCCTCCAGTAGTGCCCTTTTGCCCCCTTTTTTTGGGGGAGGGTTCCCCTACTAAAATAGACAGCGGAAAAAAGTTGGTACCCTATTCTAACCTCTCTACTGGAGGACCCATCAGACCGCTTCACACGTCGCCGTGAGAGTGGTTCCGCGTTGCACGGAGGCGTGGGCGCACAGCTGTCCCTGAAGCCAACCAACCTGCGGGCCACGGAGCTTTTGCCCGGGACAAAGGTGCACATGCTCCACGGATCGATCCGATGTCCGGGGGAGCGTGGAGCGATTAGCTAGCACAGAGTTGCCAACACGAAGGCTCAAGGCAATGAAGTTGCCAAAAAGGACGCGGCTCAATGCAACCTGCAAAGCAGCTTGCAAAGAACGCGGCTTGTGCTCATGTGGTTTGGTTTGATTTGTTTCGGATGCCCCGAGGCCCGGGTCTCAGGTGGTGGTGGTGGGCCTCACCAGCTCCGCCGGCTCCAAGCCGGGGCTTCGGGGCTTCGGGGCTTCGGAATGCGAGAGAGTCGCAAGGTACGTCTCTGAGATGTGGCCATGAACAAAAAAATGGGGAAGTTTCTGAGAAGTGATTGGTGGACAGAAGGACGTAACCCCCCAGCTAAATGATGTCCACCAAAGGGTCCCTGACTAAATTTCATAGCCATGTTGTGCTGGTGGGAGGCCCTGCCTCGCTCTCCCTCTCTCCCAGCTGAGGCTCAACGGGAAGACGGGGGAGGTGTTGAGCTGGCGCCAGCCTCGCGAATGGGCCACCGGCTTCTCTCAAACTGCGAACAGCGCTGACGTCGCAGGCACGGGGACCGCTGGATCGTAGACATGAACGACACGGAGCCCAAAGAGCGGAAGTCGCGGGAGCCTCAAGGCCTCAAGGCCCTCGGAGCCCTCGAGCTTGGAGACAGTCCCGAACTTCCAACGCGGAGCCACCCGCCGTTTCTGGTGGCCCTTGGTGAGTTTTCAGCCAAGGTCTTGGGTCCCCAATGGTGTTGCCAAGGTTCAGACCGGATAATTTGGTCATCGTTCCAGAGCGGGTGACCAGAAAAAGAAAGGCGGAGGCGCGGCGGTTGACTGTCTTTCGTTTGGGGAGGGACGAAAAGATGGCCCGCCCAAGCGGAGAAACAAAAAAACACACACAATCTTCTTGATACCTTTTGTGTGTTGTGGAAGCCGAGTTCCCCCACCAGAAAAGAAGACCCAATTTTTCCCACCAAAACTTTTTTTACCCTCGTCCTTTTGGCCAACGCGTCGCAAGTCCCGCGGCCCCGTTTTGCGTTTGGAGGAGCCGCCGCCTGAGGAGAAGAAGGCAGGAAAGCGACTGGAGCCAAGCCCGAAAGCTGGCGATTGACGGCTGGAGAGTACCCAAACGCCAAGACTGGCGAAGTTGTCAAAGCCAAAAGCCGGCAAGCGGGACGACGACGATATCCAATTCAGAAATGGACGCCACGTTGACAATTCGGGCTTGACCAGATGAAGATGTCCGACCTCCGAGACCTCGAGTCCTCGGACGAGGCCAAGATGTCCTTACAACAATGTCTGTGGGTCAACACCAATGGTACCATTTTGGGGTAGGTGCACAACCCATTTTAGTCTATTTTAGTGGGGATTGGGATGTTCATTGGGGGTACGGGCTTTTGACCCATGGCCAAATCATAAACCATCCAAGCCGAAGTTGCTGTCTTCAGTCTTTGCGTGGGGACGTTCGCGCGAGCGCACTCAAGCTCTCCCCGGTCTCTGCCAGACGGTGGTCGCGAGATGCCTGCTGCGTTTGCTGCGAGAGCCGGCCGCTCGGGGTGTTCCCTGCCTCCGCCATGGACGGCATTCCATTTTCATGTCAGCAATGGAGCTGACCAGAATGGACGTCCCGGTATATTAATATCAAGGGTGCACATGGTCGTCTGAGTGATCCATCTATTTGAGAAAAAAATAAACACATGTTTCGCCATGATTGCACAATTTTTGGTGCAAAGGGGTTCCCTCCCCAAGAGCCAAAGCAGTATGACCAAAGCTGCCCAGGTTTGAGATCGTTGCTCAGAAGGGCGTGTGCGTTCTGGCCACTAAGACCAGCATGACCGCCAGGACCTCAGTCCGAGTGGGTCTTTCCCAACAATGCATGGAGCAACCTTTGCTTGGCAGATTCCGCTTTGGCCAGGTCTTGAATGAGCTGGGAGCACATCTCACTGACAAGCAGGCACAGATCACAGCAGACGTGTCATGCCCACCTGCGATATCAACAGGGTGACGGCTTGCTGCGACGAGTTCTCAAGCCTGGCGAGAAGGCCTGACGATCGCACTGCTTTGTTGAAGCTTTCTGGTGCCGGAACTTCACAACGCCCAAAGGGCGCTGAGTCCGGGCGTTGCGTTTCAGACGTCTTGGCATTTGACACCGCAAGTTGAGCATGCTAGGTAAAAGGCATTGAGGAGCTGGATGCGCAGGAGCAAGCGGTCCCCTGGCTGCATTTTTGCATTGACTGAGCTTTCCCCCGTACGACGGGGGATGACGTACTTGAGTGGAGTTGAACGTGACGTGGCACTGGGAATGGCAGCTGCAGGTCATGCTTTGTGAGAAGCCAGGGCCTCAGTTGTGCTGGAGAGCTAGTTGGCGCACTGCCTCCTTCAGGAAGGTCAGATCACTGGCCAACTCTGCGACTCTGCTGCATTGCACAGCATGCCAGGAGCTGCAAGTAGGAAGCTTGCCAGGTTCGCATTAATTACTGTGACCTCTATGGCTTTCTGAAATATGGCTTCAAGGCAGGCGGTATGCACTTCTTTGTGCCAGAGAGGAAGTGCTTATTGCCCAATCCAACACCGCTGCAGGAGCCCAAATTCAATCGCAAGAAGCCGCTGGCGTGAGGGCATGTCGGTTTTTCTGTGACCGGGGGCCAAGGGAGGGCATCGCCCAAGCCATTTCTTTCTTGGGCGGTATTACACCCCCGAGAAAACTTTGGGCTCGGGCGCTTTGGCCTCGGCTGATGGGCACAGGAAGAAAAAGGCGCGCAGCTGGTTCCCCTTGAAGATGATAAACTTGAAACTTGCTTGTCAGATGAGAATACCGCATACACAAAGACATGCCCAGTTCAATTCTGGTACATCAGACATCACACCACGTTCCCCGCCAAAAGAAAAAGCAAGAATCTAAGAAAAGGAGCAGCTTGTCTCCGGACTCGGAGGCTTAAGGCCCAAGCTTGAGCGCAGCGCGAAGCCGAGCCGAGGCAAGGGTGGGGGCATTTGACCAAGAGCCGTGTCTCGCCTTCGGAAGCCCAAAGGAAGAGAGACCCAACGGAGGGAGTGGAGTGGGAGAGAAGTGAGTGCGCTGAGTTGGCAAGGCGCGATCGGCGCGATGTCGGGCCTCCCGGAGGAGATGAAGCAGCTGCTGCGGCCTCGAATAGCCCGTCTGACTCTAGTGGCATTCCAGTGGCATGAATGAATTTCACCGAGGGCCGGCTTCCGGCGGGGCGTGCCCTTGCAGAACAACCACAGGCGAAGCCGCCCAGAGAACCAGACAACGAGACAGCCTTCTCGCCGAGCGCGCGGCCGGCCAGGGGTGCCACACTGGAAAACTCGGAGTACCTGGCGGTGAAGGCTGGGCAGATGCTCAGACTCCGGAGAGAGATAGATCCATAGACAGGATGATAGCTAGATAGATAGATAGATAGATAGATAGATAGATAGATAGAGAGAGAGAGAGAGGGAGCAGGGAGTAGCACAAGCCGCAGGAAAACGTGCAGCCAGTGGAGCTGGAGAATTTGAAGAGGGTCTTTAAATGGCCTGAGACACAGCATCCCAGACATCTCATATCCGAAGAGGGCTGTTGGCCTGAGGCTGGACACCAAGAAGGATGACAAGATTTGCTGGCAGGCAAGCACATCTGATTTTAAGTGTATCATTCCGGAGGTGAGACAATTCACTGCGACAGGCACTGTTTGAAGATGGCTTGACTGCTCACCCGCAAGGAGCTGTCAGAAGCCTTGACGAAGCTTAGCCTGGCACTTGAACGGTTTCTTGGAGCTGGAGGCTCTCGCGAGCTCGCAATGCGCGGATTGAGAGCTGAGAGCTGAGAGCTGAGCGTGACTGAGGCGCCAAGACCCCGAAAGATCAGATCGAGCTGTGGATATGGGAGGCGCTACTGCCACGTGGCAGTTCACGGAGGGGTCAGCGACGTCAGCCCACAGGTCGACGACGACCTTGACGGCATGGTAGGACAGTACTGGAATACGTCTTCCACTTCGCGTTGTTCAATATGGCAGCTTCTCCGATTCAAATTCCCGAGGATGGGATGAGTTCCTGACGATGTATCAGCGGTCCAGCCCTCGTATACAGCCACCTGACTGTTGTTGTACCTGGTTTTCCTGGATGTGCGCCACCCCGCTTCGAACACCACGACTCAGGTGCATTTCTGACCAGACTGGTTTTGAGTCTTTGCCTCGGCATGCAATTGATTTGCAAGGGCTAGAAGACCTTCGTTTGCGCTTGCATGGGAGACTGACGTCAGACTGAATGACTTTCGGCTTACTCGGAGGCCCCGCAATCTCTTCAACTTGGTGCAGTTCTTGATGTACGACAAGGATCAGAGTTTCAATCAGCGTTTTTTGCCTAGGTGAAACCGGAGCACTCACTGGAATACTCAGTGGAATGTACCAACAAACAAGCAAGCTATCTAACAAAACTTGAACAACTATTCACGTCAAATTGACATGCCAGTCATATCCCTCAGACAAAGAAACATGTCAGCCAACGCATAGACCTTTGCCTTCCTTTAGTGCACGCAGGTAAAGTGAGGCTAGTAGCCAGATCACTTTTCCACAGAAACCTAGAATTTCTGTTCCTTGCCCAGGACTTCCACCACAAAATCAGCGTCGAGCAGACACTGCAGATCATCTACGTCCGGCACGGTCGCGAGCTTTGAAGGGTCTAGCAGCTTCCAGAGCTTTGGTTGGGCATTTTGCAAGCTTTTGATTCAAGTGCGCCTCAGGCAGAAGCAACCTGGACGACGAGATCACAGAGATTTTCGGCACACAGCAAAAAGGCGAGGAGCCCAACGCCGATGCGGATCGACATACGTCTGAACATGAATCCCCCTGTTTTGAAAGGGAAACCGACCTGAGTCTCCCAGAGCAAAACCTCAGGTGATGTAAGGCTTTGCGCTCAGGTTCGGACGGCCAAGAGTTGAAGATCACATTCTCCCAATTCTTCGCACCGCCCTCAGCGTGCAGACGGAGAAGAAGGCGCCAGTGCCGGCAGTGTTTGTGCGGACTAGGAGAACGCGAACAAGCGGCTCAAAGCTTTGTCGGGGCCTTGAGGGAACCTGGCAAGTTGCCAGCATCAGTCATTTGAGCATTTGGTTGTGGGTCAAAGCCCAGTACCCCCGGTGAACATCAAAATAGGTGGCAAAATGGAGCCATAGGTTATGACCCATGGCCATTTGTTCGTGTACCGTTTTCATCCACGCTGAAAACTGCAGAGGGACCTGTAGAGATTGAGGCGGGAGAAGAAGAAAGAGGTGACAAAGGTGCCAATCGCGACCAGACCGCGGAAGTGAATTCACCTGTTTCACCCAGTGTCGTTGCAGGGAGTGGATCAGATTCCGCAATGCATGTGAGCATTGTTTCGTTGAGGAGCCACAGATGCTCAAAACTATCCAGGGAGGCACACGCCAAAGAATTGGCCCCTGCTGGGCATGTTGATTGTAAGGGTCATGCGGCGCCTGCACCACTCGAGTGCTTGATGTCGCTGTGAAAACACGCAGAGCGGCTTGACTGGAAGGCATCAGCGCCTTATTTTTTGACTTCACGAGCTTGAAACCAATGAGAAGCTGCTCTGCCCACAGCAGCGCGTCGAGGCTGAAAGTCAAGGTTAAGCCTGGCAAAACAGAGCGATGCATGCGCGTTTTTGTTTTTTTCCTTTCCGTTTACATTATATATATATATATATTATCAAAACTGGCTTCGTTCCCAGGGTGCCTCACCCTTCTCCTCCGCCCCGCTGCCACGCTCCTGTTTGGCTTCCACCACAAAGCTCATCCGCGCCCACCCACCCCTGAGCCTGTCGGCCACGGTAGGTCCTCATAGATACACTGGCAGAAGCGAAGGTGGTGCTTTCACACACCCTGAAAATTCTAATTCGCTTGTGCATCCCATGGTGATTGCACTCCCCAGGCGTCAGACCCCAACATCATGACACTTGTGCTGAATGTTTCAGCCACTGCAATCGCGTTCTGGCACATGATCGAGCTTTAAGGATTTCGGTCTCATCTCGCAATGAGTATCTGCCTTGCTTGAGGCATTCACGGAGGATGGTGCCATTCATCGGTTTCGTAAGAGCGTCAGCGAGTTGGGCTGCACTGTGTACCCACCTTAAGCGAATCCCAGTTGCTAAATGCTCCCGAATCAGTTTAGCTTGAAGGAGGGTCCTAAACTCACCACACGATGGAGTAGCTGTCCGGGTTACGAGGTCATACAGTGATTTACAGTCCGTGGCTGATACTGCTGGTGTCAGGGCTTGATTGGCTACCGGTGCCGGCTGGATATCTTCCGCCGAGCATGTTGCACTGGCAAAGGCTGGTGGCAATTGTAACAATGTCTGATCTGTACAACGCCAGTTGCACTTTGAGTCTAGCAACCATGACCAGTACAGTCGCACCCACGAAAGCACGTCAAGTGCTTGGCTGAGGGCCATGGATTCGGCTGCCAACGTTGATGTTGTGACTCTCTGAATCTTCTTAGCATGCCATATTATGGGATTGACCATGCTTGGGTGACCCTTTTCAATCTCTTCATGAGTTGCCATGATCATCATTCCTTGATGAGAGTCACTGGTCTTTTCGGAGGCAAACGAGGCATCGGAGAATGTCAAAAACCTCAGGTCGCTGATGGCAATCGGTTGTATCTGCAGGCACACTTCGGCTGTTTGCTTAGCTTCACGTAATAGCTTATTTGCTTCAATCAAATCACTGACTAGACCCTTTCGGATTTTCCCTTGAAGAGCTCCGAGTTTACTTGCAATGTCTGGTCGAGTGTTGACTGCGGCATACTGTAAGCTACCTACTAATGCCCGGAGCTGCTGCCTTTCGGATTCATTGATGGGTGCAGTACTCTGTTAACGTCGGTTCCTGTCGATGAGAATGGATTCAATTTCCTTGACATAGTCCCCTTGTCTAAGGGTGATTTTTCCATCAGGGAACTGTTCCAATTGAATTCCAGTGAATTTGAAGGACCCCTTCTTTTTGCTGCCAAAGGGATATTTCTCTTCTAAGCATTCAAGGGCCTTTTGAAACACTTGATCTCCACCGCACAGTCCATCATCGACATGCAGGCCGATGTATCCATGGGCATATCCTTGTTCACTGAACAAACCAAAGACACAATTGTCAAAGGGGGATACCTTAAAGTTCAGTGACTCCAGGAAACCTCTAATTTCCTTGTACCGCAGATACGGAGCATCCACTCTGCCATACGCTCCCTTGAGCAATTTGCAGATTTCGGTTGGCTTGAGATTCATGCGTGCACGCATCTCCTCAGGCGGTTCCAGTCCCAACAGTCTCTGGTCCTGCATGTTACCTCTCAAGAAGGCTGTTTTCACATCGAATGACCGGAGTTCCCATCCGTGACTTGAAATGAGTTGCAACAGCAGCATTCGAGATACTCGACCCATGGTGGGACTGTCCCTAGGTATTTCAGCTATTTGGGGGTCTTCATATCCTAGGACAACCAAACGGGCCTTGGCCTTTTTGTCCGGAGTAGAGTGCTGTCCCTGACCTTCTCCCACGGGTTTCCATGTCAGGATCCATCGGCATCTCATGACATTTTCCGCCGGGATGCGGTTGCGCAGAATTCTTGCCACGGTCTGAGTGTCAAGCCAGGAGGAAATTTCAGCGTCCTTCGCCTTTTGAAACTGTTTCCTTTGCTCGTCGTTCAGGTTAATCATTTTGACCTCTGCCCTTTGTCTCTTGGCGGCTGTGGCTGCAAAGCACATCTGTTCAGGTTGGGTTTCTCGCTTCCAGTGCTCAATGTCTTTTTGTGTGACAAAAACACTGCATTCCCAAGCGCACCCCTCTGGAATACTTATGCTTTCGGTTTCAACAAAGAGTTCATCAAAGTTATCAACAGGCACGGGAATTTGGCTTGCGTCAATATCCAGTGGTTCCTCCGTTGGCTGTGGCTGATCGGCTTTGGACTCGGAGCCATCTGATGTCTGACTGGACACAGGAGGTTCATGATCAGGCTGTTCGGCAGCACTCGGCCTTGGAACCTGCTCAGAACTACTACTGGGTATTGTTGTGGTTTCATCACGGTTTCCGCTGATTTCCCGGTTTGCCGAACTGCTGGATGCATCCTCTCGGTTCACACTCTGAGGGACTAATGACGGGCCCAGGTCTCGGAATTGCACAACCCCATTCCTCGATGCTTTGGCGGTCTCAGGGTTCACTTGTTGTTCCTGGTGTTGCCAATGCAATTCCATGGCTGACACTGTTCGGACATGTTCCGGTGCAATTCTGTACAGTCGACAATTTCCAGTGACCCACACCACGGAATTCCCTTCCTGAAGCACAACCTTGAGTGGTCCTTGCCAATGCCCATCACCGACTCCTTTGGGTCTCCAAATCATTACACTTTCTCCTGGTTGGTACACTCCTCGGTGAGGTCGGGTTCGGTGTACAATGGCTCTGCGAAGAGCTTGGTCATTGTCGACTTTCACAAATGCTCTGCGAGCACTTTCACGTCGGGCCAGCTGTGCACGGAATTGGATTCCCTCGGCTGACTCTTCTTCAGTTGCTGCATGGGCTGGGAGGCTCCAGTCTGACACCACTGACCCGGGCTGCCTGATCAATTTACCAAACACAAGGATTTCTGGAGGATACCCTCGAACTCGGGACCATTGATTTTTGGCACTGCAGGCATGATCCAGGGCAATTTGCATGTCTTCGCCACTCAGAATTGGTTCTTCTTGATGCATCCGGTCAAGAATATTTTGGAGGATTGCCCCATGACGTTCTACCTTAGCATTTTGCCAGTGGGCTTCCGTCGCAATGGTTTCTGATTGGATGTTGAACCTTTGCAGGAACTGTGAGAAATTCTCGGAGTTGAGTTCGGTCGCGGAATCTACACGTAATTGGCACGGTGACCCTGCCCACTGAATCCACCCTTGCAAAAGAGCTTTCTTGGCACTGTCAGTGGAATGATCTGGCATAAACACGGCTGTCTGATAGCTGGTGGACCAATCAATGAAATGATAGAAATGAAACGACTTCCCTTCTTTCGTTTGCCATCTGATTCCGTCCATGGACACTATGTCCCCAAAATCTAGATCGGGTTTGCAGGTCGCAGGTCTTGAAATCCGTGGCCTTTGGGTTTCCTGGCACGCTGAGCACTTCATGTCGGGTATGGCTGAGATCACATCGGATGACCACCCTTGCTGTCGCAGTATGGTCTGCAATTGTTGTGACCCAGGATGACCCAAATTCTTATGGATTTTCATGAGCAATTGCCGCTTGTCGGCATCTAGTTTCTGGAACAGGGGTCCATGTTGGTCATTGGTCAAATCTATTATTTCACGTGCATTAGGATCCATGGGTGCTCCCTGATTCACGATGGATGCTGGCTGCATCCCTGTGCTCGTCGGACGGCTTGCATCTGGCTCAGCCTTTGCACGATGCATGAATTCATTCTGCTCGGATTCTCTGCACGATCTGGGCTTGAGGACAGGCACCACTTCAGGCACGTTCTTCGCACGCCCAAAGGCGATGATGCACATTTTGGCCGGCAAAGTTTTCCTATGCATCTGCTTATAGGTAAGTTTCTCCCAGGGTTCCCACTCATTTTCCGCATGCACATGACCAAATTTGCGACGTACCAGTACCATTCTCCGAAGTGGTGCCTCTCCACTTGGCGTCGGTTCTGTAGGCTTCTGATGACGATCAGTTCCCCGGCACACTATCACGAATTTGACGGTCACATCGGGCCATTGCCGTTGTACGATTTCAACTAGGGGACCATCACGTATGGTCAAGCGTCCAACACGAGGTGCCTGTTTGTCCGCAACCTCAAACGCTTCATTCCAGGTTTCCCCCGATGAGACAGCGGGTTCCTCAATTTTCAGTCTCTTCTGACTGTTTGAGTCTGGCTGATCACCTGTTCTCTTGTGGTTGGCTTGTTTTCCCCAAATCCTCAATCGCTTACGGGCCGGTGGCTCAGGGTCTTCATTTCTTCCAATTTTCAGCGCATGGATAGGCCACTTACACGGACCTCTACTGTCCTGTGCCATGACACGGGCGATCTGTCGGGCAAACTTACGTGTTCAGTGAATGTTGACACATTGACCCGGTTTCCTTCAGCGATGGTTGTCCCTTGAATTGGCTGATGCTGATGCTCGTTTCGGCAGAAACGGTCATTTAGCATGTTCCACATCTGGTACTGAGTGGTCATGACACGCATCCGTTTCCGAAGGAACTTCAGTGTTACCGGATCCTGAAGATTTCCCACGACACACATGTCAAATCGACTGGCAAACAGTTCTGCACACGCCCTGTTCACATCAGGACACTTCCACATGGCTGATCCGTCGGGTTGTTCCCAGTGAAAATGCTTGCTGCACTGTTGTTGGTATTCCAAGAGAACCAACCCTAGGGCAATCTGCCAGCACTTATCACTTCGGCGTTGGCACAATTCCTCGAGACCATTTGCGGCGCGGGATGCATTGAACTGGGACCATTGACAGTATTCTTTGCATTCGGGACTATACCACACATGTCTGGGGTGGGCACTGATTAGTTGCACAAATAGCACTTCCCGACCGGCTTTGGTCTCCAGGTCAGCTTGCGATAGGCTCACACGGATGGCTTGGTGTCCGATCTGTTGCACCTGATGACACAATTGACTTTGCTCGGAGCAAAACACTTCCATCACCAAGCACTTGTTGCTGGAGCCTATTTTGCTTACTTGAGTGCCTTGTTGGATGTCTGCTAATTCCAGCTTGAACCTCTTGACCCATTTAGATATCAACCCTTTTGGGATTATGTGCGGATCCACCCTTGGCTTTTGACACTGTTTGGTTACGGAGTGGTCCATTTCTTCCCACAGGGTATCCGAGATAAATTCAGGTATTTCTTGTTTCGGCATTGATGCACTCACATTTTGGACACTGGCCTCCGGCAGAGTCCTCACTGCGGTTCCGTCACATGGCCACTGTTGGCTGTCAGGTTGCGTAGGTGTCCGATCACTTCCTGCAACGCATTCTCCATGTAGAGCATTCGACTCTGCAGCATGTTCATTTCCTCTCTGTTGGTGTGTTCTCCCGTCTCCTGCTCGACCAGGGCCTCCCATTCGTCCGGTTCCTCCTCCGGTAGTACTGGTTCTTCGTGCGAATGCATGGTCGAGTGTTGAGACATGCTTTTGGCCTTGGCTTTCGGATACCCTTTCGTGCGCAGGAATTGCACTGACTTGTCGATCACCTCCTTCTTCTCGTCCATTTCCATACGCAGTTGAACATAGCGAAGAAATTTCTGATGTTCTCTCTTTTCGGAGTTCTGGAAGCGGGAGACCACAAAGGTTGTCCACACCATGTCTTGGAATGCCTTGGGAAAGATCATGCCCTTCTTGGTGTCCCCGAAACTGATCACACATGTTTCCAGTTCCTCCATGTCCGCGATGGGTGTCTTTGAGTTGTCTTCCATGCGTTTCTGCATCATCTTGACACGGTGCGAGAGTGTGTTCATGGCTGCAACTCTGACGAAGCACACTTGGATTGCACTCACAGGGATTTGTGGCCGATGGCTGCAATGGTTCACTCATGTTTGCACTTCCAGACATGATGGGCTTATTAAAAAGGGTCCCCAATTGCAGTGCACACTCTGCGGAATCCTGTACATGTTCTTGCACGGCTGGGATCCTGGGTCTGTCCGTCCGGTCCAATGGTCTTGACTGCACTTGTTCGCGGCTCAGGACCTTTGTCTCGGTCTGGGGATCACATGTCATCAGTACAGTGCAGGCCTTCATTGCACTTGTCTGATCGCAGGCAGTCGTATGTCGACCACTCGGGATGGCTTTCTCGGCTGACACGAAATCACAGAAATCTACTAGGAAGAGATTGCGATTCGACAACTTCATGTGTATCTGCTTATGATATCTTCCCAGGTACAGCATCCGTTTCTTCGTGTCAACTACGGCTTCCAGTGCACACAGCAGGGAGTTTGAAATCAGGAATGGGGTTCTGCCAGGTACAATGGCTATTCTTGCACATGTTCCCTGGGCATCCAATGGGATGGTTAGTGCATGTTGACTGCGCAGGGTTTCCTGATTGCCGAACCGGAAAGTCATCTGACATGGACTTCGTCTTACTCGGCTGCGCACGATGTTGGGCAACCCTTGCAAAAACTCAGCAACCTGTGCACTCCCCATCACTGTTTGCGACGCTCCAAGATCCAGTACCCCTAGGGTTCCATTTGAGGCAAAGCACACATCATGGATGATACTGGTTGCACTCTCGGGGTATTCAACCTTTGATGGGGATTCATGGCACAGTTTCCTGAAGCTCAGATCATTGGCGGGTCTCAGGATTTCACGAAGTTTCCTGCGCTGGGACCAGTCACTTTGGTCAGGCCTAGGATGCTTCATCAGTGTGCTTGTGACTAGGGCTTCCTGACACTTACTTATCTGCATTGTCTGTTTCAACCCGTCCTCAGTCAATGCCATCTCCGGTACCGTCAGCAAAGCCTCAGGCATCTGCTCCTCGATGGACACTGCCGCATAGGTGGCTGGTGCCGTCGGTGTTGTTCCCGTTGTAGTGGCTCCAGCTCCTCGGTTGGGGCATTCGGCTTTCCAGTGTCCTTTTCGTCCACATAGTCGACAATTGGTTTCACTGATTCGTTGTGCAAGTGTCTTCTTTCCAAAGCCTTTGCCCTTGCCGATGCCCTTGCCCTTCTTTCCCGACCCTTTTCTGGTCGGCCAGAAACCTCTGAATTTCGCTCGGTCATTCAGACGTTTCCTTGCGTCTTAGTAGGCACTGTAGTACGTCGCCAGCTCCTGGTCATTCTGGATGGACTCAGTCACGGCCTCTTCGAATTGCGTGATGAGCACAGCGTCCTCGTCACCTTCCATGGCCAAGGTCTCCAGCATCTCGTCCTCATTCGTCTCCGTGACATAGATCTCCTCGTCATCGTTCTCGATCTCCTCCTCTGCCATGAGAGTGGCCTGGTCGTAGACCTTTGTTCGATTCTTCTTCTGCCCCGTGTAGTCCTGGAAGAAGCTGGTGCCCAGCATGCGAACCGCGGCGGTCACCTTCTCCATCGTGAGCGTCACTTCCTTCTCCGCGCCGCTCTCCACCAGCACCCGTTTCTTGTCCTCGCCCGCCAGGTTACTGTTCCTCAGCGTGATGTAGGCTTGTAGCTGTGGTAGATCCATCTTCTTTTGTAGCAACTCCGTCCACGCGATGTCAGCTCTGGCCAGGTAGGAGTCGTTCGTCTCATCCGGCTTCTGCTGAATCTTGTGCAGCACCTTCTCGGCGAGCTCGAAGCGCTTCTCCAGAGGAACCTGACCCCAGGTTCCGCCCACGATCTCAATCAACCTCCTGACCGCCTTGAGATCGTTGGATTGAAGTTCATCTCGATGAAGCTGCAACTTCTGGAAGGCCGTCCCGGACGTGTTGAGGATGAGCCTCATCACCAACTCGCTCAACTTCTCCTTTGGCCAGACTCCAACCAGTAGCTCCACCTTCTGCGACCAAAGCTCCACGTTGTCCTTGGCCGGATCAAAACTCGGCACGAGCGACGACATGAATGTCGCCGTTCCACCTCCTGAGCCTGTAGCTCCCTCCTCCATGTTGTTGTCACCGCCCTGGCCTATCGACCAGCGGCTCCGCTGCCAATATCAAAACTGGCTTCGTTCCCAGGGTGCCTCACCCTTCTCCTCCGCCCCGCTGCCACGCTCCTGTTTGGCTTCCACCACAAAGCTCATCCGCGCCCACCCACCCCTGAGCCTGTCGGCCACGGTAGGTCCTCATAGATACACTGGCACAAGCGAAGGTGGTGCTTTCACAATATATATATACATATAATTCATATATATATATATAATATATTTACATATACACGATTCCAGTCTGCAGTGAGGTTTTGACCTGAAGTTGGATCCCTCTAGATCAATTCCGAGTCTTGAGAAGGCACGTGTCAGGAATGGTTTTGCGCCAATGGCATGCTGACTAGTTTCCACTGTGTCATACACAGGATGCACAAAGAACGCACGCGCGAAAGGGGGTTTCTGGACCGCAGCATTATGCACACATCTCATGTGTGCATTGCCGGCGTGTAGCCTCAGAAAGCGGAGTGATCGGAATCCACGATGCAGCAAATTCAAAAGGTGCTCTGGCAAAGAGAAATGTGCTCAGCACCTCAAGACGTTAAGATCAAGCCCTTTTTTAACGCCATAAGCCATCCTGAGCCACATGGATCCTTTGGCAGCTGCGGTTGCGCGCTTTGGGTATACTGCAGGGTGGCGTGATCTGCACATGGGCGCATGTCCATGTGACACCTGTAGCAGTTTAGCATGTCGGTTGTTGCTTCGCTGCACTCTTTGTGTGAGGCAAGCACCAAATGCAATGACCATGCAGTGATACAATGGCTTGGTCTTGCTTCGATTTTCGTGGCAGGGCCACTTTGTTGTCTCGTGCTTTGCAAACCAAACAAATCACAACCAAACAAATCACAAGTTTGACAAGTCCAGATTCGAGCAACACTTTGCTCTTCCATTTTCTTTTTAGACTAACATGGAAGCTCCCAGAAGGCCTCTGTAAATGGAACCAAGTCTTCCAAAGGGGTCCGTTTGGGAGCTTGCATGAGCTTGCATGAGCTTGCATGTTAGTCTGGGGAGTGTGGAGCGGTTTCGAGCCCATCGGGCCCGGAGGCAGCTGCCTGAGCCGCAGCTCATCCAGGACCGCTGCGCGGCGCTGGCCGCGGCGGTGCGCCAAAAGCTCGCCGAAGGCTCCGAGCCGAGCTCCCGAGCTCCCGGCCCAAGCAAGCGAATCACGTCTTCCAGAGTCGTTTTGTACTTGTTTGACTTGTTTGACTTGTGTTCAAGAGCATTGCAGCATGGTTGAAAACAAGCTTTTGAAAGAACGGGAAAGGTCTTAAAAGACAGTTCAGTTCATGGTTTAGGGACACAAAGACATGTGCCCGAGTCAACTGAAGCGCTTGGAAGTGCACAAGTGCACTCAGCGCGATCCGAGGGAAAACGGGAGCCCTGGTTGTCGATCCTGATTCTTTTGGGAAAGCAAGGAGAGACTGTCATGAATGCTGATGTGAGCAGGGTGTCTAAAGTTGCCCTAACGGATCGTTCCCTCGGATACCTGTGCCCGGCGGAAATTCGTGGCGAAGGTGAGGAAGAGCTGCAACAACAGCTACAGGACCAGCGTGAGCAGCTGCAGGCCTTGCAAATGCAGCGCCTTGGCATGCAACTTCGAGAGTCAGTTGACATGGCACTACTCGCAAATCGAAAATTGATGGCGGGTTTGATTTGGGAGAGGCTCAGAGAGCGGCCAGGCAGCAGATGCGCTTCAAGCTGGCGCTGGACTGCCGGGTGAAGGCGCAGGAGTACTCGCTGAGCAAGCGGCACAACGAGCAGCTCATGCAGCTGCAGCAGCACTCCCAAGCACGGCGAGCGCAGTTGGAGCAGCAGGCCTGCGATTTGGGCGGTTTTTCTCGTGGAAATCGAGCTGCGGGCTGCGAGCGTACTGGTGCGATTGCTAAACAAAGCGCGCATTTTGCCATGCCGAGCTGAGGCCACCTCCCTGATCCTGGAGTTTCAGCAGCGTGGCTCGGCGTGACGGCGTGAGTGTGTGCGAAACGAGTCGAGTGCGTGCAGACCGTCCCAGGCAAGTTGCAGGAGGAGTTTTTGGTCCATCAGAAGGAGATCCACGAACAGCACCAGGACGCCCAGCACAGGCAGGACTCGGACTCCAGCCAAATTCTGCCCGTGCCGGGCGGCAGGCTGGCCATGGAACTGAAGAAGCTGGGCGCAGGACGGGCCTGACCTTTGCATTTCCGATCCGTCGCACGTCCTCGGACCGCAGGAGAGCCTGGGCCATGGCCGTGCAGCCAGGCGCTGTTCCGTGGTTCTCGCTCGGCGCGGCTGAGCGGCCTGTCTCTCAGGCTGCGATCCCTCCCGGTGCCGCTGGCGGTCCCGGCACATGGCAGGCGCTGCATTTTCAGAGTCCGCGACTCGACGCGACTCGACTGGTTTAGTGCCAGGTGGCCTATCCCAAATCTTCAAACGGCGCTGCGAGCTGCTTGGCGGAATGATGCCGCAGCTGCTGCCTGAGCGATGTGCTTCTGTGAGCATGTCAGGCGTACAGCTGCCCATCGGCATGCCAAAGATGCGGTCAATGTCATGGATTGAGCAAAAAGTCAATGCGAGTCTTCTTTGTTGGGGCTTGCCGTACCTCACCGCAAAAGCATGGCAGTTGATACGCACGTGTTCTTGGATGATTCTTGTAATATCCGGAACAACTAGATTTCATCATGGAACCTAAATGCTTGAGGAACCACCGAACTTAGTTGCGCAATTGCATCAGTATGCATTGGCGACCTCGTGAAGTTGTGTTCTATGATTGTCAATAAATTTCAAAGGATTTTCATGATGCAACCATGAGTTCTTGTGAGGGGTGCATCACGTGAGCATCACAAGTGCCACGGCTGTGCTGGGCCTGCCAAGAAGCAAGACGTTGGAATCGCGACTTTCTAACTATCTCAGATATACAGGCACCCCGAGCGCTCAAGTTGCAAGTTTCACGGATTCGCTGTTTTTCCAAAGATGTGGCAGATGCCATGCTGACGCGTGCGAGCTACATATTTCAAGAGCATTCGAGCTGCTGGCTTTGATGTGGTGTGAGAGAGACCTCGCCAATCTTGTTGTCAACCCGATGTTTGCTGCGTTGGGATCGCGTCCGGGGAGTCTGTGTTCATCAGTCATAGTGGTACCGATCCCCAGGAATCCCCACCGCCCATAACACTGGCAAAAATGACTGGGTACCAGCAAAACTGTCAACGGCACGTCAGAGCGAAGTGTGTGTGTGTGTGTGTGGGAACTTGTCCTCTCAATTCAAGATTGTGCAGGAGTCCTGCAGGATGCAGATATTGTGATTCTGTTTCCACTGCTGGCTCAAAGCTTTGAAGCTTCATTTTGATGCTTTGCATTCAAACTATGTCTTACACAGCAGAGAGTAAGCTCAAGCAAGCAGGTCGTTCACATCCAAGCTTTCTCCTTTCTGCAGCCCACTTCTGAATGCCACTTCCTGCAGAGACATAGGAGGATGTGAAACAGGCGCCAAGCACAAGTTTGGAAAGACACAATCCAGAAGGATCAGTGCCATTTCCGTAGCCACCAGAATGCAAGACGCGTGCGAAACCACCTGGTTTGCCGCCGGATGTTGAGTTCCGGCCTTCTTGCAACACATGCGCCTGTTAATGCGCGAAGGCCAGATCCGTCAATGACCCTGGCGCATGGGCTTTGGTTCGGTTTTTCGCAGCACGGGGGACCAACTGGATTCAGATTCGTTTTGCGAGCCACACCCCAGCTGTTTTGGGTTGACCGGTTTTTTGGGCCCTTCCAGCATTCCAAGAGTTGCATGTGGCTCAGCAGGTTGGCTGACGGGCCGTCGACCCGGAAGGCCAGGAGTTGCATGGCCGAGCAAAGCAGAGCGTGTGGCACCGTTGGCTACTTTGCTGCACTGCTTGTGAGCAGGTTTCATGGTGGAGTGCGCTCCTCAAATGAAATCACATGCAACATGCAGCGCACAGAGGGGAAGGAACTTGCTTGCATTGCGGAAAAAGAAGGCCGTGCACGGCGACCCTTCACAAGTGGGCGCTCCTGGTTGACAACAGGCAGGATCGCGCCCTTCCTTCTCTTTTTGCTCGCAAAGTGTTGCACGGAACCCGAGGTGCGGCCACCTTGGGTGCTGTGTGTGCACAGAGTCTGGTCCTTCTGTCGGACTCCCGGCTTGGCACACGTCACGCTTGGCATATGTCACGTGACTCAGGCCGGCCCGCTTGGCTCGCGCGAACGAGGACGGCTGGGCCCGCCATTTCACGCATGGCTTTGCGGGTTTATCCCAGGCGCCGGACGTCTACAGCAAGGCCGGAGATGTCCGGTGTGTTCGATCGAGGCAGATGCTATGGACCTGAAAAGTGGAACAATTCGCCTTGGGCCGCTGCGGGTCTTTTTTTAGCTTTGTTGCATTGCGAACGTTCGAGTCTTGGCCCTGTCATTTTCTTGTTCCAATCCACAAATTTGTGCTTTGTTTCCTGGACAACTTTTCCCTAGAATTGGCTGGAGCAAGGCTTGGGCTAGGCACTGCCTATCCACTACAGGTCCCAAGGTTGTTCTTCTTTCCAATTCCCGAGACCTGCCACGTGGAACTGCAATATCGGTGCTGCCGACCAGAGCCTGTAAGGCTGAGTGATCATTCTTCAGGTCTGAGGAATTGGTCAAACTCGACTTCCGAATTCAGCTTCTAAAAGTCAATCCATGCGCAAGGGAGTCAAGAAGGTGACTGTGGGGCTCCAGGCTGAGCTTGCCTTACTGAACGTGAAGGAGCTGAAGAAGCTCTGCAGGCAGAGGCGCTTTGAGAGACGCCCTGAAACGGTGAAGCTCTGTTTGTCTTTTTCAAGTACCGAGACAGCCGCGAGTGAGCGGAGGGCATTGGCCACAAACTGAGGAAGCTAAAGGTGACTGGCAACAAGGCGGACTTGGTGAAACGCCTGGACCAGGACCGCCTGCAAGCCAAGCCGGCAACATGCTTGTAGCAAGCAAGCTCATGTGGGTGCGCGTAATGCTGATAATGCAGGCAATGCCAGGGATGCAGCATGCAAAAAGCCAGTGTTTCTTGATGTTTTCCAAAATTAGCCGCTAAAAATGGATCCCCTGCGCCTGCCAAGACCCCAAAGAAGCCAAACCCAACATCGCTCAAAACAGCAGAACACCATCGGTATCTCAAAAAACAACCACAAAAGTGATGCCGCCAAGACAGCCCTGATAATGCTGAGAATGCAGATCCCCCCCCTCTCGTGGAGACCTAGACAAAAAGCGCGTTTGAAGCATTCAAAGGCCTTAAACACTGGAAAACTACAGGGTTTTGGACACCCGTCAAATTTTGCCCAATGGTCTCCCCAAAAGCCTTCGGCTTTAAAGACAAATCCAAAGGAAGAGCAAGTTGCGGATTGCCATCTACACGCTCGACTGGCGTCGGCGGATTTGCATCGTTTTAGGCCTCAACAATTCTCAGACTTGTACAGTTTGGGTATCTTGCTTTATGGGTGCTTGCGAGACGCATGGCCGCCAAACAATCATACCACCGTCACACCACTTCAGCGACGACATTGCGACAATGGTACTGGCACCAACGAGACCAGTGTGAATATTTCCTTGAACATGATGCAAAAGCCCAAGCCTGACAAAAGCTGTGGACCCAGTTCCATGGAGCGTTGCCACTGGTTGCTCTGGCCTCTCGCTACCGTGTCATGGGTGTTGAAACACCGCCACCCACATCGCAAATTGAATGACTGGCAAACTTACGTACCACCCACTGCACCCCATACTGCAAGGACATACACACACGCGCGCACGCGTACGCACACTCACACCCACAAAGACATAGAGACACACACACACAGAGACACAACGAAAGACACACACAGAGAAGACACCGATGCAGAAACACAGACACGCAGACACGCAGAGCACAGACGACAGGCCAAACACAAACGCACAATAGCACACACACACACACCTCACACAAACATATACAAATACACACACACACACTCAGACGCACACAGACACACACACACACACAAACAGACACACACGCACCCACCCACACACCCACCCACCCACCCACCCACCCACCCACCCACCCACGCACGCACGCACGCACGCACGCACGCGCCCACCCACCCACCCACGCACGCACGCACGCACGCACGCACGCACGCACGCACGCACGCACGCACAGACACACACACAAACACAGACACACGCAAATACACACACACAACACACACACACACCCACACCCACACCCACACCGACACCCACACCGTGTCACCCACACCCACACTCACACCCACACCCACACCCACATCCACACACACACACCCAAGCACACGCACAATCACGGACAAGCACACACGCGCACCCAAACGCACAATCACAAACGCACACACACACACACACACACACACACACACACACACACACACACACACACACACACACACACACACACACACACACACACACACACACACACACACACACACACACACACACACACACACACACACACACACACACACACACACACACACACACACACACACACACACACACACACACACACACACACACACACACACACACACACACACACACACACACACACACACACACACACACACACACACACACACACACACACACACACACACACACACACACACACACACACACACACACACACACACACACACACACACACACACACACACACACACACACACACACACACACACACACACACACACACACACACAAGCAAGCACAAACAAACACAAGCACACAACTACGCAAACACAAACACACACACATTCCTGCGCCTCCTAGCGAGTATGTTTCGCAAGTTTATGCTCTCCTACGAAGTTTACAACAAATGCTGCAAGTTAGTTCTAAAAAGCGCTTGCTTCGCTTCCGTTGCACACGCGGATGACACGCGTGGACATGTTTATGCACTTCGGGAGCTGTCGAGCCAAAATATTGAGAGATAGGAGTGAACATTGCCATGATTCATGTCCAAGCTTCGGGACACATTGATAACATACTACGTGTATTGGGAAACATATATTTAACACGAGTCCTGCAAGCAAGATCAGACATATTGCAGGTAATAGCCTGTAACGGTACTGCATGGCAGTGATGCTGAGATCGCCGCATCATCCTCTCTGGGTTTGCGGACTTTTGGAGCTTGTGCTGCCATTTGCTGGCTATTCTTCTTCATGCCTTTTCCTCTCTTCCCGTTCCTCTCTGTCCCCCCGACCGGTTTTCAGACGCTGCAAGACAGGTGCGCGTGCAGAACGCATGTAACAAACCAGCACGGTGCTTCGCAATGATTTTCCTTCTCCTCCTACTCCTCTTCCTTTTCCTCATCCTCATCCGCATCCTTCTGCTGCTGCGGCGCTGTCATTGAAGATGCGCCCAGCGTTGCCGTTGCCAGCCATTGATGGCATGGTGGTTGCCTTTGATATTGATGCATCGCTGTTGCTGAGTTTAGCTATGCCGCTTTGTGGATGGGAATGCTTTGTTTGTCAATTGTGATTCTTGGGCCAGTTCATGGCTGGGCTGAAGCAGGCGCGGACGCGGTGGCCAGGCAAATTTGGATGATTGCTTGGCCTCAATCCCCGATCTTTGCGGAAGAATAGGCAAAGCGACACATGGCTTGATACAGTCAGCTCAAGATGCATGGATGTATGGCATTCATTTCACTCGGCATGATTTGCGAGGCGAAATCTCGCTGTGGCATGTAGTTTGTTCCGGCATTCTTCTCAAAGCACCTGTGCGCTTGTTCGCATGTTCATCGCAGGAACTTACAGGCCTGATAGGCTGCCCAGACTTTCTTGCTTGTAGCATAGCCAGGCAGCAATGCCTGAGTCGGAGACGCCTGAATCAGACGAGATGCCTGAGCCAGACGAGCCTGAGCCAGAAGTAGGCTATACGAAGGCTCTTTGGGTGAACAGAATGCAGCGTTTGCTTCGGCATTTCAGGCGCAGCGGGAGATGCTGAGATTCAGCCTCAAGGAGTTGCAGGAGCTCTGCAAAGAAAGGCGCTCCACGCCCATTGGCATGGCGTCTTTCAACGACTCAGCTGCTGCAGGGGCCTGGCAAGCGAAGGGGCGAAGGTGGACCTCGTGAAGCGCTTGGCGCTGCGGCAGGCGGGTGAAGCAATCCAGTCAGCGGACAGAGCGACGGACTTGAGGCTGAGGAGGCAGAAGCGGAGGCGGAGGCTGAGCAAAGCCAGCTTCCAGATGGCAGGCTCATTTGCATGTTCAGATCAACTAGTCACTCTTGCTTGTGCCATGCTCAGATCATGAATGAAAACAAGATAGCTTTGCTAATGTGTGACTTGCTGCAGGAGTCATTTAACCAAAGAAGATCGCTTTATTCAGGTGGGCCTGAGTCGCCAATAGGGAGAATCGAGAGTGCAGTTGGCTTTGCCTTGTCTTGCTTGCTTGCTTTGCTGGCTTGCTGGCTTGCTGGCTTGCTGGCATGCTTGCTTGCTTGCTTGCCTGCTTGCTGGCTGGCTTGCTTGCTTGCTTGCTGGCATGCTTGCTTGCTTGCTTGCTTGCTTGCTTGCTTGCTTGCTTGCTTGCTTTGCTTGCTTTGCTTGCTGGCTTGCTGGCTTGCTCGCTCGCTCGCTCGCTCGCTCGCTTGCTTGCTTGCTTGCTTGCTTGCTTGCTTGCTTGCTTGCTTGCTTGCTTTGCTCGCTCGCTCGCTCGCTCGCTTGCTTGCTTGCTTTGCTTGCTGGCTTGCTTTGCTTGCTTGCTTGCTTGCTTGCTTGCTTGCTTGCTTGCTTGCTTGCTTGCTTGCTTGCTTGCTTGCATGCTTGCTTGCTTGCTTGCTTGCTTGCTTGCTTGCTTGCTTGCTTGCTTGCTTGCTTGCTTGCTTGCTTGCTTGCTTGCTTGCTTGCTTGCTTGCTTGCTTGCTTGCTTGCTTTGCTGGCTTGCTGGCTTGCTGGCTTGCTGGCTTGCTGGCTTGCTGGCTTGCTGGCATGCTTGCTTGCTTGCTTGCTTGCTTGCTTGCTTGCTGGCTTTGCTCGCTTGCTCGCATGCTTGTTTGCTTGATTGCTTGCTTGCTTGCTTGCTTCCTTGCTGGCATGCTTGCTTGCCTGCCTGCCTGCCTGCCTGCTTGCTTGCTTGCTTGCTTGCTTGCTTGCTTGCTTGCTTGCTCACATGTGTTTGTCCATTTGGCTTGATTGACCATTTCATGAATTGATTGGCCGCTTGATTGACAGGTGGTTGTGTTGATTTGAATAATTAATTGATTGATTGAATTGATTTGATTTAATTGATCTTCTCATTGATTCATCTCATTAATTCCTTCCATCATTGATTCCTTCCCTCATTCATTCATTCATTCATTCATTCATTCATTCATTCATTCATTCATTCATTCATTCATTCATTCATTCATTCATTCATTCACTCATTCTTCATTCATTGTGTTATGCATTGATTCACTAATCTCATTCATTCATTCATTCATTCATTCATTCATTCATTCATTCATTCATTCATTCATTCATTCATTCATTCATTCATTCATTCATTCATTCATTCATCATTCATTCATTCATTCATTCATTCATTCATTCATTCATTCATTCATTCATTCATTCATTCATTCATTCATTCATTCATTCATTCATTCATTCATGTGGTTGGGCCATGTGTTTCTCCGGCTCGAGGCCATCAAAGGTGACGATGTTGACGTCAAGGCGCTGGAGGCATCCGCAGCTGTTGCCAGGTTTTGCATTCTTTGCGTCACATGCCGCATGCCCACCAGGAGATCTTCAACATGCCAATGCCCCAACCGGGAGAAGTGGTGACCGCGGGATGCTGAGAAGCTTGTTTGGCTACAGTTTCATTCGGGTCGTCTGAGGGCACGGTCACCTCACTCGTGGAGTGGGGAGCTTTCGTTGAGCTACACAGCAGCGGCTGGCTGGGGCTGATCCACATCTCCGAGGCTGGAGCAGTTGCAGCAACTGAAGTTTCGGATATGCCTCAGCATTGGTCGGGCGTCCACGTTGGCCGTTGTGGTCTTTTAGCTTCACAGAAAGCTTGCAAGAAGACATGGTTGTCAGATCAGCGACGTCTTCGTTGAGAACATTGAGGATTACATTTGCCCTGGACAGAAGGTAGAGGCCAGAATGAGCGGATCACGTTTCTCCAAGCACGGAGCGGATGTCGCATGTGAGGCTTTGGTGATTCAGAGCCAGATGGACCGGGTGGACAGGTGGAATTGTTTGAAGCTGGAAATCAGCTTCAATCCGTATTGCATGCTGCAGGATCTCTTTATCCATACGCCGCTTAAAGGATATGGCGAAGTGCTCACGCCATGTTTTTTTGTTTTTTAAATAGACTTTCTTGCCCCTTCCCACAAGGTTGTAAGCGGCTCACATTTTTTGCATGACGCTACTGGCTGCGTGCAGTGAGTCGTGAATCCGAGCATCAATTTTCTGTTATGCCTCCTGCGGGTACGTTGACGCTGATTGAGGTACGATCCTCAAGCTCTCGCATCAATGCAAGCGATGCCGACTCAAGCAAGGTCGAGAGTTGCTATCTGGGCTGTTCTGATCAACTCGCGTCCGCAGGCCCAACTATGTCCGTGAGGAGGATTTGGTGGCTCTGCAGGACAGCCGACTTGGGAAGGCCATCTAAAGATGGAGGGAATCATTGTACATCAAGGAAGCGAGATGGCGTTTTGCATCTTGCGGCATTTTGTGCTGTGAACCGAGAAGGCCGTTCTGTTCGCAGCAATGCCGTCAGTGATTTTCTGCTTTGGCCAGGAGCGCGTCACAGCCCTGGAGGCCATCATCATTGAGATGGGCCACGGCCAGGCGAATAGATACGTATCCTTGACTGATTCGCACCTTGAAACGTAGGTGAAATGATGTTGCAGAAAGGCCGCGGATGGCGTCAGAAAGTCAGGCGCTGCGCGATGCCCGCTGGGATGCCAGCAGCTCTGCTCGTAGGTGGGATCTCAGGGGGCCTTTCTCACCGGCTAACGGGTCTCACATCAGGAGCCGTGTGTCCGAGCTGAACGACGTGCTGGCCGAGCCCGAGCCCGTGGAGCCCGAGGAGACCTCGCCGCACAGGGCTTAGAGTTCATGGGGCAGGCAACCGCGAAGCTGTGGCAAGCGAGGTCAACAGCCGAGCTGCGAGAGAAGGCTGCCAGCTTAGATCTCGCAGGCTTACACTTGCAAGCGTGAGTCTTCAGTGCTGACTGAGATCCCATGTCGGAATGTTGATGTCCACGGAAGCTTGAAATGCCGAGTCCGCAATTGACAACATCCTCAAAAGCTTGTTCGAGGGCAGTTGGCGCCTCGGCACTTTCAGTATCCAGCTGCAAATATACTTGAGCCAAGGTGAAGATGCAGCAGATGGCGACGACTCTGACCTGGTTGGGGCGCCTAAATGACGATTCCACCTCTCTTGTGACGTGCGAACGTACCCATGCCAGTTGCCGCCCTTGGCTTGAGGTTGATGATGTGTTTCGTGTAGAGCAGCACACATGAATTGTTTTGCGACACTCAACACTCACCGACATAGACACCTCGTTCCAGAGTGTCACTTGTCATTTCGGGTTTTCATGGTTGGTTGGCGCAAGCTCCACGCCAGGAAAATATGGAGCCAGGTGCCACCAGACTGCCGGCCTAGAAAAAAGAGCGGCTCGCAAGTTGTATGCATGACGTTGCGAGAGGCGAAGGCAGAGCTTGTGCAGCTTGCGCACCTCGGCCATTTCCAGCATCACAGAGGCATTGGGCTCATTGGGCCATGGACGACATTACACTCTCAGGGAACAGAAGGGCATGCGTGAGCCAAATGAGGAATGCATCGTCTGTCAGGCTTGAGGCAAAGTTGAGGTCGGCGAGAGGTAGGAGGCCATGACGGGATGGTTCCCATGGTGCCGGAGCGGCGGTCTGTGGCCTGCCTTTCGCAGGTCCTTGGCCGGAATCTCAGAAACGAGGTCTGAACATGTGGGATTTGGGGAGAAGTGGTCAGACAGTGAGACTATCATGGCACCCAAGGCGGGGAGCGCCACGCGGTGTCCCTGGAGCACTTGGCAACTTGCAAGAAACATGGCGTGTTCTTTTGCCTCAGTTGCCTTGGTTAGTGCACAATCAAGTATGCACTTGTTCAAGCAGCGCACATTCATACGCTAAAGCTTGTGGCGTCTCTCTCTCTCTCTCTCAAAAAAGCCACGGGATCCTCACTTGGCGGCCCATTTGGAGGTTCACTCTTGGCCGTTTTCCTCATCTCCCATAGCTTTGGGCAGCGGCCATGCTGTGTTCATAGCCTGATCATTTTTTGCGTGTCACAAGCTCACCGCTAAGCGAGCTCACATGATAGATGTCAAAGGAATATTCACGCCGATCTTTTTGTATCGAAGCTATCAAAGGCTTTGTAAGACCAGCGATCATTTGATTTGATCAAACAAACAAGCCAACAAAGAAACGAGCAAGCTCGCTAAAGGCAGTAGGTCAATGCTGAACACAATAAGACAATGTAAAACATACTTTGGCCGATACAACAAACACCATGACGGCTCCACCTCAAGTTCGCCTGTAAAGAACTCTGAGAGCTGGAAAGGCTGGCCTTTGTGATCGCGAGACGGTGGCAGAGGCTTTACGCCCCCACCTGCAGCGTCTGCAAGAGGCCTGGTGTCAAAAGAGCGAGAGAGAGAGAGAGAGAGGGAGCCAGTGCAATTGAGCCGTTTCGCAGCCAGGGCAATTGAGTCGTCTTTGCTTCAGGCTGAAGCGGCTGAGATTCCAAGGCTTTGGGCCTCCTTGGAGCACGCGGCCTTGGTTCTCTCAGAGCTGACCGGCGAGGAGACTTCGGCTCTGGCGCTCAGTGCGGCCGACCGCGAGCGCGCCCCTGGCGCTTCGAGCGAGTCGCGAGCTTCGAGCTGGGAGAGGGACGCCACGGCCACGCTGGACGCCCTCGCCAAAGGCGCGCCCGCTGCAGCCTGGGCCTCCCGGCTGGCGTACTGTGTCCAAGTGGAGGCCCATGGCGGTTCCAAGTCGGCGTCTGCCTGTGCGCAGAGATGGCTGCAACGAAGCCTCCCTGTCCTGCCCTGGATTTTAGCCTGGCTGATGGTGCCAGTCAACCTGGCGGCGCTGCGGCAGGTGCGAGGGGCACTGGAGTTCTGCGAGGATGCCCAGGCTCTTTCGCAGCTCCGAGATGTCTTTGTCACCGCTTGCACGCTTTTGCTGCGGGCCGCCTGGTTCCAGACGGCGCCGGGGTATAGTCATGCCGTTGCGTGGTTGACCTCTGTTCTCGTGGCTGCACATGAGGCGTGCCAGATACTCTTGCCCGAAATCCCAGCTGGGGCTGTGGCAGCAGCCATTGCTGTGTCTGGCCCTTGGAGCACTGAGATTCAAAGTCCACCCTGGGAAGCAGTACTTGGCGAACCTGCCTTTGCGCTGCACATCTGTGCCCTGCCCGGCCTATCTTCGGAGCCCACCTGTGCACCTGCTCCAGACGAGCTGTCCGATGCCGTTGCACGGGCGGTACATCAGGAGGTGACTCGGGTGACGGAGTCGGACAGACTCCCAGGCCGGGATTGTGGGGCGCACGACTGATACTGCTCTGCCTTGCAGGCGAAGGTTGGCCTGGAAAGATTGCGCCCCTCTTGCTTCTTTTTCGGCTATTGCCAGATGCAGGCAAGGCGCCCTTGGATGTCTGATAGGTTTCAATCGATGCAAGCTGTGCTTCTGAGGAGGATCGCCTCTACTGGCACAAGCGAGGCTGATGGCTCTGCGAGCTCTGAGATCATCAAGTCAGGCGTGACTTGCGTCTTTCAAGCTTTGGCCTTGTGTCCTCTTGTCTACGGCGTCAGGCAGTCACGGAGAACCAGCTCTTTGACTTCCTGCAAGATGAGTGCGGTCATGGCCACACAGTGCTGAGGCACCTGGCCGAAGTGCTTCGCGCGCGTGACAGCGCAGCCAGAGGAGTGTTTAGGGTGACATTGATCAGCGCGGCTGCTGCTGCTGGCCTGGGCTTGCAAGCCTGTGAGTCACCTAACTCACTCTGTGACTTCATCCGCAGCGAGCAAGATGGCTGGGCGGAGGCATACCTTGCCCAATACCCCCACCGCAGACTGGTCTGGCAGCCCCTGGGAGAGGCTGAGATCTTGTGGCGCCATGCGAAGGGCGAGACGCTGCTCGTCCTCTCAGAGCCCCAGGCGCACGCCCTGCTCTCCGTCGCACGCCTCGAGCTGCCGGAGCTGCCGGAGCTGCCGCTGGCGGAGCCCTGGGCGGCGCTGGCAGGGCCTCTGGGGCCGCTGGAGCTGGACGTCGACGCGCGCGCAGTGCGGCTCCGCACGGCCTGCGATGCCCCGCGCCTGGATCTGACCACACTCCCGGAGATGGTTCGCGCCAAGGACCCGCACTTTGCGCATCACTTCGTCTCATTGTGCCTCACAAGACTCTTGTCCGGCTATTGCTGGCCAATGTGCAAGGCCTTTTTCCAACAGAACATTTTCCATTCGTTAGCTATGACTCTTTCGCAGAGTGGGACCAAGGGTCCTAGCTGCACTACTCAATTGTGTTTTTTTGGCATTTGGACTTTGCGCAGCGATCTGGTGTCAGATAGCTTTGCGGTGGGCACAGACTACAGCTTCTCTTGAGCATCTAGGAGGGACATGAAGCTAGGTTTTGCTATTTCCAGGCAGGGGAATTGGCGCAACGCCCCCGTTTTGCTACTTGCAGCTGCATCTTGCACACCTGCGGCGGGCTTGAAGCACTGAATCGAGGCCCGTGCCTGCCGTGCCCAAAACACGACAGACAGCACCACAGTGACGGTGCCCTGGAAGCCAAGCTTTCCATTTCGGCCTACCAGCCTATGCAATTACTCGCCTGCCGACAAGGAAAGGGTCATAGCAGAACACACCGAAGCCACGAGAACCAACAACGCCAGAAAGCATCATGGAATGCGGGACAGCAACACGTAGCTAAGGGCTACAAGAACGATGGAAAGAGGTCGACATGCAAAACCAGAGAAGGGGAGATGCAAAAGAAGCAGGGTATGCTTTGCAAGTAGGGCGTGAATGTGTGTGGCTGGCCATCGGGGATATGTTTGGCTATGGAAGAGATCATATTCTAAAGGCACATTCACGATCGACAGGTGGCCACGCTTGAAATCGTTTTCCTTCGTGCCTTTCTTCGGGTGAAGCCCGTTGCAGGTGGTTCCGCCGTACTTTGGGCAGGCTTCTTTGTTGAAGCCTATGCTCTTAGCATGCGCGATGCTCTTGGCGTATCTCGCATACTCCATATTCTTCCCTGTGACCCTTTGACACACTTGCCAGCCTGGTCTTAATTCTTCTAGTTTGTATCTTTGCTTTTGACATCTGCAGGAGCCAGAGAGGTCCCGAGAGGTTCATGCACCAATCGTCGATGCCGCCTTGGTGCGAATACTCAAGCACCTCAGCAACAATTTGTAAGGCCCAGACTCGAGCTGCGAATCGACATAATGTTTGACTACCGTGTTTAGGCGCTTCCACGTGCTGACTGTTGAAGAGGTGCTGGTCAAACTGGCAACATATCCTGACTGCCTTGAGATGCTCAGCACTTGGCGACGCATTTCATGAGCGCTTGCAACGAGGGGTTTGAGTTTTTTGGTTTTTGGTGTTCCGAGTTTTAAGCTCCTGATGTCACTGAGGCCTGGGCTGACCTCACCGGCCTTCGCGCTCGCACGTGCCGCCGCAGAGGAGTTTTTTCCGGCATGCAGCTCGCCTTTCCGTGGCCGGCGCTCGTAGCTGTCGGGCGAAGCTCGAGGACGGCGAAGCGCTGGGCCGCTTGCGGTCCTTGTGCGCCGATGCCTCATGCGCTTGGCAAGCCCAAGACCTTGCATGCAAGTGTCACGAGGAGCGTGGCTTGCTTCGAGCAGAGGGTGCGGAGCTCACCTCCGAACTGCAATTGTATCTTTGTAAATGGCATGAACAGGGTTGCAAAACCCAGCTTGTAGCTCGATCGACCCCAATTGCATGATTGGCTTGAGGTGATCTGGATTCGCAAAGCCGTCTCTTCTACGAGAACTAGGTCGCCCGTACCTCGACTCGAAGCATTTCCGTCTTTGAGAGCTGTTTTGGTTTCGAAAGGGTCCATGCAGTTTGAGCAGACCTGTTGGAAGGCATGCGGCTGGGCCTTCGACAAGTGAGATCGCGGTGCAGGACTCCTCATTGCTTGCACTGCGTGCGCTGCTTGCGCTTGCATTTCGAAGACTCGAATGCCTTCAGAAGTCGGCCGCGCCTCGCAACACGTGGCTCTCAGTGCCGAGACCGAACCCAGGTGGTGCGCGTGCCTCAGCGTGTCAGACAGTGCCAAGAGGTGCCCGCCAGAGGTGCCCAGCATGCGCGTGAACCTCATCGCCGTTCTGGCCCTGGGCCTTGCAGGCATGGCTGGAGACACGGAACAAGCAAAAGCTGACCGTGCACACATCTCCAGGTCTGGCTGCTGGGGCACTGCGCAAGGCACACTCCGCACATTTGCTTTGAATCTTGGGCATATTTTGGCACTGACTCCTGGCAAATTCTGTTCATGCATCTTCGGGCAGGATGAAGGGAAGCTTGAGCTGAAGGCCGATCCCATCATGTCGATGGCATTCCAGCCGCACTCTTGAGCTTGTGCCTGAGGAGTCTCCGAGGCTCGCAGCCGAAGACTTGAACGACTCTGAGAGATCTGATCGACCCAGGTCCCTGGCTGCGCTGGTGCATGGCCTGGGCCATCGCCCAGGCGAGACGCATCGCCGTTTCTTCCGTTTCTTCCGTGGCTTTCGTGGCTCCGAGTTCCGAAGAACGAGACCTTCAAAGAGCTGGGCCCCAGGCGCGGGCGCACTTGAGACTGGAGGCATGTGAAGGTGGCGTTGCCTTGAGGACACAGGAGCCAGATGCGGGAGCCAGCAGCCCCAGAGCTGAATGCCGAGAGTCCGCGATCAACTCCTATCCTGACCGTCGAGCCTTCTCTTTGGAAGGCAACCTGATGAACAGGAATTCCCACAGCACATCTCATTTGCGTCTCGTGCAGTGTTTTCAGACAGTCGTGTGACATGGTCTTCTTGTGGCAAGCTCTTTCCACTGCCACGTCATGGAGTTGTTTGGAGTGCTTGCTCTTCTTGATTTCAAGCCGTCGCTTCTGACCTAGCCGTCATTTCCGCAAGGTGTTTGTGTGAAGAGTGACTCAATTGTAGCTGTTCGCTTCAAGACTGACCTTTTCCACTCAGGTGGGCTTGAAGCCAGCACTGATTTGCGTAATCTCCATGATCTTTGCTTGCCTCATGGTGGTTGCAGCCCTGGCTTGCTTGGGATGGCAGATGCCACTCGATTTACTCGATTGGGTCGGTGTGCGTTCGGAGCCATAGCCTGTCCGGTGGCGTGATGCTCGCTGCCAGGCCTGCTGTACCGTGCGGGGAGCTTGGTTACAAGCATGCGGTAGGCATGCCATAGAATCCGGTGCGTGCGGTGCATGCATACTTCTTCCATGCCATCCCTTGTTTCTAGCTTTGCTTGACGTTGGCCCATTCTGATTCTAAAATCCATCCCTCACTTGATTCTGAACTTCTTCCAGGCCCCGCCTGGAGGGAGTCACATTTGGCATTGCTGGCACTCTCGAACACAGGCCGGCAGCCCGTCTTCACATCAACTGACATTTCTGACCTGTGCAGGTGGCGTGGGGCATCCAACAAAGAGTCTGGATGAAGGCTGCGCGAGTCGGCGTCTGCATGAGACGACTCCGCACTGTGCAAGTCTGGGCAAGTTACGTGCTGCTTGTGAGGGGCGATTCAACCGAGCTCGCAAGTTGAGATTCTGTCATGCTGCATTCTTTGCGCGATATTTGCCCTCTTGCCGTGCACTTCTTTTGGTCGGAGCCTTCCATTCGGATGCTCCGAGCTGATTCCTTCGAGCCCTTGGGATCCCCGAGGAAAGCATGGTTCATTACGTTTTGCAGGTTGGCTGAAGGAAAATCCTGATCTGACTTTTATGGAGTGTTTCACGACATGTGTATGTAGACATATATGTTGGTTTCACGGAGGCCTGCGCGAGAGAAAGTGGCAAGTCTCTTCATTGCACGCGTGCCAATCTTTGGCAAGAGCAGCCAAGTTAGGTCAAGCCTGGGCAGTTTGCATGTGACATTGTCACAAGGGGCAGTTTCAACACAAGCGACTTGATCTGGTCCTCTCTCCACTTGTGCTTTGACATGGCCGCTGCTTTCTTTTTCTATCCCAAGGCATCAGGGCATTGCCAGCGGTTTAGCCTTGAATCCCATGGCGTCCAAGAGCGCGGCGTTCTTCCCGAGCCTTCTGGAAAGCAAGCTGGAAAGCAAGGTGGACAGCAAGGAGAACAGATTGGAGTGTTTTCAAGGCGAAGCTGAGAGGCCGCGGAAACCGGAGGTTGCGCGAGAGCTTCGAGAACTTCCGTGGTTGGAGGAGTCTTTTGATGGTGCAGTAGATGTCCTGGTAGCCCTGAGATGTCTGCTTCCCTGAGCTTCCCGAAGCTGACCGGTGTACAGTTCGGAGTTGGCCACATTTGTATGGAAGGGCAGACACTGCACCTAGAGCCTTGTGAGCTGCGCAGGCAACATGTCAGAGACTGCCTTTCCCTTGGCCAACTTGTGCCGGCGAAAGGGGAGGCTGCAAGAAAGGTGTGCAAAGAGCTGAACAGGCAACAGGCAGTACAAATTTCGGGCCATTGCTTTCAATGGGATGCGCCTGTACAGAGAATCTGAGAGAATCTGCAATCCCACATCTGGTTGCTCAGCACGGGCAGAGATGGTACATTTCAAGTGGCACCTGACCCCAGTCAGGTTGCCTGGGCCGGCTCCAGGTAGAAAAGCTGCCTTGCATTGGGGTTGCCTTTGTTCGTCTTGCCACTTGGAACCAGCTCCTTGCTGATGTTCGTTTTTTGGCGCAGGACGTCCTGAAGCCGAAGCGGATCCAGGGCTGAGCGGCCGACGAGCAGACCCAAGATGGACCGCAAGTGTCACTCAGAAAAGGCTGCGAACGTTGACGGATATCTGACCAGCACGGATGTCTCTTCCTCCGTCCCCGCTCTGAGGATGTTCCTGCTAGATCCCAACTTCCCCAGACAAGCCCTCCTTTGCTTCTGAGACCTGATCTTGGCGCCGTGGCAGTGCCCTCTCGAGCAGTTTCTGAGCCGTGCATGTTGCCTTTGAGGCCACAGATGCACATGGATGCGTGTTGCAACTAGAAATCCTCATTCACTTGCTGATCCTCGGTAGCAGCAAGATAGGCATCCAATCCTCCGAAGTGCGCAGCTCTCATTGAGCTAGCTCTGGCCCTAACGGAAGTGTGAGTCGGCTTGCTCACAAGGCCGGGCTTCCGCTGACTTTTGCAACCGTTCTCTGAGATTTCTCAGATTCTTTGCGGCTCCCCGGCCTTATCTCAGGAAGCGCGGAGGGATCTGCATTCCCAGGGCTGCTGTTGACCAGTACTCCTTTTGAAGTGGTTTGAATGCAGCCTTTCAAGCTCAAACAAGACGCACCTAGCTGACATGTAGCAAGTCGTGCGCGTCATTTGTGAGCACCATTCCACTGCAAGCCAGTGAATTCAAATCTCGATCATACTGGTGAGGGTAAGTCAAGATGCAACCTCTTGTTGTCTTGTTAGCTGCGAAGACGCTGCGCCAAGTACATCGCGAAAGCAAACTATTGTTTTCTCACGTCCTGAGCCACGGTGCCAGCAATGGAGAAACTCTGAGGCGCGCCAAAGCATGCATGCTGGCCCGTGGGCAAGCCGGAACATGTGGTTTTGCAAGGCCGCCAGTATTGTTGTGCAGGTGATGATCGTGCAACCAGGACGGGGGGCAAGCTCATGCCAGGTCCTCTTCAATTCTTGTGACCAATCAAGTGGCCAGTCCGAAGCCCGAGGCAAAGCCATCTATGCGGGAGAACCCAGGGCATCCTCAGCCCCGCGGATGGTACCGCAAATGTGCATGCAGGCCGGGACAGGAGAGTTGCCACGGCAGGGAGGGAGTTGTGCTTTCCATCGGCGAGGCCCGCTATTCACCCCAGATGGTACTTCCTCACAGCCCTGTACCACGTGTACAAGTGGTGGTGCAGCGCCAATGCTCGTCGCCTCTCTTGTCCAAGCCCATCTTCGTGGTGTCACCAGTGTCTCCAGGCCAGGCGGCAAGGCGACAAGGCGGCCAGTCAGTTTCGAGGTCTCGATTTCGCGCAGGTGTGAAGTGCGTCTGTGAGCCGCTCCCCACCTGGGCCGCCCCTGCCACGCCTCCGAGACGGGAGGTGCCCACGGCGGTCGCAGTGGGCGCGGGCGCAGCGGGCGCGGGCGCGGGGATGTGCTGCGACGGCGACACGAGCGCGCCGAGCGAGGACTGGCACAAGAGCGTGTCCTCGGATGACACCCTGGACACTCAGCGAGCCCGGCTGGAGGCCACTCGCAAGGAGCTGATGGAGAAGATGAGCCAGCTGAGGAAGTTGGAAGCCAGCCTCTCCTTGGCCGTTGGTGACGCAGAGGACCTGGAGAAAGATGAGAAGCATGAGAAGGACGAGAAGGACGAGAAGGAGGAGAATGAGGAGAAAGACGAGAAAGACGAGAAGGATGAGAAAGAGGATGCGGTGCCACTGGCACCTCGCGGGCCACGAGATTTGGGTGCCAGGCGATCGAAAGCTGTGGCCACGGACACGGACGACTTGGTCGCTTTGTGCAAAGCGGAACGGCCGGGAGCCGTGGGGGCCGTGGGGGCCACGGGAGCCACGGGAGCCACGGGAGCCTCGCAGCCGGAGGGCGAGGGAGGGCGGAGGTCCGTGCCACGGGTGACGCCATCGAGTCCGGGTCCGGGTCCCGCGGGTCCGTCGGGTCCGTCTGGCTCGCGGGTGCGGCGGCGCACAAACTCGCCCGGAGCCCAAAGGCCGGAGACTGGAAAAGAGAGTGAGAAGGAATCCAAGGCCAAGGAGGCCAAAAATGAAAAGGAGCTTCTCCATGAGAAAGAGAGGCCAAAGAGGCAGAGTTCCTTGATAAGGAGTGCGTCTGCCAGATCAAGGATATCCCTGTTCGCTCCCATCTCAGCCCGGTTGGGCTCTCGGACAAGTTCAAGAGCAACCATCGGAGCCGCCGACACGAGCGGCACGAGCGGATCGAGCGGCCCGAGTGGATCGAGCGGCACGAGTGTGCTGGCCAGAAGCTCATCGGCCCGCGAGCTGTCCAGCAGCTTGGCTGAAAGCTTCATCATGCTTTGCTGCTTCAATGAGTTTTCGACGGATTGCCAGGGCCTGGAACTGGCATCCTGGAGGCAGCAGACGTTGCTCGACTGGTGGCGTCGCCAGAGATAGGCCTTCGGAATTCTTGGCTTTCCCCTGAGAGCGCTTTGTGATCCGAAGGAACCTTGGATGACTTCTTGCCGAATCCTGTGCCTCAACCGGAGGCCCGCCCTTGCGTTCAGAGTGGCTCAGAGTGGACTCATAGCTCCTCAGGTGCTGAGCGCGAGGGCTCCAAGAGCAACTCCGGTGGCTTTCCTAGCCGAGGCGCCGCGCTGAAGTACCCAACAGAAAACATGGCATCAAGCTGACATTCAAGCGCAGCAAAAATGTTGCACTCCGATCTCTTTTCGCAGGGGGTCACTCAAGAAAGACATGTACTTGTTACTCAGAGAGTAATAGCTTGATGTATAGATTTAGAAGGTAGAAGGAAGCAATCCGTGGTCTCATGCATTGCGGGCTCGACTCCCTGTCTCTTGAAGTAGAGCCGGTTTGTGGAAAGAAGCTCGCCATACCTAAATGTGTTTGTATGTTGTGTGTGTGTGTGTGATTCGCCTTTTTGGGAGATTCAGGCATCTGCACTCTTGCAACCGCCCTGTCCGAGCTGTAGAAAGAAGTGCCCCAGTTACTGTCACACATGGCAACAGGTTCACGGGTTGACGTGCAAGGTACATGGCGGGGGCGACCTTTTGCCACAATTGCGGGCAGAAGCGGAGGACTCCAGCAGCACAGGCGCCGAGTTGACAATTGAGAAGGGCTAAGGCTAATGTTGTTTATCTCTCAGTGAGCTGAATCAGGCATCTCGTCGGGGGTCAGGCGTGAGGGAAGAGAAAGGGAGAGAGAGAGAGAGGGCGAGAGAGAAAGGAAAGAAAGAAGGGGAGAGCGAGAGATGGTAAAGGCACAAGTCCTCAGACCACGCCTGTAGCTCAAAGTGCTAGTAGTTGTCAAGTCCGACCATGATGTGCCAAGGCCGGCGGATCCTGTTCCAGAGGCAAGCAGGCATGCCCAGGGATCGAGTGGCAAGTGCATCCATTGTGACTGACTGATGTCAAGTATCTACATTGTCGCTGCTTACGCACTAGCTTGCTGCTGCCGGCCGTGTTTTGCGCTTGTTGTGATAATCTCTCTAGTTGTTGAGTCAATAGCTGTTGACCAACGGATTTTGCGGTTGTGACTGCCCAAGGTTTCGGCGGTAAACCAACTCGTATTTGCTATGCTTGCTCGCGTACAGCAGGCTTACACTGCATTGCCGCTTTTTTCTCAGAGCCAGAGTATGCTTCCAAACGTTCTGCTAGTGACTTTGCGTATTGCTGCATGTAGCCTTGGCAACCCACATGAGTAGTCACTAGGTACTGTCTTCAAACCAAAAGAGAGAGTCAAGCACCGTGAAATGCATCACACTGGTTTCTTTGGAATCATCAATGGTTGGTTGGAACAAATATGAAACTGTGGGAATGAAATAAATCGAGGTGGCCACATTGCACACAGACTGAACTATGATCGGGCCACGTGCAGGACAGGCAGCCGGATGCTACAGCCTCAGCGCCCAAACGATGGCACGGCGCACAGTCCCGGGGTGACGAGGTTGTTTAGCCAACAGCTCACTTGCCACGAGCAGCCGCGGCAAACCCCAAGCCCTCTCCGCTTGAGGCCAGGGAATCGAGCGCCGCCTCTTACGATTCTGACGTTCAAGTTGTGTGCCACAAAACGTTGCGTTGCTCCCTGTTGCTGGTTGACTTTAGAAGTAGACAACAAATTATCCTCAAGTTGAGTGTGCTGTGCAAAACTAATATGATTTTGTTGTATTTTTTTGAACAGCTTTGGGGGCTGTCCAACTTGCAGACTCAGAGCAGGAAACAGATGTCCAACTTGTTTTCGGCTACCAAATCTGCATTCAAACGAGCACATTGCATTCCTGTTTGTACAAGTGGTGTAGCTTGGCTTGCTGGACTTTCTCCCTTTTCAGGCACGATATTTCATGTTGACGTTTCCTTGATACCAAACGGCGCAAATCAAGCGCTTCTGTATTGATGGCGCGTGCTGGCCACCCGCAGTATAAGCCTGAACCATGCACAACGTCCAAACAAGGTCCATTGAAGCTATTGATGCTTGTTCGCATCTAAGTTGTCTTTGCTAACGACATGCATCTTCGTTGACAAAAAGTGGGTCCAAGAAGGGATGCGGGATGCCGCGCATGGGCAGATTCGCATCCTGAGCTTGAGCTTTGCGAGTGTCTTTGACAGGTCTACGCCCGCCAGGGCCAAAGTGCCAAAAGGCGGGGAATGGTGGGTCAAAGTGCTGGCGCTTTGACTTGTCTCTCGCGACTGTTTGCTTGTCGGGTCTCCTTGCTTGTGTCCTATTCTTCATGATATATTCTGTTTTGTTTGGGATTGGGCGTGCCAGGATCGGAGGCAGAGGGCCTAGTTGAGGGCAGTGGTTTGTTGCCAGTATTCCTTCCGCCTGTGCCAGACGGGGCGGGTGGCCAAACTAGGCTGCAACCAACACACTTTAGTTCTATCTTCGCAGCTGGAAGACCGCGCTCAGCAGGGAAATGCAGGGGCACACGGAAGAAGCTGGCGGCGTGCACGTGTGCCTCGAGTGCCTTTCAGTGAGCAACAGGTGACACCGCAGCGATGCGCAGAGCCCAAGTGCTAGCCACTGTCATGGAAGCTTCGCGCAGAGAACAGCATCCAGAAAGCACATTGTGTCAACGCGGCCAAACCGAACATACCTATTAAGCAATTAGAACTCTAGCGTGAACGCTCGAGCCTTGAAAAGACCAAGAAAACTCCAGACAACTGAGAAGATCCTCCGAAGCTTTATTGCGTTAGTTTCTGCACATTTGTTACTCACATCTCTGTGACATTACTATTGAAATTAAAAGACATGGTGTGGGCGCGCAGCAAACAGGAACTCATCCTACAGCTTTGATCCAATACTCACTACCTTAGGAACTTCAAGTTTTGATCATGTGTGTGTTTTGTCGCAAGCAAATGGGCTTGTATTTGTTGTATTTGGTCGTGTCACTGTTGTTTCAATGGTACTCACACCGGAAGCCGCTCTTTTGGCTGCTACTGCTGCTACTGCTGCTACTGCTGCTACTGCTGTTACTGCTGCTACTGCTGCTACTGCTGCTACTGCTGCTACTGCTGCTACTGCTGCTACTGGCGGCGACGACAGCTGCTGCTGGTGCTAGTCACACATCACACCCCCGCATCATTCGCCCACGAAACAGCCCAAGATAAATGCCCGCTGTATTAGTCAACTACTCCCACTGAGATCCTTGCTTTGTGGCTTTTCATGCAATTCGGTTCTGGTTGTAAAGACTGTGTTGCGGTGCTGGTTTTTGCCTTTGCAAGTGACAGCCCGCAGGTGTTGGTAAGCCGATCTCGTGCGTGCACCCAGTTGTGGCAAGCCACAAGCAAACACTCAGACAACTGTCGCTTTCTCTCGGGACCCACCCCACTGGTCGAGGCCGCAGCCAACAGCTTCTGAGGCCAGATTGAGTTGCCCAGTTGTTTGGTAGAGACATGTTCGCTTTCAAAGTCGCATGTGAGTTTCACGAGCGCAGCATGCATTCCGCAGAATATTCTCAAGGAATCGCACAAACACGAGGCCTTTGTGGACAAGGCACATGTACAGTCAATTGTATGTTTCCTGGTGCTATTATCTTGAATCAGAACTTGTCAACCTGGGGAACCAGAACGCTGCTGCATGCCTTCTGAGATCATAAGACAAAGCAACATTGGGCTCGGCTCGAATGCGCCGAGCTGTATCCAGCCTTCCGGGCGCAAATGGCTGATGAGGGTGTGAGCCCTGGATGCCTTGAACTGCCCGATTGCGCAAGCCGCGTATGTTGCAACATGTGACTTGTTCTGCTTAGCTGATGTCTCCAACAGTCCGCTTGACTGTCTGGTGCGTGCTTGTTTGGCCTGCCAGGGGACCTGGATTTCTTCAGGCGCCTCGAGAGTGCCGACTTCCAGGCCCCGGGCGGCTTAACCTCAGAGCCAAGGCCCTAACCTGTGGGCAAGGCGCCACATGGGTGTAGGTCAAAATTAAGCAACAAGAGGACCGCAGGTTTTAGTCCTTGGCTCCATTTACCAGGGTTCCATTTTTCGGGTCCTATTTTAGGCCCACCGCCTCATCTCTGCAGGTGGAAGTCCGCCCAGTGGCGCGGAAGCGGCCTCGGGAGGTGGTGGAGGCACTGGCCCCCAAATCTCACTGGGCCGATCTCTTCGCGCGGAGGTCGACGCAGAGCCAGCGGTGGATGTCAGCTTCGAGGCCCCCGATGCCTCGGATGACGCCAGGGCCGCAGAATGCCGCCCCGGAGGCCGCGGAGGTTTCGAGGTGTCCGACTAAGGACGACTCCGTGCGGGTGATTTTGTGCGACGGAGGGCGGCGGCCTCAGCCCAGCTCACCAGGTCCCTCTCGATCCGATCGATCATGATCGATGCCTTGCCAGGCCTCGGAGCGGCGGCTTGAGCTATTACCTTGGCAGGACCGCAATGTTCTGTCCCTTGTTTGAATTCGGTTTCGGTACGGATCGTGCCATGGTACAATCTGGTTTGCTTAGAAGCGCCAACTCGGCATGCAAAACTGAATTCAAAGTTCGCACAAAAGTTTCACTGCGCAGGCACTGGGAGCGCCAAGACGAGGAGAATGGCACTCTTGCTTTGGCCCTCTGCCTGGCAAGCAGGCTTTTCCTTGAGGGCTGGGATTTGGTGAACAGCAGCTGGACCACAGAAAGCCTTAGCAACGTCTTGGCAAGCGTTTTAGACCAGATCTGCAAAGGTATTCTACTCTGGAGATCATTTGGCTGGAATTGCTCAGGTGTCTGGTCCGGATCAGCCCGAGGAGCGAGATGAGGTGCTTCCGGGCCATCCCGACAAAGCCATGCCACATGTTTCGTGTTTCTGGCACCCGTGCAGGCGATGGAGGAGACGCTGGCCAAGATCATTTTCCAAATGGACGAGGCCCAGTCCGCCATGTCTGCAACATGTCAGCGGCGTGTGCGCATCTCATGTCGGCAACGGAGATGGCCGTGGGTCAACACCAATGGTACCGTTTTGGGGTAGGTGCACTACCCATTTCAGTCTATTTTAGTGGGGATTGGGATGTTCACTGGGGGTGCGGGTTTTTGACTCATGGCCAGATGGCTAGGACGAGCTTGCAGACACTCCCTGGCGCCGGGCTGGCGCCAACCTCTCAGACTTCTTCAACTTCTCCCTCAGCGAGGAAGAGTTTAAGGACGGGGACGCGCGATATGCTTGCGTTGGTCTCGGTGCCCGACACGTCAGGAGTACGTCATGAGAAGTGGTGTACGCATACGCTTAGAGGTGGGCTCAGAACAAGAAGAGTAGAGTCAGACGCAACCTACAAACTAGAGATTCCTGACAAGCCTCATTTTGTCCAGGCTCGACGCCAACGCAGGGAGGGGCGCGCCTGATTCTGCGTGCGAAAAGCCGAAAAGCCGCCGATTTCTGCCGGGCAGCTTGGCTGCTTCAGTAGCATAAGAAGCGAGACCTTCAGGCACCGGAAGGCCCGCCAGGCACTTGGATTGCGTCTGAACGGGTCGAGCGCAGCACTTTGATCGCTTTTCCGGCTTTTTGCTTCTGTTTCAGCACGCTTGGCAAGGAAGACACTTCGAAATAAAGTCTTTGGCAGCCAGCTAGCCAGCTGGCCTTGATGCCCAGGAAGAAGCCCACCTTTAAGCCCAGGCACGATGTGAACTTGCGACCAGCGAAAATGGCAGTTTCACGCAACTGAATGTGAGGGCGCGACCGCCTGACCTACTCGCAAGAGGCTGCCTGCGTGGTGTCGCGTGCAGACATTTGTCATACGAGGATGCTGTAGTGTTTTGCGGAGTTTTGGGCATTGGAGGCGGATGAGCAATAAGGCTGGGCGTCTTTGGTGCCTGCTATTTTGTAGACAAGCTACCGACAAACAGAACATTAAGGCCTGTGCAGGGGATTCAGACTGTTACCTCGGCCCAAATGTTACAACCCTGGTGACAAAGATGGGCAGTGACAGAGGGCTGAGGACCATGCAAGGAGGAGCATGCAAGCCAGTTTTACGTCAGACATCGGCTTTTGCGAGCTGCAAAGCTGCAGGCTGGCGTCGTTTGTTTCCAGCTCCTTCATGCACGCTGCAGCTGCAGCGATCTGTTTTCTGGTGGAGCTGACGACGCAATGTGACACAACGCAAGAGAGAAGTCTTGAACGCCATTTTAGCTCCAGCTCCCATGCCATCCTGCGCCCCTTTCCTCACACTTTTACAGTTCTCACCGATGTCGATACGCATGGATGACATGCACCTGTGGAAACAGGCAGCAAAGCCGTTCCGTGGCACGTGTTTGCGCACCCGGAAGCTGCTACTATGTATATGTGTGTGGGGTGTCAGCTGCGTTTCGTTGGCTCCGAGTTCGAGGATTTGGCCAATCATGAAATTTGGATTGCTCATCAGCATTGGCGATAACAAACCTCAGCTGAGCCCGGCTGACTAATTATAGCAAACCTAGCCCACCCAGGATGCAATGTTGCTCTTGATGCAGTGCCCGTAAACGGAGCAAGCGTAGCCACAGACTTGGGCAGAGACATGATTTGCACATTTCGAAACCAATCAGACATATTTCACTGCCATAAGCTTGCTGCTGCACTCTTTGCGGCTTCCGTGAGATGCTGAGTTGGCAAATGATTACCATGCCAAATACAGCATGCGGTGCCCGTCCTTGCACAGCCGTACACCTTGCGCCGAGGCGCAATGCTCGGCTACGCGAGCTATGACTCAGACGAGGAAGCAGGCCCCATTTACTGAGGGCTGAGGCTCCCATGCGATATTTCGAACATGCAGCAACCCTCGAAGGATCATTTTGCTCGTGCCCTCTCAGCACTCTTTCTCTCGCACACACCCTTTCCAACCTTCAGCAATTCTAGCAGTGTCGAAGCATTCACTTGCAAGCCTGGTGGCTGATTTCTTTTGTCCCTTTCTGTATCAAGTTTCAGGCAAGCGCACGTGCAATGCCTTGCTCTTTACTTGCTCTTTAGTCAGAAGAGGTCCACCCTGGGCTATAGTTTTTAGTGGTGACACATAGCCAGTGGCAAGATTGCCAACCCAAGGTTCGCTTCCCCCGAGTTGGTGGTTTGGAAGGTAGACAAAGCGTGTCACACCCACTGCCCGGGGACCGAACACCCTTTCCTTGCCTCGACTCCAATTTTCGTCGTTTTCGCTGCAAAAGAGCCGCAGGCCCAACCGCAGAGGCCTCCGAGCCCTCGGAGAAGCCTTGGGCTGAGCTTGGCACAGTCGAGCTTCCCCGAAATCATTCCACCCGATCTTTGCTTCTTGACCGCCGATCACGACGAACTGAGCATGAAATGGCACGGCAACAGGAGATGCGCAAAATAAATTGAGCGACGATTGAATCAAGACTTGGCCGCTGGCCATCAGGCGTGCCCGTACAGACGTGGCAGGCTCAGGGGCAATCAGCAACAGTTGTTTTGTGTGCGCAGTGCCCATGCACAACCTAGCGCTTCCTTGCGCTTAGCCGTTGAAACTCATGTCTCAGTTTTAATCATCGGAGATGGGTGCATGTGGGCAGCTTGCAAAAGCAGACTCCTAGGCGGCGGCAAACCCGGTCCGGGCCGAGCAGCGGAACTCGGGATTTGGTGAAGATAGCGAGAGTGAAGTGAGGACTCGAAGAGCAGAGCTGAAGCGAAGAGCAGAGAGAGTTTCAACAAGCGGCACTAGGCCTTCGAAACGACTGCCGTTTCAAAAGCTGCGGGAGATCAAGCGGGAGGTGCGACACCGACGGTGAGATCCGTTGGATCCGTGAGTTTGATTCCCAGATCAGCTCCGCGAGAAGTGCCACGGCCGTGGTGCAGGCAAGGAATTCACCCGTGCGAACAGCCTGTTTTTACTCTTCTGTGCTCTTGATGAACAACCCAACAATTGCAGGGGCCCAGCATTTGCTTGTTTTGCTTTCCAGTTGTAGGTCCACTGTGACTCGACAGCTCTTGGATTGCTGCCGGGTTGTCTTTTCTGTGTTTTGCTCATGCCAGCTCCATGCTGCACGATCATCAACCATGGTATTGTCTTCATGGCCAACAACGATCTGCAAAGTAGCCCAGCTTCGAGAACTGTTGAATTGTGTTGACACGCCTTGTTGTAGACCGAAGGGCTTCAAGATGCCGCGATTCAGAGCAGTCTCCATTCACAAGTCTTGAGACGCAACGACTTGTTGTCGCACAGACATCCCTGCCAGTATGCCTCCGTTTGGCAGGTGGTGCGACAAAACCTGGCCACCGGCGCCGTGCCTAGCGCGACTTTGAGGTTCCATGGGGGGGCTGTCGAAGCTCCATCTGGCCATGCGAAGCTTCGAGGTTGGGACCTGACCTGGGGGGCCGAAGCCCTCTACCAGGTCGCCAAGCGCTCCACGGCCCGCACGCGCCAGGCGCGCAAAACGCCATGGGACGCTCGCCGTGCGATGGTGCGATGTGCTGCAAGGAGTGGGCCGAAGACAAGGCAGTGCTCAAGTTGGCAGACAAACTCAAGGAGGAGGCGGGGTTGCGACATGTTACGATGTGTTTACGTGAAGCGCTGTGTTCGCTGTCCAGAGGCAGCACTGTGGTCACATAGTATTACCATGGGCTGAAAACGAGGCCCTTTCGGCATGGCAGGCCCTTTCGGCAAGTTTTGGCCAAGTCTTCACCTCATGGCGGATCCAGCGTTCCTCGCATGTCGACCGATACGGCGAAGACAATCGCCTGCGCGGAAGTCACAAAATGTCCCCGATTTCCCGCAGAGACATTCCAGCAGGACGAAGGATGCTGCCCATTTTGCTAGAGTTTAGTAGCTTGGCGAGGACGTTGGGAGCCCACTCACATCAATTGAACCATTTCATGTGTTGTTCGGATGCTTTTGCACTGTGGCCAGGCAGAGTCCGACAAAGGCCGCTTGCTTGATTGGCTCAGCACAAGCTTGCAGCCTTGCATCGCGCTGCATAGTGCTGCATAGCACAGTATTCTAGGTTTCCGCTTTACATGCAAAACCCATTCGCTGTGAGGTGACTTGGACACCATCCTCCTTTCAATGGAGGCTTTGCGGCGCATGACCTTGCAGGAGAGCGAAGGGTTTGAGGAGGTGTGGCCTCACCACGTGTCCACGTTTCCGATAGGATCCGGCGGAGCAGAAAGCTCACTTGGAGGAGCAGAGATCGAGAGAGAATTCATAGGGGTGTCCATGGTATTTGCTGACTCGCAACTTCTTGGCGGTCTGAGATCAGCCTTGGGCAGAAACTCATCTCCGGCATGGTGGCCAACTCTTGGCGCAACCCGGTTAAGAGCTCGGACCTTGGTCGCATGTCTAAGACGCAAGCGGATGTCGCGGGCGGAAATGTAGGCTTGGCTCGGCTCTACTGGCTGGGAGCGCCGCTCGCAAAGGAAGGCCAGGCGAGTCAGAGGGAGAGATTCGGACGGATTTTAGTGAGGACTGGAGAACTTGGACACCAACGCTTTGGCCTCCCAGATCCGACAGAGGCAGAATGAGCTGGCTCGGAGCTGAGTAGCTGAGTAGCTGAGTAGCTGAGTAGCTGAGTAGCTGAGTAGCTGAGCAGAGAAGAGGAAGAGGGTTTGACCATACGAGGACGGACCTGACCTGGCACTGTTGCTAGCTGCAATGAAGGGTCCCAAGGGTCTTGGCCTCATTCGATTTGATGAAATTGCCGTCGATTGCGGACTCCCAGCTGAGGCTTGAAGGATGACAAGCTTCAGTCCAAGGCATCGCCTGGCGCAGGGCGGACGGGTCCGTTGGTGTCGCGCCTTTCGGGCTTCCGAAAGGTGGTCCTCCGGTTGAAGGACAAGCAGATCCACAAGGGCCTCTCAGCTACGGACTGGAATTCGTGATAATTCGTGGAAGTTCGAGGGTTTCTCACCTTCAGATCCGACAGGACTTGGTGGAGATGGCTGAAGCCCTGGAGGTCCTTTTTGTGGCCAAATTTGTGTTACCCCTGGTTGCAGAAACGCAGGCACGGGCAAATTTGTTGAAATGTGAGCTGGCACCCTCCCCAATCAGCAGAAACGCACGGGCAAATTTGTTGCCATTTGCAAATCCCTCGAACTTCACGGAGCCCACTCGTCCGAGAGGAGCTGGCCGTGACAGATGAGGCAGGACCTGATTGACCGAAGCCGAAGCGTGCATCGTGGCAAGTTCGCGTTTTCGATCCCGTATGTCAAGACTATTGTGCTTTGCTTCACACGGGTCTAAGGGGACCCAGTTAAAACAAGTTATTGCCGCTGGCCTTCTCAATGAAGAGGCTTCCTCCTCGAATTGTTCCGAGGCTGCTCTCAGACCTCTTGGACAAGAAGCTGTCCGCCGAAAAGGCAAGCTCGAGAGCCGGCGAGCCGGGGATCTGGGTGCGTGTTGCGTGAAGAGGCGAGCTGACCCCGGACGAGTCCCACCGTGCCCACACGGCTTTTCAGGCACGACAATATGTTTTGGGAGCCTCATCGGACCAGAGCTCAGCCAATGCAGCTCGGTAAATGACTCCAATGGCTCCAATGCTTTGTTCGCCCCTTTGCTGGCCTTGTGCGCTGTGCGCTTGGCATGCACATGCCAGTGCAGGCCATGAAGCTTCCCCTCTCGCCACTCAGCAGCAAGATCGACCGCTGACTCACTTCAAGACATTCTGCTGCCACTGCAACCGCATGAGTGACTTGAGAGCATGCCGCGAATGCAAAGCACGGATGCAATCCTTGCTTGCTTCCAGGAAAGTGTGGGATTTGCATGGCAGCACGAAGACCATGCAAAACGATCGTGGGAAGGTGACAACGCAGGTGCAAGCTTAAGCTGTTCGATGGAAAACATGCTCATGCCCTGCAGGCCTTTGCTCTGCAGGAGGGCCACGAGAAGAAGAGGGGCAACAACGATGCTCGTTTCGAAAGGGCGAGCCTTTAAGATTTGTGCTCAACATTATAGCCAAGCTGACTAGAGAGCTGGCATGCTTCCATCAAAAGGGTCCAGTCAAGTCATCCACAGATCCCTTTCGGCTAAGGACATCGAGCGGACGCTTTGCTGGCGTGTTTGTTGCTTGCCTGACCGTCTGACCTGTCAGCAAGGGCAACTCCGGCCAGGTCGCCCCCCAGGGTCGTTCGGGACATGAAGATGTGCTCCTACTGAGGCCACTAAGGCAGGCACTTGGGCCTCAAGGCAGACGTATGGCGTGGTGCAAAAGAGAGACTCCCTGGCGTTTTTTTATTGGGAGGTTGCTGTATCCACTGTATGCCCTTGAAGTCTCAGTGGAAAATCGCTCATAGGCTTCACCCGCATGTAGCTTGGCTTGTGGAGACTCCTTTTTGCCGCAGTCTGTTTTTGGTGTGTGCTTCAAGTTTCCAGCCTGGCAGCTGCGCGCGAGCTGGAACTTGTTACATGCTCAAGGAAAGGAGTGACAGCCAATCAACAAGTGCATAGCTCAAAGCCTCGAGCCAGCATTCAACTCTTTGAATCCGCACCGCGTCTAGCGGTTGGAATGCAGGCGTTTGAAGCTCCCCTCTCAGCTTTTTTAAGGACCGAGCGTGACACGCGGAAGACCGAGGTCGAGTCCACGAATCGCCCGCCCTCCAAAGGACCCTGGAGGCCCAGGGCTCAGTTGCAGCGTCCTTGCGGCATCTGCCGTGCGGTCCGCGGAGCTGTGGAGGTGGCTGGCAGTTGCAGCACTCCTACTTGGTGCAGCTTGTTGGGCTGTTGCCCAGATTGCGCACAGCCGTTGGCTGAGCCTTCATGATCTATGTCCACATAGTTTCTGGCAAATTGTTCTTTTTTCGGGCGTTCTGACTGCCATGCAGCCTCAGATTGGAAAGCGCATTCAATGCTAAGCACGCAGCAAATCATGTTAGATTCATTTTCGGACGTGCACCTTGCCGCCGGTGATGTTGCAGATTGCATGCAACACTTGCATAGGGCTTACCATGGACAACCGGATGCAAAATCCAAAATGCTGCCCTGGACATTGTTGTTACACCACGCTGAGGGATTGTGGTTGAGGGCAAGTCTCTGCCATACTCGGGTGACTCAGGTGTGTATTGGTTGACTTCAATTTGTTGTAGTTGGAAACTGGTTTCAAATTCATGCTACCTGGTCGGCTGGATTGCTCCAAATGGCCTAGGCACCGCGCAGAGGCAAGAAAACTCAGGAGGGGGCGGTTGACCGAAGACACGTGCGGAATGCCCACGTTTGGATCTGAACTGGACGCGAGGCCAGCAACCTGCGCTACTGGGGGGCCAACAGGCTGCGAAGGTCTGTAAGCAGGAGCAGACCCACTTAGTGGGCGCCTTCCGCCGGAGCGTCGGCATAAGAGTCACAATCAAAGCCGGCCATCAAAATGGACCCAGATTTGCGAGAATTCATTGGGCGGTTGCAAAACATAATGGCTGGGATTGCCCCTTTCTAAACTAAGCTTCACCTACACGGTTCTCGATTGTGGCTAACATTTGCCAGAAAGAGGCACTGCCCGTTCAGTTCCTTGCAAACGTGCAGGTCACACGCCAGAAATGCGGCATGCAGAATCTTGACGACGTAAGGCCCGCGCTGCCTGGAAGATGGCTCTTTCGCAGCCCAGCAATGCATTGCGCCCAGCCCACCCAGCCGGCACTCGCGACTCGCGCGGGATCCCTCGCTGGCTGCGAGGCCATGGCAGCACCGGCCACTGCTGGTGCGCCGACAAGGCCACTTGCAATTCGAATCGCAACGCGAGTTTTTTGGGTTCGGAGACGCGTGTCGGAGGCGTCTTAGGCGTGTCTTAGGCGTGTGCGTCGAACCAACTCTAACCCCCTCTAAACCGAGCCAAAGCCACAAATCCACCCCAAACCCACGGCGTGTTTCTTTTTGTTTTGCAGCTTGATACTCTGCGTGACTCCTAGGCGGGCAAAGAGCTGGAGGGTACGCGTGGCCGGCCAGGCCCCAGGCACGCCGGCTTTTGAGTGTACCTGTCAAGCGGCAAGCGCAAACCCGCAATGTCCAGCATATCAAGAATGTCCAGCATGTGTAGCATATCCAGCAGCAGCGCATGAGGTTTCAGTCTAATCTTCTCTCTGAACGCAGGCCACAATGATAATAGCCGTTCACAGCATGTTCGCGTTTTTGAGCTACTCGGGAAATTCCTTGAAACTGCAACTGATACAAGCATCCACACTCGTTTGCAAGCGCCATGGGCACTGTTACTAGCCTTTTCGCGCGCTGGTGGAATACTGTGCCTGCGCTGGAGGAGACTGGCACAGCGCACTGAAGTCATGGCGCGAGCTTGCAGTCAGATTGCAAGACGCTTGTGAGGAAGATGAAGAGGAGGCAGATGCTACAAAGAGGTACAGGCCGTCTCGACCTCAGGCCATGTGTGACTCTCTCCAGCTTTTCAGGATCCATGGGTGTTCGTGAGGTTGAGGAAACATCCAGAGTTGTTTCAAGCGCGAGTTCCGGCCACCTGGGTAGCTCCAGAGCTTTTGGAGCCTTGGCAGAAGGCTTTCCTCCACCACATCCCTCAAATCCAATACCGTGAGGACGCGTGCTGCTGATTCATTCATGCAAGGAGCGTGCACACGTTTCATTGTGACCTTTGATTGTGGAGAGGTTCCGCGTTTGTTGCACATTGCGCAGTTGTTTTGCCCAAGGAAATAGTAAATGCGTGCAAGAGTGGCAATGCCAAGAAGCCAGAGATCTGCTCGGCCCTTCGTCCCGGACTCAGATTCTGTCGATAGGCGTGAATGCGCCAGGCCGAATAATGCCTCGCAGGTGTGGAGGTGAAGGACGTCTACTCCTTTCTTTGCTTCAGCCCAGAGTTTGTCAAGCTGTTTGTCTCCGAGATCGAGAACTTTTATGCCTCTGGCATTCCTGCAAGACGACCAAATTCCATGAACAACTATGGTGGCTCGAACGCAAGAGGCATGGCCATTAGGTTTGTTCACCAATTTCGCCTGAGGGGTTATCGTCAATGAAATTGGCATGCGGCCCATGATCACGGAGTTTCAGCAGCAGTACATCTGGCCAATTGCCCTCCAGCCGCAAAAGACGAGCTCCCGGATTCGCGTTCCGATGAATTCCTCGCGCATGAGGCCAAAGTGCTCTTCCCCGAGGAGGCGCACCGCGGAAGGGAGTGATGATAGTCATCTTCAACAATAGCTCTAAGCTTCCTCGCTTCCTCGCTTCCTCTCTTTTTTGCCTTACTTGCGGCGACATTTCTCTCGCAATCCTGACCCTATGCCTGTCACAAGGCGCAGATTGGAACAGCAGTCAGCAGGAAGCCGTTGCTTCCACTTCTACACACACGCATTTCTCTCACTGCGCAAGGCGTCGCAATTTGACTCGCATCACTCCTTCATTGTCCGGTACACAGCCGCGGAAGATTTGGGCCTGGACATGCACACAGACGACTCAGCTACTTGGCGAGCACGCCTGGAGTCACGCCGAAATCACTTTCAAGGTGAGGGCTCCAATTTTGGGTATCTGAGGATGTTACCTTCAACGTGTGCCTAGGCAAGGGGCCCCTTCGCCAAAATCGGGCGAGATGCCTCGTTTCAGGTTACGACTTCACCGGGGCGACGTTGACGTTCTGCGGCTACATGGGCGCTCCAGACCATCGCCAGGCCTGAGGTTTGCAGCCTGGGGCCCGGTTTCCTTCACTGTGAGGCCACCCACGTCTACAGCCACGAGGAGCAACTGCGTGTACGGAGTGTTTGCTTGATTCTGATGCTCGGGTTTCTTGTTCGGTTTTGCGCGAAAGCTGCGAGGGCTAAAGCCATGCTTGCCTGGATTGCTGAGATCGGCCGGGCTGTGCTGCACTTGGGAAGCCGCCGGCATGGAGCTGACGACATCGAGAATGGAACCAGGATGAATCTGATCATTTGGCCGCTTGCTCTGAACCTTGGGGTATCAAAGGGACATGGGGAAAGCACGTGGCATGGGCATTGAGCAAGCCCCTCTCGCGCTGAGAAGCATTGGGGTGTGGCTCCGGCCTTGGGTTCAGGTCCCACAACTCAGCATGGCGCCGGGCACACCCCAGCCGCTTGCGGCGGGAGTACTACTCCAAGGAAGCGGGCCCTCCAGACCCCGTTTGCCTCAGCACCTCGCAGAGCGACAAGCCAGGCAGAAGCCGGAGAGCGGAAGCCGGAGAGCGGAGAGCGGAGAGCGGAGAGCGGAGTTGCGATGAGTTCGGATCCTGAGGCTACACTCATGACCGGGACTTCTTGGCTTACAAGGAAAAGCCCTCCGGTCGAGCCAGTGGCAGGAACAGAGCTTGGCCGCTCGGCATGTTTCTGGAACCGCCTGGAGCTCGGTCCAAGTTGGCTTCCAAGGTGTCCGCCGCCGGGCAAAGAGTACGAGAACTTCCCGGACTCCGACGAGACCATGTGATGTGCGTCTGACCGGACAGCGCGACCCGAGCTTTCAGAATTCGACTCGAAGCATAGCAGGCGGTTTCGAGTGTACAGCACAGCCTGGCTGGCCTGGTGCTCCCTTTCTCGGGAGAATCCCGGCGGGAGAAGCAGTCAGCTCGTGTTCTGCACTTAGCTCGTGGGGAGTCAAAAGCTGTGAGAATCATTTCGCAGAGTTCCCATTGTGCCAGGGATGACGATTGCCAGAAGCTCCGCCTTTTGGAGGCCGGGTTCTGTGATCGCAACTTTGGCATGCTTCTTGGTCGGCATGGCTTATGGCTTGAAGGTGGCTGGCAACAGCACGGACTGCCACCAGCAGCTTCTCCAGGCAAGGCGTGGCGTCTTGACGCACTCGACTCCAAGAGACGTCACCCCACTTGAGGTGCGGCAGAGTCGGCTCATCGGCGCCTTGTGGCCAACCTGCCGCGAGGAGGGCGGATTCGCCGCCCGCCAGCCGGGCCCTCGACGTCGCCCCGCTGCGTTGCACGATGTTGCGTGTGGACGGCATAGGGCAGCTTGCATAAATGTCCTTTTTAGGTTATTTTGAACAGAAATAGATGGCACTGGTTTAGATGGGTGGCCATCTATTTGTCCAAAAGGTCACCTATTAGGCAGCTTGCACGCGGCAGGGTGTCGTGCATTGCAGGTGCTGGGGCTCAGTTGGCCGCTGCTGGTGCGCGGATGCGGCAGGCAGAGTAATTGCGGCCGCATGGGCCGCATGGGCCGCATGGGCCGCATGGGCCGCATGGGCCTGGCCAGGCCAGAAGCTGACCGGCACAGAGGGCCATCCGACAGAAGCGGAATGTGAAGGTCGCCTGCGAGGCCGGTCTTAGGCCTTCAAGCAGAGACTTGGACCCGAGACTGGATCAGGCTGCACCCTCTGCACTGTCGTGAGCTAAGCCTGACCATTGCGCACCTTGTGGCGCACTCGTTCGCCAGGCCGAGCATCAGCGGCAGGGCTTGAATTGCATTCCGGGTCAATGTGTGGAGATCCTGAACGCATGAGCCTAACGCCTCGCTTTTGTACAGGCATTTTCGCGGCACAGTCGAGGATTTGGTTGGTGTTGGCCAGTCATGCCTCGCATTGTCTTGGTAAGAGGCCATCAAGCTGAAGCATGATGGAGCCACTTGTTGTAAGACCAGGACCTGTACTCTCGACTTAAAAAAGGCTCTCACTTGCCGGCTTTGAAATCAAACATGACCCTCCTGAATCATCGAGCTTCAACAGGTCCCACCCTTGCTGCATCCATGATTTTCAGAGGCTATGCCTTAGGCCTTCGGCCGAAGCCGCCACCATTTGGCTCCAGACAAAGCACATTCGACATGCAATGCGTTACCGTTACCGCTAGCGACATGGGGCAGATGGGATTTGTAGCCTTCTAGGGATGCGCATAAAATCTCTAAAATGAAGTGCCTTCAATTGGCGGTAGGTAGAACATGAGCCAGGCATAGGGCTGGGACCTCTCAGCTTGCGGTTTTTTGTTCGCATCTCGCTCGCTTCGCCGCTTCGCAGCGCTCCATGGGGTGAGCCCGGAGGGTTTGAGCGAGCTCGGGGTTTCGGGTTTCGGGTGGGATTCGGGGCTGCCGGAGAAGACCATGTGCCATGTGGTTCGAGGTTTGGTTACCAGGTATCAGGCCGTCTTGCAGAGGGCTTGAATGAGTGCAAGAAACAAGTTTGAAGGGCTTGGTCTGTTCTTTGTTTGTTCAGTGCCTGTCCGTTTCTGCATGTCGATGGACAGCCACCTTTTCGGTTCAGAATCGCTCTTGCTCAATGCAGCCTTAAGGCTTCCTGGGCCCTTGGGCAGCAATCGAGTCGATGGCTTTTTTGAACCCGTCCGAGCATCAAGCCCGTGCACTGGGCACAGAAAAGGACGAGCTTCTGAAGGGAGGACAAAAACGCATGTTTTGCTCAGGCCGAGCGGGCCTGAAATGCCGAGCCTTGACTGCAGAGTATGCAGTGGTTCGGACGACCAGTCGAGTCAGTGAGCTCTGAGGAAAGTGGATAGGCCCAAAAACGCATCGATGATGCCAGATGGTGACGAGAAAGAGAACGACGCGCCTTGGCTCTATCGCTGGCTCTATCTCTTTCTCGCTGTCTCTCTCGGTCTCTCTCTCTCTCTCTCTCGCGCGCTCTCTCTCTCTCTCTCTCCCTCTCTATCTCTCTCTCTCTCTCGCTCTGTCTCTCGTGTTTTTTTTTTTTTTTTAATGATGCTGCAGTGCCATGTCTGTGATTGGATCGTGCAAGTCTGGCGACTGTCAGGTCATGTGGTCGCCGGATAGGGACAGAAGCGATTTGAAGCGCCCTGGCTGCCTGGGGTCTGAGGGCGAGCGCGACATGGCTTCATTGGCGCGCAAGCCTGGCCTGCGGTCCGTTGCTCTAGGCTTGATGAGCAGAACAAGGTGGAGGACTTGCAAATCAAGCTGAATCTGGCAACTCGTACGACGAAATAACCGAATGTGACGCGATAACGGCACCATGTCCTGATCCGTCCTTGCTCCGTTTTGAGGCCCTTACGGAGTTAGATGAGACCAAAGGCCGCTCAGAGCGAGATTTCAATTCCGACCGGCCCACCGGCCGACCGGCCGACTGGCCGAAGAGAAGCCCAGGAGCGCTGGACGCGGCTCAGAAGAAGATCACCGAGATGGAGTCCACGGCTCCAGAGGAGGAGCTGCCTGCCGGAATTGGCGGACCTTGGTCTCCGACAGCTCGGAGTCGCTCCGAAGCCCCACACGGACCAAGGACGGATGTGAGGATAGAAATCGCCAAGTCGCTGCTGGCCTTTCTCGCCGTTGTGGCAGTGGAGCCCTGGCGCAAGCACAGCTGCCCGTGAACTTCGATGAAAACTTCATCAGCAGAGAGTTCCAATCAGAAATTACTGACATGGTTGTGGGTAGACCCCTTTTTTCAAACCTGGTTTCAGTGTGTCTGAAAATGTCTGATTTGCTGCCCATGCAGGGAGTTATTTACTTCATTGTAATCCTGCAAGAGAAAGAGCTGTTCGGTGATGCTGACTGCGACGATGTGCCTACGCTGGCCAGAAGGCCAGGCATTTGGGGCTGAGATGGAGTGAACGACATGGCTGTGGGTCCAAACCCTGTACCCCTGGTGAACATCAAAATAGGTGGCAAATGGATGTTCATCCACCCCAAACTGGAGCCAGAGCTTATGCCCCATGGCCACATTGCGCACGAACCACCAAGAGACTGCGAGTCTGTGAGTCAGGAGTTGTGAGTGGTGCGGTTCGGGGACGCTGGTTATGCCGATCGGCGGCGACTTCGAGAAGGGTTGGTCAGATCTGCAACTCGCCGCAGCTCACTTTGAGCATGCCATCAGATTGCCATCAGTTTACCATTTTGTTTCTTCCTGCACTAGCATGGCTCTCGACTTTCTGTTTGAATGATCATGCTTGCCAGAGACGGGTTGCCGAGGGCCAGATGTGTCTTCTACCTTTTTGTGCTGCTCTGGTCATTTCAAGGGGTCTGGAGCTTAGCTTCCCATGACTCGTGACGGATGTTGACTTTGTGCGGACATGAGCAGATGCTTGCGACTGAAACAGGTTGGCATCATCTGCGATGAGTTCATGGCTGCGATCGAAAAGATCACAAGCAGCAAGCGCTCGAAGTGGGTGACCAACTGTGCGGGGCAGAAGGCAGTGAACTAGCACACAATCCAATACATTCAAAAAGGATGAATGCATTAAAAAGCTCAATTCAAGAACATGGCCACCTTGCCGGTGCCAGAGAGGTCCGGCAACCTGCATTTTTCAGGTGGAGATCCGCGTAACTGTTTGGAATCAGACGCTGGCAAATCTCAGCCTGATGGCATCTCAGTTGAACAAGTTGACACTTTTGGTTGTGCTTTGTGGCTTGGGTTGGCACTGAGGCATTAGGCAGGGATGCGCTGCAACTTGCTGCCTTGAATTTGCGCACATGTATACATGTATCACTTGGGTCAAGCAGACATTGCATGAGAGCATGACACGTGAGGCAGACTTGCACTTGCCTTGAATGTGCTGACAGTCCCTGAAGGCTCGTCAGCACCGGAGATCTTGTTGTCCACTGTGGAGTTACTCGTCACAAACTCAAAGACGAAATTGGCTTCTGAAGCTTGAAGGAATCGAATGCGGGGATGCGGGGGCACCGAGGGCTTCTAAAGCGTTTGCATCACCTTGAGATGTTGGCCCACGCAAACCCTTCCGCAGCACATCGAAAGCCACCCTTGTCAATAAGCTGGACGCAAAGATCGCCCAATGGGTTGCACCCATTCTGTCAGCTTTGCATTGCTCGGGCTATGGGCAAACATATTCGGGCAAGGCCGCAAGGCCCTACCTAAAGGACCAAAAGGACCAAAAGGACTGGTAGCTCAGCGGAACCGGGCATCGCGTCCAAGGCTGTGCAGCAATCGCTTTTTTGCGGGCAGCCTGGGCCCTCAGACGGTCGTCGGCAGCGCTGCCTTCAACCTCTTTTGCCACTTGGCAACGGTTGAGCGCTCTTCAGTGCCACGTTTTTCGAGACTTGCAGTGAGAATATGACCCCCGATGTTTGTCCTGAGGCATATCATCGGTTTGCATCTCGGCCATTCCGCACATGCAGACCCGCAGAATCGAGAAGTTCCACGTCTTCTGCTTCACATGTGCTGCATCTGTGCTGGCTTACCTGTCACCCGGCAAGCAAAAACCAGAGTGAGACCAAGGTTGACCAGAGATGAGTGTTTTTTTCCCCAAACAGCGAAGCATTGGGGTTCTAACTTGAGGTATAGAGAATGGGAAAGTGTGACGCCGATTCCGGGGTCCTGTTTTCCGCTTGTCTTCCTGTCTCCCAGTCTCTCCGGTCAGATGCCAGATGCTGTGACGCTGGCTCCAGGGTCGTGTCTCCCGCTTGTCTCCCTGTGTCTCCCAGTCTCTGCGGTCAGATGCCAGATGCTGTGACGCCGGCTCCGGGGTCGGTCTCCCAGTCTCTGCGGTCAGATGCTAGATGCTGTGACGCCGGCTCCGGGCGCTTGTCTCCCTGTGTCGCCCAGTCTCCGCGGTCAGATGCCAGATGCTGTGACGCTACTCCGTGGCTCCGGGTCGTGTCTCCCGCTCCCTGTGTCTCCCAGTCTCTGCGGTCAGATGCCAGACGCTCCGCGGGGTGGTGTCTCCCGCTTGTCTCCCTGTGTCTCCCGGTCTCTGCGGTCAGATGCCAGATGCTGTGACGCTGGCTGCGGGGTCGTGTCTCCTCCCACTTGCTCCCTGTCTCCCAGTCTCCGCGATCAGATGAGATGTAGATGCTGTGACGCTGGCTCCGGGTCGTGTCTCCCGCTTGTTTTCTGTGTCGCCCCGCTTGTCTCCCTGTGTTACGGTCGGATGCCAGATGCTGTGACGCCGGCTCCGGGCTTTGTGTCTCTCAGTCTCTGGACGCCGACGCTGTGACGCTCGGGGTCGTGTCTCCCGCTTGTCTCCCTATGTCTCCCAAAGTCTCTGCGGTCAGATGCCAGATGCTGTGATGTGACGCTGGCTGTGGGGTCTGTTTTCCTATTTTTCTTGTGACGCTGGCTCCGGGCGTGTCTCCCGATTGTCTCGCCTCTGCGGTCAGATGCCAGACGCTGGCTCCGGGGTGGTGTCTCCCTCCGTGTGTCTCCCAGCCTCTGCGGTCGGAGGCCAGATGCTGTGACGCCGGCTCCGGGGTCGTGTCTCCCGCTTGTCTCCCTGTGTCCCAGTCTCTGCGGCTGGCTGTTTGTTTAATGCTTACAGCCCTCAACAGGGCTCCGGGCAAAACCAACTGAAGCTGCTTCTTTGCGAGCTTTGGGGCTGCCAGCTGGCTGTTTTCCTGCTTACAGCCCTCCTGTTGAAATGAAGGTCTCGGGCAAAACCGGCTTGCTTGGCATCCAGTAACTGGCGTTCGGCTCCCTTGCTCCCTTCGGCTCACGTGGCAGCAGCTCGCAAGCCAATTGAGAAGCATCAAGCTAGAAACATAGATTCGACAAGTCAGCAGGAACCACTTGCAACAATGCTTCGCAACGGGGAACGGGCATGTCGCAGATTTTGCTGTTAGCCTGTGTGCAAAGGATGTGCCTCTCTCTTGGCCAAGCGCAGGTTTGCATCCTTGTGGAGCATCGTTGGAGCTAGAAGCAAGCAATGTCGAGCCTTTTTTTGTCGGTGAACAAACAAATCGTGACATCCGGCTGATATTATTGCTTTGCTCAGGAAACTGAGCTGCTTTTTAGAAGCCAGTGCCGCACTTCTTGGTCAAGTGCAAGTTTGCATCCTTGTGGCGCACTAGCAGGGCCCTGTCGAGCCTTTAATATGTGTATGTTTCTCGATAAAAACAAATATATAGTGACATCCGGCTGATTGCTTTTTGGAATCAGCAGAGGCCTGTCGAGCCTTAAAATATGTAGACTGGCTTCGATAGACAAATACGGCTGATACTGAGCTGCTTTTTAGAAGCCAGTGCCCGCACTTCTTGGTCAAGTGCAAGTTTGCATCCTTGTGGCGCATCAACTAAGCTCTGAGCCTTAAATGCTTAGTCAAGTGCAGGTTTGCATCCTTGTGGCGCATCAGCTGAACAAGTTCCGTGACACCCGGCTGATACTGAGCTGCTTTGTGCAAGCCAGCGCCGCACTTCTTGGTCATCCTTGTGGCGCATCAGCAGAGCCCCTGTGTCCATCGCCTGATTGCTTGGCTCAGGATTCTGAGCTGCCTTTTGGAAGCCAGTGCCGCACATCTTGGTCAAGTGCAAGTTTGCATCCTTGTGTGGCGCATCAGCAGAGCCCTGTCAAGCCTTAAGTATGTACTGTTGTTCTCGATAAACAAATACCGTGACATCCGCCTGACTGCTTTGCTCAAGGTTCTGAGCTGCTTTTTGGAAGCCAGTGCCGCACTTCTTGGTCAACAGGTTTGCATCCTTCTGGCGCGTCAGGAGAGCCCTGTCGAAGCGTAAATGATCAGGAGACTGAGCTGCTTTGTAGAAGCCAGTGCCGCACCTGTTGGTCAACTGCAGGTTTGCATCCTTGTGGCACATCAGCAGAGCCCTGTCGAGCCTTAAATGTGTCTGTTTTCTCGATAGACAAATATACTGCGACATCTGGCTGATTGCTTTGCTCAGTATACTGAGCTGCTTTTTGGAAGCCAGTGCCGCGCTTCTTGGTCAAGTGCAGGTTTGCATCCTTGTGGCGCATCAGTAGAAGAGCCCAGCCGAGTGGCCGTAACTGACAGCAGAGGCCAGCCAAGTGGCCGTAACTGACCGGTTTGCAGCCTTGTGGCGCATCAGCAGAGCCCAGCCAAGTGGCCTGAACTGACTGGTTTGCATCCTTGTGGCGCATCAGCAGAGCCCAGCCAAGTGGCCGTAACTGACTGGTTTGCATCCTTGTAGCACATCAGCAGAGCCCAGCCAAGTGGCTTTAGCTGACTGGTTTGCATCCCTGTGGCGCAATAGCAGAGCCCAGCCAAGTGGCCGTAACTGACTGGTTTGCATCCTTGTGGCGCATCAGCAGAGCCCAGCCAAGTGGCTTTAGCTGACTGGTTTCACGCAATAGCAGACCCAGCCAAGTGGCCGTACCTGACTGGTTTGGTGGCCGTAACTGACTGGCCCAGCCAAGTGGCTTTAGCTGACTGGTTTGCATCCTTGTGGTGCAATAGCAGAGCCCAGCCCAGTCAAGTGGCCTGAGCTGACTGGTTTGCATCCTTGTGGCGCATCAGCAGCCAGCCAAGTGGCCCTAACTGACTGGTTTGCATCCTTGTGGCGCATCAGCAGAGCCCAGCCAAGTGGCCTTAACTGACTTGGAATGGAGAAGGCGCACGGCTCCAGAGAGCGTTTTACCAGCAAAGCTTGTGCGGGGGTCAGCCACCATCTCAGCCAAAATCGTATGAAGCGGCGCTGCAGGAAAGACCTCTAGCGGATGACACCAGCAAGTTGCGCAAGCAAGTTGCGTTAGCAAGTAGCACTAGCGAGTTGCACTGGCAAAAAGTAGCACGAGCAAGATAGCGCTTGCGAGATGCATGAGCCAGTAGCGCTAGCCAGTGGCACTAGCAAGTAGCACCAGCAAATGGCGCTAGCAAGTTGCAGCGGTGAGTTGCAAGATGAACCCGGCCAAGCTGGTGGTGCCCACTGTGCAGCCAGCATTGGTAAGTTGGGGCAAAGTTCTCACACGTTTCCGAGATGGAGCAGGGCTGGAGCTGACGTTCAAGCCAAGCTTGGAGCGGCGTTGGGCGCATGGAGCAAAGCCATGCGTTGGCCATCTTGGGAGCATGCGCGCGCTGGACACGACAGAGATGAAGGCCCTGGATGACCAAGCTGCCGGCTCAAACACTGAGGATTGTCTGGAGCTGTGCCGGGTGAGAGAGGCGCGCGCCAAATGAGCACCTTTGCTGACGCTTGCCAATTTGGCGCGGCGTGTGTCTGCGTTGCTAGGCGAGGATGTCCCGCTGCAAGTTTATGCAAGTGCTCTCTTGCTTTGCTTGTGGCAAGACCTTTAGCCGAGCTCGAAAAGAAGATAGCAACCAGAAGTGGCATGTGTCCAGTCTCGGCCGCAAGCTGCTGAGACTGATGCGCAAGTTTCAGCAGAGAAGCGAGACGGCCACCAAATGCTGCGGTGATGGAAAGTGCATTGAGTGTCGAAAGTTCCGTCGAAACTTCCTTTAATTAATGCCAGGTGTTAGGTTGATTCACCCCGAATCCCCGGGGCCTTCACTCTCGAACATGGCACTGACATGGAATTTTCTCCTCGAAGTCGATGAACAACATTGATGCTTTTACCCGGCGTCAAGGAGATGGATGGGCCCGATGTGTCCTCTTCCCAAAAAAGGGGACTTCCTGCAGCGGACATACATGGACTGATTGTAACTATGTGTTGCTCACATAAGCTACTCAATTTCGCACCTTACATGAAGGAGACAAGCCTTTTTTGGGGTTATACAGTTATACAGACCTGTCATGCGTTTTTGCTGTTTGGGGTCGAGGCTGGTGTAATTTGTTTTTTCTCTTTTTGTGTGCTGTGATAAGTAGACTCGCCAAGGTGGATGCTGGTGGTTCTGGCTGGAATCACACCGGACAGAGTGGACCTATGGGAAGGCAGCTGAGTCTGTTCAGATCATTGCAGAGCACAATCCCATCTTCCGAATTGCAAAGGTCCCCCTCATAGAAAACAATCATGCCTTCTAACCTGAAACCCCAATACATAAGTTAGAACCCAGTTGCCTAGCCTCACTCCGGAAACTCAACAGACATCGATACGACATCTTGAGCACTCCGGACGTGCCAGGTGTAGTGACACTTTCGTTCTTTTTCGTCTTCTTGGCGGTCGCTTTCTCACTGGACAAACGCTTCTCCAGCGACGACCCCGACTATGATGTTGTGGAGGTGCATCGTCAGCTGCGCGGATGCAAGGAGTGTTCAGCCAAAGCAGAGACACAAAAGAAGCAAACAGAGGAGCAGGGATTCGGAAGACGGCGCACACCTTCAGAGACCTTCGGAGAGAGCACTCAGCTCTGATCCGAGGCTGGAAAATCGGTTTGGCCAGCCAGTGAACCTGGAAGGACTCTGTGACTGAAATGGCAGTGGGTGAAAAATAGGCCGTTTTGGGATCCCTGGTACATGGAACCAAAGACTCCTGGTCCCCTGGTCGTTTAGCTTTGACCCATACACAAATTGGACGACTCACAGGTTTTCTTAAGCTGAAGACCCTGGACTCGTTTGTGGGCCCGGTTGTGTTCTCAGGAGTTCGGGCGATGCTGAAAATGCAGCCGCCGCAGCCGGAGGGTCGAAACTCAAGACTCACAGCTAAAGGCCAGTCGTTGGATTGCGATGGCTTGAGCAACCCGCGGGGGTTCCAAGCCGAGCTATGGGAGGCAAGCTGCTGCGGCTTTCCGTTGGTGGCAAGAAGCAGCCGAACTCCTATGCCTACGGTTTCTTGGTCGCTGAAGAGGCGACTGAAGAGAATGGAGGGACCGGAACGGTCTTTAGTTGCTTTGAGTTTGGTGCGAACTTTTGAATCGCAGGTGGTGACAAGCGGCGAAGCTGCTGTTGTGCTTCAGATTGTCGCGATGAACGGCCCTCACCCTGCCCCCGCGGCTTGTGCTCCAATTCCATTCGAGGATTTTGTTCGGTGAGCTCGGTGCGCTGCCAAATTTTGCATGGACACGCCTTGTTGACTTTGGAAGGTGCATGCTTTCGGGTGCCAAGGTCCGGATAAAGTACCGGACAAGAAACGGGATGGCCAAAGCTGGGAAGAGGTTTCTCGGCTACAATGTGCAAGTAGGAAGACTTTCCCATGACAGCGGTGGAGGTACCACCAGAAGTCCGGTGTATTGCACTTCCTCCCAGAGGATGACAGGCAAGAACTACGGTGCCCTGACTCAGAGCGTTTGGATGTTTGGCAACTTTACAAGTTGTTTAAGCGTATTGGCTGCCTGGGATCGGGCGCCGAGGGGCATGGAGGGTGCTTCAGGGTGGCATGTTTAGAGCATGCTGAGCATGCTGAGCATGCTGAGCACATGTTGAGCTCACAAGTATTTGAACCTGGGCCATAGCTTCGAGTAGTGTTTGGGTCCAGTGCCGATTTTTGCCATCCGATTGCGGAGTTCACGCGGAGCCGTAGCGAGCGCGCTTTCGACTTGCGCGTGCCGCCTGCCTGCGAAATGGAAACAAGCTGGAGCTCGCAAAGATGTCAACTCCAAGATTGTCCGAAGGGCCACGGCATGCTGCGAATGAGTCAAACAAACGCAACCGTGCAGAGACCACTTCCAGACGTAGCCAAGAGGGACGTGCACACCAAGCAGGGAAAAGCACGCTGTCAACGTGTGGATGTTTGATCGATTCTGGAGGCAGGTGCAGCGACCGAAGCCCCGCTGCGAGTAGCCGCGTACATGATTTGGTGAAACTCCCAACAGAGTACTGTTTCGCGTGGCGCAGCACACCTTTGCCCATGCAGCCGTTGTGCGTGCTCTATTTCTGTCACATGCTGCCTGAGAACCAGTGTTTCACTTCTTCAAAAAAAGGAGGAACGCAACCCGTTCTTGAGCCGCCTTTGTGATTCCTTGTTGGACCCTTGATTTCAATTCATGCTGGTCCCAAAGCTTCGGCTTCAACAGGGCTTCCGGGGAAAAGCAGTATACAAGAGTCACATGACCAGCTACACAGTCTTGGTTTAAGATTGGTCCGATCTAGGCAGGTTTGCTTTAGAGTTTGTGTAGGGTGGTCCTGGATTGACCTGATGTCGGTCCAAGAGTCCAAGATGGGTTTTAGTTTGGCCGGGTTTGGCTTGATGTGGGAACAATTTTGTTTAGGGTTGATTTTGGTTGGCTCAGGGATGCCACGATGCGTGGTGGATGCGCTTTGGGTCGGTTCAGGTTGGTAAGTTTTAGATAGGTCTTGAGGTGGTGTAGGATAGGTCTCGAGGTTGTTTGGGCTGGCTTTGCTTGGTGTCGTTCGGTGAATGTAAGGTCACGCATTGAGTTGGCACCAGGGATTTCTTTTGCCCATTCGTGATTTGTTCATTTTCATCTCAGGATTTCCATGATGGATACACAGGGTCCACCTGAAGAGTTCTACGTGGAGCTCACCGAGTGCCTCGCTATTATCGATTTCTGCAATTCATTCTGTGGCAAACAAATCCTTCGTGGCACTGGGCACTCAGTTTCCTGCCTCAGGATCCATGCAGAAGGAGCGGAAGGCAAGAAAAATCCTCCGGTTCTGGCGAACAGTGGCTGCTGTGCTTCGGACGAAAAGATCGGGCTCGGGAGATACATTAACTTTGGGCCACGTTGCCCACAACCACAATGTGCCAGCCCTGTGCAAGGCTTGGTGTGGATCCTTTCGGAGTCTGATGGAGTGACTCGGAATCACTTGCTTTGAAGACCTTTTCAGTGCAAGGCTGGTCCCGTTTTGCACCAGAGGGGCAATCAAAGTTCAGGGCAACATGATTCTTCAAGTGCCCATGCACTCGCAGTGCTGCAATCTGCGTGACCGAGAGTTGAGAGTGTAAGGACACGAGCAGCTTGGCCTGTTTAGCCGACGCGTTGGAGGGTACACCGCCATTCAGACACTGTCGCATGAGAACTGGAACGGAGGTATGGACACCACCTTGGACATGTCACCCCCACAAGGCGAGGGATCTTTGCACGTGGAGAGCTGCATCTCACTTTGGTCTCCTTATGCATTCAGTTTCTAGCACATGGCTACAGCCGAGTTTGCCAGGAACAGAGGATAAGGCCTTGCCCTTAGTGATGTGGATTGCACGTCTAGAGCCTGTCAGAGCATGCCATTCTCCCTACAGAGCTCGTCGCATGAAGAGCACTCAGTCGCAATAGAATGCAAGGCTCGCAAGCAGCACCTTGCCTCAGTACCACGCCAGAGCCCAAAGTGTGCGCAAGCGCGATGCCGCACCGTGTGTCTCGCACTTGGCTTTCGGTTCAACGCATTCAGGTGAGAGCGAAGCAGCCACTGCACAGACTATGTGTGACATGGACGGCTTCGAATCGAAGGAAGCCAAACAAGAATACAGATCTGAAGCCAAATCTGATTATAGGTCTGAAGCCAGATCACAAGCTGAACCAGGCAGGTCTGACGTTAATGTTGGCAGGTCGGCCAGCATTCAAGTCCAATTGCACAACACAACACTCTTGGCCGTTCTACGGGCACTTTCCTTGTTACACACCAGAGTTGTTGCGGCTTGGCTAGTGAAATGCTTGCCGTAGGCAGCGAAGAGCCGGATGAAGCCTTCAGCTGTGGGCATTGGCGAGACAAGGCGCGGAGTTGGAGACCGATGGATCGGAGTTTTCGGAGTTTCGACGCAGGTCGTTGAGGCGCTCTTTTGCAATGGCAGCCCAGCAGAGCTGCCTGGATGCAACTCACATCTGACTCCACACTGGGATGCCGTGGGGCTAGGGAGTGGACGAGTTGACCCCATGCTATAGCTAAGGCAAGCGCAGGCAACAGTATTCGATTGGTTGATGCACTGCTTGGCGCTGACATGGAAGATCGTCTTTCTACTTGCGGCTTGCCGGCAATGCCGATTTCCAGAACAGAGGTCGGCCCGGACGTAAAGGTCATGCAACAAGACATAACCTATGGCATTCTGAGTGGGTGGAAGCCTCCCATATGGGTTTCCAGTTGCCTTTTCGGCGGACGATGCGGGTGTGCAGCTCAGGTTCCCCCACCATCTCTTCTCGGTGCATATCCTTCCTTCTTTTGCTCATTGCTCGGCATTGGGCTGGTCACTGTCGCGGCGGCCTCAGCCAGTGACGTCTTCGATCTGGCTGGAAAAACGAACGCGACGAGGTGATCAACGACGCTGCCAGCTTGCTGGGCTGCTCTGCTGGCATGGCGGATGACCTCACCGCCATCACCCTGGTGGCACTGGGCACAAGCCTCCCAGCCACTTTGGCCGCCATGCGCCGCCCAAAGTAACATAAATGTGACCCACTTGCCGCACTCCGCATGCAACATGGATGCTGACATGGCTTGGTTTCATCCATTGATCTAAGGATACGATGGCATCCCGAACGGCAGCTATGTCTGACGATACGGCAGATAACTCCATAGGCAACATCACCGGCAGTGACTCAGCCCAACGGTAAGCCTCTGCTTTCGGAGGCTTCTTGTTGTCTGGCATGCCCTGCGGCTTTCAGAGAACTCTTTGGCTTTCCTGAGTGGTTTCAGCAAGGCAATGCCGTGAACGTGTTGCTGGGCATGGGAATTAGCTGGACTCTGGGAGCAGTCTACTGGAGCACTTCAGGAGTGACTGATGATGCTTGGCTGAAGGCTCGCCCTTCTGTTCGTCTTTTGTGTGGGAGCAGAAGGTGCCGAAGTGCGTAGATTCAATCAGCTGAGGAGTGGAAAAGCCATTTGACCACCTCTGGAAGCTATGAGCAGATCCGGCCTGAGCTGTGTGTGCTTCAGTGACGTAGGACACGGACTTGTAGATTGAAACCATAGCCTGTTTCAGGCTCTATTTGGCAAGCAATCCGGCTGGAGGCTTTATCGTTACAGCAGGCTGGTGTCATGCCGCATGTCTTGAGAGCACGTCGATCAGATGTGAAAGCAACACCGAATGCAGGGGCTATCTCCTTTTCCGTCTCCGCCTTTGCCGTCTTGGCTATCTTTTGCGTGATCCTGCTACCTGATGGCAAACGAGGTCGCATGAACCAAGCATACGGGGGTTCAGGCAAGATACCTCACTCCTCCTGTGGTTTCAGATGGTTTGACGGGACAGCGCAACAAAGCTGCTCTTCCGGAGAACTGCGCCATCGCGCTGAGGCTCTTCGCGCGACGCCAGCACTACGGTGGAGAGCTCGGTGGACCCAAAGCCGCGCAGAGGCGGGCCTTGAGTTGCGGAGAACTTTCGGGCGAGAGGTTTGTGCCGCATCAAGAACCCAACCAACATGTCAGGAGAGACAGCTTCCTATGCTTCTTGCTTTGGGTTATGCTGCCCGGCAAACAAGATGGCTACATGCCGTCCCATGCCCGTGCGCGCTCAACATGCACTCAGCTGAAGTTCTTTGTGGACCTCAGTTGGCGGGCGGATCCGGCGGCAGAGCCCACGAGCCAAGGTTCATAACTGCAAACATTGTGTGTCTTGGATTTATACTAGGAGTTATATCAAGAGCACGTGTGGGTCCTGCTCTGTTTTGAAGCAGTCGGAGATGCACCTGAGGTACGACAATCTCAAAAAGTGAATGCACCCCTTGGTACCCTTGTATCAACGTCCTGCCTGGCTTAGCCACAGGATGCTGCGCAACTGAGCTGCACAGAATGGGGACTTCGGCTCGTTTGTGCTTTGCGTCTGGGCAATTCGGCTCCTTGCCTGCAAGGCGGTGGTGTATGTGAGGAGTAAATATTAAATGCATGAGAGTACCAAACTGTCACGTCCTGACGGGACCCTCATCGGCTTCGAGGCACGTAAATCATGGCTATTAAGCACTCTCGTGCTCCCAGCCCATCCCTCGATCCGCGCAAAAGCGCTGGTAGACTTCAAGGGATGGTGTTCTTACGGGGCGTTTGCCGGCATGCTGGCGTCCTTGTGCATAGGCAGCCATGCAATTGATTTTTCGCACTAGGGAGGCATGGGCAGAGTTTTCTGTACCTTGATCAGAGACGGTGCTGTTGTTTCCAATGCGCACTCAGTGGCTGCATGTGAAAGGCCACGCGCTGCATGTGACCAAACGTCACTCGCAGTTCCGGTTTCACCCAAACCTGGGAGTCCTTGCCACGCCTGGTTTTTTTTGTTCTCAGATCCATGGCTTTCAGCTTGCACTGCTTGGAGTGACCTTTGGTGGCGTGGACGGACGCAGGGAGGCAGAGAGACATGGAAAGATGCACCCGAGCTCCGAGTTGAGCTGCAATCGAATCAAGGTGACAGCTACTCACCGAATTCGATTTCGCCGCTGGAACTCACCGAGCCAAGAGGGTTCTGGTTCTAGTTGCATCTAGCCCCCCAAAGGTTGCACGTGTGAACTCCAAGTGATGGGGGCCATGCCAGGATCTTCGAAAAGGAGAGGGAGCAGCTACTTTCCTACGATGCCCATGCCTTTCTTTACTTTGCCAGAAGCTCAAGCCAGCTTGGGATCTATTCTGATGGCATCCCTGGCGAAACTGCATGCTCTTCGCACACTATCCTGTTTTGTGTTCTTGATATGGCTGTGGGCCAAAAATAGGCACCCAAAATGGAACACTTTTAAATGGAACCAGGACACAAACCTGCGGTCCCCTGGTGGTTTAATTTTGACCCATGCCGACATGGGCTTCAACTCCCACCTTGGCCGTCTTCAAGCCAACTTTAGGACAGTTCACGTGTAAAGCGTATTGATGGATCCAGTAAGCTCAGCCTAAGTCGAGTCAACACCCCTCCTTCACCGGGGGCCCCATGTGCTCCAAGGCGCAAGCTGGCCTCACGGTAGCCGCCCCAGCCGCGCCAGCCGCGCTGCATGGCATCCAGCAACAGTCACAGCCCAGGTGGTGCTTCTGCCTTGGACGTGGTACCTGATTCGGTCCATCCTCTTTCCAAGGCGAGGCACAGGATTTGGGCGAGGCAACTCGTTAGCGCCAGGCCGCCTGCTGAAATGGACTTCGAGTCGAGCAGCTCGAAGCCCGAGGGCAGTGAGGTACGGCTTTGTCGAACCTCCTTCATGGAGGCGCTGGTCTCGACTTGCCGCGTCGGTTGCGCTGCGCAGCTTGGTCCATGGAACTGTGAAGTGGTGAACTGTGATCAGGCGAGGCGGCTCAATTCCTTGCAGATAGCGCAGAAGAGGAGGCGAGCGCGTTTCCATCTTGAAACCTTCCTAGGTATCCCATGATCTGCTGCAGGTTCCGCTTCGTTATCAAAGCCCAGCTGGTGGCATTGGCTTTGTGCTGGTGGGAGGGGTTGTGGGGTTGTGGGAGGGCAAAGTGTTTGATTGACTCGTCATTGATTTGGCCAGAGACGGAGACTCTGAGACATGCTGAGCTCATGCGAGGGCGATGCTCGTTTGGGTCCTGATAGAGCTGAAGGAGGGGCAGGGAGAGATCAGAGCCTGGATGTAGGGATAGGGGTGCCTCACAGTACGAACCGATTGATGTAACCAGGAAATCCACTCAGAACATTCGAACAATGGTTCAAACAGCCGGTGCTCTTGATATTACGTACCGCCCTTTTTGCCTCATCCATCAGAACAACTTTTTCCGGGCTCTGTCCTTGTCCAAATGGCCCCCCTCGGCCAGGCGCACAAACGTCAACTTGGCTTGCTTTTTGCAGTCCAACATGGTAAGCTCCACCTAGCACTATGCGGTGTAATATGTATTTCAAGTATGAAAGTAGAATTCGGCTCGAACTTATTTTGTGGAGCTCTCTGATTAATCAGGGTCCGGCGGGTGTGTGGAAGATGTATCTTGACTAGGGTATTTGTTGGGTGGAATACAATGTCGCAATCTGTTCAGGTTGCGTGTCTCATGTCTCCGTCGAAGGACGCTCCAGCGGAGCTGCGAACCTTTGATCCTTACCAGATCCTTGGCGTGTGACCCTCAGCTCGAGGTTAAGCGCGCAGGAACAGTGAGGGCACGCATGAGGTGGAAAGGGGTGCTGGAGCGCGGGAGATCAAGAAGGACCGGACTTTGGGGAGATTCGGAACTCGGAAGGATTTGGCATACTCTGAAAGCGTGGTCTCGGACACTTCTGGACTCGTTCAATTTCCCACGATGACGGAGGAACTCACCAAACATCTCATGTCCAATGAGGGAATAGCGTAGTTGACCCCACCTCGTGTGTGTGTGTGTGAAGGCTGCCTGGTGCATTGTTGCATGGAGTCGAAAGCCATGCAGGCCTACCATACCAAGTCCTTGCAGCACCACCCAGACAAGGTGGACGAGGGCACGATTTTTTTTCGTCAGGACTTGTGGATGTGTTTGTTTTGGAGGACAAGGACAACCCCTTGGCCCCAGTGCTCTTCCAGCAGGCCAGGGAGATGGTTTGAGACTGTCTAACCGCCTAATTCCGCGTCCAGGTGTCCAAGGCCTACGAGGCCCTAACGGACGAGTCTGCACGCAAGAACTACGAGAAGTACCCGGCCTTGGGGTGGTACAAGGCATGCCAAGGCATTCCAAGGCACTCAAAAAACCTTTGGACCGAGGGTTTGTTGTCTCCTGGACATGGTGTTGAGTTTTCTGGCTTGCAAGGTACGGAAATCCTGACGGGCCCGTTCAGATGAAGGCAGAGTTGCGGATGCATGATTCCGGCAAAGGCTGTGTTCAAACTCTGGCATTGACTCTTGCGCGCGCTCGGCTCACAGTTTCACCCTTGGAACCAGAATCACATAGTGCACAGCAGCGCCAGGAGTGCTTTCCTGAATAGAGGTTGCAGACACAGCAGATGCGCCAGGAGTGCTTTCCTGAATAGAGGTTGCAGACAGCCGAAATCTTAAGCCAAAGGTTGGAACGGAATGGAGCCAGCGGCCACGCAAGAACAGTTTCTTTGTAATCCAAGAGACAGTGACACAAGATTTACACATTCTCCGAGAAGAAGGTCTTTGGCACCTTTCACTTTTGATTGTCAACGCATTGGCTTGGCCGCTGACTTAGCTTGCAGAGCATATTCACCCAAACTCTTACTAGTTGCTGTTTATTTCTTCTTTCGAACCACCTTCACCTGCCCCGGAACACACGCAACGATTGCTGGGCACGTGAGGTCTATGTGGGCGCGCAGGCATCCTGACAAAGCTGACAGGGCTTAACGCATTGTAAGGCACTTGTTCTCTGAGGTTCTCCGAGGGTTAAAGGGCTAGAGCTTCGAGCACCATCTTGGCTGGCTAGCAGCCCCCTCTTGCTCGCGCCATAGCTCCAGGTGCGGTGCGCGACCACGATGGCCTTCCCGCGTCAAGGCTGCCGCGGGGTTTGGGAGCTGACCAGGCTGACCAGCTTTTGTTTGATTATGACTCTCATGCGAACCGAGAAAATGAACGACCCGGCAGCCGAACAGAAAAGGACAACCAATCTGGAAGAAGTCCGTGAGTCACGAAGAAGTAGCCTTTTGCAGAGTGGACTTTGTCCATTTTGCCGCCATGTGCAGGTGGTTTTCTTCAGTTTCCTCTCTGGCACGCTTGGGCTCTCTCTTTACAGCTACATGGTGGGATTGAACGCATGGCCCTGAGTTGCCACTTGTGAAGCGTCGCTTGAATGACCCAGATGGGCTTGGGCGACCGAGAGCTTGGGCGCTGGGCCTGCTAAGACCTCCTCGCTGGACCTTTCATCGCCCACCTCGGAGAACGTGCGATGCCTCTCGGGCTGGCCAGCGCGGTATGACAGGGCCGGGTGCTCAGAGTCGGCCCCAAAGCTGCAGACCCCGGCGCCCCTCTCGTTACATTTGCATCCTTGCGCTGTGACGTTACCTGGCCCGTTGCTCGATATGCTAGGTACTAGCTTTCAACGGTTGGAACACGCTGGAGGCAGCTTTTGCATCATCCTCTTTTTGGTGCAAACATTCATGTCCAAGATGAGTTGGCCTTTTTTGGGAAACTTGCTGCATGGAGTGGGGTCATGGAGTCCGACTCTGCAGGGATAAAAGAGCCTTCCTGTCAGGAGGATGGAGTCATCTTCCAGGTCCCTGGCCAAAACCAGGACACGTTGCTTCTTTTTGTGCAGCTTGTGGATCATGGCCGATGACCAGCTAGAGTTGCAGGTTCGGCTAAGTTTGGGATGTGCAGAAGCTTTGGACAACTCGTTTAGGCATAGCAGCCGGCTTCAGGCGGCATGATGCGGCATTCTGATATTTGTGCTTAGGCAATTTGACTCGCTTGGCACTGCACTTGCTTCGAGGAGATTCTCGCGCGCTACGTGTGCCAGGCTCCAGATGTGGATCTGGCCTGCAGGCGAAGTGAGGGGATCGACACCCGTTGCTTTTGGTTTTTGTGTCTGACCAGGGACGTGAAGCTCCGAACCCAGGATTTAGGCAGGCCGCCGGAGCCCCGGCCCGAAGCAAGCGACTTCGTGACTTCGAGTCCAAGTTCCCGAGTGCGGAGTCCGAGGCTGGCGATGGCCATGGGTGGTTCAGGCTCTGACCTGCAGTACTACGACTTGCTGGGTGTTTGGGTTCACACCTTAGACGAGACCAGGGAGCAGGGCTGGAGAGGGCGGGAGAACTCAGGCGCTGCTGTGGCTTGTGCTCACCTGTGGGGCATGGCTTGGGGTCACCATCCACGACCTGGCCCTCATTGGCCAGACACAGAAGGACAGAGCCCTGCTTGCCCTGGCCACCTTGACGGGTCAAATAATTCAGGAATCCTTGGGGTCAGCTTAGACGATCCACTCACTGCGCTTGGCAGTCGCCTCAGTGCCGGCCTGGTCACCTCGGCTGGAGGACTTTGTGCTGGACGTGTCGGGGGTGAACCAGCACTGTCCCTGCATCCGCACAGTCTGGAAAGTGCTTGCAGGCTACAGGCAGGGCCCGGCAGAAACATCACTTCGCAAAGCGTCGCCTCTGAGCGATCAGTTTTTGCGCCAGTTGGGCGTGGCTCAGAATTTAAGAGCTAGGGTTACACATGTTCTAGTCTTGGTTCCATTTTCCAAGGTGCCATTTTGATACACTTTTTCGAGCCACAGCCAGTTGGTTGAAAGTTGCTTGCTGAATTTTCCACCGGCGCCGTGGTTTTCGGGGCTGACTTCTCACTCGCTTCGCCCCCGCAAGGCCCTTGGTCCGGCTGGCCACCATGGAGCACTGGAGCGCGCGGCTGCTCGGCATTCCGCGCGGGTGCCCAGTTGGCCATGGGTCAAAATCCAAATCGTACCGTGAACATCCCAATCCAACCACTAAAATAGGTTCAAAAATGGGTGGTGCACCTACCCAAGAATGGTACCATTGGTTTTGACCCACAGTTAACAAAGTCGTAAATCGTTTTTAGGCGGGGAAGGTAGACCAACTTGTTCAAAACCTAATCCCCGATGATTTTTGCGGATTGCGGAAGATGCGGTTAAGAAGGTTACGAACCAGAACAAGGATTCAGCAAATTCTAGATTGTGATTTGGCCCGGATGAAGATTGGGCAAGGCCTGCAAGTTTTGAATTTGTTTCGAGTACAGTATAGCTACAAAAACATAGGCATCTTCCCGATCTGTCCGCAGATTGATCTTTTGATCGGCTCGCTGCACTGAGGCTTGCGGTGTTGCTGGCTCCAGTGATTCTGGCAGCAGCCTGAAGCTGAGACGTCTCTGCTGCATGGGTGCCTGACCTAGGCATGGAATCTGCTCGTGCTGCTTTTCATCATTTGCCCCCTGATCCTTTTCGCCTTTATGTGCGGACCTCATAGCCTGCTGTGAGAGTAGTCTTAAACCTGCATGGAGTTTATTGCAAACACACACACAGACACACAGACACACAGTGTGTGTGTCTGTGTGTCTGCGTGTGTGTGTGTGTTGACAGACACCAGAGACACAGAGACACAGACACAGCGACACAGCGACACATCGACACACACAGACACACAGACACACAGACACACACACACAGACACACAGAGACACAGACTTACAGACACACACACACACACACTCTTCTGACTGCGTCAGGCGATATCCGATTAGAATGTGCGCTGCACTTAGATGGAGCTTCTGTCTTGACGCGGAGCCGTGGAAGCCATGTGGCTAAGGCAGGGCTTGGGTTTTCATCATCTCTGTAGCCTGTGCCGTGTATGGCGTGGCGTTGACCATGCAGCAGCTGGCAGAGCTCTGAGTTGAAATGAGATGTTGCAAGCGCTTCAAAGCTGAAGCTCACCTTCTTGGGCTGTTTAGGCGTATATGGCTTCCAAAGATTTGCGGCCTCAATACGTGGGGCTCACAGTACCGTGGGATGCGGATGCGTGCAGCATGCCATGTGCAAGGCTTTGACCTGGAAAGTCCCCAGCAACGAGACCACGTCACTGTCTCAGCACCTTTGGAGAATGGCTGGCGAGCATCTCAATCTTGTTCAAATTTGTTCTCAGTCTTGCTCAAAGCATCACAGCAAGCAGCCCTTCCATTGCTGTGCTCTTTTTCTCCAAATTGGCGCAGGAGCTTGTGCACTTGCGGATGTGACTACTCAATCTCCTCGAATGCCATGGCCTGAGAGCCTGAGAAAATCCATGGCGAGAAGGAAGAGAGGGATCCTTTCCAAGAGAGGGATTCCTGAGAGTGGCATTTTGTGAGATTTTGGGGGAAAGCTGTGGCAGAAAACGCTCATCTCCATTCCACACACACACACGGACGGAGAGACGCACAGAGTGAGAGAGAGAGAGAGAAACAAACAGAGAGGCGCACACACACACACAGAGAGCCACACACACACACACGCGGAGAGACAGACACGCACAGAGACACACCCACACAACAGACACCCACACACACACACATACCATGCCATTGAGGTTTGTGTCAATATCGGTGCCATTGGATTCTTGACCACGATGACGCTTTGCTGCATGCGGAAGAACGGAATTGCAGATTGGGTGAGCAGAAGCGTGCAACCAAAATGTGCCTTCCAGGAAAGCAGCATTTCTGGCCTTCCGTTGCCTCAAGGGCTTGCGGAGGCTCACGTTTGCAAGCAAGCATCACATTCAAGCTTTGCACGTGGCTTGGAGGTGTCAGTGGGCCAACCTCTTGTCTGTGACCTTCCCTGTTCCTCTCACAGCCTGGGCCCCGTCGCACGTCACTTTGGCATGCGCGTTTCTCTTCCAGTCCCGACTCGCTCCGAGGTGTACACCGTCGACTGGCAGCAAGCCGATGGCAAGCCCATCCGGTACCGCACGGAGGATGCGAATGCACAGAATGCACGGAATGCTCAGCATAGGTGTCCTTTTTGGTTGTTTTGCTAGGAAAATAGATGGCCCTAGTTTACCTGGTAATCATCTACCAGGGCCATCTATTTCCCCTAAAGGGACACCTATGATGCTCAGGACGTGACATGAGCTGCACAGCCATGAGGACATTCCCATCCAGGGCGAGGTGGCCTTTGACCCCTTTGCCATGATGGACGAGCAGCCGGACAGCAAGTTTACCACTGCGAGGAGCCCAGAGAGGCCCCGAAGCTTTGGAACTTGACATGGCATCCAAGCCATCCAAGACGACCAGAACATTTTGTGCTCAAGTTTTGAGGGTTCTCGGGTTCTCTAGCCCATCCAAACGAACCTACGAGGCTGCTTTCAAGGATTTTCAAGGTATCTTGCAGTTGCTTGGGCAGCGAGAGAGAGCGAGAGAGAGACAGAGATCGTCATGTTTGTTTGCCCTTTCCAGCAAAGCTGCTCACCAAGGTGCACTTGCGCCCCGAGCTTTTGCGGCCAGAGCAAGGCTCTCAAAAAAAACCTCAGCCTTGCCACGGCATGGCAGCTGAGATGCTGAGGCATTTGCACAGAAGCGATCCGGAAAGTGATGCCCATCGGCCTTGCAGGCAATGCACGGCAATGCACCCAAGACGTATGCAGTGGATGCCACCTCAGTCGACAGTCATGACTTGGCCTGCAGAGTACCATTTTGGCTCAAGAGAAACCCAATTCAGTTCAGTCCCGGACCCTGCGTGTGCTGCCTGACCTTGTGCTGTTTGCTCATGGTTTTGGCTCGTGTCACATTGCAATGTACGCTGAGTGCATGCCGGCCAGCCGACAGTGCCGAGCCTGTTGATATTCCTGGGCTTCGTTTCAATTTGGTGAAATCACAATTCCAGTGGTGGAAGCAGCTGAAGTGGTGGCTGGAGAAGTGCCTGGATCGTCGCACAGCGACCTTCTCAAGAAGATCAATATGATTATTGTCGGGCGATGCCCAGCCTCTTGCTCGGCCTCCTGCCCAGCCTCAACGCGAAGACCTCATTGCCGACAGGAGACTCATGTTCTGCTGGCCCGATTTGCTCTTTCTCCCAAGGCTTCCGGATGCCATGGACGACACTTGCGGCACAAGGGCAAGATCGGTGGCGTATGCAACAGATCCAAGACTCCCATGGTGTGCAGGTCGTCGCACTGAAGTCCCCGAATACTGGGAAGCACTTGGCGCTGGGTAGCTGCGTTCCAGGAGCGCCAAATTGGGGTTGATCCACGTATCTGATTGCACCTCGCCATTGGCACCAGAGTCGGGTCCTTTCGTGAGGGGCTGAAGGACAACTTGTTCGCGGGGACGTGGGCAACGCTTGTGTGAACGCCAGAGATGTTGAGGATTGTGGAGTTGACAATGAGACGTAATTCGACCTGCTTTGGCTCATGACATCTCATGGCCGATGCTTGGTAGCAGTAGAGTTTGGGCTTGTGCTTTCCTCAGAAATAGTATATGAATCCTCTGAGTTTGAACAACCCAACGCATGACCGATAAGTCTCGTTGAAAGCTCACAAGCAGCCAGAACCTGCCCCACCCGAAACAAATACACCAAAGATCAAAGTCATGACTTGGCATGCCTGTCACAGTGCCATGATTGCCCCTTGAAAATTGCTCTTGGCACACTAGGACCAAGCTTTTGATCGGCAGGATTCTTTCAGGAATAGCTTGCTTGCCTGGACAGCGTTTTCCCAAGAGTTGCTGACATGGCGTCTACCGGATGGTCGCTGGAAGCTTGGTGTTGCATTGAGGTCAAGCCCAGAATTGTCTAAAACGCATTTCTTGCAGTTGAAGCATTCCTCCCAATTCATGCATTTACCAGGATGAAATCTAATTGCGACAAGTGTGGGACTAGAATGAACCTGCAATATAGCTATTAATATGCTTACCATTGTGGGAGCATGCAGTACGGTAGCGAAGGCCTTTCGAAGCAACAGGCATTCTTCATTTAAGTGATATATGTTGATGCTCGCTGCTGTTGTCTATGTCAAGCTCATTTCATTGGTTTCGACCACAAACAGTCAACATGGGATTGGCTGTCAGATGCAATATTCCATACTGATCAGGAGCTTTGGGGCACGGATGCGCTGTTGTTCATTGGGACCCTATCTGGTATCTCCCCCGCGCTTCGCCGTTGTGCACGTTTCCCCCTAAGCTACAGCTGCCTGCAGGCGGCTAGAGATGCCAGCAATGCCCGTGTGCGGTTCTTGGAGTCTTGGAGCGTGAAGGCATGGGCTGAGTTTTGGCCAAGCTCAGGTCCCCCAAGCTGGAGCCAGCACAGTTCAAGGCGGTGATCGAGTCTGAGTACATCGGTTGCTCTGAGCTCAGCTCATCCGACGTGAGCTTCAAACGTCGGGATGCCTAGCTCCCAGGCTGCGGCTTCCCTTGGCCGACCGGCGGCAAGAAATTTGCCCTCAGCTGAGTCGTGTCGTGTTTCATGTGCTGGTGTTTTTTGTTTCTGGCGAACACCTTATCGGATCTTATCGGATCTTTCAGTTCCTTTTTTAATCCGACAATTTGGTTTCTCACAGGTCTATGACGAGAACTTCCTTGCTAGACTGGAAGCAGGCCCGGGCTCGGGAGTATGATCCAGCCGGCCATGAGCCATGTGAATCCTTCCAGCTCTGGAGATGAGCACACTCACCGGTTCACACGTATGCCTCAAGTAGGCTCTATGCCAGGCCACAAATAGTGGTTCAGCCTCACGGTCCTCACGTGACTCTGTAGAATCTCTTTAGACCTGTGTTCCATTGCAGGTACGCATTCGATTGATGACGTGACAACTCCCTCAAGTCTTCTGCCAGTGGTACATGAGTTGGAGGCGCTTTGCTGTTACGCCACTGGCAGCCATGATGCAATCAGAGGGGCTTGCCACCTTTCGACATGCCAGGATCAGTCATGTGATGGACACAAGGGTGTGACTTGGCTGACCTGGAGCTCAAGCATGCGGAATGCATCACTTCTCCAAGGATGCAGAATTCGATTCCGAGTGCCCACAAGATTGCGGAAGGCGGGGCCTGACCTCGACGCAGGCTTTCGCTTCGATTTCGCTTCGATTTCGCTTCGATTTCGCTTCGATTTCGCTTCGATTTCGCTTCGATTTGATAAGGCCATCTTGTGTGGACATCCAGCAGCCGAGGGATCATACGCCTTTGAGCCAGGGCCCCCAGCTGAGTCACTGCAAGGTTTTTGTTGCGCCGAAGTCGCAACTGAGGTGAAAACGGAAGCGTTTGATGAATTAGCACGCGGCGTGAAGCGCCCTCGATGAATTGCATGGCATGTAATTCGCCGAATTTTTCGTCAAGGTAAGACTCTCGCCTTTCTACAATTCCGCGCCTCTCGCGACAGGTGCACCCCTTTCAGAACAAGAACAAAACACCCAAGATGCTCTGCCTCCGGTTCAAGAGCGGGGCGCACCCCTGTACAGATCCCATGTAGCGCATGTAGGATAGCCGGATAGCCGGTCGGAACAAATCAACCGTGGTGCCACTGGCAGGACCTCGGCCCGTGCCTGTCGATGCACAGGCTAGGTCACAAGCCTAGCAAACGCGAGGCACTTCCTCGCACCCGAACAGAAAAGCGAAAGCGAGCCATCGAATCTCCTCTGCATCTTCGCGGCTTGATTTGACAACGAGCGCTTGGCCTTTGTTTTGTAATCAGCATGGTGCATGGTATTGTTTCTTCTTCAACCCGCTGTTTTCTAAGTGTGTGACTGAGATACAGGAAGCAAACAGGCGTGTTTCGATGCCAGTCACCTTGCGTGTGCGAGACATGATTTTCTCATTTGTGCAGATGGGAATTGCGCTGCACCCATCCTTGTTGGTCAAGGAGAGAGCGGAATCGGAACAGCTTCCCTCAGGGCTGTCTCGTGTACAGCCTGGTAGCTCTTTTTTGGCCGTGAACGCATCCCTTTCATGTTGAGAATGTCTGACGTGCGTTTCCCCTCGTTCACAAAAGGCAAAGACAACAAACAGCGAAAGGACATACGTAGCGCAAACAAATCACGCAGAAGGAAAAGCGAAAGCGAGGAGAACCAGATCTTCACCTTGTGCTGCTTCTTCGCGGTGCTCTTCGTCGTGCCCTTCTCCGTGGTTTGCTGCTGCTTGAGGCGTCAGTGGCGAAAATTCGAGCCTCGAGCTTTCTGGAGGAGTTGAATAAAGCCTTCCATTCTTTCCGGATATTATGGCGGTGGGTCAAAACCCTGTACTGGTGAACATCAAAATAGCTGGCTGGCTAATGGCTAGGGGCTCCAATGTCTCCGCTGCCGGCATCAGCGGCGAGACGCTGAAGGTCTTTCATGCGTGCATAGACATGGAGGCTGGTAGGGGCATTGCGCCATTCTTGGGACATGCGACACCTAGCGACATTCCACCTTGGACATATCTTGCTATGAGCTGGTCTCGTGGGGAGAGAATGCAGAGTGGGCGCAGGTGAGCACCAACGATACTCCCGGTCTGCTTGCAGCCACTTTGGAGGACGCGGAGCATGGAGTGGAAAGGAAGGTAAAGATGTTCGGTCCAGGCGAGACGCCAGATGTGCGCGGACATTCGCCCAGTGCTGGATGCAAGACGCCCAGGGCAAGAGGCTGTTAGATTTGAACTCCACAGTCTCTCTTCCCTTTGTTCGCTGTCAGTATTGCCATGACAGCTCGCTGCATTCGATCATGTGCTAGAGACATGGGAAGCATGCCCTGGCGGGCTGCCCTGGAGCGTTGCGAGATGCGTTTGTTGCTTTCCCAGCGCTGCTCAGACTGCCATAACTGAGGCGATGGTGTCTTCCCATCCAGAGCCACTGCAGCCAGGAATCGTGGTGCAGTTTGTGCAGGCCTGGGTTTGAGTCAAGCTGCGGCTCGCCCCTGTTAAAATCCTCTTTGTCGCCAGGCTACAGGCAGTGGAGAAGAGTTGAACACTCAGACGTAGACCTGGCTGACCAATGCTGCATCAATGCTAGCCAAGTCTCACCATGTCAAGCTCAGGCCTGGTCGGAGAGGCGTTCTACGGCAGATGGGCCGCAAGCACAGAACTGCGCAAGAGCTGCATCCATTCACACAGACCCCATGCTTCATGTCTGCTTACCAATGGCTTCTTTGGCCTTTGGACCTCCGAGCTGAGGCCCGGACGGCCGCTGTGAGGTGGAGGCCGGTTTGTGCGGTTGACCGGTTTGTGCGATCGTTGGCTGAGAGGTGTGGCCTCCCTCTGGACCGCCTCAGAAACCCGAGGAGGTGCCCGGGGTACCTGGTGACATCTCCTGACATCTGACTGAAGCTTGGGAGGTGCAAACCAAGATCTTCCCTCGGTCCGTCTTGGCCTCCTCCGAACCAAGGATGACGCGTGCATGAGTTTGGGAACAGAGGATTCAGCGTTGGAGAATCCGTGGGCATTTGGCAATGTGGCGCCTGAAGCACCTGTTGCGGAGATTTGGTGGGCTCTTGGCGCGCCTGTTGCGCCTGCGCCCGTTGGGCGCCTGGAATCGAATTTGCAAGGATTCCCTGCTCATTCAGCGACAATCTGGTCCGCCGCGGGGCGGCCATGCTGTGGGCGCATATGCGGCGTTTGCATCCGAAGCTCGGCGGATTTCGCATGCAATTCACCGAGCATGACAAAAGTTCAGAACTGTGAAATTGATTTTGAGTCATTGGCAAATTGGTCATGTTATTTTTTGCGGACTCTCTGAGGCACATGACGCCAATGCTGCAGGCCCAGCTCCAAAACGACACCAGGGCATCACTGAAGGGGATCCTGAGAGGCGGAGCTCACCAACCGACTCATGCAGACGCCAAAGCTGTGCAGGGCCGGCGAGCTCAGGTTGAGTGTCGTTGCACAATGAATTCGTCTACCTTACGTTTCGACTGTTTGCCTTGGATGATTTGTCAGTTTGATCTAAAGACCATTATTTGAATGCACGGTCTGAAGCTATGGCTTCAACGTGCAAGTTCGCATCTCATCCCAGTCTATGAGGCTATGATTTCTATCGCAGCACATGGCGAAGGTGATCGTTCAGGCCACCAACGCCCTTGCACTTGTTCATCTTTTTCCATCTTTTTCCCTCAGTTCGCTTGGAGGCTTCATCGATGTGGTGCGCAGCTGCATCATGCTTTCGCGCTGCTTGGTGCAGGCTGGGAAGGTGATCCCAAGCTGCTAGCCTCACGGATCCTCACGGAGCTCCTGAATGTTCCTGACATCGCCTGACATCCCTTGGTCTCTCGCCAAACACGACTCGGTAGAAGAAAGAGAGGAACGGTGATTCGCTGATGCAGTCTTTTCTTTGCAAGATCGGGGCACAGGCGATAGATTTCAACGACTCGCCACTGCTGCAATTGCCTCACGTGAAGTCCAGCTCTGAGTCAATGGACTCCATAGCCTGTCACTCATGCAGATGCAAGCTGTAAGCCTCAAGGTCAGTGCCCAAAGCCGCACCGACTCTTCGCGAGGCGGGTTTCTGCGTGTTTTTTTTATCCATGAGCCAAAGACAAGCTAGTCCAAGAGGTCGTGGAGTCTGTGGAGCCGTCCCTCAAGCGCTTGGGCAATTTCACCCCGCAGCAGGCCGCGTGAAGGGACAGCACCCATGAGAGCGGGCCGCCTCGTGGGTCAAAAATTCAATGGTGCCATTTTGGGGTAGGTGAATTCACCACCCATTTAAGTCTATTTAGTGGGGATTGGGATGTTCACTGGGGGTACGATTTGGATTTTGACCCATGGCCATGTGACGTGCCAGGTTCTGGACATTCAGTCCTTTTGCCGACATGTGCCGCTTGTTGAGCTGAGCTACGTGGCAGAGGCTAGGTTTCAGACAGGCAGTCCAGCAGCAGATAACGGCACTCATGGGCAAGCAGGTGAACGATGAGCCTGATATGGCCGAAGGGGACATGGGCACAATCAAGGCATGGTGTGTCAGCTGGGATGCGAATGTTTGATTTTGATTCTGTTCAATTCCAGGTGACTCTCACGAGGACGAACCTGGCAGAGTCGGAGTGCGTCGGCCCAGTGCATGCGCCCTTCTTCCCGGCTGTCAAGTTCGAGGCGGGAAGTTGAGCGAATCCCGCTCCAGGACGTGTCACTGAATCAATGCTAGGAGTGGTGGCTGCTCGTGTATGACAACCGCGGGCGAAGGCGCGTGAGCGCATCGTTCGCATCTTCCCCCTCCGTGCAACTCGGTGGCTCTGAGGCTGATTGCCAGTGACCTCATGTTGGGCACGGGCCGCGAGACCAAGACCAGCGTGAACTTCATCGTTGGGAGCCCAGATGGCTTCGACTCCGGTTTCGCAAAGCCCGAGCGCCCGAAACTTTACGATTTTCCTGAGATTCCGCGAAAGAAAGACCCGTCATCGCCAAAGCTCACAAAAAGCGTTTCGTAACGCTGTCTTCAAGCTCTGTGACACCGAAAGCTACTTTCTGGGCGAAAAGAGCAAGTGCTGCGCTGCAGATTGCCAAGCCTTCCTTTAACTTTCTCCCGGGTATGACTGCAAAGAGCCTGCTTGGCGGTCTCGAACGGGCAGCGGGATTTCCGAAAAACTCAGCGAAAGCTGCAAGGCCTTTTTGTGCGCTACTCTTGTAAGAACTGAAGGCGGTTTTTGGGCTGGAGCTACCTACTGTACTACTCTCGTACCGAAAAGCTGCTCCGCTATTCAAGGAGCAGGAAGCATCCGCGAAAGGGTTGATGCAAACACGCCCGCGCCAAAGGAAGCCACGTGAAAGCCTCACGAAAGCTCGACAAAACACACAGAGTCCAATGATTTTGAGCTTTGAGTCCCGGGTCGGCTGTCAGGTGCCGCGACCCGGTGACTTCGACTGGACCATCTTTGCCATGTGCGACTCCTACGCAGGAGCTGGGCGAATAAGTCGGAAGTTTGTTCGACCAAAATCTCCGGAAGGCCTCGACGCCAAGTGCGATGTGAGCTTCCGGGCGGCGAAGAGGACGGAGGTGGATCGGCGCAGCTCCCAGGGCAAGGGCCGCAAGGGCCGCAAGGGCCGCAGCTGCTACTTTGCTTTGGAACGCCCAGGTCGATATTTGTTCATCCCGAGGACATTGTCGCAAGCGCGATGCCAGACATTTGGCGCGGTTTCTGGGGCGGCCATGAGCTTGACCCTGTCCAGGATGCTGAGATCAGGACATTCTTTGAGGAAGTAATGCTGGGGCTGGACCAGGACGGGAGATCGGAGCGCTGCTTGTGAAATGTGTATAGCTCTGAGCTGTCAGTTTTGAGGACCAGGAGTCCTCAGAAGAGGAAGAAGAGGACGACAGCAGACAAAAGCAGCTGCGCGCGGCTAAAGCAGACTTGCTTGCTTGGGCGTGTGGTGTTTTGTCCGAGGCAAAAGCGGGAAGCCAAGAAGTCCGACGTCGAAGGGAAGGTTGTGGAGGCGGCAGAAGTGGAGGAGTCGGAGGCCGTCAAGGAGGCGAACGTAGATGCGGTGAAGGCGTCTTTGGCTTGAGTTTCAGCCGGAGTTGAGACATGATGCAATGATGCATCTCAAGACACAAGATGCACACCACAGCAGATGCCTGCATGGTTTCTTGTCGGAGCTGGGAATGCTTGCGAGCGCTGCAAGGAGAAGGCAAATGCTGAAGGCAGGCATGTTAGCTATCCAAGGCCACATTCAACATCATGGTTGCTTTTGGAGTCATGAAGATTCCTTAAGGATGAAGACGCTGTTCCCAGACGTGTGATTCGGGCGCTGCCTCGTTTCTGAGGGTTGCAAGCTGCAGGCTCTGATGAGGACGAAGAAGAAAAGGCAGTGCCCGAGGGCTCGTCCTGCTGGGCCTGTTTTTGCATTGTTTGCCGATTTCTCGTCTTCACTCGCCCTTCCTGCACGCTTCACGGGAGCCTCGTTGCCAAGATACTGTGGCACCTGAAGCTGAGAAGGTCCCTCAATCACCGCGGCTGTTCCGTTTTCCTTTTCTCGTCAGCGCCCAACTTAATGCTACGCCTTAAGTTCGAGAGCCAGGTTCTTCCGCATCAAGGACACCACAGGCACATACCTGTACCGTGAGCCTGTGGAGGAGCTCTTGGGGCTTCCGCGGGTTGTTCTATGAGGAAGTGTTTTTCTGCTCGCAGGACGAGTCTGTGCGCATGGGCTCAGTGCCCCCGGACACTGTCCTGCGAGGCGAGTGCATTCGGGGCAGCGAACTTGTGCGGCTTTGGATGCATTTCTATTTTCCGAAGAGAACTGTGCGGACACGATGACACAGTGAGAGGCCGGACTTGGTTGTGGCTCAAACAGATGTGCTAAAACGGCACCTTGAGCCGCATCCACTTCACGACAGGCTTTCAGGGCGACGGGCGCCCAGATGGCTGGCTGGAGGTGCCCACAGGAAGGCCGGGAGCAGGACTGGCCAAGACTTGACTTCAGGTTTTCAGCCGGGGGGAGCATGGGGGATGTATGCCACAGGAGTTTGGGCTGGGAACTCAGCTAACTCAGCTCCTTGCCCCGTGGTGGCGATCTATGGCAGGCACAAGTCTTGCTTCTTGGTGGCATGAAATATGCAAGCTGTGCTTGGCATGACACTGAGGTCAGGGTTGATGGTGCCATACCAACGGATGAGGCACGCAGTTTGTCATGTTTGGTCCAGTCTTGACAGCCCCCCCCTCCATGGTCCCTCTGTTCTCCTTCCGTTGAATGGCAAATGCGCTCTAGGCTGAGAACGGACGTCCAGGTTTGCCGGCAGAAGGTGCGCATTCGGCCGATGGACTTGTTTTCCTGAGTCTTGGGCGGCGCTCGCAGATCTTGGCAACTTGCGGGACATCTGCCTGAAAGACCTGGCAAGGGACATGGGAACGAGGTTGTCAGAGGGATCTGTCCATTTCACTGTGTGGAGAACATCGTTCGCGTGGTTTGTTTTCGCCCATGCCTTTACAAGATGCTCCGGCTGGCTTGATGGCGCACTTGACCGGCCATGCGACCCATATCCCACTAAGAATCCTGCCTCATTCCTGCTGAAGCTAATGTTTCATCCAGGGCCTTTCTTGGCAAGTGGCAGCCATTGCTGGCCAAGGTCAAGGCATCGACGCCGGTGGCCCTTCTCAAGCGCTGGACCGGGCTGGTATCAAGCAATGAAGGCTTTGGCTCGGGCTTGAAACCAATTTGCCACTTTCTGCGTGGCCAAGTTGTCACTTGTGTTTTTGTGCTTCTTCGCGCATGGCTTACAGCTTGGCTATGGAGCAGGCCTCTCCGACATGAAACAGCCATAAGCCACCAGAAGCCACCTCCCCAACGCAGACAAGCACAGCACAGCACTTGCGGCCACGAAGCTGTTGCCATTGGGCCATGCCGAAGGAAACCTCGATGCCCGGCAGGAATCGCCATGTTGCCAACGGACACTTTCGATGGGGCAGGTCACGTTGGTGACTGCCAGAAAAACATGTCCCTGAGAAACGGAGACGTTGTGACGAACATGAAAGGCCATCACAGGCTGCCGTTCATCCCATTTCCCGATTTGCATCCGAGGATCAAGTTTTCTGCAGATTGCGCTGCTTGTCACATCACCTTGAACCGACCTGCAAAGCTCAATGCGCTGAACTTGAGCATGTGCCTGGGCTTTTTTTTGGGCATTGCTTGGCATTCCGTGGTGGAGTACGGCCCAAGAATTTGAGCTGAATTTGCGAAGGATTCGCTGCCTGCATGGGTCCTTGGACCAGGTGGATGCCAAGGCTGGCAAGGCCGGCTCGTACGGGGTGCGGGTTGGCGTTTGTTCATGCTTTGCGTGTGAAGGTTGGCTGCTTGATAGTGGATGGTGCTGGCGGCAGAGCCTTCTGTGCTGGGGGAGATGTGCAGATGATTCGTGAGGAGCGCAATATTGTGTGATGTGACCCAACCAGATCACTACCGTCTGGAAGGATGGTTGTCCAGGGTCGCGACCATGATTCATATGATACTGCCTGAGCTCACTTTTCTGTCCGGACTGGCTGCCTGAGGAGGGCATGGCAGGAGGATCACTGCCTGCAGACTTCTTCTATGAAGAGTATGGGGTGATTTTCAGACTGGCAACCCTCTTCCAGCGAATAGGCGGGACATATGGAGTCAAAGCATGAAGGCGACCAGGTAACTTCTTCAAGGCTTGATGGCTGCTCATCTCCGAGATTCGGATTTCGAGCCGATGTCCGGCTCAGGTTGCTGTCAAGTGAGCCTGTGCGATGGCATCACCATGGGCGGCGGTGTGGGGCTGGCAACCCATGGCCCCTTCCGCGTTGTGACTGAGAAGACACGCTTCGTCCGACCCTCATGGAATGGTCGAGTCGAGTCGAGTCTAAGAGCCTAAGGCGACGCCATACTCGCAGCCTTCTAATCTGATGTCGAACTGAGGCCATGCCTGAGATGGCAATTGGCCTTTTTCCCGACGTTGCCTGGCTTGATTATGATGGCTAGCCTGACTCTGAATGGCAGCCTTTAGAGAGCTCTCCGAGGTGGGGGCCACATATTTGCTGAGCCATCTGAAAGCCGGCGCCAGTGTTGGACGTGCCTTACTGGCATGGTGTCAGCTTTCACAAATAAAAGTGGTCTTTGGTCATGCAACCTTGTTCTGCCTCATCCATTCTTCGGAAGCTCCTTGGACCCTTGGTGCGAGCTGAGCTTTGTCGTTGGTGCCGCCTTCGCTCTCAGCTTGAGCAGGCTTCCTAGGAATGACGGGCACCACCCTGGCGGCCTGGGATTGCCTGCGAGCTGGAGCCCTGCTCCAAGAGACGAAAGGCCACTACGCATCGTGCCCCAACACACACAACACACGCACACAGACCCGTATCATATTTTAGATCTACATCCATGCCGGGGCTTGAGCAATGCTTCATTCCCTTCACGAAGCAAGCCTCGCTTGCCTTTGTGCCTCAGGTTGGGACGCACTTTGTGCCCTCTGCTCGCCGCACAGCCGCGGATGGTGTTGTTTTGGACGCGCGAACATCGGACATTCAGACGAGCAGCCGCATGAGCCGCCTCTGACCCCGAGGTTTGCCAAGGCTACGGAAGGCGCTCATGACGAGGCCGCCCGTGTCTGCCACGGAAAATCCATTCATGGGACATCATGGGACACTTGTGCTAGTTGGAAGTCGTTGAATTCGTGCTGGTCGAGGTTTTCTCCCGGTCTTCCGGGCGACCTCGCTATGAAGCTTTGCGAGGACTTCGGAAAAGGGCAATTTGAAAGTGACAGGGACTGACAGAGACTGTGAGGAAACCATCAAGGAGTTTGCGGAGGAGCCATCCCCGGCTGACTGCGTGCTTGATGACGACAATTTGGAGTTGGTTGAGAGGTGCTCTTGGCAGCAGTCTGCTTGCTCGCATCTGAGTATGTCACGGCGCTTCTTCCAAGGTGCTTTAGTGCGGCATCTGTAGAGGACGACTCGTGTTTTTGTTTGTTCCATTGAGCCCTTGACCCGACTGCAGGAGATTGTCCAGAGACTACGAGCGGAGAAAGGCGACTTTGCAGCGGCCTGCCTGATGAAGCTTTTCCAGCTTGGCGCCGAGCCGTTGACTCCTGACAGGCGCTACCGTTGAAGCGTTGAAGCGCTGAAGCGTTCAGGTCTTGCTCGCCAACGTCTTGTAAAGTCACGTTGGCGGCCATGAACGAAGCAAGCAAGCCGGAAGCTGCCATCGGGCCTGTGCTGCGGACACTTGGCTGAAATCTGGCTCGAAGCTTGGATTTTGATCACTGGCATACTCAGGATGGAGTATCGGTTATCGCAGAGGTTCACCACGCGGCATCAGCCGGCATCTGACTTTTTCGATCCTTGGCATCTCCACTTTGATGTGACTCTGAGAGCACCGGCAGTGACGGAGAGTATCAGCATCAGATACAGTCCAGATACGCCATACCTAGGAAGGTATTCGAGCCGTACTCGTGGACAAGGATCGGATGCAGACGCTTGGTTAATCAACTCCTCTACCTCTTTCGTTTTAGCCGTCCTGAAAACGCCGTGAGCGGGTGCCAAGCACGCACCGTGGCACCATCCCAAAGTCGTGCTTTGATCCGACGGGATTGACGAATCTTTGGTGCTCGAGCTCTAGACCCATCATGAAAGAAGAAGTATGGTTTTGAGATTGGAGTGCTCGAAGAGGCTATTTTTTGACGGCTTCAATCCGATTCTCAGCTTGTTGTTTGGTGCATTTGCAGGAAGCAAGGAAGTTGGCTTGTACGGTCCACTGCAGTCCTGGGGTTCAGAATATGGCCGATCTTATGACTAGTATTATGGCATACGAGGTGAACGATGTTAACGCAATCCTTGCATACCAAGCGTCAAAAAAAGGATGGACCCCCATCTTGCAGGCGGGATCTTTGCACTGAGGAAGTGGAATCCCAGCTGGGAGGCCCTGCATCAGATCACGGCGGAGCATGCCGCAGTCTCAGAATCCATGGGTTCTCCATGGGTTCTCCTTTAGCCATCGGCATCCTTCATGGGATCAGCTGCCAGGTGGCTGCCTTCTTTGCGCCCCTAGAGCCAGAGCACACACGCGGCGAGCTGCCGGTGGAGGCGGGTTCGGGCCAGCGAATTTCGTGGAGGTTGTCTCAGAAAACACGATCCTGAAAGAGCGAAGACGCAGGTAGCAGCGTCAGCTAAACTGCCTCAAGCGGCTAAGCATGCTCTTCTTGCAACACCTCTCAACACAAGATACAGGCGATTAGTGATGAGGGCAGCTTTGGCCGGTCAGCAGCAGCTGAGTGTCATTTCGTGGGCTGTGTTTGCAACAACGGTTCCTTCATCTCATGAGAACATATTAAGAATGATTGCATTTAGCCAATTATCTTGCTCACAAGCTGGTGTGAACATGATCATGAGTGTTTTCACTGTCCAGGTGGTAAGCCTGTGGTGCTGACCAATCAAAGCTGTTACAGACCTTTTGCTTAGCACCATAGATATTCAGGGTAGTTTGAGAGTGATGGATGAACTGCTCCACGAAGTGCGAGAGCAAGCATAGTGCGGCACCCGCCAGGTGTACAATAGAACATCGGGAGTGTACTAGTATGTTTCATTCGTGGCTGCCTGTTTTTCTTGCAACTTGGAATACGCGCGGTTCCATCTTGGCCGGCACATTCATGTGGCCAGAACGGCTCAGTGCTTTCTTCACGCGATAGTCGTGTGCCCCCCAAATGCCCACTGCGCTCGGTGTTGCTTTCAGAGATCCGTGTGCCAGGACTTGTGGGACTTCAGCGGCTTGGCCACACTGACCTCGGCTGTGATCTGTGCAGAAGCTTGCAAAACCCATGAAAAACATTGGGAAATTCGCGGAAACCATTTTGGGAAACCCATGGGAAATCTGTGGGAAACCCGTGGCAAACCCAGCGAGGTGAATCGAGAAGACCACCGTTTCCTGAAGTCTTGCTCAAGTCGAAGCTCTGAGATGGCGTCTCATGTGCTCGCGCCCCCCTTTCGCTTGCAAAGTCCGTGCGATGCCGTTGTGCTGCGCTTCAAGGTTGACATGTCAGTTTGAAAGCTCAATGCGAGGATCCGCCACACGACCAAAGATGTCACGGCGGAAGATTTTCTCAAGGCTGGAACAGGGCAATCTTGCCACAGGCTGTGCCCCTGCATCTGGAAGCTTGCAGCTCTCTCCCGCAACTTGTGCAAGAGGAAATTAGTGCCCAGTGGTGATAGAGCAAGGTTGCGCACAAGTGTGCAGCATTGAAGGTGCGAGAGATGGACAATAGCCGGGCGAGGTTCATCATGGAGGACCAACCAAGGTTGTGCGGAGGTTATGTTGCCCGTTTCGAGTTTTGAGGTCCAGCTTGGAATAGAGAGACCGCTGAACATGCAGTCACAGACTGGCAGTGGTTGGATAGTGATGAATACTGGAGCTCTGGTTCAAACGTTGTAGCCCGGTCGCCTGATCGTGATCTGGCATCCCAGTCGCATACACCTTGCAGCTTCCAAGCACCAGCAAGAGAACCCACATGGAACGGGCAGAAGGGCATTGAGCAAGCCCATACCAGAATCTTCGGCTCCCGTGCTCTGGGCTTCTAGCAGCTCCAGGTGGGCTGAAGAAAGGAACGAGATGAATGTGATGAATGCGTTCGAAGGAAACGATTTAAGCAATCCGATGAGGGTGCCAGGTGGAGTGCCAGGTGTTCGGTTGGCAGGTATGCCGCCTGTGCCAGCGCTGGCCTTGTCCTCGCCCCACGGCCTTGGGGTCACCACACCGCGCGGCGGCCTAGCACACGGCACCGCGCCTTGTTTTTATCGTTTCCTTCTGCCAAATGGCTGTGGGTCATGTCCAACGGTACCATGTTGGGGAAGGCGCACCACCCATTTTAGTCTATTTTAGGGGGGATTGGGATGTTCATTGGGGGTACGGGATTTTGACCCATGGCCAAGTTGCCAAGTTGCCGCAGTGACATGTGCCATGCGAGGCGCAGCGCAGCGAGCCGGTCTGCCCGCCCGAGCACCGCGGGGGCCCCCGGCATGCCGCAGCGAACAAACGAGATCCTCCGAAAAGATCTTGGATGAACATGATGATCTTAGAGACGTTAGAGAGAAGATCTGCATGCAGCTTATTTCCAGAGAATGCTTGCACCCAGCCCTTGACCCAGACACCGTCTTACAACTGGGAGTCGGCGACGTTCTCGCGCAGTGCGCGGCATATTGTCACACCACAGGCGCGTGTGTAGCCCAGGTCCCAGCCTTGCTTCGAACCTCGGGTTTCCGTGGGATGCAGGTTGGCCTTTCTGCCATGGTCTCCGCCTTGGGAAATCTCAAGGCTCCCTGGGCCGTGCCCTCAGTGTCTTAGGTATTGTTGGGTATTGTGCGACGGAAGGGGGCTCGAGAGATCCCCAAATGCCAGAGGGGCCCGCAAATCTTGCCCAGATTTTGTTGCAAATTTGGAAGTGCAGGTGGAGTCCACAAACAGCTTGGCCTAGGAGGTCTCCGCCACCCAGAAGTTCACTCCGCGGATGAGCACCGACGCAGCTGCTTCTGAGAGGCGCGCAGATTTGGCCCTGCAATCGATCGGGTCTCTAGAGAGACAGCTCGTCAATATGCGGATGGCTGGACCCAAGAAAGACATGATCCAAATCGGTTTGTGCACCTCAAATTCTTTCCGCGCCCGTTTCGGAGCTCAGGCCCTTCTCAGTGGGGCGCTCACGCGCCCAACACATGCTGAACATGGCGCTCTCTACCCAGGACAGAGCCACGCAGTCATTATGAGTCTCGTACACGTCCTCAAATCTCCGAGCGCGCAATCGGCCGACTCCAGGACGACCAAGCCAAGGTTCGGCGGTTGGAGCAGGCAGGCTGCATACGTTTTAAGCTTGTCCAAAGAGAAGGACTAGACAAGGCTGATGTGAGCCATAGACACTTGCCACATTGGCTTGTCCAGGCGCTTGAGATGCCCTGTGTCCGTTATGAGCGTGCAGCCACTCCGCGGCTGATGCAGGCTGCGGCAAACTTGGCTTGAGAGCAAGCAGGTTCCTTGGAAAGGACCTGTTTGGCAGGTGGCCCGAGATGCCCAATCTGCCCAAAGAGAGCTCACTAAGAAGGACCATCTTCTCGTTCGTTGTTTTTTGTGAACGGTGCATTGACTATCATGTGCCTCGCCACTGGCTGTTCAAGACAAGACAAGACATGGCAAGTCTGCCAAAACCTTTCAAATCTTGACAAGTATTGAGGCTATGCACGCATATGCAAGATCACGCACGTGCGGCATGAGGTAAAATGCAGGTGGAGGTCTTCGGTTTGCTTACGTTTTCAACAGACGCCCAGGTTTGACCACTGGCAGAAAATTCACGCATCACGCCGAAGTGTTGGAGGGTGTCCCGAGTCCCAGCACAGCTGTATACGATGCATTCGGCCAAGCACAAGTCAGTCATGGAGTCTGACCTTCTCGCGTTCCAAAAGTCTTAGCTTCTCGCTTCAAACACTGGATATCGTTGGGTCAGCCACGTGATCAGCAAGGTTAACTTGGACTGAATGCTGAATGCTAAACGCTGGCCCCGTATTCAAACGTTGTTTAATGATCATGGAACTTCGCATATGTGTGCACAACGCATTGGCATGTTCGTTTTCATTTCACAGAAGAGAAAGAGATAGGAGATGGGGAAAGAGAGATCTTGAGAGCGAGAGCGAGAGCGAGCGAGTGCCAGGAGCGCCGAGCGCAGCGTGATGCCGCTTTGGCCAAGTGGGCGCCCCAGGCTTTGTGAGGCATTGGGTGTAGCAAGTGAAGGTGCTCCAAGCCGGGTCTTGTTGTAGGGCTTGCTTATGATTCCATCAAGCACCAAGCATAAGCTGCCTTCTGTTTCGGAGGCCAAAAGCAGCACCTGCTGCTCCCTCGGTGCAGGATGAGGCGGGGAGTCATGAGCCATGCCTTGAGCGAGAGTCTTTGCTTGCCTGAATGTTGCCAGCAGGACGTGGGCGACGAGGAAAAGGCGGCACTTCGAATCCAGAGCCTGTATCGGGGCGGAAAAGACCGAGAGGCCTGACGGCTGACTGAGTGTAAGAAACCAGCGCACTGTGGGGCCATGGTTGGATTGGCGTAACAGCCGCAGACTCAGGCAGTGAAGAAGATGAAGGATGAAGAGACGCAAGCAGCCCCCAGCTCAGATCAAGGCTTGGGGGTGATGCTCATCGTGCCTGCCACAGGCCACAAAGATTCAATGCATCTTCCGAGGGCAGGCCAGGCTCCAGTAGGAAGTCTCAGTTGATGTTGCTTTCATTTGCTTTCCTTGCTTCTTTTTTGTTGTTTGCATCGCCTGTTGTTCATATGCTCAAGAATGTCAGGCACAGCCCTTTGACTAGGATAGAGAGGAGACATCTGGTGTGTTCAACCCAAAGCTCACAACGAATGAAGAAACTCCGGTGCCAGCTTGGGCGACGTCTGCCTTGCCCAAGTGAGTTTTCGTGTACTTGAACAGGCGGCCCGGAAAGAGCTCAACGTCTAGGCAGGGGCACAGCGCAAATGAAATGAAATGAATTCCATGCCTCCGGTTGCGATGAGTCTGTTTTGATGCAAGGCTTTGATCTTCAGACCCGTGCGCCGGGTGCTCAGTTCGCAGTTTCAGAAGCCTTCTCCGGGCCTTCGGGCCAGCGGCCATGGCGTGCAGTGGAAGAAACAAAAAGAGACGTGCACCTGTGCCGCGCATTTTTGGTGAGCCACGAATTCCCCGAATTCCCCGAATTCGATCGGCTCCAGCGTGAACATTCTGCAAGAGGAGTTGAGGAGTTGAACTGAGGATGTTGCTGTCGATGCTGGCTATGTCTTAGTGGTAATATTGTTGGCTCGCCCTTGCGAGAAAAACCACCTGCAAATAGGAACCAGTGGCCCGACCCAAGATTCACGAGCAAGAGTGGCCCTGCCAAGGTCATTTTCATGCGCTCGCTTCGACAAGCCGTCTGAACGAGTCATGTAGCGAACCTCCTCTCTTTTGAAGAGAGGAATGGGGGACAGATTGCTTTTACAATCGCAGCGTATCAGCAAAAGCTGACGCGTGAGCCGAATTGCCACCAGCCAGAGCAACATTAACTCCCTATTTGGTCACGCAGCATTCCCACGCTCATTTTCTCAGGAAGCCGTTTGCCAAAAAGAAGCCGACTTGCCACGGCAGTTGAAACCTGGCGCAATGCTGAAGGCATTGCCTGCCGGGGTTGATTTTCAGGCGTGAACCTCTTCACGCGACAACTTTGATATCCAGAAATGCAAAGGATAGCGAGACGGAGAGGGGCACAACTCTTTCGCCGCATCTGTTTCTTGTCAAGGATAGAAGGTGCAAATGGCACCTAGCAGATTCCTTGATTGAATGACGTACGACTGCGCAATAGCAGCAGTGCCAGCTTAAGCAGGCTGAGTGCAAAAGAGCTGCCAATAGCTTGGAAACCTTTGGTGCAGACTCGTTCACTAACAGCTGGCCCTTGGGTTTGTGGAGAGTATTGTTTAGTGCGGAGACCATTTCTGATTGCCAGAGGACCTACTGTACCGCCGACTGGGTGCGGATCGCTTTTTGCAGCTGCTGGATGAAGCAGAGGTGCAAGCAAAGACGCCTTTGAGTTTGCCGGAAATGCTGCGGACGGACTTGAGCAGACTTTGACATAGGTGTTAACCAAGAAGTTCCAAGATCGGATTCGGAAAGCCGCAGCCCCAAATATTAAATATCAGCTATTGCAGCATTGCAGACCGCAAATCGCTGATGCTCAACTTCAGGCCCGCGGCTTCTTCCACACAGCCAACGGCATCATTTGGCAAGGATCTAAGGCCAAGTTTCACCTGCACGCATCGAGTAGCGCGCCGAGGCACGTCACCCCAGATGGCGAGGTCAGGGGGCTTCATGAAAATGGCTCCAAGATCCGAGATCGTGTTCAGGCAGGTACCGACCGTACTGACAGTCAAAGTGAGCGCTTTTCTCAGAGGTGACGCCAGATGACAAGCTGCAGATTGGGCGCGAGCCTAATGGACCCGTGGACCAAGTGTATTGGCGCAACAAAGGATTGCACATTGGCAAAATGTAGGATTGCCTCAAGTCCGCATTCCTTCAGCCAACTTTGCCTTTGCTGATAGTCGGAGTATGTTTGGATTGAAAGTACAACAGGCAAGAGGCCAACCGCATCTTTCGTTGGACACAGGGTGTTTGACAGGCCGTTCTGCTTGGATGAGACGCGGACGTGCTCCTGCATTCACTGGCTCCGCAAGGCACAGCGAGAAAGAGAGCAGTTGGTTGCAACAGCGGAACTTCCGCACAGGATGACCCCACAAAGTCTTGGAATTGGTCAAGGCACGGAAGTGGCATGCAACTTGGACGAGCGGCTTGAGAGAACAAAGATCCTTCTACTTGGCATACATCTTGCCAATCGGATGCGCAGCTGATGCGGCCAGTACCGTGTTGCTGGCAGGGACAATTCCCTGAGAACAAGGGTGCGCTTGGCTACTGGTGAGAAAGCCTAGCAGCCGCTCAAAGCGATCACGTGTCACCAGACGTCACCAGGGAGTAGTGCAGTGACCCGGGGTGACGGGTTAACGAAGCTCTTGAGGTTTCCTTTGGAGTCTCAGCCAAACAAGCCCCGCCCAGGCAGCTCTCTCCAAGCCAAAGCCCTGAAAGCCCTCTAAGCCCTCTCAAAAGTAGCAAATCGCCAAACGACGAGTGCGACGGCTGCAATGCCTGGCAGGCAAGGCTGGGGTGCCTTGTCCAGCTGGCTCTTGCGAGACTTGCCAAGAGACCTGCCCGAGCGCGGCGTGGCACAAGCCTTGGAATGGCCACCGGGAGCATGGCACCCGTCAAAGGTAGCGCGGCTGTTCTCGCATGGTCGGCGCCCGAAAGCCTGCACTTAGTCACTCATGTTGCACGCATATACTGCATTGCTTGCATGGCACGGTTCGAGCCGGGCTGCAGCAAGCCAATGCAAGCCCATGAAAGGATGCCTTCCAGTCCATTGCAAATCGGGATCTTCACAGGCACTCATGGCGAGGAAGTCCTGGAGACTCCATCCGTTGCTCCATTCTCAAGAGGCTTCGTCCAACGCCAATGGCAGAACTGGAAAGGCCGCGTCCAAGCGCACTGCTCTCAGTTGACTCGCCTGACTCGCCTGACCCGCCTGACTCGCCTGACCCGCCTGACTCGCCTGTCTCGGAAGCGCAATTGCCACTCAGGCGCCTGGGTACGTTGCAGAGGCGCCCACAGTTTCTGCACAAATCACGGTGCACCTCAGTTTTTTGCATTGCGAGGTCCCAGCGTCAGCGCCACCTCTGGAAGCTCCCGATGAGGCGCTGGCGAAAGCAAGCCGCAAGTATGTTCATGGGGGTTGCACCGTCTGGTGCATGTCGAATTGCGAGTTTCAGTTGAGGGAGACTCATTGAAGTCTTGCTCCCAATCGACCTTGCCAGGCCGATGCGCCCTCCGCCCCGCCGGCTCCGGCTGCTGGCATGCATTCACCATGGAATGGCATTGTATACCTAACATCTATGTCTATATGTCGTGTCTACATAGGGTTGACCTGCCGGACACGGTTTGCACGATGAGGTGGAGCAAGCTCCAACTGCCGCCGCTGCTCCGGATTCTTATCTCAAAACTATCGTACGAAACATGTGTTTTCACTGGTCTGTGCACAGCCCGCTCATTGAGGCAAGGCGTCCTACAACCTTGAGTGCACAGGCGGGGGCTATGAAGCAAATGGATACGCTCTCCACCTGCATCGCGGCAGGAGCGGCGAGAGGCAAGCAAGCCCGGGGAGCTCTATTCGATCATAGCTCGACTCTGAGGGCCTGTCCTGTGTCACTGCTCAACCGTGGCGCTTTGCCCTGGTTTCTGCTTTGCGTGAGGTAGCATCAGAGCATTTGGAGTCCGCCTTCATTCGTGGCAGCGTGTCGAATCAGGAGGGGTCCGCAGAAGTTGGTGCTGTTGCCGATTCTAGCCACGATTCACGGGCATGCGACGGCGATCTTGTGGTCCTGCAAGCTGATCCAAGATGCTTGGCTCTTGTATGTCAGGACTATGAGCGCGAGTGCAATTTGTTGCTGGCGCAATTCAAAACCTTGAAGCGACTTGGCTTTACTCAAGGCAAGGCCTTGGTTCATTGCGTCCTTCCCAGGACTGGATTGAAAGACAAGCCACTTGCCCAGCTTGGCAAGATTCATATGTTCCCTCGAGCAGGCATCAGACAATGGACAGCTGACGTAATTACCCTGCACTTTCTTTCGGGGTTTCTCTTTGAGTCTTAAGGTGTCCTGACATTCGTGCTTTTGCGAGCGAGCACGGGTGCAGACCTGAGCTCCAGTCGGTTCGTGCGGTGTCACTTTGCATGTGCGCATGTTGCCCACGTGCGCACCTCTGTGGGGATGGTCCACAGGCTGTGCAGGTTGCAAACTGACATGGACAATTCTAATGTGCTTGGGTGTTGGACTCTCTTCCTTTGCCAGAATCGGAGGAAGGCTTGCGACTGCTTTCAAAGAGCTCTCCCAGCGTGTGTCTCTCTCTGTCTTTGCACAGAAGCATTCACTCTAACCATTTGTAACCTGCATGTTCATGTCGTTCAAAGCAGATCTTTGGTTTCAACTGGCACAGAGCGGCCCCTTGGACTCGAGGCTCCACTGCCCGTTGGCAGAAGAGAGGCTGCTGGGGACCGGCGTCGCAGCCACGGCTCCGTCCTTGAGGGAAGCCACGCGCAGCGCAGCGCAGCGCCAAAGAGCATCGACGGTCGAGTCGCGCTGAGGCCCTTTTTGGAGGAACTGCCGAGGGCGGAAAGGAAAGCCTCGCTTGCTTCAAGGCGGAGCGAATGAAGCCGCAATTCACGCCGTCCATCATGAATTCATTCACAACACCTTGCACGCATCAAAGACCTGCATGTTCTTTTGACACGGCCCAGCCTATCAGCTTGAATCTGCAAGTGATCCCCGTACAAACTCCCCTTTGTAAAGCATCGGTGCAAGCTTCTTATTTTCCTAGGTGTAGCTCTCAGCTAAAGACGCAATATCAGGACATGAGCAGTGTCCGAAATCCCCGGTACATTTTGTTAGAGTCGCGGCATATCGAGCTGTGCACAAGCAAGAACTGCAGTCGCATAACATAGCGTAAGCAAAATGAGCCACGCAGCGAAGGACATGTTTAGGGCATGGCTCACTTGCCGCATTCCGGCGGACTGGAAAGTGTCCTTTGGGTTGTGGACTAAGACGACGGGCCCGTTTCATTTTCCGTTCAAGGTGCGCAGGTCTTGGACTCTAGGAACCTGGAAGCCCTCCCTTCAGCATCCTTCAGGCATCCGAGGGCTTCATCACTTTGCTCGATGCCGTGAAGCTGAACCTCACCGCCTGGCCCCTGGATTCTTGAATCTTCCATCGATTTCCCGATGTTCCGAGATGCATGCCGTGCATGCGGATTCCCGTCAAAATCCCGTACCCCCAGTGAACATCCCAATCCAACCACTAAAATAGGTTCTAAAATGGGTGGTGCACCTACCCCAAAATGGGCTCCCAAAACGGTTTTGACCCACAGCCATCTCAGGCAGCGGATGAGCTGCTGCCTTTGGTGCGGGATTTGCAGGTGTGGTGATGTCTCATTCAGCCAGTGTATGCCTTGTTTGTGCGGTGGCACAAGGCGAGCATCGTCCGCCTCTTATCTCTCGATCTGCTGGGCTGAGATATGGAGGTTGATCAAGATTCCTGGCCCCCAAAAGAGCATGGGAAACTCTTCCCGTGTTGGAAATATCATCTTTGTGGTAGTTCTCCCCCATTGGACGCACTTCGGTGCAGCTGGCCGATGCAAGTCTGAATGGCTGTGGTTGAGCATCATTATTGACCTGCAACTATTGTTGCACAGTGGATGAGCTATTGCTCCTTGTGGATGAGCATCACTCTGTTGACCGTAGCATCATGATTGCAACTATTGCCTCCCAGGTTGGCATCCCCAACTTGCCGCCCCTGCCTGGCCTCGAGCGCATCACAGGGCGGCAGTCTAAGATGCTCGCCAAGGTGAGCTCTCTCCGCTCAAAGCACCAGCATGCGGTGTCACGTGTTTCCAAGGTGGCTTGTCACCCTCAATGGCATGCGAGTCAGAATCCCATCGTGAGGTGTCCAACCATTTGCACATCAAAAGTGATCATGCTTTCAGGGACCTGAATCCAAGGCGTCCGATCAGATTACAGAAGCACAGAGTCGCCAGCTTGCGCTGGATGTGGAGCAGGTGTGCCGGCATACTTGAGGCAACGCACTTACCTCATGCCCGCTTGCATTGCTTGGGCACGGAAACTCGGGGAAAGCTGTCAGACAAGGCACAGTGGAGAGGAGCCTCACTGTCGAATCTGCGACATGGTCAAACTTGCCAGGCGTACACCTCGCTGAAGAACTGGCTGCATGAAAAAACCTGATGGAATCGCTGCCGTGCCAAGTGACAAGTGTAAGTCTTGTATCGTATCAGACGCAATTTCAGCAGGTCAAAATTGTATTCCTGACTAGTTCCAAGCGTTGAAGCGCCACGTGATTATGATGCACAATCTGCATGTGGGAGCAGGCAGAATCTGTCAGTTGGTCAGATTTGCTTGCTGTGTCAGCATCAATCGCTCTTCTTGAGCTGTTTCACAAGCTCCCTTCAGCGAGCTTGAAGCAACAAGTTACGTATCTTCCAATGAAATCAACAGATAAAGACGACGTTGGGATGAACTGGAAGCAGATTCGGCTTTTGCTCGCTGCCATCTTATTCTTCAGCGCTTTTAGTACAGGGCCTGAAGAGGCAGGATCTTTGCTTTGAAAAGGAAGCGTCAACGCTTCGGAGCCTGCCATTGGGGCATCACATGGGTTTGGCAAAGCTGATGGCTGCAGACTGCAGAAAGCTGAGAAGTCCATAGGCCGTATTCGCCTTCGCTCAACTTCTAAGATATTGCTTTGTGTCGAAGTGGTTCTTCGCTTGTGGGCTGAGCATTTTTTCCGTTGCGGCTCGAGAAAGTGCTTAAGGCTCCATGGGGTGCACTATTGCAATGCAGACTTGCTGAAACAGGGCGCAGCTTGCCGTGTCCATTGCAAATGTCACTAAAACTGGCCAAGCTCAGCCAATAAGCCTAAGCACTGCGAGTGTCCTCGAGCAATAGGCCAGGCCCTCAGGCATGTCAACTGCATGTAGCTCCTAAAGGCCTGATACATCTCGTGACTCGTGTGAGACTTTGTTTAGTCGAGTTCTCGTAAGTCTCAGGCTCGCCTCCAAGAGGCTTGGACCATGGGGAGGCCGCTCCACTCACGTCTGAAGTCAAAGCGAAAGCGCCGTGCCGCAAGCGCCGCAAGATGCCAGGGGCCTCGAGAAGAGCGGCTCTGGGCTTGACAAGAGCGGCTCGGATCTGGCCAGGCGCCAATTGAATCAGAGAATGGTGAACTGTTCGACAAGCAGAAAGGATGCGGAAAGATGTGAGGCACTTCAAATAGTTCTCAAATTCTCAAATTGTAGCGAGAAGTACACGCATGAGTCCACATCTACAAATTTTGCAGGCAGAACTCTTCAGTGTCTGGCATCTCCAATGTGCCCGCAGAGGAGCCCGAGGAGGAGTGGGAGGCAAGAGTAAAGGTTTGTGAGCATTCGTTGCTTTCTAAATTGCCGTTGGAGCATCCGCTCTCAGACCATGAGCCAACTTCAGCAAAAGATCACGGATCAGAGACTTGCCTTCCAAGAGCAGCAGAAGCAGGAAGGGCCGTCTGGGGCCAAGGGCCGTGGGCGTCGGGCAATTGAGACAGGCTCGCAGGCTCGCAGGCTTGTGCACTGAGCCGTGCCAGGAGCGTGCGGCAGCGCGGGCGGCCAGGAAGGCTGCAGCCAAAAAGGCGCTGCGGAAGAAGCTGCGTGGGTGCCTCGGAGCAAGTTTGTCTCGAAATTCACGCTACAAGAAGCTGAACGGTCTGAGGCGACCCCCCCCCCGGCCAAGCCTTTCGACGGCCCTGCGCCATGCCGCAAGAGGCACGGCTCGCTGACGCGACCCCGAAAGAAAGCGCCTGAGTTCGGTTCGCGCGTCAAGCGGGCGGCCCGCCAGCTCGGGGAGTTCCAGCGGCTCCCGGTGCAGTGCTCCCAACCCTCGGGGAGTTCGTCGCGTGTGGCGCTCACGGCGTGTCTTTGGACCCATGGAAGCGGCGGTCCAGGTACTTGGAGCCGAAGCATGCCGCCATGATGGATCGCCCGGATAGATGCAGGTGGTGCCCATGCAGCTGCAAGTCCGAAACATGGTGCCAAGTGGGACTTGAGGGGTGTCGGAGGTACAGCAAAGAAAACCATCCAGCCTTTCTCATTGCTGGCCAGGTGCTCCTTGCGTTGCCGTTTCACGAACAGTTGCTTATCCAAGCCGCACGCGCTCGCCAAGCCTTGGTTATTCAGCACAATGAACAAGATGCAGTTTGCCTGACATCTCCGATAAAGTGAAGCAGCAGTGCGTCACCTCCTGAAAGTTGAGTATTGCAAGTAGTAGCCGTTCCGCGGTGTTTATGTCCAGAACACCACACCTCACGAAGATCTTGGGCACAGATGCTTTGGCTTCTCTGAGAGCGGATATGTCATGAATGTTACGTAGGCATTCGCAGGTCCTAGCTGGCTATTTCAGCCCAGGGTGTGCACAGCAAATCTTTATTTGACAGGAAGCTCTAAATTTATGTGTTGCTCTCACGTCAGCAGCCCACGCTCTATGATGGCAAGAGCAAAGCGTAGCACATGATGCATTTGCGCTGGCAATGCCGGCTGCGCCAGAATTTGTGGATCATTATGCCAGCAACTCAGATCCACACACTACATGACTGTTTTGGACTTTCGTGTCTCTGACCGTGCTTGCATTACGGCTGAGGCCGTGCTTGGCTGTTCTCCCAGCAACACCGCAGAAGAGCTGAAAAAGGCTTGGGATGTAATATACACGGCTGTCGTGCAGCGAAGTCTCCAGTGTTGCAGAGGCATATCACGAGAAGTTGCGGCAGCTCGGTGCTGAGTCAAGCTGTCAAGGATAAGGCTGGCCTGAGTGACGTGCTGGCATCTTCCACTGACTCTTCGATTCTTTACTTGTCCCCAAGGTTTCACCCTGACAAGCGTCCTTGGAGCGCGGGCGGTCATGGTGAGAAGGCTGAGCCCTGAAACCGGTGGGACAGATGCGAGTCATGCGAGTCAAAGAGTGACGGTATCAGGTCACGCAGTCGCTCAATGAGGTGCATGTTGCATATCTAGGTTGCATCAGCGCCAAGTGATTGGAAGTTCTTCGCAGGCCTGGGAAGCCCTCCGCTTTCCAGCCCTTCGGGAGGCACGCCAGACACATGCACGTACAGTCTGCAAACTGATTGGCTCGTCGCCAAAGAAAACCCGGGAGTAAGTGGAAGGACATGACGGGCTGTGCAAATTGTAACGCTCCGGTGGCAGCCTTGTGCTGGAACATGCTGGAACATGTCAGGCATACGACGTGATCTGGAACAGGGAGAAGCGCCTTGTCGCTCTGAAGACACGAGTGTCACCATGAGATTCTCAATTGGGCGAAGCGCAGAGCGAGGAACCCGGAGCCGTTGCGCCCACCGGAGCCACCGGAACCACTGCACCGAGCCTCGCAGCCGCGAGAGCGGGAGGCCTCGCGGCGCCGAGATCGGCGATGCGAGCGCGAGAGGCGAGCGATGGGTTGCGGCGGTTCAGCGCAGCTGTGTTGTCTGATGTGTTGTTAGGCTCAGGTTTTCCTTCCTTTGGACATGGTTGGACTGTTGCTATCGCTTGATCATTCCAGATTTGGGCTGTGAGCCTTCTAGCAGCGCTCGGCTGAGCTGATGCCGCTGGCGAAGCATCATAGACTTTGACCCGGCTGGCCAGGCAGCCAGCCGAAGGGACGCCCGACAAGGCGCCGAGATGCGCAGAGAACCGTCCCCCGAGTGGATCGCAGGCGGAAGTTCTTCGGTCCGAGGGCAATGAGTTCTACAGACTAGCCACGGCTTCAGCGAGTGCTGCGGAAAGCGGCTTTGGTCTGGCCGCTGGGCTACCAGGTTCCCGCTTGCGCGAGGCACAGGCTGCCGTGCGCACTGCGACTGATGGGGCCCTGCTCTTGGAATCTGGCAAGTAGCTGCAGATTGAAGAGTTGAGTTTGCAAAAGTCATGCACGTAAGACCAGAAGTTGCGATGCGTGGTTTGCGTGACTGGAGACAGACTCTTTGTGCCTGGACATTGGCTCTCCTTTTAAGGCGGAGAGCCTGGAAGTACGGATGACTGCCATGCAAAAGCCCGGCCCTTCACACCTCTTCAGACACATGCAGACCATTGCCGGAGCACTGACCGCACTAAGTGGCGCCGCGCAAGGTATCGCCTTGCCATCCGAAAGTACAGCGAGGCAATGGAGCCCGCATCTAGGATGGCGGCTGACTGCCAACTGTGTTTTCGTCAGACAGTTTCACTCCCGAGGCTCGCACCGAATAACCACCGCCTGTGGAGCAACCGGGCCTTGCATTGCGCTCAGTGCCTGAAGTGGCATCCTTGGTTTTCTCTCGGCCCTTCATAATTGTGTTGGCCGGTGTGTGGAAGTCTTGCTGTCCATTTGAGTTTTCAGCTGTCCAGGAGTCAAACGCAACCCAAGGTGTCATGCTGCACTGAAGCAATGGGACCAGTGCCGGGAGGTGGGCCGTGAAGTTATGCACTGGTGTCAAGGTTGCATAGACTGAAGATGTTCAGCTTATGCAAAGGAGAAGCTTGCCAGTTCTGTTTGGGCGCCCGTATTGCTGCGAGTGGCTCACACACACGCACATGATGTCCCTGTCCTTGCATTGCAGAGCAGAGAGAATTAACCTATCCATTGCCTCCTTGCGCCTCGTAGCACACTTTGACGGAGAACAGCAATCATCCCGACTCGGCCTCGCTGCAACTGCTCGGCACGACTGTGACTACCATGGAAGATCTGCAGGCAAGAAGCGTCGAATCGGCTAGGTGGGAGACTGTGTCATGCTCAGCAAACATTTGTTGCACGCCAGTGAACAGTAGCAGTGGGCAGCGCTGAGAAACAGCAGGTCTCCTAGGAAACAGCAGCTTTCCTGTGTGGGGAAAAGGGCGGGGGAGGGTTGGGGGTTGGGGGGGGAGGGTGAAAAAGTGGGCCAAGGTGAAGACAGGAGACAGGGGAGACTCCCTGAGCCTTTTGTTGGAACTACCTGAGCCACAATCCAAACCCGGGCAGATGAAGCTTAGTAAGGGACAATCCCAACCATACACAGCTGCGGATATCCGGCTTCTTAATTTTTGAAACATGGGTTCTGGGTCGACCATTTTAATACCGGGTTTTGATTATGACTCCTTTGAGGGCAAGCGATGGTGATTCCCAGCAACCACGAACTTGGGATTAGACCTGGCGAATGGTTTTCGGTTTCGGCTTTGCTGTGGAAAAGCCTGGTTCATGAACCAAGTGAACCGCCTGGAATTCGTTTTCGGCTGCGCCAGGCGCGGCTGGCGGCGGCCTGGCGCCTGGCGCAGCCTGCGGCGCTGGCGCCGGAGGCGCTGCAGCGGGGCCAGCGCAGTGCCAAGGCCCGCGAGGTGCTGCGCCCCTCGCCGAGAAGCCAAGCGAAGTGATGAGATGCAGTGTGTTGTAGGTGGTAAATCTCATAAACCTGCACAGGATGTTCTCCAGGGATTTTTTCAGAAGGGAAGAAAGACAAGAAGGCAATCACCCGAGTGAAACGGACAAGGGAGATGGTGGAAGACGCCCAGGAGCCCATCCAAAGAGTCGAATCTCCAAGTTTGCGCTGCGGAACGGCCGGCGCAGCGTAGTAGCACGACTCCTGGATCCAGGGCCAGGGCGGAGGCGGGGAAGGGCCGGAGGCGCCAAATGCTCGCCTTCGTTGCAGCGCAGGTGTGCCGTGGTGTATTGCCCCAGCGAGTTGGACGGTGGTGCTGGTGCAGAGGAATGCTTGCCTCTCTGATGCTTGGATGCGAGTTTGTTTTTTGTCAGCATCCCTGAGACCGGAATCCAGAAGGAACTGCAAACCAAAGCAACGTCAACTTGAGGCCAAGAGCTTCTCCCGCTGGGGATCGCCATCTTCGCCATCGATGTGACACCCACTCGCAGCAGCCACTGCTGTGCGTTGGACGTGGACTGTGCAGTGGAGGCCCTAAGGAAAGGCTTGCCGGATATGGAGCCCTTCTCCTGCGTGGCCGTCTGGGGTCGTTCCGTGGGCGCCGCAGCTGCGCTGCAGTACTGCTCCACAGACCCCTCCGTGGCTGCCTTGGTGTCCGACAGCGCCTACCTGGACCTCGCCTCGCTGGTGGTGCCGGAGATGTTGCAGGGGCCGCTGTCCGGGCTGTGCCACCTGGCCGCGGCTGCCGGCCGACTCGCCCGCGCTCCGGGTGCTTCCGAGGCGGTCTCGCGGCCGGTGGACCTGGGGAGGTCGTGCTTCGTTCCTGCGCTCTTTCTGCATGGCTCAGACGACGAGATCGTACCCAGCGACCAGGCGAAGCAGTTGCGGCAGGTCTATGCTGGTGAGGCTCAGGTGCTTCTGATGAGCTGTGGCCATGATTCCGCAAGGCCGAGTTCTGCCATCGCACGCGCCGCGCTTTTCCTTGCCCGAGCTTTCAATCTGGAGAGCTCAGAGGTCTCGCGGCTGGATGCATACCTTGCCAAGTTGGCTGCACCGAGCGCTGGGTACAAGATCGACAAACAGGCCGAGGTACTGCTCGCAGCGGAGGAGCTGGAGAAGCGCCGATGGGGTCTCCTGATGAAAGCCGTGAATGCATGCCCTTCTTACCATGGTGCGACCTTTCATCGAGTTCTGGCAAAGGGGCAGCAGAGCCCTCACTCGACACGCTTCGCCGCACTCGTGAGTCTTCCATCCTCGGACTGCGAGGTCTGCTTGGCATGGGCGGCAGAGACGACCATCCACGCCAGCGGCCAAACTCGGATCGCGGGCACCGTGCACTTTCTGGTCGTATCCTGCAGCTGCCTGAGCCTGACCCGCGCCATTGTGCGATCTGATGAGCATCACAGGGTGGCGGTGCAGGATTTGGCGGTTCAGGACTTGTGCTGAGCAACAGCTAAGAGGCAAAGGCACAAGGCAGGGCCAGCGCGTGCACAGGAGTCTGTTCTTCTCCCCCGAGACAGACCCTACTGTATGGTGCTCACCATTGGCAGCCGCGTGGAAGTGAAAGTCGGCCGCGGCGGTGTCCTGCGCTGCCAGCTGGGCCAGGAGTCTCCCTTCAGTGGCCTTGCGGTGTGGACGGCCTGCTTTGGCGACGCTCCAAAGATTGAGGTCAAGGCAGGCAAACGTTTTCCAGCGGGGTGCCGGTCAAAGCGTTCTGTTGCCATCACTTGAAACGCTAGCTTCATCTAGGTGCTTCATGGCACGCATGCATTCAATCAGTTGTTGGCGTGGAGGACGAGATCCTGTCGGAGCTTCCAGGCCTTTTTGCTGCCACGCGGCATGCCCTTGCCTTCCCGCCTCAGAACTTGCCAGGGCGCGAGCCGGAGAGGCACTTCATCGGTACATGCCAAGCATCCGAGGCGAGCGCGAGAGATCGGAGAGAGCATGAATGCGATAGAGCGTGCTTCGAGTGTGCTTCAGCAAACCAAGGGTTCTAGATTTTTACTGCAAGCGGGGGTCCTTGGTCTTTGCTCGGACACTGTGTTATGCTATTATGTGTTCCCTGCTTTCATCTAGACTCTTTTCCGTGTTCTGTATTTTGATTGGTTGCTTTTTTCTCTGTCGTTCTCTCGCTGTCCCGTTATCGTTCCTATTTTGTTGTTCTTGTTTTTGTCTCTCTCTCTCTCTCTCGCGGTTGGAACGAGCTGACGCAGTTGCATCGAAGTGCATGCCTGGACACCTTTTGCGGGGCACATTGTATCTGGTCCATTGCGTGGTGTTACTTGGCAAATTCAAGACTCTTTGGCCCTGGTAGCCGCACAGCCATATTGTAATTGACGAGCGCGGAGTCACACACCCACAGCCAGAGCTGTGCAGGCCACCATGGTCGACCTGCCTTCTGCGGCTGTGTGGCATTCGGAGCGGCCCAACTGCATATCCAAATCCCTGTCATTGCTTTTTGCGTTTTAAAATTGTCTTTCCCGGCTCTAAGGAGGCAACGAAGGAGCAAGACCGTCACTTTAGCTGCCCAGGAGCCTTTCCAAAGCACGGGCATGTGGTGTTTAAGGCTGCTTTGGGGTCGAGCCTGCCGCTCTGTGCAACGTGAGGATGAGACTTGCGCTACGCTGGGCGCCAAGGTGAAGAAGCGCTTGTCCAGCTCCTTGGCGACTTGAGACATGGCGTGAATTGGCGAGCGAGACGGTGAGTGGCTCAGGCGAGATTTCGAACCTGGCTCCATCTGAGTTGTCTGCAGGCCGGATCATGCCTTGGGTTTGCCATGTACAGCCAAGAAACCTATGGTTCGCCATGCGGAAGTGAAGACCAAGATAAGAGTTGCTCGGTGTACCATCAAAACCTTCCGCAAAGCGCTTCCCTGACTTTTCCGCGGTCTTTCCGCGAAACAGGGTTCTCTGCACGATTGAGCAGAGTGTTGAGGTGCCTTAGGCCGTCTCGTTCCTTCCTGCCTGCGCTGGCTTAAGCGGCACTGATTGATGTTGCAAGCGTTGGGATGTTGCAAAGGGTCTCAAACGTCAGCCGTCCATCAGGTATTGCAAGAGCCCAGATTTTGTTGAGGCAAACTGTATGTTGCAGCGGAGAGAGCGACAGAGAGGGAGAGAACAACTTTGAGTCATTTGCAACCTGTCTTGCAGCTGTCTCCCCAATCTTTAACGCACAGGGCATGATGATCGCACTCAAGTTGACGAACAACTAAGCATTTTGCAGATGTGGTGCGCTTTTCAATTGTCTATTTACGATCCTCAAGATATATCTCCAGCGTGGAGTCGTTGTGCTTTCGTGTTGTGGAAGCCAAGCAGCATGCGACTAAACTCAAAGGCAGGTAGATTAGGCAGACTCAAGAGAGCTGTTTGGTTCTGGAGCTTGGAGAGGCCCAAAATGTCTGAACGGAGCAATTTTGCCCGTCTTTGGGAGGCACATTCCTGTCCAAAGCCGGCGACACCTTGGCCCTCTCTTTGTCAACTGTTGGCGATTGCCAAGAGAATGAAGAGAACGAGGAGGATGAGAATAACAACAAGGCTGAGCGCAGCTGATGACTCCACGTAGGATTGCCGCATCGCACACCTCATAGCTTTCACAGCCATCGACCTTCTCGGAGGCTGACGCAGCCAACGACATGGAGTCGGTGCCTTCGACCGATAGCGAGGCCGGGGCAGCGCAACTGTCAGCATTGTGCATTTCCACCTTTGCATCAGGACACTTGCAGCTCTGACGGTGGCCTGGTGCGCAGCCAGACGTGGCCAGACTTGCAGGAGTCGAACCTCTACGAGCCAGGCAGAGCGAGGCTTTGCCTGAGACTTGTTGATGTGTTGCGGCTAGGCCGACGACATTCCTGGGCCTTCCAGGATATGCTGCTGCCAGTTGGACTTTGTCCCCTGAGATAGGTGTATAGTGAGCTGAGCTGCGCGGTGCACGCTGCAACCCATGGCACCGTGTGGAGTTTGGTTTATATTTGGTTTACCCTTGTGGGGCCGTTGCCGCCAGCAACGGCACCACCGCGGCTGTCCCAAGCGGATTGGATCTGTTACCTTTAGACCCGTTTGCGTCCGATCCGCTTTGGGCGGCGGCTCCTGAATTTCCCTGCATGCCTTTCTCATTGAGAGACCAACGGGAAGGCCAGCAATGGTTGAGCCTTTCCCTGTCCAAGCTGGCCATGGCTGGCACTAGTGTTCGCTTAAGCTTATAGGTAGAGCACGCACAAGCGTTCTCTCAGCTGGAAATGACGCCGATTCTCCCCGGACGTATTTGAAACATGTGCTCCATGCTCAGAGCGTTGAGATGCGGCAGGATGGTCTTCGGTCCACGCAGCTGAAGGCAGACTTCGCAAAAGGATGGTTCCTTGTGGCCAAGGCAGGGGGATTCTACTTGCTGATGGGTTCTGGCAAGAAGCACTGCAACTCTGACAAGCTGCTTTTTTTGATTAAATTGAGGAACTTATTCATTTTTCCATGGCCAATGTGCGTGCGAATTGTGAAGCTTGTTTCGCCCTTGGGGCTTTCACGTACTTTCACTCGCAGAGAGTTACTGAGTTCACGCTGTTCTCCCACAGCATTTTGACGTATGATATGAGCTGCATTGTCACCTGGCCATACAGAACCGCCAATCCCAAGGCCATGTGGAAAGAAGGCTCGCGGACTGCAGCGCTGCGGCAGATCGAGGCGCCTCTGAAATTATGAAACGATATGGGTGTGTTTTTTTTTTGGGGGGGGCTAACTTTTTTTGGGTGGCCATTAAAGGGAAACCAAAAGGAAGCCACACCATTTGGCGGATTCCCTAAACGACACCCATACTATAATTGCGCTGTGTGCACTGTGTGCAAGGGAGCGGCCAGGTGGCGCTGCGCATGGTCAGCGAACCCGATGATCTCCTGGCGCTTCAGGAGTTGAAAAGGGACGACATCACAGATATGATATGTTACCCAGATAAATTGCTGTTTATAGTTTGCAGGCGGGGAGCTGGGCGTGAAGTTCGCTGGCCAGATCCTTTGCCCTGCGTCACCTTGCCCAGGAGAGCATCCTGCGGGAGGTGGAATCGTCGCGCGCAGGCTCCAAGTCAGGCGCACAGGGTTCGGGTCAGCCAGCATTTCCTGGCTGTGAGAATGCACGAGAGCCACCAAACATTTCCCAACAGAAGCGGCGTGTTGTACCTGCAACAAGCCTGTTGAATGGACCAGGAAATACGAAAATGCGGGTTTTCTGTGAGAGAGGGAACCAAGAACATGCCATCGTATGCGCTGCTTCATGTGGCTGACTGGCTCGGCACCACCCTTGAACGATATATCCTATATCCATACAATCATGTCAAGCAAGATATGGCTGTAGGTCAAAACCAACGGTACCATTTTGGGGTAGGTGCACCACCCATTTTTTTCTTCGGGGGATTGGGATGTCCACTGGGGGTACGGGCTTTTGACCCATGGCCATATCTTCAAGGAATCAAGGCAAGCGCCTTTAAAAGCGATCTGATCCAAGCTGCGAAGTGGAGCTTGGCTGTCCGCCGGAGACCCTTCGGTCGGGCTGCAGGGCTTCGGCTGCCCCAAGTGAGCCGCAGCGTCTCCCCCTGCATGACGCGGCCTGGCTCTCGTGTCACTACGCCCTTGAGGAGCCAAATTTTCCCCCCCAGCTTCTGGGGGAGAAGCCACTGGGGGAAGGGAAGGAAAACTGGCCCAGCCACTGGGGGAAGCTTTGCTCTCTGCTTTGGTTTTTTTTCTCTTTTTCCAGGATGAGTCGAAAGGATGCTTCTCCCGTAGGACGCCGCCGCGTTCAAGGGAGCCCTCCTGTTCCAGGCCAGCGCGGTGTTTGGGACCAACGGCTCATATGTGGCGGATGGATCGCTCATTATGGTAGTTCCGTTGTCATGCTCATTGCTCCAAGTTCAGTCCCACGAGGTGTGTTCCCATTGTGCATGAGACCTCTCACTCGTCTCACTTTTGGACTGAGGCGTACCTCCAGCCGCCCCTCCACACCGACGAAGCTCCCAGCGATGCCCGCACATGTGGCCAGGGCGTTTCAGGTGCTCGGTGCGGAGGAGGGGAGCTGCGAGAGACGACTTTTCGAGTTTGGTTTTGGCCAACGCTCGCCGTGGGGTGCGAGGACTGACTGGATGAAGATTGACGGCACCCTGCCTCCAAAGCGATGCAGGCCAAGTAAAGGCACTTGCTGCCCATGGCGGCTTGATGTACATAGCCAATGAGTTTTTAGTTTTGTTGGGTTTGGCGGCGATTAAAAAGTTTCCAGCGGGAGCTCGCCAAGAGCTCCATGGTTACGAAACTTGGAGCTTGTTGTGCGCCTCGAAGAATACCTCGAATCGGCCGTGACCTGGGCGACTTCACCGTGAATGTTTCAGGTACCGCGAACGTTTGATGACCCTGTTGTGATTGCTTGGGCGAAGAAGAAGGCTGGCCTGGTATTTGGAGCCATGACATGACAGATGGGTGAGGTTGGCATGTGCGTGTGTGAGAGCGGCTTGCAAAGCACGCAAGTATTGCCAATGATCCTTTGGCAGGATCCAGATTGCGGAGTGGACATCAGACAGCCATTCGGCAGGAAAGCTAGAAACGTTTTTTATTGCTAGGTACTAGGTACTTCATGATGCATCCAACTAGTGGTGCTTGAGTGAAGCCAAGCCGACTAGCCACAGGTTTCTGGAGCCAAAGCCTCCTCCGCCGCGTCAGTTAAGAGAAGTGTCCTGGCTTGCAAGCAGATGACGAGCAGTTTGACAAATTCAGAACACGCACTTTAATCTCGCATCACGCGTACTGCAGTGACATGCGTGACATGGGTTGCAAAGTCCGATCGTGCTGTCCGCTTTCAACCAGCTTTGGCTTACGGTAGCATGAAAATACCTGATGCACTGATACCGCCCTGCACAAGACCAAAAAAAGCCAAGAAACTTGAGATCATATGACACATTCGGAACAGCTAGGCGGTTCAAGTGTGGCTTGGAGCAGGAAGCAAAGGTTGGCCAGCAGGCCGTGAGCTGGACGGTGGTGATCGCACCGGTCTTTTGACTGCCATGCAGCCATGCACTGCTATGTCTCGCGGCAGTTGCCTAGGAGAGGCAGAGAGCAGAGCGTATAGGCTTGTACAAAGCATATGGCCGTGGATTTTGGGGTAGGTGCACCACCCATTTTAGTCTATTGTAATTAGTGGGGATTGGGATGTTCACTGGGGAAGAATCGGGCTTTAGACCCATCGCCATATGAGAGTATGAGATGCAAAGCTCATTAAGCGCAGCGCTGAGAGCCTTGCCGTTGGGAAGTTGGCTGAAGGACTGGGAGGACTGGGTCGCGGTTCATCAGCGGGCTGCGATTGTGCCACACGCAGCTGCTGCTGAGGGGCGGTGCGCGGACACCTCTGGAGCCCTTGGAGCGCCTAAGCGATTCAAAATTCGAACAACACCCAAGGAGAAGAGACACCCAAAAAAGACCAAGAGCCAGCGGAAATGGTGGCATGTGCTGCCTTCATAGCTAGCTTAGAGGATGGCCCTTTGAAACAAAATGTGTTATGCCAGCCGTTGCCGTTTATGAAAATGGATACACAACTGCGTATCTTGTCACCTTGCCTTGCTTCTGACTGAATCCTGTGGGTGATACGACTGCAGCATTCGCTGGACATGTGCCTTGTGACAGCCCATGGTTCTGACGTATCTCACGTGCAGCAAGTCGCAGTTGGCTCATTGTTCTCCCTTGGCTGCTATGAGGCCGGAGAGCTATTGGCGCGACACGCTGCCCAACGAGGCACTGCTGCGGCGCCTCACTGTGGGCGAGGCTCCAGGAGGCGCCGAACTGTTGGAGCAAGTCGATTTTCCAAATATTCTAACATATTCTAACAAAACCACCGAAGAAACACATAATATCATTTGCGCCCTTTTTCAAGCCTTCCGAGAGACTCGTGTTTCCCATTCTCCGGCGCCTCGGTAGAGTGCAAGCTGGAGGCGGGTCTTGGGAGGCCCTCGCCGGCGGCGTGGGGATGAAGTTTGGGGACAGCTGACCGAACGAGGCGTGGACGAGGTGCCAGCGCTCGGCATGTTGGGCGGTTTCTGGACGTTGGACGAACGCATTCAGATGTGCTATCTGAGTCGAATGCACTGGGGGCCCGCCTGGAGAGATGGCTGGCGGAGCATCTTGGCTCATGGCCTGATGTCGGAGTGCTGGTGCATCCGCCTTGGTCTAAGGCACCATGCTTCCAGTGAGGATGAGGCGTACAAAGAGGCGCTGCGCCTCGAGTCTTGCAGCAAAGCACTGGAAGGGGAGAGAGATCATATCATGTCTTCGCAAAAACACAAATGTATTAATGTTAGTGTAGCGAAAAAGAGCCGGGAGTTGGTGCTCTCAGATGCCTACCATGGTGCTGACCTCCCCTGACTACCGCTCCAGCCTCACTGCCCGAGCTGTGCCTTGGCTGAGCCTTCTTCAGCTTTGAGTCGCGATATTCCGCGGTTGTTCTTTCTTGATTTCTTTACCGACACCGTTCCGTGTTTGCTAATCAAGATTACTATGTATCTTTTAGATGTTTAAAAAAAAAAAAAACGTCTTTGGCAGGTGCTGAGCGGTTTATTCCCCCCCTCGCAGCGGGCAGATGCGGCCGCCGTGCAGCTGCGCACGCTCCGGGCTGCGCAGACAAAGCTGCACCCTCCAGAGGCGGGCGGAGGAAGAGCGAGGCACCAGGTAAGACCAGGTAGGAGAAGTCGGAGAGAGCGAAGAAGAAGATGAGCTGCAAGGGGCAGAAGGGCGAAAAGGGACGATAAGTCGAGAGACGGAGGGCAAGAGGCGTTTGAGAACTCCAGAGCAACTGACTTGACGGTGTTTCAGTCGGGTCTATTGCGCATTGAGCTTGCAGGAGAAAGAGGACGAGGCAAGACAGGAGAGGGGGGGCACTTTTTTGAGAATTACCGGGCAGAGTCCGGGTAGAGTCCGGGAGCGGAGGAATGGTTTGCGTAGGACACCGCCATGGACTTGACGGAGCTGCTGGCACTGGAGCCGGATGCGCTTGAAGGTGCCTGTGAGTGCGGCTCCGTCGAGAGTCGGCCTTGGGCTTTCAACGGTACCTGAGCCCAGTCGTTTGAAACTTGCCTCAGCCAGTTTGGCTTATCCACTGGAATCTCAAGAGCAAGCAGACCAAGTACAAACATGCACGAGCACGGGCAGAGAGCAACCAAGGCCTAGCCAAGGCACAAGCAGCAGAGCGCAAGTTGGCTTTCAGAAGGGTGCAAGTGCGGCGCAAGCAAGGCGCAAGACAGGCCACAAGATGCTAGTCATGGGTGGTCCAGCTTCCCCTAGGTTTGGGGCGATGTCGGAAGATGCAAGACCCGAGCGAAAGAGTTCAGACTCTGCCTTCGCAGACTATTTCTCGTTGTGGCCGAGTCCTCAGCAAGAGTCCGTGAGTTGGCAAGGGCTCATTGGGTAAGCATGCATGATTTGGTGGGAAGATGGAAACGAGCGCACTGTAGGCTCACGTTGCACAGGTATCTTGGTGCTATTCTGGTCGCATGGCGTGTTGGTAACGTTGGACGAAGCAGGAACGTTGCTTGAAGCGTGGGTCTCGACGTGGGACAAAAGAGCAAAAGTCACACGGAGATGAAATCATTCCCAGCCTTGGAAGTTTGCCAAGGACGGCTGCGCTGGCCGTCGTGGCTTTAAGCCACCCAGAGATTTTCGCGTCGGGGCCCCGCGTGTGCACCTGCAATATATGCATACATGTAAATATATTAATATGTGTAGAGCATGAAGATAAATATGTGTATGTCTATTTTTATGCTGCAGCCTCAGGAGTGCTCATTATCTGGCCTAGTTTTAGTGTGAAAGGCTCCTGGAGAATTGCAGTGCAGCCAAAGAGTAGAGCAAGAACTTACCAGGTAACTGTGAACAATTCCTGCACGAGCTTTCTTGGGGTCCTTTGCCAGAAGAAAGGGCACTAAGAGACACAACCATTCCAAATGTGCCAAACAATCATCTCAATGACTTGGCACAAGTTTGCAAAACGAACGTGGCTCAAACTGCGCAAGTGCCACTCTACCCAATTTGCCTGGCGTGCCCTCAGCCTGGTTCTGCGCACAAGGGTCAAGGCCGAGACACAACAACTGGCGTCGCCAACGGCTTCCTTTTGCACAAGCGCAAGAGTTATAGCGTGCGTTTCCGCAGAATGTTCTTCGAAGCCGGCCAACAGGCTACACGCGCGCAGTTGTCTGAGGCATTATTGACATCATCGCGAAACTGCAGTCTGCCACGCTCAGCCTCAATTAAGAACTTATGCGGCGACACCAGCTTATCCTCGCGCGCAAGTTGAACCAGCCCAATGTCGCAGGCATGCCGAAAAGCCTACAGCGCTTCAAGAGAAGGTTTCAAGCGCTTGAAATGATGTCTGACGTCACGTTTACAGGAGAAATCAGCACATGGATGCTCGGCGCACACACGTTGCTTCAAGGCTGACACCAGAGAAACCCAGGTTTTATCTTCAAGCCAGCGCGTGGCAGCGCGTCCTGGTGCGTGGTAGCGCGTCCTGGTGTGCCGGAAGCACAGGGCTTCAAGGGATTTCTGGGCCTGCAATCCAGGCTGCGCTATGCGTGCGATCGTGTCCTGGCTGGGAAGAGTCGGTCTTCAACCTAGAATGTACTTGCGCTTGTTACCCTGTCTTGGATCTGGATGCGGGTTACACACATTTCCCACAAAACGGGCGCGCTCTCCAAAAGAAAAGCGTTTTACGCTTTACTGGTAAAACTGTGGCTTTTGAACAACCGCTGGTGTCTACTGCGCCTGCCCGTCAATCTGTCGACGAGGCTGACTAGCGCCGCGCGACGTTGCAGCACGTGGGCTATGCTGATTGATCTTCGCAACGCGCAGGGCGAGCCTGGGCCAGCTGGCGCGCAACGCGGCTTGCGTCAGCTTCGTCAAGGCCGTGCGGCTTTTCCAGCGTTCCGCATCGAAAACCCTGCGTTGTTCCCGTGCTTCAATTGCAATGCCCCAACTGCACGATGCTTTGTGGAAGGCAGCTCCTATCAGCGTCACCTGCATCGCCAGGCCAAGCCTGCAAACCCACAAGTCCGAGCCCGCAGGCCAAAAATCCGACCCAAAAACACAGCCACAAACGCTCCCGCCAGAAGCAGGCGACGCAGGTGGCGCAATCACTTTTAGTCTTCACGGGGCCCCCAACTGAGTAACCAGACCAAGGGGAGGGTCAGACACAGGCCCAGGCAGAAAAGCGTCAAGAAGAAGGCAAATAGAAACAGACAAAGATGGACGCAGAAGTGTAGTCACGAACTACTAAACATACAAGAAAAATAAGACATAAGTGACATATGAAACTCTGATGGAGAAAAGCAAGGTAAACACCGGTGGGAAATAAGGCGCCCTGACTCCTTTGAGTTTTTGCCCTTTCCGATCCTCTTTGTGGGAGTTGAATAAAATGACAAGCAAAGATACCGACCTAAAGAGTGATCAGATAGGTACAGCGCGCCAGCTAGATAGACATGTAAAGTCAGATGTCATGTTTTTATGTTTCTCTCGTCGCCTCCAAAATGCCCTTCACGTGGGCTGGCTAACGCTCCAAACAAATCAACATAAAAGACAGGACAATTTAGATTCACAGCAACTTTCTTTTGGCTAACGAATAGATGGATGTGAGCGGGCCTGATGATGACGATCCGGCTGTGATGATGATGATGATGGTGGTGGTGGTGATGATGATGATGATGATGATGATGATGATGATGATGATGATGATGATGGCGAGGCTGAGCTGATCGGGATGATCATGTCCACAGCCCAAGGGGCCCAACATGGTGATGATGGTCACAATGGTGGTCACCATGAGGGTGACGTAAGATAAGAGAGCGATGACGACGACGATGACGAACGCCGTGATCACCATCATCATGTTTCCGCGCTGCAGCGCCGCCAGCAGGATGATGATGATGATGATGATGATGATGATGATGATGATGATGATGACTACGCATCCCCAAAATTGCAAAAGCGGCCCAACGCGAAAGAGCTTAAGTTCAGCCACTATGAGGGGAACTCGGCCTTGAAGGAGCGGGAAGGCTGGGGCGGCTGCTGGGTGGAGTTTCGGAACCCGAAAGCCTGGCTCCAAGAACTGGTTTGCCTGGCGGAGGGCCAGGGGCCGTTCTACGCCGTCGTGGCCATGCACCTTTGGAGCCGCGCGCTTCAAGGCCGCAGTCCGCGGGAGGAACAGCGGCTCCGTAACGCAGGGCGTTTTTTTCAATCCGCAAGCTTTGCTAGCAATCCAAACAATTGACCACCTAGCCCCAAGCCCAAAACCTTAAACCTCAACCCGCAGGATGGCTTGGAGAAGTATTGCCGCTTGTCCGACGCCCTTGTCTTCACACGTTGCCAGCATCAAACTCCCGCGGAGCGACAGACCGCCGTCGCTGAACCCCGGCAAGCTGCTGCACGTGCCCGCATCCCGGCCGAGGCAGGAGCTGCAGCCTGAGTGGCGGTGCCTGCGAGACCCTCCGCGCCGCGCAGTTGGCCTGCTTTCGACCAGGTGGCGGTGTGGAACGCAGGCCCGCCCTGTCTGATTTTTTGACGTTTGTCCACTCGCAGTCCGGCTCCAAAGGGTTCAGCGGCGCTTTATGAAGATGCGCAACTTAGGTTTTAACAATGATGTTTTGGTGCCACCCTTTTCGCGCGCATCCTCTTTTAATATCTTGGTGGCACCCAGCCGGTCGCTCCGAGTATGGGCAAGTTTGTGCATTTGCGGCGATTCGGATACCAGCGATGCCGTCGCCGCATCTCGGCGTCCAATCCATGATCTGCATCCCGCCAAGGGCTCCGTTCAGGTGGCATGATTCTTGCCGCATCCCGCACACACAGCCCATGGTCATAGGCACACATTGCCACCTGTCGCAAGTGCTCGGCTTCAGGGTCCAGGCGCTCTTCCGCTTGATAAGCTCAGAGCCTCACCCAGCTTGGCGCGTCCTGCGCCGGCGCTTGCCTGAAGCTGCCCAATTCTTCCAGCGTGTCACCTGCACGTTCCAAAACTGCTTGAGTCCGCGTTGCAAACCACCTCCTCCAATTCAAGCCAGAAAAAACGAAAACAAGCTGCAATGAAAAGTGTAGAACGCCATGCCACATATGCCATCAAAACGCTCGGAGCAAGAGCTGCCCGCAACCTGACTACCCGTCCCTGAGCTCCTGCACGTAGCGTCCCGCAAAACGCCCTTGAGTCGCAACTCTCGCAATTGAGTAGGTGGAGAATATCTGAAAACTAAGCTGCACAAGGAAATGAATACCGCTCAACTACCTACAGCAGCAAAGGCTCCGGTAAAGTTCGCGCACTTTCCTGGTGACAACGCAATGCCCTCACAACCAAAGTGCTACTTAGCGAAAACACATGCACAAGGTTTTCCCAGCCTATGGCAAACATGGCACAAGCTTAGTGCTCACGATGCCTGAAAAAACCAACGAAAAGTCTTTGAATATAAAGGGCAATCTGCCGAACCCTTCTTCTCTTGGCCGTTCTCAGCTGGGCCGCTAAAAGTCTAACTTTTTGACCCGAAAATTCCGGTATAGCACCACTTCCCCTGTAATGCCAAGACGCTGCCAGGGAACCAGAGCATGCTTGCTAGAAACCGGGGAATTTGTGGAGCGTTACCCCTCAATTCGGCGTTGCGCGCGCCCCGAGCGTCAAATAGCCGCGGCCACCGGCGCCGCAAAACGGCCACCCACTCCCGCAATCCCGGGTCATTTGACGCGGTCAGGCGCATTCCTTCTGGTCAGTCATGTCACGCGCTCTTCGTGAACCTTGCCACCGCAGCACCCAGCCCATTGGCGCTCGCAGCTCTGTCTTCGAAAGCAAGCCCCGGCAAGCAATCCGAACCAAAGAAGCAACCTCGCAGGGCTACCTTCCACTCGCAACTTCCAGCTAAGCGCTTGTATAGTTGCGCAGATGCGACGTGAAGTAGCATCTGAGGGGGAGCGTTGGTTCTTTTCAGGTAACGCGTCACTAAGCGTGCGCCATGTTTGACATAGGTTGTGATAACCACATATGTTTTTCGCCAAGTAGCAATTTGGTTGTGAGTGCATTGCATTGTCACGAGAACATTGCATGAACTTTAGCGGAGCCTTTGCTTCTAAGTGGAAAAGTAGTGCTTCTCCAAATTGATGTGATTTAGAGCAAACAAGCACATCTCGGCAAAGGGTGTTCACCCACAGACCTCAAGAAACAAGCGCATGCTACCTGCATGTGGCCAGTGTATATAGGTGGTTTTGCGACAAACAACTTGAGTGCTCCAGGGGGTATCATACATGTGTATATATATATATACACCCCTGCAGCTCCATTTGGATTCAAACACATGGCAGATAGCAACGCCCCAGCGTGTCAGCGCGCGCAAAAGTGTAATCACTAACTTTCACGACGCTGGTTCCATTTTTCGTGAGATGGGTTCATTGCTGCGGCATTTGCCGCCACTCACGTTTTTCCGCCTTTTCCCTGCCGTCCACTGAGGTGGGTAGGGCCCAAAACCAGCCGTGGCCTGCTGGTGAGTTTGGTCTTCATGATGGGCACCACTGCTCGCGTGGAGGACGCCTTTACTTTAGTTTCCACTGCAAGACTTGAATGGCAGGCAAAGATTGCAAGGCATGGCAGGGCATTGCAGAGCCAGTCTTTGCGAAGGACTTCAGGGCCTGCTTCGGCAAAGTTCGACCGCTGATGGTGAATTTCATTGTGCCTAGGCCTAATTATCTTGCTGGTTTGTGGTCCAATTCTCCCAAATGAGTCTGAAAGCGCGGAGCTTTCTGGCTGGACATCAAAGGATCACGCGTTTGGGTTCTTGCATGTCATTGCCAGCCATCACCGCAAGTCATTGCCTTGCCTTGGTCTGAAGCCATGCTCTCTGAAAGTTCCCAGGTGTATCACTGTATCATGTCATGTCCGTGCACAGGGATGTATGATAGTGTGGAACAAAGCACAGGATGTTGCACTTCCAAGCTTTGAATACAGTGCAGCTGTGTTCAAGCAAGTGTGGGAACCCTCAGGTTGGCACGGCGAAGTGCCCAAATTCCACCCTTTGACAGAAGATTCACCAAATCAAAGGAAGTGACAATTGCGACAATTGCGCAAACTGAATCATTTGTTCAACCACTCATGTGCCAGATGTTGAGTGTTCAGAGACAATGAGCTTGCCACACCCTGCTTCACGCCGAACTCGCAAGCGTTACAAGAGAGTACCCCTTACCTGATGTTGTCACGAGCTGTTCCTGGTCATCATAGTCTTAGACAGGGCAGGAAAAATATTCTGTCTTCCTGAACCGGCAAAGGCATCTAGAATGCAGGACAGGCACAAGAATGCATTCGCGCACTCATGCCAAGGCATGCTTCGGTGCCGCTTGGCAATACAGCTGGACACTACTAGATAGTGCTAGCATGTTTCATGTATGCTTCATTTGACAGGACTGCACAACCAATCTGGCCATGGGTCAAAATCCCGTACCCCCAGTGAACATCCCAATCCCCTCTAAACTAGACTTAAATGGGTGGTGCACCTACCCCAAAATGGCACCATTGAATTTTTGACCCACAGCCATCTCCTTGAGTCGACTCAGGTCTTGCCGGCAGTTGCTTTGGTCATCGGCCATGCTCTGGATCTTGAGGAGGTGCGGGCATTGCAAGGTTGGCCCTGAGGGGGACCCCGAGACTCGGCATTTTGGCGTTCGCTTCCAATGCCATCCTTCATTTTGGCTGCAGGATTTCATGGTGGGCCTGGTGCTGATGGCTGGGGTGAATGGAGGTGCCATTTGCAAGCGCTATTGGCAGCTACGAGCCATCGGGTGCCCCCGCGCCCGCGGCTCGGGCCAAGTGCATCCAGTTGAAGCCTTTGCCAGGATCCGCCTCAAACCTTTTCGCGCTGCTGGCGGGTGGTGATGTGGCCCTCTCTGTGCTGATGACGATCACCACCACTCTGGGGGCAGTGACTTGAATCGAGATGGAACACTGGATGGCCCAAGAAAACATATGAGCAATGTCTTGCTTTTCTCGTCAACAATCGTGATAGGTGCAGTTGTTTGTTACCCGAGATTCAGGTGATTTGCACTCCATTGGTGGCAGAGTTCTTCGTTGGCGCCCTGGTGCCTGTGGACACCTTGGGGATGCTTCGGCGGCTGGGCAGAGGTCAAGCTTTCTTTGGCTGCTTTGACGCTGCCCACAAACCACCGCTGCGCCCAGGTCAGCAGTCGAGGTTGTGCTGCTTCCCATCCTTTGTGGAGTGGCGACCCGGGCAGCACTGCCAGCGACCATTGAGAAGTTGGCTGCTTTGCTGAGCTCTAGCTTGAGGCAGCATGTGCTCAGATTGTTCGGAGCATGGTGCATGACAATTCAAGGATGTTATGCAAGCTGTGAATGCCGATTTGCAGCAACGCAACCTCACCTCGTTGCATGTTTTTGCGACAGCATGCGACAGCAAAGGAGCCACTGATTCCTACACTTGGACTGGGCACGGCGATGCCCATGATTGGCGGAGTGCTTGCAAGCGCGGCAAAGTGGAGGGGGTAGGGAACAGGAGTAGTTTTTCCCGCAAACCTGAAAAGTGCTTGGTTTGATTTGGTTTGCTTTGGTTCGCCTCATTTAAGTTCAGGGGCCCTGAGAGGCAATGCTTCGTCCATCTTGGGCGCCGGAGTTGCGCTTCACGTGTCTGCGCTTGTCTTCCATCTCGTCGCGGGTCTCATAGGCCCGGAACGGCATGCAGCGGATGGATGTGATGTGACTGGCTGCTCCGCTGCCTCAGGCTACTACCTTGCAGGCCTCACAGGTTCTGACGAGTCAGAGCGGCGCACCGTGGCCATTGAAGTGGCCGGCGCCTTGGGAGCTTTGCATTGAAGCTGTAGCCATCTTTTGATCTCAAGCTCCGTGCAGAGGCGATGAAGAACCACGTGTTTGCTTGCATTCTGGCCGCGGCCCACTTCAAATCTCCCCTAGTTCAGAATCCCGGCCATGATGTATTTGAGGTTTGCTTCGGAATTTGTGCGTCTAGTTGTGATGTGCGTTGAGTGTCAGTTCCTGAGCGTTGATGGAGGGTGCCAGATCTCAAGCTGTGACAATGTCCCATAGTTTTCGGGATTGTCCGAGGACTCCGCCTGCCACAGCATGCATTTGGTGTCCAATCATCGCCGCTGCCATGTCAGCATACTGGAAGAGGAGGCCCAGCAAAAGTTCCTTGGAGGATTGGTGCTTGACATGAATATGAAAGCACAATCAGCTTCCAGGTAGCCTGATATGGGGGTGCTGCAGCAATGCTTGCGAGCAAATAAGGCAGAAAGGAGAAGACGCTGGAATCGGATGGCGATCGATCCGTTTTTCGCATGGCTACGCCATAGGCCAGTGCATTGCCACTGCGGGCAGTCAAGTCTGCGTATGAGATCAAGCCGATTGAGCTCGCTGTTTAGTGCTGCTTTCCTGGCTTCACGGCTTAGCCGGCGTTTTAACGTTTTACTGGCAGAGATGTCAATCCTGAACGGTGAACTGGGGCTTGTCCCCTGGACAGCAAGTTCACTCGACGCATACTCGACGCCAAAGGCGCTTCGTTCAGCGGACGTTTTCGGGCTTCAAATCACCACAGAAGTAGAGGAGATTGCCCCTGACTTACGCCCTGCGTTTGAATGCGGGAAAAGTCGCATGGAGCTGAACCGCAGAACCGCAGAACCGCAGAACCGCAGAACCGCAGAACCGCACGTCGTGTTTCAACGCACCGGGCCAGGTGCCAGCTGGGTCCGGCTGTTGGATGTGGCTGAGTGCGCCACGACCTTCGGACTTCTGCCTCAGGGCCAGCTGAGCAAGGCGCAGTTGGCGCATTTGTCACATTTGCCGCATCTGGCGCATCTGGCGCTGGTCTTCAGCATGCGGAGCGGATCGCTGGCCAGGCCACCTGGCAGGCGGTGCTGGCACCAGCGCACCGCGCCGCGAGTTCGGCTGCTGCAAGTGCTGGACCGCTGCTGGAGCCTGAGCCAGCCAAGTGACGACTGCAACAACATGCAACAACTAAGAATGAGAAGGGAGAAAGAAATGAAAGAAAGATGAAAGCATGGAATATCATGGAGTTGCGGAATTGAGAATGAGGGCGTGCCATGTTATGGAGCGTCTCAAGCTTGAGGCTGCGATTGACCCTCGAGCCCTGCATGCGCCTGTCGCGAAACTGCCATGCTTGAGGGCGGGCACCGCTCAGCTGATTGCTAGCCGCTCAGGGCAGGGGAGCTTCCAGACGAAGGCCCGCGCGCCCTTCGAACACGTTCACACAGCCTATGGCCACCCAAGGCGAAAAGCTGCGACTGGTGGTTCTGCCTGGCTTCTCTTTGCTGTGCTGGGCACATGCGCCAGAGCCTCATTGACTCATTGACTCATTGACTCGTTGCACGCGCGCACTGTAAGGATGTGCCTGCCTCGCGTAGCCCAAGTGTGGCCGGCGCCCAGCGCCAGCCTTTTGGTCAGATCCTCACTTCATCGCTTCACTACGGACCAGCCCATAGAATTTGGCCGAAAGGTGGAGACCTACTGTGACGAGGACTATGTTTTTTTTGTCCTGCGGGTGGTTGGCGCAACGTGTCCGGCAGGCAGGTGGCGTCTTTCTGCGGATTTGGCAGCCGCGGGACTACCTGGAGCTTAGACCCAGCTGGCACCAGGACCGCTGGCAACAGCGAGACGTTCCTTGCCGTCACGTCTTTACGCCGCTTTTGAGTACTGAGGAGGATGGGCCGATTCCTTTGCCGCGTTTGCTGAAGGCAGGAGAACAGCGCAGATTGGGGAAGCAAGCCATGTCTAGCGCCAGGAGCTCCAACTGGACACGTCATTGAGCAGGGCTGGCTCAACTGTTGAGGCAGTGTAACGTATCTCGAAACGAGTATACCTCGGCAAAAGGATGCGGCTGCTGCAAGCTGTCCATGTTGCGGTTTGTTGCAGTCCTTGCTGTCGCCTCCAGCTGCCCTCTTTTGAGAAGTAACCCAGATGCCAGTCGTGGAGTGGCCGTATGTGTGGCACGCTTTAAGCTTCGCCAAGGTGAGCAGGTGGAAGCTGAGCAATGCCAGCCCTCGCGAATTGGACCGATTCAGGCACGGGTGAGGCATGTGAAGGCTGCCTTTAAACCGAAAACTGAGAGGCACACTCTGCAAATGTTCAGGCCCTTGCTGGAAAGAGCCGGGGAGGCGGCTCTGGCGCCGAAGACCGCAAGATGATCCCAGCTCCAAAAGTGAGACCGAAATCGAAATCGCCAGCGGTCAAGCTTCGGGCATTGCAAGCGTCCTCGCTGTCCGATACATTGTGTCTCAGCACAGACGAGTCATCCATGATAATTTTACATGGGCCACTGTTATGGGCCATTATTTTTGTGGTTTGCTGGCGAGAGAGACGATAGTTCCAACGAACGCAAATCTGCAAGTTTGATTTCAGCAAAAGGGCAACCAAGGACCCAAACATCTGAGTTCCCAAAATAGGGGCCCATTCAGGAAACTGTCTGTGCCAGTGGGTTTCCTGAATGGGCCCCTATTTTTGGGACCGGGGTTTGGGGGCTTGGCACGAAGAGTCCCAATGGAGTTGGAACCTTTCAAGATTGCTGTCGTCAAAGATTGCTACTCCAGAGGCAGCAGTTGAGAAACGCACACATCCAGCCACCTGGTCCTTGTGCTACGTACCCAATACATAAGGGGTATATATAGTGTATGTATTTTTCAGCCATTAGCGGCCCATAACAAGGGCCCAAGTAAAAAACTTTAGAGTCATGAATTGAAGACACTATGATCAAGCTTAACACAGAGCCAGAGCGCACGCGTGAGTGCAGGTTTGCAAGTCTTGTCCACGTGAGGGAAGCGTGGTTAAGGCTTTGATTGCATTGACGCGCGCCGATATCGTGAGGAAACGTGATCAAGCAAGCGCTTTGTGCAAAGTGCGCCTTTCACCTGTGTTTTAATTGGACGAATCTGATGGTGTCTTCCGGTGTATCTTATGCGCCAGAATAGCCCATCCGACATTGTTTTAGGGCGTGATGCGTTGACACGCCAGATTTGCGCGTCCTCCAGCACAGTTGCCGCATCTCCGTTCAGAACTTTGCGGAAGTTCAGTCTTAGTTGGTTCAAGGGAACTTCTGCCTCTGGATATTTTGCATTGGACCGTCATTTCGCATCACAGTATGTTACAACGTGCATTTCTTTTGCTTGCTTTGCGTTTAGCGGAAAAGGCGCATCATGTCTGCCAGCGAAATGCAGAAGGCGGGCCCCCATTGTAGCGCCAGCTCAGAACCGGTGGAATGTTCGTTCAACGAAAAAAAATGATAATTGGTAGTAGGGTAGTGCTTTGTTTTTCCTATTAATCGGCTGATGCACACCTGTCTTGGCCATGACCACTGTGCGTGCGCGTGTTGCTTGAACATATTGTGTGCGAATCGACCCGATTTGCTGTCGAAGGCCATGGTCGTGACATGCGTTAGCTGACATTCAGCGACCATGGGACACCGCTCATGACACACGAGAAGCAGTCAACGCAGAGCAACGAGCAGGGCACAGTGACCTATTGCAAAAGCGTATAGACAAGTCATGGAGCAGAACCGGGATGCCCTCGCGAAGCCTTGGGAAGGCGTTTGGCGGTGCTGTCAAAGAACTTGTGTTTTTTGGACTCACTGGCAGGTGTGAATCTTGGCGGGTGGCTGTTGCTGGAGCCTGGCCCATCCTATCCGCTGTTCACACATCATTTGCAGAAGGACAAGAGCGAGGCTGGCTTCTACGAGCAAATGAGTTCCTACTGTTTTGAGTGGTGAATGCGGTTCAGGCGCGCTGCGAATGGGACCTCATGAAGGCCGCGTGTTTGCTTCAGAGAGTTGGGGAGCCCATGAGCCGGCCACGCACGATTTGACGCTTCTTGCAAAGGCGACAAGGGGATGTTGCACGTAAACCCTGCATACAAGGAGAAAGCAACCGTGGATGTTTGAGAGCAAACCATTTGAACCCCATGGAAGCTTCCCTGAACGCCTTCGGCTCTGAGAAGCATTCCGGAGGATACGTGCTCCAGACCCGGCGTATGCCAGGTGATGCGCGAGACAATGGGCAAGCCCGGCGCCTGCGAGGCGATCAAGTCACACCGGGAGACGCATACGACCAAGGAGCTTTGGGTGGGGTGCTGTGCTGCGACAGTTGTATGTTGCTTTGCTTTCAGTTCGAACAAAATGAGCACAGGCTGACTTCCAGCGCATCCGTGCCTGTGGTCTGAATGCAGTGCGTTTGCCCGTCGGCTATTGGGTGGTGACAGAGCCCAGGTGGGTGTTGGACTGTTGCAAAGTGTGTCCTTCTACGCGAATACGCGCAGACCAAGAGAGCCTTACGTCGGCCGGGCTTTGGAGTACGTCGATCGAGCAGTGGCATGGGCTGAGGAGAAGATGTGAATGTTTGTTTGTGTGACCAACTGACGCAGCGATGTTTTTGAGCAGCTCAAATTGCGAAAGCGCTAAAACTTCTCAATGTGCTGGGCAGGAGCTGGGCTTGCAGATAGTGCTCGACCTGCACGGTTGCCCTGGAGGGGAAAGTCCAGAGGCTTGCTTGTGCGCATGCTGGGCATGCAGGACTCTGCGTGGCCAGTACGCGCCAGGCACCCTGTGGCCGTCGTCAGCGGCCCGAAAGCCGTTGGAATTGGCGGCACTGGGACTTTGCAGCTTCGCTGAACGTCCTGCAGGCTCGCAGTGACAGGGTTCAATCCAAGAGCATGTGGCATGCAGGTTCTGGCCAAGCGCTATGCCTCCCGCGCTTGCGTGACGGGATTGGCTGTGTGCAACGAGCCATCAGGTGAAATTCCTGCAAAGGCTTTGATCTCGTGCTTTGGCGCAGATACTCGGTGCACATCCGGCAGTTGGTCCCAGCGCCCAGGTACTATTCCCGGGCCGTGGACGTCATTCGAAAGGCGTCAGTGAGTGTCAGAGGCGGAAGCGCCAGCGTCACGTGGCAGGCTGGCATGGATGCGAGCCGTGTCGCCGTGGTTCTCCCGGTCTTCCAGCGCCCTGAAGGCGAGTGGGTAGCGGCGCTGCAGATGTTCTGCCCGTTCTAGCAAATGCTTGTTCCTCAAGTTTCAGGCGGGAAAGAACAAAGAGTAGATTTAGCAAACGACTTTTTCACTTCATGTGTTCTCTTGCAATTGAGGAAGCAATCTATCATTCAGGCTTCACGGAGTGAAACATCCCGGTGTCAAGTATTGTGGGCTTTGCTGTTGCCACTCCGTTTTCCGGCATGAGTAACCCCAACTGGGGCATCCGAAGGAGGCAACATCAATCCATAGCGCGCGGCGCAATATAGCGCGGCGCAAGACCGATCGTGGCTTCCCCTTGTGCCACGTTTTCAGGCGAAGAGGCCTTCATGGCGCAGTGGACGAAGACCACGCGCGGCCGGCACCGAAATGTGTGCTTCGACGTGCACTGCTACCACTGCTGCTTGGCCTTTCGGGGCTTTCCGGGGGCTTTCCGGAGACGCGAGCCGTGGGCTTCCGGACTGGAGGCTTTGAGAACCTCTTCCACGGCAAGACCTTTGCTCAGCAGCTGAGAGCAGTCCAGGAAGCTGTCAGCTTGCACTTAGCCCCAATTGCACTCAGCTTGCATGTGGGTGCCAGGAAAACATTGGGATGTTCAAGCGATATCCCATGGTGGCAGGCAGGATGTTCAACTGCCGTGCGGTGTCTTTCAGACCTCCGCGAAGATTGCATGTGAGGCGAGTGGGCGCTGTGTCTTGGCCGAGCTACATGGAATACATGTGGCGATATGGACGAGGCATGGGGTGGAAGCCGTTGCTCTCGCACTATATTCTTCGCTAGGACAAGGTGATGAGTATTTTCGCAGCTCAACAACTGGAGGCCTTTAGGCAGGACTCTGTGCTTGACTCCAGTCAGTCTTGCCTGCCTTGAGGACTGCTTCTCACGGTTCTTTCTTTTGGAACTGGAAGGAGGATCCGGAGAACAAGGCGCTGGCAGATAATTCCCAAAGTCGAGTCCAAAAGCGCCTCCCGCAGGATTGGCACTTCCAGCAGGCCTACGACCAGGGCCTCCTGAAGCGAGCCCCTTTGGCACTTCCGAGCTGGGATGGCACAGGCGAAGATCCCCTGGAGGCACACGAGCACTTGGCTCACTCTCATCTCCCCGCCCGGAGCTGCCTTGCAGGAGATGCTGCATCCGTCTCCGGAGGATCCTGTGGTTTACTACGGCGCGGCATGCCCCGGTGGTTTTTCGCCGAGCGACGGGTTAATGCTGAGGTGACACCGTCTTCCTGCGTGTCTTCCATGGCATGTACATCGATGTGCAGGGCCGTAGCGTGGGGAGCCTCCAGGAGTTCCGACTTTTGCCACCTTTGGACCAGCGCGCTCAGGTAGACTGCCGCTGGTCAGACAAGGGAGAATGGCAGGCCGAGACGATTTGTGGCCTGGGATTTGACCAAACCCGGTTGACTGACTGCTTGTCAATGTGTTTTCGCTGTTGGCGTGTGGTTTGACCCTGTGCAGGCCTTCTCCTTCTGTGAAGTGCTGAAAGATGAGCCTTGGCAGCTACTTTCCATTTGTAAGAGGTGAATGTCTGTGTGGTCTTTCCAGGACACCATGACATAGGAGTCGTCCGAAAGGGCCTTGCATCGGGATACTGAAGGGAACGACATTTGGTCTTTCTTTCGCCTCCACGAAAGCTCCGCAACAGATGCGAATTGATATTTGGTTTGGCAACAGTTTGGTACAAGATTTGCTTTGGACATTCGCGGCATGCAAGGCGCCCAACATATGGCACATCAGACAAGCGAACCACTCCATATTGAATATCACTGTGGGCTTCACAAAAGAGGGAAACCCCCAATTAGGCTTCGGATGTCCGTTGGTTTCCGTCCTAAACAAGCCCAAACAATTGTTTGCGTCAGAAGGACAATTCATATACTGATTGGAGTCATTACCGTGCCACAATAGTTAAAGCAATCCCTATTTCAGCGTTGCATTCTTGCGCGTGGCCCAGGGCAAGTCTGTGGAGTCGACCAGGACTGAGCACGGTGCTAGTGCTGTGTGAGCGAGGGCACCGTCGCGGGCAGCAACTTGCCAGAGCATGATGCTCAAAGATTTGCCAGGCGCGCTGTGAGGCACCGCGACGTCGTGCGCATCCGTGCGAGCAACAACCACTACTTGTCAGTGACAGGCTTCACGGCATGTATGGAGCGCCTCGTGTTTTGGTAGTGCGCTTCGCATCAGATGGTGCATTCAAGAATAATAACAAAAACAACAATGAAAACAAGGAAAAACAAATTTGTATATATGGAGCGCTGAGCAAGATGCCTTGGCGACATGGCGTGCGAGGCGATGCCGCTCAAGGAGCAGCTGTGGCTTGGCTTGCAGTGTTGAGCCAATGCAAAGGTCCAGGTTGCCCCAATCACAACTTGATGCTTGATTGTGCTGTCCAGGTGGTTGCCAGTCGAGCCAAGCGTAGCCAAGAAGGGGAGTTCGAGGTGCGCTTCTAGCCAGTGCTTCCGGGAGCCGAAGCTTTGATCGCCTAGGTCTTTCTGGAGAACTCTGCGGTTCTGAAGCACCGGGGCATCGCGCCGCGCTCTCAGGACCGGGGCTTCGAACAAATGAGCAGCACTTGGCTTGAGGTACTTCCTCAGCCGGGCATCTGCCACGGTTTTGGATGCCGATGATGCGTCAGATGGTGTTTTCGCCCGCTGGGCCGACTTCGGACACTGGCAGGCAGATTGGCGTTTAGAGAGCAAGGCATATAGAAGGCACATGGAAAGCATATAGAAAGCATATGGAAAGGGCGTTTTTAGATCGACTTCGATCCAGGCTGTGGCAGTGGAGAGGCCATCAGAGCTGCAGCGGCCTGTGGCACTCCCCAGCCCCAGGAATCGCAGCAAAGGCCCGAGCTCCGATCTCCGCAGATCTCCGCATTCGCTCGTGTCAGGGCACTCAGGGCATTCAGGGCATCGTGGTTCCAAAGACAGCCGTCACCTCGGATGCAGGTCACATGTGAGCAAAAAGACAAAGATCTGCCAAAGCGACTGAGACATATCTTCGGAATGTGCTGAGTGCTGCGGAAATCCTAGGTCCTGTGAGGGATGGACCGGCTCTGAAGCGCAAAGCAGAGGCGCTGACGTGCGCTGACTAGGGAACGACATGAATTCGACGTGTGCACAGTTGTGTATACTTTACCATGCAGGGGTTTAAGCATTTATTCCCTAGCAGCATTGAAGTGCAGGACTTTGAGAAGTGCACAGGACAATCCAGTGGAACCCTACGTTTCGTAGGAGTTGCACGAGTTTGCCACCATGGTTTACCAGGGTTCCGGATGTGCATTTCCTTCAATGCCTGTGGCGCTGCTAGACTGTAAACTACATTTGTCCCCTGAGAACTTTGCCGGGGGGAACATGTGAATCGAGCACGGAATCGACACGGTTGCTTGAAGCAAAGTTCCAGGTGGGTTGAAGCACCGGGAGCGACTCGGGGTTGGACCGGTGGCTTCGCTTCAGGGTCGGGACTTGGAATCTGAGCAACATCGAGCGACATCCCACACCTTTGAGCTCCAAGACCCGGGGTTGGTCTTGCACAAATTGAGTGCCGATTTGCTCTGGGAAGACGTGTGCCGGGATCAAAATGCAAAAAAAAAAACAAGTCCTCCTTGAATGCGCTTAGACTCTCCCCGAAGAACTGTGCTTCAGTTTCATGAATGCTTTTTGCCCGGAGGCCCGAGCAGGTATTCTAAAACATGTCCAGCCCAGTAGCGCTTCAAGAAGAGACGGCATGTTACTGCAGCCAAGTTTGAAGGCCAGCAAGCCGGCCTTCATTGATTCCCGACCAATGGTATGTTATGTTGTGTTTGCATGTAGGCCTTCCTAGACAGCAGTTTGCCGAGCATGAGACGCTGCTGCAAGGCTGTCTTTGGCTGCTGAAAGTTTCTGCCTCTTGTCGCGGCATTTCAGCTCTAAACGAGACAGTTTTGCTGGGCTCTAAACGCGGCTGTCCAGACACTGCGATGCCAGGGCCCCGATGCTGCATGTCTCCGAAGATTCATGCTGACTTGCCCAAGGATGCTGCCTGTGGCAAGAATGTGCACCGGCCTGGCGGCTAGGTCTGGAGGTGGGATGTTTGAAGTCTGAAGTGCTATGCCGAAGTGGCCTTGGCATGGCAGGCTTCTTGCGGCGACAGGCTCTGCGTCCAGCCCTGTATCAAGCACAGCAGAGGCACGGCTGGAAGTATCGCTCATTCCGTTGGCGGGAAATGCTAAGCTAAGGCGATTGTTTTAGGCCAAAAAGTCTGAAGCTGTTTAAACATCCTGTCCTCAGCGGCTGACAAAGGAGACATGCAGAGCCTTGAAGGTTTTGGTCCATGAGTGCTGGCAGCGTATCATCCCCGAGCCGCTAATTGTAATCGCGCAGGTGCTTTTCTTTGTCCTCAGCAGCAAAGGTTGCCAGAGCCCCGTGTTTTCGCAATTGGCGCGGCGTGGAAACCACACAACGCCTTTCACGCGGCTCGCGCCTATGACATTTGACCATCCGAGAGATCCGCGATCCGGAGGCAAAGGACCTCCAAGCTGAGATTGGCCATGAGGAGGCCTGTGCGAAGAGTCAACGAGTTGGTTTTGTTTCATCACTGATGTGCCATGTGGTGCTTCAGGAGCAGTATCAGCAGGCCAAGGCAGGAGTTGGAGATGAAGTCAGTGCCAGTTTTTTTTTTGGGGTGGTGGCCAGGAGATCAAGAAGTTCTTGAGCGGCACTAGCTTCAAGTTTGTCGAGACCGAGGCTCTATCAATGCGTCTCGGTAATATGACGCCCACATGTACACTACGTTTCGGGCATGGTTGCATGGTTTCGTGCATTGAACCGATACGAGAGACGCGTACTCGACTCGCAGTCATATTCGGCATTCGCATTTGGTTCATCGCGTGGGCCCATCAGGACGCCACACAAAGCATTGTTTCGGGCCGCGCACTGCACTTCAAGAAGGGCTTCCGATTTGAGAGCCGCGAGAGAGATTCGACCTATGAGCTTCGTGAAACGTTGCAGGGAGACGTGAACATGAACTTGGAGAAGGAGGTTGGTGACATGCTGGTGGGTGGCTCAAAGCGCGCATATGCGCGCATATGCGCGCATGGTGGGCAGCTCGAGTGGCCGCTGTTCGAGTTGTCCGGGCAGTTCTTTGCCCCCAGGTGAAGATCGAGTGGCAGCTCACCAGTCCCTTCGATCCCACGGCTGACGTTGAGGGCGAGCAGGAAGGCGGTCAGGAGTACGCGCCAGCCTCAGAGCATGACATGCTGCACATGCGCTGCGCACAGACTTGGCCTTCGGCTTGTGGCATTCCCAGGAGGCCACTGACTTCTGCATCACCATGGAGAGCAAATCCAGCCACTTGGAACGTGTCACCCGTGTAAGGCAGATTGTACACCAATATACACCAATTGTCTCATACCCAAGGTGGTGCTGGCGTGTCCTTTTACTGCAGCACTCAGACTGGCGAGGACCACCGATATGCCCTCGTCTCAGGCACAGTCAAGCCCCAGCGTCGTTTGAGTAATGTTGCTTCCGTTTTTGACGGCAATCCAATAAGTCAGGTCATCGGCAACGTAAAGTCCTTTGCCAGCACGGAGGCTCGAAGCGGTTGTATCCGGCCTGCGTTCCCAGCGCGCTCCTTGTTCGTTTGCTCAATTCATTTGGCCTAGGAGAAGAACGGTGACAGCTCGTACAACGGAATCTCAGCTGCAGCAATGCTTGTGTTTTGTGCGCCAAAGAAGTGAGCAATGGAGCCAAAACCTTTCCATTTGTGTAGAGGTCCCGAGTTTGAGGACATCGATGAGAAGCTGCAGGAGATTAAACTTCAAGTCAGCACTTCTCAGACTAACAACAAATAATAGTGCCAAGGCTGCTTCTGATGTCAAATGCTGAACTCACCTGTTTGTTGAAGTAGGCAATTTGGACACTATTGTGCGCCAACACAAAGGTCTCATAAGCGCTCAATGGAGAACTGCAAAGCTGATTCTCTTAGGGATTCGACCTTCAAGTTTGGGTGCCAGGAGAGCTTGGACGAGCTCTTGTCAGAGGCATGTGGATTTGGAGTGAGCATACATGCTCTACAAAGGTATGCATATAGCGTACAAGTTATGAGACGCTGGAAAGTTTGTTTCGGGTAAAAAGTGCGGTGGTTCGATTTTGGTGTTGTAGCGTCGAATCGCTTCCGGAACCGCTTCACTTCTTCACTTCAGGTGGGAATGAACTCGGAGCTCTGCGATTTCATCGATGCCATGGCCCTGGACAAGGACGCGACGCCAATTCGTTGCGAATTGCACTCGGATTCGGTGATCGCATTCGCATATTCGATTCGCATTCGATTCGCATTCCTTGAACCCATTTGGCGAGTTACACACTTCAGAGCCCAGCCTGTCAATCGCGAATCCAGGAGCAGCGCGAGTACATCCGTGCCTTGGCGAGTTGGTTTTGTCAAAGAAGTTGTTTGTGCTGGATGCCTGAAACATCTTTTTCAGGATGGCTTCGAAACGTGCTGCTTGACTGAACGGCAGCTCTTGCCAGACAGCTGTCCTTGCCCGCCCAGCCCAACCCCAGAATGTCTCCATTGCAAGGAAAGGCTTCATGGAGAAGTGAGCTCCATGCTGCGCGTGCCCCGCCTCCATTTTGACAATGGATTCGTTGACGTCTTGTGAGCTCCCCAGTTCGCATTGTTCTTGGCAGGTCTCTGTCAGCTCGTAGCTTGATCAAAGAAGTGATTCTCGGAGAGCAGGAGAGCTCATCATTTCAGAGGCTGATCCATCCCTGCAGCTGGCACATAGCCGGAAGACCGATTAGAGCGGAAGCGGGACAAGAAGTGACTGTCGAAGCGAGGTTCCCGGCATTCCCAAACGCAACAGACCATCAGGCTACGCTTCTGTCTCCAAACGAGGTGCAAGTATGATGTCGTACTATGTGGTCTTGTCAAGTGCATATCCTGAGGGGCGCAGGGCGGACTGTCCGAATGCAAGAACGCATCATCTCCATTTGTTGTTAGGGAGCAAAGTGGAAAGACTTGTTGATACATATCGTATTAAACCTGTGTTCTTCCAATGTGTTCGCGAGGCGTGCTTTTGCGTCTTGGGCTCAAGGTGTGATGTTGTGCTCATCGAAGAGAGCAAGCGAGAGAGAGAGAGAGAAACAAAAAAACACTCATTACACCATGGAGCAAAGTCCAAGGAGTCGAAAGGAGCAGAGACCTGCTTTCTTTGCACTCTGTCAAGGCACACAAGGCAAAGGTGATACATGACTGAAATGCAGCGACAACCGCATTGACATGCCGTGCCCTCCGCAAGTTTAGATGGCAAGTTCGCACCTGAGCCTCGCATTCTCCCTTGTTTTCTCCAAATTCGGCGTATTTGGAGTCTGAGGCAACCTCGTGTTGTCCGCTGGTGAGTTTGCACCCAATGCGGCCCTGGGGCTCAGACCTGGCGACATCTGGTGACCATGGGCCCAAGGAAAAGAGAGGCAGATGTGTCAAGCAACTTTTCAAGACATTTGGGAATGCTTTAACTTCAGTAATTCCGTACCTGGGGGCGCTGAGGCGTTAGGTGCGCCTGTGCCTTTGCAACTCCTGGCGCTCTTTGTCATCGGCATCTCGGCGGCCTTTTCACGGATTGATTGGTTGAGGCTTCAGGATCCATGGAGCAACTCTCCTGTGTGCCGGACGGTGAGAAGTGTCCTGTGAGAATTGTTGAAGTGGCAAGCTTGCGGTCCGCTTGTGGTAGTGTCGTCGGAAGTACTGGTGGGTTGTTGTCCCATGTTGCCCACCAACTCGCCCGTCAGGGATTGTCAATTCGCCAGGCCCTCGCAAGCCATGCTCCCGTGACATCTGAGGCTTTTGTGGCTTCCTGGTCCTATGGTTGCTGCAACCTCAATCTGAGTGCCGCTTGCGCGGAATGCGCTCACTGAAGGCAAAGCAGAAACATCAGTGTATGAGGCTGAACCTTACTACAGTCAAAGAGACCAGCACAGTGCTGCTGCGCATCACTCTGGTGGCTGCGGCTTGATTGTGGCGTGTTGCACTCGCATTTGGTACCAGGCTTCCCATGGCTGGTAATCCTTGCGCCGTTTGCCTTGGTACTACAAGCACCTGCTTCTAATTTCCCCGTCTATGATCAACCCCAATCAAGCAATTTCAAAGTCCTGCTTCTTACACCGACTATGTCCATTGCTCACTTCCCAAAAGTTCAAATCGTTTGACAGGTCTTTGCCCTGTCATCCCCGCTTGGCAGGCAGTTGCGGTGTCATTCGTGCTCATGGCTTGCTCCCTGGAAAGACATGCATGTGGCACAAAGTTTGCAGGCATCCATGCAGTTACTTCGTCAATCAACAATCCGATACGCAGCATGATTGCTCCACACATGAGCTTGCTTGGATTGCCTGTTTGAGGTCTACACCGATGAGCTATGGCCAGGTTGACTAGCAGACATGGAGAACAGAAATGGAATCAGGTCGATTGGCAAGCGATCGGAGTCGTTCGAAAGGTCCCTGTATTGAGATCTGAAGAAGAAGGACATTTGGTCTTATGTGTTGCTCCACGCAACGGACCTCGTCCCAGCAAAAGCTCCGCGCTGGAGGTGGCGAACGTTTTTTTTTGTTCGAAGCTGGTACTCCCGGAACAGATATCAGACAAACGCCAAGAATGTGATCATCTCACAGCCGATTTCTTATGGTTGGTAATGCTGGCACTGATTTCTGTTGTTGGATTATTTTAGTGGCCGTTCCACACGCAGCTATTGATTTGCAGTAGCTGCTCAAGGCAGAAAGTCTGCTTCCCTAGCAAGATCCACTACCCCCAAACAAGAATATTCAGCTTTGGGCGGAATTTACATGGGGGTATTTTTGAGTATTAGGGAGTGGTGTTTGTTCCCGAGGTGCCTTTGTACTTCCCCGTAGGACAGCTCGAAATTGGATTATTGTTGTATTTTTTTTGTACACACTTTACAGGGGGGACCATGCTGCATGAGCTTTGAAGGCTTGCTGTGGGAAGGCAGTCCGTGGATCATTCGCTTGGTGAAGGGCATATTATGGAGTGGTTGTCGGCTAGAGCCTGCGAAGGTAAGTTGAGACACTTGTGTTGCAGTAACGCGTGGCATCTTCGGACTGATGGGTAGGCGGTGATGCACCAATGCTAGAAGTTACACCCTCGACAAGTCAGATGGTGGAGGGCGTGAGGGAGTTCAGATCCCAGGCAACGTACGGAGTTTGAGCGCACCGCGCAGGGATGCAGAACCATTTGGGCGCTTTGACTCACATGGCAGTGGCTCAAAAGTAAGCTAGGGCTACGCATTGGTCCATGTTTTCACTGAGCCGTACCCGCATGTCGCGGGAATGATGCTGGGCTTGAGGAAGTTGATGCCGATGGCTTCGCTCAAAGTGGGAGGAAGTGCCGTGTAAGGCTGTGTCTGGCGTTTAGTGCTGCAAAAGGTTTGGGAAAAATATGAATAGGTTGGTGCAGTTGCAAGTAGGCGGAACCAATTCTTCATCCAAAATAATCAAGCAAAGCAGGGACAATAATTAGTTGCCAAAATTCTGTATCTAGGAACCTGACTGGTCCTGACACTAACAGTTGGCCTTCGTGGCGTGCTTGGAAACACGATTTTGGAGTTTTGCAGACACCGGGTGCAGGGCATGCCCGAGCCCAGGAAATTCGCAGAGGCGTTGACAGCTTGCGAATATCGTTTTCGGCTCAGCAATTATTTCAGGAATCCATATCAGCTAATGCTGCTCCTCTCCTGAGGCTGGAGCTTTTTTTGCAGAAAGAGGCATATGCAAGAGGGCAGATGTCTGAATGACATGTGTACTGCGTCAAAGACAGAATCTGCTCGTTCTTTGAGGCAACCAAGTGATGGCGCCATGTCTCGACCATGGGTATTGACCTTCTGCCTTTGCCAGGCAGTTCTCTCTGTGTGTTGGGAGAGACTTTGCTTGAGCTTCGTTTGCAGAATTTTGCAGAAGCTCGGGAACCCTGAGCCATTGGCACTTGCACGGACGGCCAGGGCATTTGTTTTGGATGGCGTCCTTTGGAGCCGGTGGCAGCAGCCTCTGGACGGCATGTCTCAACGGCTTTGTTTTCTTGAGGCTTGCCATTGGCAAATGAAGTTGAGGCGCTGAACCAAGTCGAGGCGGTTGCCAGATCTCGCAGCGACCTGGAGAGCACGTGGCATTTGGCCCTTTCACATACCATTCGCCTGAAAGTGTGGGGAACATTGAGGCAAGAGGACGGAAACATGCAATCGTTTCCGACAGGCTGGTAGAAATCTGTGCCAGTTGTAGCTGCTGAAACCGACAGTCGCCCAGAAGCCAAGTGCCCAGTCCGCTGAATCTGCATCAAGGGTAATTTCTTCACTGAGCAGGTGACAGAGATGCTGATGCGCAAGTTTTCCTCCCGAGGGCGCGCCTTTGGGTTGCAAGAGGCGACACTTTGGCGCGAGTCGCTTTGGCGGTCCAGATGGTGCGCCGAGGTTTTAGATCGGGAGCGTGCTGGCGACGGCCTCTCCTTGCGGTGTCAGGCCCGAAACTCCAGCTGGCAGCTCAGGTTTTGGTGCTTCGGTATCTTTGGACTTCGAGATTGAGTTGAAGGACTGACATGTTTGAGTGCATGTCAATATGCTCTCCGCGTGCATTCATATGTCAGCATGTCATGGATGCAACACTCGGGTTGAAATCGGATGTTGCATTTACTGCTCATGCTGAAGATTGCGACACCCCATCGACCGGGAAGCTGCCATACAAGTTGCATTTGGCAGTTGCTCAAGGAAACCCAGAAGGAGTTTCGATTTTAGTACCGGGTGCTTAGAGCGCCGGCATGGAGGCAGTCAGAGGGCCTTTTTGTTGCGGAAGGGCACTGGACGAGGTCCCACCAGAAATCATCCAGTCCCTTCCAGTGTCTGAAAGGGCAGGTGACGCGCTCCAGGCGGTCACGGTCCGCCTTGATGCTCTTTATAGTCGAATCACACGTCTTGAAGAGCTGGAATTACGAGTGGCCAGTCTTGAACACAACATTGGCAGCGATGACAGAGACGGAAAGGATGCAAACGAGGGTATCATCAGCATGGATTTTCAGGCAGTCCTCACGCAGCGGGCTGGAACTGAGAAACTCGAGGAGCTAGCAGAAAGCTTGCCAACAAGCTCCCGAGCGATTCAATCAGGGGGGCCACGGTCTCTTCAGTTACTCCAGCAATCCTTTTGGGATGCTACGGTCATTTTGGGCTTGGGCGGCCTTGGACACGCAACCACATTGTTGGTGGCCATCGGCACGTTGGTCAGCATCTTCTCCCAGTCTCTGTTTTGCTGGATCGTCTATGCTGCTTTTTTGCTGCCAGATCCAAAATATGATCCTGCGTGGCTGGCAGATTGGCGGTTGCTGGTGGGGCATTCGATAAATGGCTACGATGCCAACTCAGACTCCTCCTTAGTGAGTCGTGCCTGCCGCGGCAAGCCTTTCGACAGGGAGTGGTGGACTCATTCACTGTTGAACGAGATCGATGACTACTTGACGCCATTGCTGTCCCAAGACATGACAGTGGGCTTCGTCCTAAGCAGCATGGCAGTGGCCATTTGGCTGGCCTACATTGCCAAGGAGCTGCAGAGCGTTGCTGCTCTGACGATGAACTTGCTGGCCATCAAAACTGGTCCAACACTAGTGGGGGACATGCAACGCGGTCTGGAGAAGCAAGGGATGATGCATGCGGTTTCCAACGGAAGCATCGGCCACATGGGCAATGTTCGGTTTTTGCGCAGCTTCATCTCCATCAGCAGATCCCGCAAGTCGGTACTTCTGCTGGTGTTTGGGATACGCGCTGCCTTGGCGGCACTGTTGGGTTTCTTCGGAGCTCTGTGGTTATGCCGAACCCGGGATATTGCCAACATCATCCAGAACGGAGTCTCTTTGGTCTTTGTCCTGGAGATTGACGAGCTGTTCTTCGAGCTGTTTGCTCCACGCCATGCAAGTCGCTTTCTGACCTCCATCTCGCGGCTGGAGAACCAAAGCAGGAAACCATGGGTTTACACACTCACCAGCAGCCTCCAACTGCTGCTGTTCTGGGGAGTTGTGATGGCATTTGTGTCTCTGGAGGTAGTGGGGAACACAGAGTCGGCTCGAGACGTCCGGAACATCATTTGCAACGGCAACCAAGATTTCATCATCGAGTCTCATACCAAAGTGGGGCCTATCTTTGTGACCGACACCTCACCCTTTGAAGATGGGAATCTGGACAATAAGATGCTGCCAGGGATGCTTCCACTCCTGCAAGACGTGTCCAAACATTACAAACCTGGAGCCAAAGATTGGATGTGGAGGGCAACTCTGGAAGGCCGTGGTCCAGTTGCTGTCAAACACACCCCTACAGTACGGGACTTCAATTCTTGGCTGACCATGGATCAATTTCAAGTGGCAGATCAATCCACCTACGGCTTTGGTAACTGGTTTGGAAACACTTGCAAAGACCAAGGTCGTGACTTTTGGGAAGGCGATTGGCTTTGGAGCACTGCAACAACTTTGACCGGAGCTACCGACTGTGCCAGCGTCGAGCCTTTCTGTGGCGAAAGGGACTTGCCGCTGATTCGCATGCTGTGCCCCGAAACCTGCAGGTGCAACACTGCTGTTGCAGGCCAGTTTCTCTCCAACGGGTGTCGCCTGGGATGCACGGATGAGCCTGGCTTCTTGAACTCATCCTGCCAAGACTTCAGCGAAGATGATGTGGAGAAGAAGAAGTCTTGGGATTACTACTGGGCGCAGTTCTACAGCAACAACAAAGGTTTTTGGCTAGAGGATCACGAATTGATGGTTTTTGCGAAGAATGGTTCTCAAGGGAATTGCTCCGTGCTCGCTTCTCAGTCATGGATGCTCAATGAGTTTTGCTTCCAGTATCACAATGACTGGGTCGCTCGTCGCCCGTTGACGGCCTTCTGCCCAGAAACCTGCAGTTGTTTGGAGAATCCCCGCCCTGAGTCGCCCATCAGTACGAGCATAGGGGCATGGTGCCCAAGTACATGCTGACCGTTTTGTGTTCATGAGTTTGGTTTCACTATCTGCACTGCACATTTTTTTTCCACTTCCACAGCTCGCAAAGCGTGCCGCGGAGGCTGCAGACAGGTGCAAGGTGCAGGACTCGTTGCGAGAGCCGCAAAACAGCGTGGGCCCTGCAAGCCATGAGTTTAGACGAAAATATGGATTTTCGATCAAGTATCAATGTTCGTTCCTTGGTTGTCCCACTACAAGGTGTGTTTTCAGGTCTTGTGATTCTGGCCTTAGGGTTACTCATGCAGAGCGCAGGGTCTAAGGTTTGATGAGAGGGTCTCATTTGAGGGATGTACTTCTTCAGATTTCAGGGGTTTTGGGTGTTCCAGGGTTCAGATGCTTTGAGGATTCTGGAGGGCTAAGGCAAGGGTTTCAAGGCTTTAGGATTGATATGTTTGGGTTGCGGCTGCAAACGGAGGGCTGAGGCTCACAGCGAGAATGGTAGATGTCATCAAGCGGTAGATGTCATCAAGCGGTAGAAAACAATGAGACCCTTACTACAAAAGAACTGACAGCATGACTGGCTTTGGCGCATATGCGATTCAGTCTGTGATTCTGCAGTTTATGTTGGGGACTTCAGATATCTTTCAGAATGCACCAGGCTTGCAGGGAGTTCATTGCTGTGGAGTTGTTTTTGTTTTTTCCAGGTAGGAGTTAGCTCAAACTTAGGACGTGGTGTATGGGATGAATCCTAAGCATGGTTCACCTTTGAGGGTGATGACAGGTAAGGCAAGCACAAGTTTGTATCGGCGCAGTGAGGTTTTGACAAGCACGGGCCTGCAATAGCCAGCTTTGTGTGACATCGAAGAGCTAACATAACATTTGTAACGGGTGCGTATCCGCCAAAGGGAAGGAAGTACTTTATACAGGGATTGCTAGAACTTGAACACTCTTGCACTTGTCCAAGGCCTTCTGCCAAACATGGCTCCAACATGTGTGTGTTGACGATTGTGAAACACCAGGAACCAACGACAGTCACCAGCCCCAAGCCACTACGCCGTTGTGCAGGGCAGCCGCTTGGCTATGACTCCAGAGCTGGTGCTCCACCGTGGAGGTGCGCACATTTTGCTTGTGCAAGATGTCAATAGGGCGGGTGCCCTGAACGGTGACTCAAAATCAGACCGCTAAGACTCTGCCTCTTTCTTCTCAATCGCAATCTTGAAACTTGATTCCCCATTTCGTTGAAGCTGACCATGATGTGGCGTGGGGCGTTCAAGATAATGGCATGCATGTTGCGCACGAGAGTTGACTCAGCCAAATGAGTCAAGAAAGGTTGCTAGCTTGTTCTTGGCGAAATCGTTTCAATGATTGGGCCTGGCGCGGGCTTTTCGAACCGATTTCGTGCATGCAGGCATTGATGTGGGCAAGCCTTTGTTTCCTCAAACGTCTCCGTGGTTCAACGTGGACTTGGACGGCGGCATCTACCTTCATGGGCAGGACAGGGCCGCCGGCTTGCCATCATTAGACTCGACCAGATCTTGCGATCAGATCCTGAGGAGAAAGAGGAAAGGACAGCTCATGTCCGGTGGCAGCAGAGTGCTGACGCTCTGATCGAGCTTCAAACAGCGACCATCACACCCAGCGAGGCGCGGAGAGCGTCCAAGAGCTTGGGAGTGTTCTCGCGAGCTTAAGGTACACGATGTTCTGGAGGACCTCCAACCTTGGCTGCGTAAGGCCTGCTTTAACCCGCAACTTGTCCGCACGCTCACTTCAAGCAAGCCAGGCCGAAGCTTGCACTGGTCGATGCTTGCTGCCTCGCAAGAACCGGCAAGAGGCAAACGCTGTTTGAATGCAAGCGAGTGCCGAGTGCGGCTCTTTCCCGCTCCAGGTGCGCTTCACACAATACCGCCGATTATCTTCATGGAATGCGCCGGACACTGTGACTTGCCTGTCGATCGAGCCGCTGGCAAGAAGTGGCAAGTTGCCGAGTGCGGCCGAGGTCCAATTTACCATTGGTGGCTTGGCAGGTCCAGTCGGCGTGGATGCACTGAGCAATCTACATGAATCTATGCCGTGCTTTGCAGAAGGCATTGGGTCCTGAGATTTATTGTGTTTGCCATACTGTTTGGTTTGCTCAATTTGCCCCGAATTCTGCCCTGAACCAATCCTAAGGCCACCCACCAACCCTAAACTAGACCCAAACCAAGAAAATATCCTGGATCAACTGCAATCACACTGCGACAACGCCAAAAGATCTCACTCTAGTCTTAGTCAGCACTACACCAACCCACCTATTATATGACCAGCCTGAGCATGCCTTTGATCAGCACTCAGCCAATCCTTAAACCGTTGACGACCCTTCCCAGACCAACCCGGCTGTGCCCCATGCCCCAGAAGTGGCTGAAAGTTGAGCACCTAAGGCCTTGATCTGTCAAAGGTCTTCATGCTGTTGAAGCTGTCTCCGCACTATAGCCCGACTTCTCAGACTTTTCTCAAACTGTTTTCAGACGGACCCCTCTGACTCGAGTTGAGGCAAAGGAATCCTTGCGGATGTCGCGGAGCTGTGCCAAAACCGCAGCGCCGTGGCTGCACACGTTGCACATGTTGAATGTTCTGAATGTTGAACATGTTGCTTACACGAGGCGCCGTCAAAATTGCTGTTGAACTTGGCATTCGGCGTTTCGTCGGTGTGCAAACGATAGGGAACTCGCAAAGAACGCTCCCCTAAGAGCAGTTATCTTTGCACTTGCTTGTTTTTAACATGTACGGGGTCGGTATGTTCTTTAGAAAATCACTCGTGCCTATTGGAACGAGACAGCGGCTCCAGCAACGTTCCTTCGCCGTTAGAGGCGGCACGCTTGGAATGCTGACTTATTGCGTGTTTCGGGCACAAGCTTTTTGACGAACGCTCATGTGAAAAATGCACTCGGCCTAGACAGGCCCCCGCCCCACTTTGAACAACCAAGCAGTTTGAGAATCTCGCTTGCGCAGCGCAAAGTTTGCGACCGCGACGATGGAGGCGCATTTTGTCCGCGCAGGGTGCTCCGAGATTTGAGGCGTGGCGAATGCTGCTTGGGATGCGCGCTCTCCCTGTGTCTCTGCGCAAATTGGGTCACAGCAGCGCGAGCAAGAGGAGCAGGCGCGCGCAATGTGTAGTTAGTTCTGGCTTGTGTTGGCGCCTTGCTTGGGCAAACCGGGCAGTCTGAGCGACACCCTGAACGTGCCCAGAAACAGAATAATTATGGCCCTGCTGCCTGCCATAGACTCATTGATGGTGCAAGCCTTCCTTCCTTCCTTCCTCCCTTCCTCCCTTCCTCCCTTCCTCCCTTCCTCCCTTCCTCCCTTCCTCCCTTCCTCCCTTCCTCCCTTCCTCCCTTCCTCCCTGCCTCTTTTCTTTGCCTCCTCCTTCCTGCCTGCCTCCTTTCTCTTCCGCCCTTTCTCCCGTTCTCCCTCGCTTCCTGCTTCCTTCATCCCTTTCTCCCCTTTCCGCACATCCTGTGTCCTTCCTTGTTTCCTTGCTTGCTTGCTTGCTTGCTTGCTTGCTTCCTTCCTTCCTTCCTTCCTTCCCTTCCTCCCTTCCTCCCTTCCTCCCTTCCTCCCTTCCTCCCTTCCTCCCTTCCTCTTCCTTCCTTCCTTCCTTCCTTCCTTCCTTCCTTCCTTCCTTCCTTCCTCCCTTCCTCCCTTCCTCCCTTCCTCCCTTCCTCCTCCCTTCCTCCCTTCCTTCCTTCCTTCCTGCCTTCCTTCCTTCCTTCCTTCCTTCCTCCTCCTCCTTCCTCCCTTGCTTCCTTCCTTCCTTCCTTCCTTTCCTTCCTTCCTTCCTTCCCTTCCTTCCTTCCTTCCTTCCTCCCTTCCTCCTTCCTTCCTTCCTCCTTCCTTCCCTCCCTCCTTCCTCCCCTTCCTCCCTTCCTCCCTTCCTCCCTTCCTCCCTTCCTCCCTTCCTCCCTTCCTCCCTTCCTCCCTTCCTTCCTTCCTTCCTTTCCTTCCTTCCTTCCTTCCTTCCTTCCTTCCTTCCTTCCTTCCTTCCTTCCTTCCTTCCTTCCTTCCTTCCTTCCTTCCTTCCTTCCTTCCTTCCTTCCTTCCTTCCTTCCTTCCTTCCCCTCCTCTGTTCTTTGTGCATTCTCTATATGAGGAAGCAAGCGCAAACAATTGCAGGCACCGTATCTATGGGCACGTGTCAGGACAAGCCTGCATGACCCAATGCATGTTGGTGCCATGTGCAGACTCAGCGTATCCTGGCGCGATAGTGGCACCAGTCAAGCTGTCGCCGTCTCTTTTCTGGCGCCATGTCTGCTTACTCTGCGTTTGCGCGTGTGTGCAAGATAACAGCAGTTTCCCGCTGAAACAGCAGCTCTTGGTTTTACTTAGCTCACCGTTGTGCCAAGTCAAGTCACCTTCCCTGACTCAGGTGATGCCTATGGATCGCTGGTTGCCCTTGCCGCCGTCACTTTGGAGCAAGCAAAGCGCTACAAGGCCCTCGGCGTTCTTTTGGTTTCCCAAGTCACCTTGCATCCACAACCCAATATGCCCACAACCCAATATGCGCTTTTTGCAAAGCTCAAACAACCCGTAGCAAGAGCTGCTTGTTTGGGTCTAGCACTCCACTCTGCCGCAAAAGTTACTGAGCATGTCTGACGTGAGCGCTCACAGTCCAAAGCAAATCATCTACATATCGGCTGGGATGCTTTTCCGATCTGTCCAGCGAGTTCTATGGCTCCAAAGAGGGCCAGTGGGCTGTTGTTCAATGTTTATCTTCTGTTCAATAGGCTTTGGTCGGCTTTGCGAGGCTTCGCGTGGATGCGACCACCCCAAGGCGTTCATGCAGCCGTACCTGGTTCGCAGCCATTGGGGAGATATGGTGCGATGCTTGACACGGAATGGCGGTTTTGCCCATTGTCATATTTGATTTGTGGACGCTTTGGTAATGCTTGCTTTGGGGAGCGTGTTCCACTACATGTGTTGTGAGATATGCATGCCGTAGGTGAGCTATGATCTGTGGCATGCCCAGGAGCGCTCTCTGACGACGAGCGCCAGACATTTGTCGATGATGTTTTGGCTGCCGTTTCAGGCGATTTGCAAAAGCATTTCTTGAAGAGGGGTTCTGGATGTAGATGTTATAGGGCATATAGGCATGCTTGCCCTGAGGCACCGTGGATCCAGAGGCTCCGCTTTGGGAGCGAAGGCGCGGGACAGACCGTCTGCGTTGCTACGCAGTGTTGACATGGAATCCAAAGAGCACCGCTTGAAGTTTGATTAAGAAGCATGTGTTTACTTGTTTTGAGTAAAATCAGAGAGATGCAGAGATGCATAGATCCGTTCCTCAGTTGGGCTTCCTTGCCGACAGCTTGGCGCCACGGCGCCACGCCCCAGATTCTACGACTACCTGAAGTTCCCAGAGACCGTGGAGATGGCTCGACTCGTGCGTGGCCGCGATCTAGCGATGCCAGAGGTGGGGAAGCGAAGCTCTGGCGGATGCGGACGCCACGTGCCAGGCTTCTGAAGATGTCGTCCAGCAGCTGCCGGCCAGCCTCACTGGGCTGAAGCGTTTTCTGGCAGACATGGATTTGTATGCAAAGTGCAAGAGGTGGTGTCAACTCAACTGAGCCACAATCAAAACCCGGGTAGATGGAGGTTAGTAAGGGAGACTCCCAGCCATAAATAGTCTTCTTAATGTTTTACATAATTCTGAGTAGACCATTCTAATGCCGGGTTTGATTATGACTCAGCTGTGGCTGCGATGGTGTCAGCTCGCGAGCCTGTTTGCCCCAGAAGTTTTTGACAATCCTTCACTTAAAAGAAACCGCATCTCTCTGTCTTTTCGACACGTGTTGGCAGTAGACCTCGTTTGAGGCCTGGCTGCCAAAGTGCTCAAGCACAAGAGTTCTGTAGACGCAGAGGCGGGTGTGTGGCAAAGACAGACTGTTTAAAAGCACAGTGCAACTCAGCCATGGGTGGCTTTGTCTTCCAGAGCGCTCAATGTCAATAGCGCTTTGGGCGCGAGAGACCAACATGGACTGTGCCCACTACCGAGCAAAGATTCTAAGATGGCCATGGGTCAAAATCCCTTGGCCCCAGTGAACATCCCAATCCCCACTAAAATAGGTTCTAAAATTGGTGGTGAATTCACCTGCCCCATGGGATCCCAAACCGGTTTCGACCTCTCCGCCAGATCTGCACCTCCCCGCTCCGCCGCTCCGCCCACTCGTTGCATCTCGTTGCCGGGCGCGCCGAGCGCGTGGAAAACGCGTCGGGAGGTGAGCCGGCGCCGCTGCGGCCTCCACGGCCCCGGCGGCGGCGAGGACTTCTCCGCGCGGCAGTGGCTCCAGGCCACGCTGCGAGGCGCGGCTTTTCTTTGGCTCAGTCGGCGCAGGTCGTTTCCATGCTCAGATTGTCCATGTTCATTGAACTGACTTATTTAAGTCTTCAAGGCCTTCACTGTTCAAGAACAAGATCACTCGCTTGTTGGCAGCTGGTTGGAGAGAACACAACTTCCACCAAGGGCTCGCCCTGAACGGATCCGGGAAACCTTTGCACTGATCCAGTGTCAGCAGTGTCAGTCCTTTGAGACTCGAGCAACTTGAGGTGTTGACCTCATGTCGGACCACGACTCTCCAGCCAGCAACGGTTGCATGGCTGGACTTATCTTTGGTGCTTCGATCGCCTTTCAACGAATTGCAGAATGGCCATCGACCTGAGGATCCTTGAGTGGCATGGTGTGGAAGTCGATGGGACATTGGCGGATGGAGAACGATCCGCAGCAGCCCAACTATCGATTCGTTTACTTGGAGTGCCGGGGCAAAGTCCACAAGCGGCCATGCTTGGACTTGAAGGGGCGCCGCTGGAGCGTGCCCTCATACATGCGGCATGTTGCACGGATTGCCAAGCAATTCGAGTGAGAGCTCGCATGGGAACACGCCACATCCCATGCGTGAGCATGCGGTCAAAATGGGCAACGGCTGGCTTAGCTATGCTTAGCTTTAAATCACTGCAAGGTGACTAGTGCAGCTCGCCGGTCCAAGCGCTCGTAGGGTCTTACACTTGTCAGAGAGCACTCCTTCGGGCGTTCAACAAGCCACACAACACCAGAGAAGGATGAACAGCCTAGCAAAACAAGGCAAGTCTTGCTTTTGCCACTTTAGGATCAGCCAGCCTGAGCCGCAAGCACAAAGCTCATGGAAGCGAATCGTCCACGCCCCACTGCTACCCACTGGCTTGCAGTCTTGCCAAGATTTGATATGGCTTTGGGTCAAAAAATGTTACCCAAACTGGCACCCTGCGGTCTCCTGATGGTTTATGTTTGACCCATAATATCTTACAACTTGCAGCGCCTGCCTCCGGACTCCCTGGTCTTGACACCATGCAGCGTTTAGAGCCGAGGTGCAGATGACATGAGCTGGTGCAAGTTCCAACCAGGCCATGCCAGAGAATCCGGCGCAGGTATGGTTCAAGTCACTGGTAGTCTATTCGTTTGGTAGGGAAGTGGGGGGGACGAATTGAACTTCCAACCCAAACCAGGGGGACAAAGATTGTTTCCCGCATCTCTGTGGAGCAAGAAAATCTCTGAGCCCAGCTCACCCTGAGCCCCAATGCACACCTTCGCTTCAGGTGAACGGAGATCCACTTGCTTGGCCACTTGGCTGAACTTCTGAACCGTTTCGTTGAGAAAAGCCGTGTCGGCAACTGAGGACTCGGAGCCCACGAGTATCTCCAGGGCCTTCAGCGCCTGTGACCTCGGTGCACGTCCAGCGCCGCGGGCAGTTGCAGAGCCTCGCGCGGCAGGCTCGGTTCGGACAGTCGTGAGGGATGTGGGGGGAACCGACAACTTGAAAAAGAGACCCTGGAGGAATCCCAAAGGCATGATTCGGTTTTTAGTAGAAAAGGTAGAGAACAACATGAACTCCTGGGACCATTCTAAAGATATCGACCAGAACTGAATCGATGATTGGCGAATTTGATATTTGCAGTGTTTGGGAGCAGTATGACTTGTGAGCGTGGAAGGTTGCGGAAGCTTCTGACCTGACTCACTTGCAAGCTTCACAGATGGCACGCAAAGTGAAGAATGACAGCGGTCGGTTTGGCTCAAACAAGTTGCTTGTTTTTGGCGCCGCGTTGAGAACCCCAGCTTCGAGCCAATTTGTTTGGCCAAACAAATCGCTCGTTCTTTTTGCGCCCCAACTGCGCCCCAAGACACCGATAGAAAAGTGGCACCAAAAAGCAAGCAGGGAAGACTCGACACGCATCTATTTCGGCCTCACAACTGGAACCCACTCCAGCCCTCTACTGCGCATGGCTGCTAGCTTCACGATTTCCATACTTCTGTGAGGTCACAAATTCTCTTTTGGCGACGGGTTCTTGGAGTAGAAAAACAATGTCCTGCGTGCTGACTCCTCGTGGTGACAAAACAAGTACATATTCTGCAATTGCAACACTCGCAGAGCTGCAGGTGTTGAGGAGCTAGAGTGGGAAGAGATTCGGCAGCGCTCACCGCAGGATGGTGCTTCGATCGAGCTCAAGTTGTTGCATTTGGGGATGCGTCTGACTAGCAAACGACTTTTCTGAAGGAGTGCATCCGTGTTGCCGCTCGCTTTCGGCCCGATACTATGTGCGCGCCTCATTTTGCCAGTGACAGAGTCATGCTGAAGCCCAATCTTGGTGTGTATTGGCAGGGACTGCGGCAATGAGAAGAACTGTATCAAATTTGGACAAGACGGCCAGACGTGCACCTTGAGGATAAAGAAGACTTTAAGCTGCAAGCACTGCGTAGCGGCTGTCGCTTCAGCGTTTGTTTGTCACACATTGAACTTTGGGATACTGCCACAAGAGCTTTGCTTAAGCCTGGCATCCGAGGAATCATGGACTGTGTGACTGTACATTTGCTTACGACCATATGTTTCAGCCAGAAGCATCTCAATCTGATGTTTATTGTACGATCGCAAAGCCAATCGTAGAAGGTGTGATCAACGGCTTCTTGGCTTGCAGGTATTGGTATCGGATCAGGCGATTCGCTAGATAGATTTGTCAATCCCAGGATTCAATGGGGCCATCCTTGCGTATGGCCAGACTGGCAGCGGCAAGACTCACACCATGCTTCTTAGCTGCATGCCCATGGGCCCACGCATGCGACGCATGCGACGCCTATGCATTGCATGCGACGCATGAGGTTTGGCCCTCACGGGGCTCAAGCCTTCGTCGAAGATGGGGCTCCTTGCCTTTGCACGGCATGCCCATCATGCATGGGATGCATGGGATGCATGGGATGCATGGGATGCATGGGATGCATGGGATGCATGGGATGCATGGGATGCATGGGGGCTTGCAGGCTTTCACCTGCCAAGGAGATGGACTTTGAAAGTCTGGGCATCATACCTCGCGCATTGCAGGACTGTCCAGTCGTTGGATTTCAATCCTCAGTGCGTGAACGGTCTCTGAGGAGCTGGTGGATTACGCCAAAACCACCCAGGGCTTGGTCCAGCTGCGAGCATCGTATGCTGCTCGTGGCAACTTAGGAGCGGCGCAAACCATTTTTGGTGTTTGTGAGCTCGCGCTCTGAGCTCCAAGGTTGAGACCTACAATGAGAATGTGATTGACACCTTGCTGCAAAGATTGCTATGGGTGCAGCAGCTGATTGTTTGCTTTAGGATTTGCTGTCGCCGATGAAGGGCGGCGCCTTGGTTGGAGATCAGAGCCTGCAGTCTGCCGCGATGCGAAACTCGGCTTACTGGCGCCAAACGAGCAGCTCTTGATTTGGACCTAATTATGGGCTCTGAGTGTTCTGTGTCAAACGCGTCCAGATGTGTAACCCGTGCTAGGCGAGCAAGGCCAAGTTCTCTACTTGCCAACTGTGACAGAGACGCCTGTCAGCTCCGTACGTGAGGCTGGTTCAGCTGTTTGCGCAGCCTTTGGCTTCCAGCATGCAAAAGTGGTGAATGCATCATGCAGGCATTGGAAGTGATGCGGACGGGCAACCGCAATCGGCACCAGGCCTGGCAGGGTCAGCACGTTGCCTGACTGGTTATCACAATCCGTGGGATGGTGGGAAGGTCAAATGCGATTGGTTTACGTTGAGAGTGCTTGCTTCCAGGCAGAGACCAAGATGAACCGGCATTCATCTCGAAGCCATGCTGTATTCATCGTGACAGTGACCAACCGCGCTCCCTGGCTTTGCCTACCGCGTAATATGCGGCATTCAGATTCAAGTTCTGACTTTAGATAGCTTTACGTCACAGTATACATATATATATATATAATATATATATATATATTGTACGTATGGTTGTGGGTCAAAACCAATGGTACCCATTTTAGTCTACTTTAGTGGTTGGATGGGGATGTTCACTGGGGGTACGATTTGGATGTTGACCCATGGCCCTATTGCTTTGTGTCTTTCCTTTTTCTTGATGCTTTGGGTTGCCGAGGTTGACCCGGCCAGGCAACGCTTTGCCCAGCTGTACCTGGTGGACCTGGCAGGCAGCGAGCGCGTCATGAAGACTGGGGTGCAGGGCATGCAGCTGGAGGAGGCGCTTTTCGATTCCTTTTCGACAAGAGACAAAGTGAGTCGTTGAGCATCAGAAGACAACGAACAAGAAATTGAGTCATTTTGAGTCGCATTGAGTCATATTGAGTTGAGTCATATGGAGTCATACTGAGTCATACTGAGTCATATTGAGTCATTTTGAGTCATATTGAGTCATATTGAGTCATGTTGAGTCATATGGAGTCATATTGAGTCATATTGAGTTTGGATTGAGGACTCCATGCTTTTTGGATGGACGAGAACCGAATGAAGCGTGTTTAACTGTTCGGGCAGGCGAAGAACATCAACAAAAGCCTGCTCGCGCTTGGCCAAGTGATATGGGCGCTCGCACACAAGCAGAAGCACATCCCGCAGGGAGGCCAAGCTCGGAAAACACACTTTTGTGCCGCGAAAATGGGATCCCATTTTGGGGCAGGCGCACCACCCATTTTGGAACCTATTTTAGTGGGGATTGGGATGTTCACTGGGGTACGGGGTTTTGACCCACGGCCAAGTGTCCCCTTCGATTCTTGAGTGCCTGGGGCTGCCGGAGAGGTACCGAGACTCCAAGCTGACGCAGCTGTTGCGTAACTGCCTGGGCGGGAATGCTCGCACTGCTGCTGCTCGGCACAGTGACCACACTCCCCACACTCCGCATGGATCAGTCCAGCGTGTCATTTTTTACCACAGAGTTGGTTAAAGTTCCAAAGGCAGTCGAGGCAGTCGAAAGTGAGGTCATGATAACTGCCTCCTCTCATTCTGACAATGCGGGAGAATCTTTGAGTGCGCTCCGCTTCGGTGCGCGGGCATCCTTGGTGGAGAACTCGGCCAGGGAGAACATTGCGGAGAACGCTCCGCGGCAAACACACTGCCTGCGCCTGCCCGGCTCGCATGCCTAACAAAAATGCCAAAAACGGCTTGCATGCGGCAACGATCGGAGCAAGCTGAGGCTCATGAGCTCAAGCGGCTCTTGGAGCAAGCTCGGCAGGACATGTGGGCCGATTTGTAGAGTGAGTTGGGATCTCAAAACCATAGACAAGCCTGGATACCGGAGCTGAATTGGGAGTGCCGCTTGCACAATGCGAGCCAATCAAACCTGTGTCCCTTGTTTTAGACTTCCCGAGAGGCCTTAGAGCCTTTAGCCGCATTTGATTCTGTATAGGCTGCAAACACTTTCATGTTCTTTCTGGGTGTTCCATTCTCCGGCAGCTTTTCGTTTCAGGAACGCGAAACCAGCCGTGTGACTGAGGTCCGAGGTCCTCAAGGCTGAATCGCTTGCCAGGACCTGGCGGAGCTGCGCGGCTGCTGCCGGCAGCTGCAGGCGGAGCTCACCGCCTACAAGTCCGCGGAAGCCGCGCCGGTCGCCGTGGCTCAGCCAGGCCACACGTGGGGAGTTCGGGGAGTCCGGGGAGGAGTTGAGGTCCATGGATAGAGCCATAGAGGTCCAGTGCCTGGAGGCATTTTGGAGGCGAGAGAGACGCCCAAGGCCATAGGGTGCTCGGATGTCAGGCAGCATGCAGAGTGGCCTCGCGAAGCGCCTGGTGGTATGGGGCTTGCTGCCATCCTTGGTCTGCCCCATAAACAGGGCTATCATGAGGCGACTTGGCAAGCTCTCGCATGGTGCACTCACTGCACTCATTGCGGTTGCTGCGTTTGCTGCCATGCATGGAGTGAGTGGGAGGGACCCCGTGCTGGCTGCCGATGGCTGGACCTACGAGCGCCGGGCAGTGGAGAAGCACATGGCGCGTGCGGGCAGGACCATGCCGAAGTCTCCCGTGTCACGGCACGCAAGTTCTTGAAGTCGCCAGAAGAAAACATCAGGTTGATTGCAGGCTCTTCCAAGACTCTTTCTGAGTGTGTCACTGCCATACTCAGAGATGAAATGTGCACCTTTGATTAGAACGTTTGTGTCTTAGCTCTGACTTGTTATCAATCACACAGCCTTCCCTGCATGGGAGATGATCAAAAGCTCCTTGCAAGGACTTCCATTTTACTGAGGATCATAGCACAGGCGTTTGTGCACGAGAAAGATCCGAGGTCTGCGAACGCTGGGCTTGCTTGCGCGCGTAGACCCCAGTCCCTTGCAGATCGGGAGATGCACACCTTGCTTAACATGTTTGATTCCCACGCATGGCGCAAAGAAAAGCGTGGCTCTCGCGCAAGTTCCGCGGCAGAAGCCAGCAACAACGGCTCCAGAGCGCGCAAACCAAAGGGGCGTGGCGAGGGAGTCGCGAAAGATGTGTGTTTCTCGCGAAGGTGGGAAATTGATCAGCCGCGTATCTCTTGCTTGGTCCATTGGTGGTCCAAAGCTTTTCCGCTGTCCGCCCAGGTCACAGGAGAGCGCTTCAGCACCCGTCAAGTTTTGCCAAATATGGTGGTGAGACAACTGGTGAGTCAGCTGCTGAGTACGGAGAGAAGAAAGCTGCTGTAGTCTGCCTGCATGTAAAGCTTTGAGGTCAGTACCTGCCGGAACTGGGACCGTTGGATGAGCCCCTTCCGCACATGCAGCTCTTGCACGTTTGGCACGTGCAGACCTCAACCGTCATTGACCAGACCGGGCTTTAGATTGAAAAGAGCTGCGGTGCCGTTTGCATATCACTTTCGACATAATAATTTTCCAGAGGTCGATGGGAGTTCCCACTCCGAGGTGCAGCTGATTCTTTCCTTCTTGGATGCAAAGTCGCTTGCCCGCTGCGAGACAGCTTGGCCCTCTTTCTTGGCGGCGGCAGACGCGGGGCAGGCTGACCAGCTTGCTCACATAAGGCTCAAGGCTCCCGTTTGCACGTTGAACTCACGGCAGACCTGGTCCCACCTGCTGCTGCTGGACTTTGGATTCCAACCCGAGGAGAAATGGCGGGAGTCGTATCGCCGGCATGCCCAGAAGCTTGACACGAGTGAGCGGCCAGTGCTTATAGCTCTTCGCCGAGGTGAGCTGGCATTTGCATCCAGCAAGCAAAGTGTGGAAGGACTCGTTTGCAGCATGGCACGCATTGCAAGCGTATTTGCGATATGTGTATCACTGTGTATCCATGTACGTGCGAGTGAAGCAAGTGGTACGCTGACCCGCCCTTCCGTGAGGACGTCAGAGACAAAGCACTTATGGCCTGAAACTCTACAAGTGCCTGTAGGGGCGTGGGCTAGGGATGGGACCGAGGGACGCGCATGCTCAAAGTGTACAGGGGCAACGCCGCGCGCAAAAGGCAGACCCTCAGCATCATGTTTGGACAATGTGCCAAACAGAATGCCTAGGATTCCTGGGATGCAATTAGTTCCAGGTCAGAAGGACACGACACGTGTCTGATTTTAATGCCGGGAGCCATGGCTCTTCCATTCTCAGTGGCTTACCGCACGCTGGAGCTTGGGCATGGCTTGGCCTTGCTATTGCCTCTCCACAGAGATCATTCTCGCTTTTTGACTCAGCTTGTTGCAATTGTTGAGCAGTGCAAGGCGATATTTAGACTTAATGAGAGTGATCCAATTGGATGGGTAATTTGCTGCGAGCTTTCTCGTGAAGGAGGACTCCTGGCAACTGTCAGTCTCCGCGCTTAGCTCGTTCATGTCAACCGCAGTAAAGGTGCAGAAACATAGCCATCAGAGACAGTCTTGGCACTTGAAACAACACATGCAACGCCGCCAAAGACACGCAGTACGCGAAGGGCGCCGCGTGGCAAAGGTCCAGTAGTTGCGATCTCTCAAGCATCCTGCCCGCCTTGGCCGCTTGTGGCGCAGGAACGCATTCCAAGTAAGCATTTCTGCAAGCATCTTCACACCTCCAAGCTTTGTTGCTTAAGGCTTGCGCGGCCGCCATTCCAAATTGCGCACGCGCAAGGCGCACATAAGTATCCGATTGACCATGGGCTGAGTTGCAGCCGGCTTTGACAAAGGCATCTCCTGAAGCTTGATGCTTTTGGGCAGAAGGTCGCGACAACGCAATGCGCGCACGCTTCAATAAAGCCTTTACAGATGCTTAATTGTTTGGGCAGGCACAGGGCGGCCGAGCTTCGCTGTCGACAGCCCGTAACGGTGCAACACAAGTGCTCGCACGACACTTGTCGTAGTCGTCACAGTCAGGCTTAAGTCGCAAGCGAACGCTGTCCACCAGGCGTTGCAAATCAAATCGAATCAAATAGACATAATTACTTGGGCAATCTCGCTGTTCGCTTTTTGTGACATGCGTTTGAAAGGACTGAATGCAGAGAGGAATGCAGGTAAGCGTCCCTGTTCAGTGCTGCTGTCACAGTTTTACATGTGCTGCATTAGTTCAAAGCCTGGCATGGTGGGTCCTCTACGACATGTTGCGCCTCTGCGATACAGGAAGCATGCCAGATCTCTCAGCACTTGCATGAGCCTTGCTATTCATTTGTGCACACTCGCAGGCTCATACAATGCGGGGTGCAAGATGCTTTCAGCCCAGGGTAAAAGGATTGGAATGTCCAGCATGTCAGGCATATCAGTCATGTCAAGTGTGCCAGCCAGCAGGTACGTCATTCATGCATGGGTCACATTGGACGAGATTTTGCAGTTAATCACGTATTGTGAGCGCCATGGACGGCAACGATGCTTTGAAGTTGGTGCTGCCTGCAGCAGCCTTTGCAGTGGGTGCAGCTTGGCCGAAAGGGAATTAAGTTTCACGAGAAGAAATACTCCCACAAAGTAGCAGTGCGAACCTGCATGTGCGAAACGGAAGAAGAATGGAAGGCCAGAATTATGTGACGGAGCGAACATGGTGGCTCATGCAGTGGGAATCACTGCCACCAGGCCAGCTGATGACATGTTTGGTACATCAAGAATGGGATAAGGTTTCGTTGAGTGTCCAGCTGCTTTGGGACCTGCTTTGCTTATCTTTGCTTTGGACTCGCTTAGTTGCTGCTGAGGTGTCTCTATTGCTGTACTACTGGCCAAGGTCGGGGGCGCAGAGCGGAAGTTGGGACTCGCGGCAGATGGCCGTTGGCTGCAGTGTCTTCACATCGGGTCATATCCTGCGAGGCCAGCCAAGGTCTTTTTGACACGCGAGCGTAAGCGAGCCCAGGCAGGGCATGGCATGAGCATCAGTAAATGCATGCGACTTAGCATCCATAGCTGATGCTTGTTGAACCGTGGTGCAGTTCCAAGTTCCAGCAGTTGTGATGCAGTTTGTCTAGACACACCTTTGCTTGTACGGCCGAACTGGTCGCAGGTGGCAGATGTTGTGGAGCTGTCACACGATACCAAGCGCGTCCGACTGTCCTTGGGCAACAAGAGCACCGTGCTAGGACACCTCCTCCTTTGCGTACATGCATAAAGAAGGAGGCCTTTAAATATTCTTTCAGATTCGGCATCTTGTGTTTGGTCTCGCTCCGCTTTTTGGAGCTTTATCCGTGTTTTTCTGTGGCCTTCGCTGAACCCCTAATTCCACCTTGAACCCAGACCTAAAGCCCCCAAGGGCACGCGAACCCTAAACCCAACCCCAAGCCCAAACTTCACTCTTAAACCCAACGAAACCAACCCGAAACCAATGCCTCAACCAACCCTAGACTCAACCCTCGAAACAACCCCCAACAACCCGAAACAGTCCCAACCCTCCTTAATTCCACCCTTCGACATGCGCACACACGCAAACACATCTACGCATCACCCACCCTAAACCAATCCCGACATCGCTCTGAACCTCTTCAAACTCCACCCAACACCTTCAACCCCTCCCAAAGCAACCCTAATCAACCACGCTAGACACCCTGAACGCACCCTAAGCCATCCCTAAACCCGCCCGAAACCAAGTCCAACCTAGGACCCATCTAGAACCAACCCATCACCCACCCTAAACCATAGGAACCGACATCCAGCCCAAATTTGAGCTCAAGTCCGGCAACAAGCAAAGTTATGCAAAGTACAGCATGCTGGCCTTTCAGACAAGCGAAAACACCAGCATAGACCCCAGATAGCCCTGCTCCGTGTGCCCTTGCACTGGCAGCCTGCACCCGCCTAGCTTTCAGCTGTTTGAAAGCCTGAAAACGACATCATTTCGCCATATCGTGCCTTTTGACAAATTTTAACGCCTCCGGCTCAGGCCGCCGACATTACAGGCCTGCTTTCTTATTTGCGTCCCTTTGGAATTGTCCCCTTGCCCCCTTCCCCTCTGAGATTTTTGACCCCCTTTCTTTGTTGAGATCCATTCCCCCTTTCCGCCCTAAGGCCTTTTCTCCCTCTGTTTTTTTCCCTTTTCCTCCCTAAGATGTTTTCACCCCTCTCCCTGTTGAGATCCTTTCCCCCCTTTCCCCCCTAAGGCCTTTTCCCCCCTGAGATCTTCTCCCTTTTCCTCCCTTTCCCCCACTTTCCCCCCTACGGCCTTTTCCTCCCTGGGATCTTTTTCCTTTCCTCCCTGAGATCTTTCCCCCCCTTTCCCTGTTGAGATCCTTTCCCACCTTGCCCCCCTACGGCCTTTCCCCCCGCTGAGATCTTCTCCCTATTCCTCCTTAAGATCCTTTGCCCCCTTTCCCTGTTGAGATCCTTTCCCCCCTTCCCTTTAAGGCCTTTCCAGATCTTCTCCCTCCTTTTCCCTGTTGAGATCCTTCCCACCCTTTCCCCCCTCAGGCCTTTCCCCCCCCCTGAGAGCTCTCCCCCCTTTCCCTGTTGGCCTTTTTTCCCCCAGATCTTCTCCCTTTCCTCCCTAAGATCTTTCCCCCCCTTTCCCTGCTCAGATCCTTTCCCCCCTTTCCCCCCTAAGGCCTTTCCCCCCCTGACATCTTTTCCCTTTTCCTCCCTAAGATCTTTTGCCACCTTTCCCTGTTGAGATCCATTCCCCCTTTCCCCCCTAAGGCCCTTTCTCCCTCTGAGTTTTTCCCTTTTCCTCCCTACGATGTTTTCCCCCCTCTCCCTGTTGAGATCCTTTCCCTCCTTTCCCCCCTAAGGCCTTTTTTCCCCCCGCGATCTTCCCCCTTTTCCTTCCTAAGATCTTTTCCCCCCTTTCCTTGTTGAGATCCTTTCCCGCCCTTTCCCCCCTAAGGCGTTTTCCCCCCCAAGATCTTCTCCCTTTTCCTTTCTAAGATCCTTTGCCCCCTTTCCCTGTTGAGGTCCTTTCCCCTCTTTCCCCCCTAAGGCCTCTCCACCCCTGAGATCTTCTCCCTTGTCCTCCCCAAGATCTTTTCCCTTGGTTGAGATCCTTTCCCCCTTTCCCCCCAAGATCTTCTCCCTTTTTTCCTCCCTAGGATCCTCTCCCACCTTTCCCTGTTGAGCTCCTTTCCCCCTTTTCCCCCTAAGGCCTTTTCAGATCTTCTCCCTTTTCCTCCCTAAGATCCTTTGCCCCCTTTCCCTGTTGAGATCCTTTCCCCCTTTCCCCCCTAAGGCCTTTTCCCTGCCTGGGATCTTCTCCCTTTCCTCACTGAGATCTTTCCCCCCCTTTCCCTGTTGAGATCCTTTCCCTCCTTTCCTTCCTAAGGCCTTTCCCCCCGCTGAGATCTTCTCCCTACTCCTCCTTAAGATCCTTTGCCTCCTTTCCCCGTTGAGATCCTTTCCCTTCTTCCCTTTAAGGCCTTTCCAGATCTTTTCCCTTTTCCTTCCTAAGATTGTTTCCCCCCTGTCCCTGTTGAGATCCTTCCCACCCTTTCCCGCCTAAGGCCTTTCCCCCCTGAGATTTTCCTTCCTTAGATCTTTCCCCCCTTTCCCTGTTGGCCTTTTTTCCCCCAGATCTTCTCCCTTTCCTCCCTAAGATCTTTTCCACCCCTTCCCTGTTGAGATCATTTCTCCCCTTTCCCCTCTAAGGCCTTTGTCCCCAGATCTTCTCCCTTTCCTCCCTAAGATCTTTCCCCCCCCCTTTCCCTGCTGAGATCCCTTTCCCCCTTTCCCCCCTAAGGCCTTTCCCCCCCCTGAGAGCTTCTCCCTTTTCCTTCCGAAGATCTTTTCCCCCCTTTTCCTGTTAGGCTTTCCCTTCTAAGTCCTTTTCTCCCAGATCGTCTCCCTTTCCTAAGATCTTCTTCCCCTTTCCCCTTAAGATCTTTCCCACCCTTTCCCCCATCCTTTCCCCCCTTTCCCTCCCAAGGCCTTTCCCCCCCTGGGCCTCTCCCTTTCTCCCTTTCCTTCCTAAGATCTTTTCCCCCCTTTCCCTGTTGGGCTTTCCCCCCTAAGTCCTTTTCTCCCAGATCTTCTCCCTTTCCTCCCTAAGATCTTCCCCCCCTTTCCTTCCTAAGATTGTTTCCCCCTTTCCCTGTTGAGATCCTTCCCACCCTTTCCCCCTGAGGCCTTTCCCCCCTGAGAGCTTCTCCTTCCTTAGGTCTTTCCCCCCTGTCCCTGTTGGCCTTTTTTCCCCCAGATCTTCTCCCCCTAAGATCTTTTGCCATTTTTCCCTGTTGAGGTCCTTTCCCCCTTTCCCCCCTAAGGCCCTTTCTCCCTCTGAGTTTTTCACTTTTCCCCCCTACGATGTTTTCCCCCCTCTCCCTGTTGAGATCCTTTCCCTCCTTTTTCCCTAAGGCCTTTTTTCCCCCCGCGATCTTCCCCCTTTTCCTTCCTAAGATCTTTTCCCCCCTTTCCTTGTTGAGATCCTTTCCCGCCCTTTCCCCCCTAAGGCGTTTTCCCCCCCAAGATCTTCTCCCTTTTCCTCCCTAAGATCCTTTGCCCCCTTTCCCTGTTGAGATCCTTTCCCCCCTTTCCCCCCTAAGGCCTTTCCCCCCCTGAGATCTTCTCCCTTGTCCTCCCCAAGATCTTTTCCCTTGGTTGAGATCCTTTCCCCCTTTCCCCCCGAGATCTTCTCCCTTTTCCTCCCTAGGATCTTCTCCCACCTTTCCCTGTTGAGCTCCTTTCCCCCTTTTCCCCCTAAGGCCTTTTCAGATCTTCTCCCTTTTCCTCCCTAAGATCCTTTGCCCCCTTTCCCTGTTGAGATCCTTTCCCCCTTTCCCCCCTACGGCCTTTGCCCCCAGATCTTCTCCTCCCTAAGATCTTTCCCCCCCTTTCCCTGCTCAGATCCTTTCCCCCCTTTCCCCCCTAAGGCCTTTCCCCCCCTGAGATCTTCTCCCTTTTCCTCCCTAAGATCTTTTGCCACCTTTCCCTGTTGAGATCCATTCCCCCTTTCCCCCCTAAGGCCCTTTCTCCCTCTGAGTTTTTCCCTTTTCCTCCCTACGATGTTTTCCCCCTCTCCCTGTTGAGATCCTTTCCCTCCTTTCCCCCCTAAGGCCTTTTTTCCCCCGCGATCTTCCCCCTTTTCCTTCCTAAGATCTTTTCCCCCCTTTCCTTGTTGAGATCCTTTCCCGCCCTTTCCCCCCTAAGGCGTTTTCCCCCCCAAGATCTTCTCCCTTTTCCTTTCTAAGATCGTTTTCCCCCTTTCCCTGTTGAGCTCCTTTCCCCCTTTTCCCCCTAAGGCCTTTTCAGATCTTCTCCCTTTTCCTCCCGAAGATCCTTTGCCCCCTTTCCCTGTTGAGATCCTTTCCCCCTTTCCCACCTAAGGCCTTTTCCCTGCCTGGGCCTTTCCTCACTGAGATCTTTCCCCCCCTTTCCCTGTTGAGATCCTTTCCCTCCTTTCCTTCCTAAGGCCTTTCCCCCCGCTGAGATCTTCTCCCTACTCCTCCTTAAGATCCGTTGCCTCCTTTCGCCGTTGAGATCCTTTCCCTTCTTCCCTTTAAGGCCTTTCCAGATCTTTTCCCTTTTCCTTCCTAAGATTGTTTCCCCCCTGTCCCTGTTGAGATCCTTCCCACCCTTTCCCGCCTAAGGCCTTTCCCCCCTGAGAGCTTCTCCCTTTTCCTTCCTTAGATCTTTCCCCCCTTTCCCTGTTGGCTTTTTTCCCCCAGATCTTCTCCCTTTCCTCCCTAAGATCTTTTCCACCCCTTCCCTGTTGAGATCATTTCTCCCCTTTCCCCTCTAAGGCCTTTGTCCCCAGATCTTCTCCCTTTCCTCTTAAGATCTTTCCCCCCCCCCCTTTCCCTGCTGAGATCCCCATCCCCCTTTCCCCCCTAAGGCCTTTCCCCCCCCTGAGAGCTTCTGCCTTTTCCTTCCGAAGATCTTTTCCCCCCTTTCCCTGTTAGGCTTTCCCCCCTATGTCCTTTTCTCCCAGATCGTCTCCCTTTCCTCCCTAAGATCTTCCCCCCCCCCTTTCCTCCTTAAGATCTTTCCCACCCTTTCCCTGTTGAGATCCTTTCCCCCCTTTTCCCTCCCAAGGCCTTTCCCCCCCCCTGAGAGCCTCTCCCTTTTCCTTCCTAAGATCTTTTCCCCCCTTTCCCTGTTGGGCTTTTCCCCCTGAGTCCTTTTCTCCCGGATCTTCTCCCTTTCCTCCCTAAGATCTTCCCCCCCCTTTCCTTCCTAAGATTGTTTCCCCCTTTCCCTGTTGAGACCCTTCCCACCCTTCCCCCCTGAGGCCTTTCCCCCCTGAGAGCTTCTCCTTCCTTAGATCTTTCCCCCCTCTTTTTTCCCCCAGATCTTCTCCCTTTCCTCCCTAAGATCTTTTCCACCCCTTTCCCTGTTGAGATCATTTCTCCCCTTTCCCCCCCAAGGCCTTTGCCCCCAGATCTTCTCCCTTTCCTCCCTAAGATCTTTCCCCCCCTTTCCCTGCTCAGATCCTTTCCCCCCTTTCCCCCCTAAGGCCTTTCCCCCCCTGAGATCTTCTCCCTTTTCCTCCCTAAGATCTTTTCCCATTTTTCCCTGTTGAGATCCATTCCCCCTTTCCCCCCTAAGGCCCTTGCTCCCTCTGATGTTTTCCCTTTTCCTCCCTACGATGTGTTCCCCCCTCTCCCTGTTGAGATCCTTTCCCTCCTTTCCCCCCTAAGGCCTTTTTTTCCCCCGCGATCTTCCCCCTTTTCCTTCCTAAGATCTTTTCCCCCCCTTTCCTTGTTGAGATCCTTTCCCGCCCTTTCCCCCCTAAGGCGTTTTCCCCCCAAGATCTTCTCCCTTTTCCTCCCTAAGATCCTTTGCCCCCTTTCCCTGTTGAGATCCTTTCCCCCCTTTCCCCCCTAAGGCCTTCCCCCCCCTTAAATCTTCTCCCTTGTCCTCCCCAAGATCTTTTCCCCCGAGATCTTCTCCCTTTTCCTCCCTTGGATCTTCTCCCACCTTTCCCTGTTGAGCTCCTTTCCACCTTTTCCCCCTAAGGCCTTTTCAGATCTTCTCCCTTTTCCTCCCTAAGACCCTTTGCCCCCTTTCCCTGTTGAGATCCTTTCCCCCTTTCCCCCCTAAGGCCTTTTCCCTGCCTGGGACCTTCTCCCTTTCCTCACTGAGATCTTTCCCCCCCTTTCCTTGTTGAGATCCTTTCCCCTCTTTCCCCCCTACGGCCTTTCCCCCCACTGAGATCTTCTTCCTATTCCTCCTTAAGACCCTGTTGAGATCCTTTCCTTCCTTCCCTTTAAGGCCTTTCCAGATCTTCTCCCTTGCCTTCCTAAGATTGTTTCTCCCCCCCTGAGAGCTTCTCCCTTTTCCTTCCTTAGATCTTTCCCCCCTTTCCCTGTTGACATTTTTTCCCCCAGATCTTCTCCCTTTCCTCCCTAAGATCTTTTCCACCCCTTTCCCTGTTGAGATCATTTCTCCCCTTTCCCCCCTAAGGCCTTTGTCCCCAGATTTGTTTGCCTTTCCTCCCTAAGATCTCCCCCCTTTCCCTGCTGAGATCCTTTTCCCCCTTTCCCCCCTAAGGCCTTTCCCCTTTCTGAGAGCTTCTCTCTTTTCCTTCCTAAATCTTTTCCCCTCTTTCCCTGTTGGGCTTTCCCCCCTAAGTCCTTTTCTCCCAGATCTTCTCCCTTTCCTCCCTAAGATCTTCCCCCCCCCCCCCTTTTCCTCCCTAAGATCTTTCCCACCCTTTCCCTGTTGAGATCCTTTCCCCCCTTTCCCTCCCAAGGCCTTTCCCCCCCTGAGAGCTTCTCGCTTTTCCTTCCTAAGATCTTTTCCCTCCTTTCCCTGTTGGCCTTTTTTCCCTAGATCTTCTCCCTTTCCTCCCTAAGATCTTTTCCACCCCTTTCCCTGTTGAGATCATTTCTCCCCTTTCCCCCCTAAGGCCTTTTTGCCCCAGATCTTCTGCCTTTCCTCCCTAACATCTTTCCCCCCCCCCCCTCCCAGTTCCTTGTTGAGATCATTTATTTCCCCCCTTTTCCTTCTAAGGCCTTTTCCCACCCTCAGTTCTTCTCCCTTTTCCTCCCAAAGATCTTTCCCCCCATTTCCTCCCTAAGTCCTTTTCCCTGAGTTCGTCTCCCTTTGCCTCCCTAAGATCTTTTCCCCCCTTTCCCGCTTAAGATCCTTTCCCCCGTTTCCCCCCTAAGGCCTTTTCCCCCCAAGATCTCCACCCTTCTCTTCCCAAAGTCTTTTTCCCCCTTTCCCGATTGAGATCCAGTCCCCCGATTGCCCCTTAGGGCCTGTTCCCCCCGAGAAAGATTTCCCTTTTCCTCCCAAAGATCTTTTCCCCCCTCTCCCCCTTAAGGCATTTTTTTCCAGATCTTCTCCCTTTCCTCCCTCAGATCTTTCCCCCCCTTTCGCTGTTGAGATCCTTTCCCGCTTTCCCCCCTTCATTTCCTTCACCAGCATGGGCAACATCCCCAGCATCACTTGCATCATCCGCATCCTTGGCAGGCGCTGATGCGAATGATGCAGGTGATGCTGGCGATGTGCCGCTGGAGCTGCTAAGGATGCGAAAGCGCACCCGGGGGGAATCGAACACCCCAATGTTTTTGACAAACTGAGTTGCGCAAGCCCGCACAATGAACAGATTTAGTGAAGCGTCTTCGAATCACCGCGTGGTACGTGGACCCCCCCCCCTGTTGTCGGCGGCTATGCCTTCACTGGTGTTTGTCGTGTGTCGGTTTTTTGCTCAGCAGGACTTCCGACCGGCAAGCACGTTGTGCTGTATGCGCCAAACCCGGAGAAGTGCATCTCCTCGGGCACCTGGAACGGTCAGCGGCGCCCTCACTCCAAGTCCAGTCTCGTGGCACTGCGAGAGCGAGAGGCCGGATCCCGACAAGGGCAAGCCAGAGATTGACAGAAAGCCGCTTGGCTGCACCAAGCATAGGGCAAAGGCGGCCACGAGTTTGCCTATTTCAAGTGCTGCGGCAAGCCCTCGGTGGTCCGAACTGAGAGATGTGCTCCGGGCCTTCCTGGCTCAATCCCAGTGAGCTCCCCTCTTGCCCAGATTTTCCTAAACTGGGCCGCCTTCAGAAATGTGAACACGTGGCGGTGCAGACTGGTGATGCTGGCGATGCTGCCAATACAGAGCATACTTCAAAACTGCCGGGTTTGTTCTAAACCGGGCTGCTTTACACACATGTGATGCTGGCGATGCAGACAGGTGATGCTGACGATGCCTGCCCTCAAACCAGCGCAAACACCCGGCGCAGGATGGAATCCCATAAACCATGCCACAAACTCGAACTTTGAGACCTCACTGCAAGCTCAAAACCGCCCTCCGGCCGCGAGAAGCAGCATGCGACCAAGTGCGCGCTCTCAACTCAACGATTCCAAGAGAAAAGAAAACATGTTTTTCTCTCCAGCGATCTAATCGCCTCGGGCCCAAGGCAAGGGCCTCCGCGGATTATCTCCTCGGTTTCCAACGGTTCAAGTTTTCTCAGGCGGTTGAAGAGCTACAAACATTGAAAGCATGGTTTCAGCAAAGGTATACGCCAGTGACTGGCAATGAGCTGCCGGGCTACGTAGATTTAGTGGCTTGCGACTAAGATGCCGTGGCATGTGTACAAGTGGGATTTCCCCAGCAGGAACCAGCATGCCAAAATGTCAAATGGAGGATTTGAACACTAGTGAGTCCTGAGTGCCTGTTAGGTCAAAGTCTACAAGCCTGGCACAGTGAAGATGCCAGACGGCAAGGAAACCAACTGGGCAGATGGTGGAAAGCCCATGCTGTCAGAGTGCACTAGCACCACTTGCTGAGCTGGGCTGAGGTGGAAAGATGGGCTTGTATTTGGACAGAGGACCTGGCAAGCTTGATGCGAGCAGAGAGACGCAGTTTATTGCATTGCAGAGTGAAAGATGCAAAGTTGGCAAACGCTATTACGAAAGCTGTGTTGCCAGGCAAGAAGCCTGGCGACTGGGTGGACATCATGGGTGGGACTTGTGGTGATTCTGTCATGTCAGCATCAGATCCTGAGACGCGTTACGATGCCATCGTACCCTGCCTGTATAGGTCCCTTGGGAGTGAACGAGTACCTGGGCAGGGGCATGTTCAAGCTGCCTGGAAAAACGGCACGAGACCTAAACATGCGAACGCATGCCAATGCGTGAGTCGAGCTGCGCTTTGCGCCAAGATCACTGTGAAGCACATCGGCATGATGGCTGGGGGCACTGGCCTGACGCCGATGCTCCAGGCTCAAGGTTTTGACAGCTGTACGGAGATTGCGTGGTCAAGTTCGTCGACAAATTGAAGCACAAGAAGCTTGCTTTTGGCAGCATGATGCTGCTCTCTTCTCCTTCACTTGTTTTGCAGAAGTTCTGACACGAGGAGCATCATGAAAATCATTCTTTCAGGGATGGGGTGCTGTCCAGGTGGTGCAGAATGCCCTCAAGGACAGTGGCGACAAATGCAACTTCTACATGTGTAGCCGGCCTGGTTTTCCACCTAACATTTGTTTTGTTGGATGCCATCATTCCCGGGCGACTTGTTGGTCTGGCAGGATGTGAGTGAGCTGTGTCTCAGCCTCCAAGTTGGCCAGGATTTATGCCAACAAGACAGAGAATGACATCCTTTGCATAGGCCTCAGAACCTGCAAGCTGCCACCTGCGCGATTGGCCGTGTACTGCCCAACAGCACAAGTTTGACATCTGTGTCCGTCTACAGTGTGCTGTTTGATGTTCGGTCCATTTTAATGAGCCTGAGATGAGTCTTGGATCTGACAGGCCTTTGCTTGGGAATCGTTCTTTGTCCCACGCGTGCACGACTGCAAAGGTCGGGACATACTGGATGACCTGGTGAAAAGCAGTGGAGGCCAATCAGCTGCAAGCATTGACATGAGAGATCATCGGCAAACGGTATGGCAGCACTTCTTGAGTTGTGCTCAGCTCGTCATGCTTCTAAGAAACCAGCAGGCCGCTTCAAGCTCCACTACACCTTGGATTTCCCGCCAGCTGGCTGGAAGCACAAGAAAGGCTTCATCACTGCGGACATGCCACTCTGGCGCTTCTTGTGTTGCAACTCGTCGCGACGAACTGAAGCTTTGCCGAGTCCATTGCACACGCCAGGATCAAGGAGTGCCTGCCTCCACCTTCGCCGGACTCCCTGATATTGATGTGTGGACCGCAGCAGGCTCAGTAGCTACAGCACAGTGTGGGGAAAGTATCAAGTCAGAGAATGCAGAGAATGTCTTCAGCCATTTTGCTTGCTGAGTGCAATGCGTGTGTGCTTTGGGCGAACCAATCCATGTGCCAAAGTGGACCAAGGCCTCCAATGATCGAGCACGCGTGCAAGAAGAACCTGGAGGCCGAGCTGTCGGTACAAGGTGGCCGCTTTCGCATCGGAGCTGAGGCCCTGCACTATGACAAAGCGCGGATGGTGGCCTTTTGAGAATGGCAGTGGTAGGAATGAGTTCGGACAGTAGGAGCTTGGCGAAGGCATGGGATCAAAGTATGAGAGCTGCCTTCTTGCAGAAGTTCCAAGCTCAAGCACAAGTCCTTCTCAAATGCTTTTCCGAACCAAGGCTCCATCTCAAGCTTGAAGTAGAGTTCATCAGTTTCAGGAGAAGTTCCAGAAGCAAAAAGCCCGCTGGAAGAGCATCGAGAGCTACTTTTGGGTGTGCGATCCAGCTCCCCCCAGTTTTCACGGGCTGCACGGCATAATTTTCAGAGCGGCCTTTATACAGATGGCATTTGCCACCAGTCCACTTCACAAGACGCTCAGTGTTACAAACTCCTTTGAGACTCAAGTTGTTTGAACTCACAGCTACGACTCAAAGGCTGGTGCATGAAGGTTTCAATGGCCTGAGAATCTGACCTCAGACACTTTACTGCTCCCTGCTAATTGCGCGTCATGCAGGGGCTGGACAGGTTCGGGATGCTGAAAGAGAGGCGAGCTTGCGCAAAACCCTGCGCACGTCGTATCTGCTGTGTTTTGCCTAAGGCAGAGGCTCTCTTTGCACCAGCGCTCAAAGATTTGCCATTCGGACAATCCTGATGCCATTTGATGCTCCATTTGGCTCAAGAGATTGCTGTTGAAAAGGACAGAAACATCATTCGGACCAATTGCAAACAGCCAGCTGCTTGCGCACAAGCCACGCCGTCGCGCTTTTCGTCAAAGATTGGCGTAGCCGTAATTTGATTTGCCGTGGGAGTGCCGACTGCAAGGACCCGTGAGACCCATTGGCTCGATTTTAGCTTGGCTTTTTCCCCAGGACGCTGCTCGGCACATTGCCATGAGCAGATACCTGGAGCCACGGCCTTGGAAAGGTCGGGTTTGGCGCAAGTACTGTGTCGCCTGAGGTATAGCGACCCTGGGGTGAAGCTGAGCGCCAAGTGTACTGCGAGTGACGTCAAGTGACAAGTGCCAATGGTGCCAATGGTGCCAATGTTGGGAGTTTAGAGGGCAGCCAAGGCATAGGGACACCAGCATACCAGGATACATGGATTCACGGAGCTGTCGACTGGACACTTGTGTTGTTGCTACTTCTTGCATGTTGCATGTGTTTCTTTGAAGATGTGCTTTTGTGGTCTATCTGCAATACATGGATATGGCAGCACCCCGGAGATCTACTTGTTTGGCCTTTGAAAATTTGCCAAGTCTATGTTTGCCAAATCTCTGTCTCCAAGGGGCGAGAGGTATTGATCAAAGGAGTTGAACTAGAAACTTACGTGGTACTAGCGCTAAATGAGGTTGGTCTCTCTCTCTCTCTCTCTCTCCAAAATGCATGCGTTACGCGTGAAAAAGCAAAGCATCACAAAAGCAAGAGGAGGAACACGTTAGCCCTGTACGCGAATTCGGCTCTGCCGCACGTGCGCAAGCGACCTCTGTCGCGACGCCTGACAGAGGCGGGTAAGCAAGCGCGGAGCGGGCTCGGAGCACGCACACTGCTTCGCTGCCCTTGTACTTGGTGAGCTCTCTCCGCACTTTGGGCGGGTCGACCCCATCCACAGTTGTTTTTTTATTTTGCGAACTCACACTGATTGTTACGGTACAAAGATAGGTTTTGGAGACCTCATCCAAAGGTTTTTGATGTAACAAAGATAGTTTTTTTGTTTAATGGTGTTCACTTCGCCGGCGCAACACTCTGCGGGCTTTCAGGGGATCGACTCATCAAAAGGTGAACCCATGCGCGACATTCGGTTGGTCGACCTTACAACGCTCGTTGTTTTTGCGTTCCTCTCTTCTCCTCGCGCATCCTCGCGCAACTATCACATGGTGAACCCTCTGCAGACTTTCTGTGAGTCGACCTTCAACAAGTTGTGGTTTCTTGTTTTTTCCACTTTGCGCGCGCGGCAGCCTCTAGCTAACTGCCCGGTTAGTTGACTGACCAGCAGTGGATAGATACACGGAGTAGGTAGAGAAAGGCCGGCGCATAGGTTTAGGCGCATAGGTCTAGGTAAAGATACAGAAAGAGGAAAGAGGACAAAAAAGAGACAGAGAACAGAAAAGAGCAAGATCTCAGAAAAGATGAAGATAAAGAGAAGAAGGAGGGAAATCTTCAATCCTACATCCTGGCCAGCGGGGATATCGATAGCATCGATACATCTTGGGTTTGAAGAAGTGAGATTGAAGATTCCATGGAGAATCTTCGTGGAATCTTCAATCCCACATTTGAAATGCACGCTTTCCTGATCAAATTGCTGCTATCAAAAGGCCTCCCTGTCCACCTCAATCCCTGCATTTTGAGTTCGATTCGGGTCAGCATCCTAGTGCTATGATGTGCCAATGATGTGCTTACTGCTAAAATGTTGTAGCACGTGCTAGCACATCCTGGATTGAGGTTAAGGATTCTCGCAGCATGTCCCTGGGAGTCTTCAACCAGGATGTGCTAACAGGTGTGGCACATCCTGCAGTGAAGATTATTGAAGATTCTCCGAACATGTCTGTGGGTTTCGAATCTAGCAATGCCCCTGACATGCTCAAAGCTTCGTCTTGCAATCCCAGGATGTGTTGCTGAGTTCCCCCCCCGTGAGACACAGGTTTGGCAGGTGTGGCGCATTTCGGTTTTGCCAAAAAGGTTTAACATGTAGATCATTGGGCTATGATACAATATTGTTAATATTCATATTATATACTCCAGCATGTTGCTCAATTTGGGTGTATTGAGTCTGGCCGCAGCTTGGTCCAAGTTAGGAGATCAGGGGGGCGCCATGCACTGACAGTGTGATGCGCTGGACTGTGCTGATTCTGTCTCTCCTTGTTGCAAGGCGAGGGGAAGAACGTGAGAGGCTTTCTGTTAGGTGGCGCAATGTCATTTTACAGCAGGGAAACGTCTGAATGTCATTTTTCGTTTTTCCCGGAGCTTACATACCGTTGATACATGTTTGTAAAGCCTTCCATGTGCATATTCCACATGCAGTGGTTTATCATGAAAGCCCTGCCAGAGACATGCAAGGCACAGCCTTCCGTTTTTGCTGGTAGTGCGGCACGGTGAGACAGCTGCTTGGCAGAGATAGAACAAATCAAGCAAGTTGAAGTCAGGGTTTCCGTGGTGATTGATTGGCTAAGACACTTGCTTGGAATGTCCTTATTCTTGCTTGGAATGTCCTTATTCTTTTACAGCCTGCCACAGGATTGGAATCGCCGCCTGCGCGTGCAGGGCACTACTGATGTGCCGCTGAATGCGCGTGGAATTCTGCAGGCGGAACGGTGCCTTTGGCAGACACAAGCCGCAGAGAGCTTGAACTGTCGGTTGGCAATCTCTGGCACCAAGAATAATGACAACTGCATGGTTCTCTTGTGAAGCTGAGGTGTGCTGAGGCGGTCTTGACGCTGGGCCAAGCTTAACGTGCGCAGAGGGTTGCCGTTGCATGTTCATGCGTTTCTTGTCTTGTTCCCATTTTTGCCTCCATTCTGCAATGACGGAGCTGGATCACCCATCCACGCCCAAGCTGTTGCTGGGTTTCAGCTCAGGCAACATGTCGGCAAGAAGAGGCCAAAGCGGATCTATTCCAGCAGCTTGGCAACAGGCCATAGCAAAAGCAGGAAAGCAGCAGCAAAGAATCGCCAAGCAATGAGAGCACGGGTTTGCCAGTTGCTTGGTGGCGGAGTACACCTTGTATTACACACTTTCAGTCCTTCGTAGAGTGAGCGGTTGCTGGCCCTGGCACAAGGTGCTCTTATAGTACAAGAAGGGAAGATAATGTGTGGACAAACCATGTCCTCTTCTCTCTTGTCCTTCGCTCGTGCTTTAGGATCAGGAGAGGAAAGGGCTATGATGAGCAGGGTTCAAACTGATAGGAACCATCAGACCCACCAAAAATGGAAGCATATTTTGTGTTAATTCGGTTTCAGTAGTAAACGCATTCCCCAGAGAGGAACATATTGCAGATTTACACATGACAGTGTAAGAGCTGAAAGGATAGGAAAGTCGTTGACGCGTCAGACTACAGAGAATAGGAACGAACAGAAGCTTGGCCACACATTGAGTCCTGGAAGATGTATCCAGAGAAGGTGGCAATCGAAACGAATACCATCAAGATGTTCTACAATACATGCACAAATATCTATATCTTGTATGGTATGATTTATGAAGTTCATACAGCATGAATTCCTGTTCACCCCATATACCTATATAGCAAAAATGATTTAGAAACGGAAGGACAGAGACAGCAGTAACTCAAAAGATGGATTTGAACGATGTGCAAAATGTCCTTCAACATGTTAACAGTGTAGTTCCGTAAATCATGCTCGTGTATCACGTACAAAGCCTACAAGTATAGAGACATGATGTCCTCAAACAAGACTTGCAAGACATATGACATGGCAAAGTTCATGATTGTTTGCCAAAGTATCCATTGCAAATGCAGAAAGTATGACGGCCACGCTTCTTCAATCCAGGACGTACAATTCAATAAGATGAGCAAAACACACAAAGAAGCAATGGTCATGATATATTATAGCAGCATGCAAGCATTGGAAGCAAGAACATTCTAATTGGAATAATATCAGTCTAGCAAAATATATGTAGTGGTTGTATAGAATGAATGCTGTAGTCAAAGAAGATACAGGACAGAGTGGGATAGTCTTTGATGTCAGACAATCGGATCTCAGATTTGGATTTGTCCAAGGCTATTTGCTTCCTAGCTTGCTTGGATTCCTTGCTTGAAGCCCACCCTGAGCTGATAGCTGAGTTGCAAGCCCGAAGCAAGTTGCCGCGTGGTGTCCTAGGTTCATACGCCTGGCTTGCTCGACTGTATGGTCAACACCTCTACTGTCAAAGTTGGAAGGTTACATGACATCCATGATCATATTGATACATACTACACCTCACAACATCTGCATTTTGATACCCGTTGCTCCTATTCGAGGTTGCTCTATCGCACACTCACAAAGCCATAGGTCTCTTTCAGCCACAGGTCGCAGGGATACAGTTTGTCAGGCAGCATTCCAAAGAACCTCATTCCTGAACTGCCATGTTCTTTTGCTCCGGGGAGGTGCCTTAAGCCGTGCCTCTTCAACAGCTGCGGCTATTGCTTGCCGCGTGGGCGGCGCCGTTTGCGAGGACACGGCAGGCCATGCCCGCAAGGGCGCTTGGTATCTTTTGAGCCACTGTGCTATGTCAGTCTATTGTTCCAGGCTCGCAATGTGCGTTCGGCTCGCAATGGTGGCCTTGCAGGATCTACGGCTGAATGAGTGGAATCTCGGAGTCATTGAGGGCATGAGCATCTTGGTTCCAGCGTATATTGCGGACAAGGAGATGCATGTCAGATCTTCAATTTGGAAGCAGCACATGGCACGAGGCAAGGATGAGGCTGCCGCACAGCATGCCGATGACTGGAACGTCTTCAGTCGTGATCCTAGAGCAGCACATGCATGCAAGCAGATTGTCTAAGCGCTTAACTACATGCCCCCTCGTGCAATATTCCTAGTGTTGTAGGTGTATTCACATAGGCTGCATGTGTGCGTGGTATACATCTACAATGGGGCACCTACCTCAGGGATGGGACTTAAGCTTGTAGAGTTACTTGAAGCTGGCAGGTGTAGTGCTATTTGGGTGTGTTGTTTCTGATGCTTATTGATTGACTGATGCTTACTGATGCTTGAAGAGTGTTTGATATGTTTTGGGACTTGCGTCGATAGTGATGCTGTTGTACTGGGCGGAAGGCTTCTTGACTTGTCGACGGGTAAGGCCAGTGGTGCGCTGGGCACGCTGCTTGCCTCAACATGAGCGCGTCTCAAAGCCGCACTCTGAGTGGCATTGGAACAAGAGAGAAGATAAACGTGGAGGAGCACCATATATGGAAAGCACCACGCAAGCCCAATGCGGAATGCGATGGTGTGAAATGTCATGCATGGGACAGGCTTCACTACCAGGACTTGCTGTGTGGGTGTGAGGTATCCGATGATGTTGCGAATTATCGCGTCTCTGGCGGCGGTGACGCTTGCCTTGGCTTGCTTTTGTTGGCATGGAAGCCACAACGTATCTATGCAAGCTTGATTTGTCTCGTGCCGCTCGTTTGGTCAAGGAGAGCATGGAGCAAGTCCGCAAGAGAGCAGTTGAATGCCTTGAGGAGGCCTGGAGACATCAAAGCACCGTTTGAGCGCTTTGAGACATGACAGGCCTGCAGCTCCGAGGACCTGGTCATTGCAGCAGCTCGTAAAGGACAGTTTTTCTCAGTGCGCGGTTGCTCAAGAATTGCTGCAAGAGATGTGGCCGTGGGTCAAAACGAATGGTACCACTTTGGGATAGGTGCACCACCCATTTTAGTCCATTTTAGTGGTTGGATTGGGATTTTCACGGTACGATTTGGGTTTTGACCCATGGCCATGTGATGAGGTCACCCATGGCGGCGTCCTGGGTCAGCTGCTGCGCAATTGCAATGCTGGCCAAGCTGCCCGACCCGCTGGGAATGCCTGTGCCGCGGCAAGACTCAGCGAATGCCATTTCAGCCGCCTACTCGCCCAAGGCATCAGCCGCTTCCTGGTGCGCCCGGAGTGGAAGGCTCGGATTCTTTTGATTCCGGTGTGATTTCAGCGTGATTTCAGTGTGACTTGAGTATTGGCGAAGTGTACCTTCAGTGTGACTCAATGGTGACTCCAGTGAGTGACTTCAGTGTGACTTGAGCTTGAAAGGTCGTGGACTGGGCATCCACGGAGCATCTTGAAGGTGATGCGGCACCGGCTGCGGCGGACTACGGGCGATGATGGTGTCTACTGACTGTACAGATCAATTATGCCAAGATGGCTTGTTAGTGGCTTGTCATGTCTTTAAATGTTCTTTTCGGCGTTCCAAAAGGAAAGGCCCTGGTTTTCGAGAGGCCAGCGAGGCAAAGAGTTCCATCAGCTGAGCCTGAGGTAAACGCAAGCGATGCAAAGCGAAGCAAAGAGTGTTGCAGAATCATTCTGTGGCCCGAAGTGCTCACCTGAATTGATCAAGCATATTTTGGGATCTGAGGCTTTGCGAGCCAATCCGTATCAAGGAGCGGCCACCGAGGCGGGACTCGGATGCCTCCGATGCCTCCAAGCTGAGAAGCCGCGCCCAGGTTAGGCCTCACCTGGCTGACTGGGCCTGAAGACAGCCGCAGCCTCCAGAAAACGCCCAAAGCGTGCAGACCCGCCTCGGCGCCTCGCGTCCGAGGCTTCAAAGAATATCTCACCAAGCGGTACAAGGGCAACAGCTCAGCTGATGGCTTAGAAAAATCTAGGTCAATGTTGCCAAGACGACCTCACTTGCCAAAGCCAGGTGTGCTGCGGAGGTCGCTTTGCTACTGGTCAAGTGCCGAAGCCTTTGAAGCTTGATAATATTGCATGCCCTGGCACATGTGCAGTTTGGCACGTGGTAGTGGTTTTTTGCGAATGGGTGAAGCGCGTTCAGATGGCCCAATGCAGCGTCGACTTTTGTGCGCGCCTCATTTGTTGCTGCTTTCTGGCACGCGGCGCTTGATGTGAAGAGGCCGCATGTCAGATGTCGTTTCTTCCTCCCCGCTATTCCTGAGACGCTGACCTTCGGCCCTGGAGTCTGGCCCGCGCCTTATGCGGAGCTTTGCTTGGGGTGATGGGCGTCCCGCGACCAACTTGGGATGCAAGATGTGGCCAGAACGAATGCAACGAGGTACTTCCATTCCTTGCTGCCAATAGTCCGCCCTGGCCGGGCACCCGTGCTTTGTGGACATAGCTGATTTGGATGTTAGGCAAGCTCACAGCCTCCCCCAGGATCGTGCGTTTTCCACAAGCGTTTCAGCCGCCTGATTTTTTGTCTAAGCGGATTGGCCTGTTTCCCTCCTGGTTGACCCAGTTGACCTCTTCATTTTTGCAACGCAGGCATTATCCTGACCTCGTTCATTGGCATCTCACAATCAGCTGCTTGTCAGCACTGCGCAAAGGGGTTCGGCCAAGAGGGTCAAGGAGCCGTGCCAGGTTCTGGGGGCCGTCATCCTGGTGACTTTCTTCTTGGCGCTCGGAGCTTGAAAAGCAGAACTGGCCATGGGTCAAAACCCAAATCGTACCGTGAACGTCCCAATCCAACCACTAAAATAGGTTCTAAAATGGGTGGTGCACCTACCCCAAAATCCCCAAAATGGGATGCCGTTGGTTTTGACCCACAGCCAACTCACAGCACATGTTGTCACAGGGCCCTGCGCAGGGGCTAAATGGGTCTGAAGGTCAGCCATGAACCCGGGCATCATCCCGCGGAACGAGACCATCCCAAAGGCCTGGCGGAGCCGAATGCAATAATCGGCACCCGTCTGATCCAGTCGGTATCACTCTGTATGTTTCTTGGTGATTCGTTTATTTGTTTCTTTTCATGGTCTTCATGTTCCTTGGATTTCCTTGGTGATTCGTTGCTTTTCTTGGTTTTTCCCCATGTATATCCCATTCGTTCTACGCATCGCACGTTCCTCCTGCCTTTCATTTCAATCCACCTTGCTTTGCAGGAGCTCGAGCAGCAGCTGGACCTCAGAGGGGTGCCTCGCCACCGATTTTTGCGCCGGGCTGAGAGCGGCACAAAAAGCACTGTGGAACCGAGCTACGGAGCAGTAGGGGTGGGGAACTTGTTGTGGAAGAGCCTTTGCTTCGGCTGAACACTGAAAAAAAAACGTCTCAGGAAGATCAGCGAAATCACCGTGAAACAGAAGCCCCGGCCTGGGATCTCCCTGCATTTGGATACCGAAAGACTGGCGAGCTGAAGAAATGCACTGACCGAAAGATCGAAAGCTGAGGTATTGCACGACCTGCAATATTTTTAGACCGCCACGCTCGAAGCATTGCTCGTTTTGCTCTGCTGGCCTGCTTTGAAAGTGGCACGAACGAAGGACTCAAAGCCACGGCACCGCCCACCGATCGGTGTGACTGTGTGATGCACACCAGGCGACAACTGCATTCTGCGCTTCGATCACCATTGCACTTGGCTTGGGAATTGTGTGGGGCTGCTCAGTCCCAGTGCAACAATTGCATCGCATAACGATTCAATTTGGGGCAACAGAGGTGGGGCTATACAACTACCGCTACTTTGTGGTGCTGATCTATGCCTCCACATTTTTCCTCCTGCAGTGCCGGCCCTCAAAGTGACGCGACCTGGTCACTGGTCACCAGGCCATCCTGGCGTTGAGAGCCCCTCAGGTGCCTCTACGTGACCGGCTGCTACTTTGGCGAGAAGGTTGTCTTGCCACATGTGCACGCGATTGCACGCGTATCAAGCTACGGGATTTGTGTGGCAACGCTCCAAAACCCGTTTGAGTTGGACAGGCAGAGGACAAAGGCGGCCCTGACTATGGCGTTTTGACGGTGATCGAAGTGCTGTCCGAGGATAGATGCCGCCTTCCGGGAAAGCATTGGCTTCAACTTGATGAGCCAAGGAAGAACCGCTTTCCAGAAATGTCACGCTTCGCAGGAGCTGTGCATGGTGTTCTTCTTCATTTATTGCCTCTTTCTGATGTTTGCTGCTCCGACCTCTGACGAGCGTTAATGCAGAGCTGGGAGGGCTTCACACCCAAGGTGCTGCTTCTCTCCGTGTATCACACGGTCATATCCCTGCAGAACTTGACGACCAACGAGCATGTGCGGGCCCCAAATCAAGGACCGTGCTGCCATTTGCTGGAGTGTCGAGGGTTCGGGAGAGATTCCAAGACTTCGATTTCAGCCGTGTTCAAAATTGCTCCAATCTGCTCAAAGGGTCTCATTTGTGACATGGTTGGACAAGCTTGCAGCTCATGCAGATGGTAGGCACATCAATGTAGGAGTCGATCTAAAGCTCCTTAGAGATGTGGAGGACACGGACATGTGTTTTATGAAGCAGCTCCGCGATGGATTTCGCAACAAAGTTTAGTGTCAGGCAGCATTTTGTGTAAGGGGCCTTGATCACGGGACCAACGCAAGGCGCCCAACTTTGCAGACTGCTTGCGCTCACCAGGCATAGAACTAATCAAGGCTTTGGCTGGGCTTGGCTCCCACATTGTGTTCGCGACCTTGCTGCCAGCTTCGGTACTTTGCGTGTGCGCCCCGCTTTGCCGTTTCAAACTAAATGGCTGGTGGGTGCAGGGACCGGCTGCAAGTTAAGGCATAGACTCGTTCAACAGATGTAAGGTCTGCCTTGGAAGCGCCATGGCTGATGATTGGACTAGGGGCTGATGCGATTAATTTGATGCTAGCCGGCAGACTCGATGTCGCTCAAGGCTGGGGGAAGGGTGGTGAACGCCTACAATGGCATAGGGCAAGCAAGAGGTGCAGCGGGATACTCGACCGAGCACGCTCTTAAGACTCTGCGGTAGCTGGTGACAGACGCGTGCAACGTGACGCGCGCAAGAAGGATGTTCGCGCGCGAATATGCTGCTTGGCGTGCGTCGTCAAGCGCGGCAAAGCGCAGTGCCCGCACCGCGGGGCGCTGATGATTTGCGCTCGCGCATCTGCCGTCGACAAACCAGCCCTGCAAACATGCAGCGGTCGTAAGACGCCCAGGCGCGCGTGTTCCACGGCGACCCGTTTCGCGGTGGATCCATTTGCTTGCGGATCTTGCCTCAGTGCCTGCCGTTGCGGGTGCAACGCGCAAGCCCCGATCCGCTTGCTTTCACTGCCGAAAGATGGGGCCACGCCAGCCGCCCTGCGTGCGCACAGATGGTCTCTGAGTCTGTGAGCGAGGCAGGCGCTGCCTTCTCGGCAGCACTGACGCAAAGCGATAAGCTGCTGGCAACTTCTCATGGGCCGACGCAGCCAGACAGTGTGAGGTCGTTTGGCTAGGGTCATGCTGCAAACGCTGACGTGGAAGCAACTGAAAATGCTGCGACATTGTGCCTGCGGAACTATGGAGCCTGAGCCGCATGTAAAGCAAGGCAACGCTGCGATGGCTTTCTCAGGTGTGTGTTGTGTCCAAAAACACAAACTGTGCGCACAAAGTTGCGATGTTTCAGCTGCAGCTGCCAAAGTGCATTTCGCAGCACTGCATTTGTGTTACACAACACGCCGCCCGAACTGGAGCTCCCTTCATTCGAATGTAGATGAACCGGCAGCATATTTGCTTTGATGGCCGTGATATTATTCAACGAGTTTGGCGGAGACTTATGTTTAACCAGTTTGTATTCAATGTAGGTTCACCCAGGCCACAGGCCATGTTGACTCCAAAAGCCGTCACGTGGCAGGTCAAGAACTATTACAGAGAAGGCCAAAATCCATTCGACTATGGCGGGCAGAATCCTGAGAGGGTTGGGGCGGATGAGTGGAGATCATGCAAGCAGAGGGCAGAGAGGGCAGGGATGGCAATTAGCACACTGCCAGATGTCCAGGTACCACAACTGCAAGCAGATTTATTGCTATCCAGAGCAGCTTGGCCGCATGCTGGTGGGTAACTTCATGGGACGTTAGTTGGTTTTTGGCCTGCGGTATGGCATGATATCATGTGGCATGACATTGGCATTGTCATGGAAAGTCGCCTGTTTGTGCCACATGGTCAGTTGCTTTTGCTCGGAGGCTGGTCTTGCCAGAAGGCGACGACAAGGTCGAGGCAGGACTTGGGTACTTTGATGCAACGCTCGGAAGTGTGAATGGATACAAGTTGCTGTTCGGAGGGTGACCCTATCGGAGACACGAAGCAGGTCAAGCAGATACTCCTCCCATCCGCCAATCGCGAACTGCAGACGCCAATCTTACACCGCCTGCTATCGCAAACTTTTCCCCCAGCTCAACGCTGCGCACCCGTGCGCCACGGCTTTGGCAACTCAGCACCTTCCACAAAACTTCGTCAAAACACTGGTCAGGATCTGAGCCCGATTTAAAACTTCAAATATTTCAAATACTTCAAGCATTTTAAATCAGAGCTTGGGGATTCAAAATATTTGACATATTTAGCCCCCAAATCGGTTTCTTCAAATATGCGAAATATGTTGGCCTCAAATCAGTTTAAACATTTCACTTTTTTTAGATGGGGGCCCGGGGATTTAATATATTCAAATTATTTCAGATGATTGAAATATTTGAAATTTGAAAGCGGCCCCAGCCTCAGAAATCAGGGCCCGGGGATTGCATACCAATGGAGCAGATTCAGAAGGTACCAGGCTGCACCGCATCGGAGAGAAGGAACCCAGCAACAGGGGTCAAAGTGAACCGACTGATATCCTGCCCTTCTGTTTGTTGGATCATGCAATCCACCATGACCAAGTCCTGCATGTCCACGACAGCGAATTGAATTGTATCAGTGCCAAGCCAAATTTGCAGAGAGAGGCAAAGCCGCAGACATAAGCTAGGTCTCACCACCAGTAATGGCGCTGAGCAACTCACAAGATACTGGAACATACACTCCACCGCCGAACTTCAAGGTTCACGGTTTACCATCAGGTGTTGGCTCAACCTTGGGGTTTTTTACCGCCAGCGTGATCAAGAAGGTTTGCTGAGAAAAACCTAAAGAAGAAGCGCCACTGTAAGGAGATTTGTCACAGCTGCATGCGCAGGCCGAAGCGTTTGCATGAGGACCCGAACTCATCGGCGCCTGCCATCGCGGAAGCTGCCTGTGTGCCTGATGCGCGTTCAGTGTCTAAACGTGCAGCAAATTGTTGGTGCACCAAAGCAAATCTATAGGTGCAAATGAGCCAGCGCGCAGTCATGGACGGCAACACTTGACACAGTGCAAAGTGAACGACTTCGTCCAGCCACGCCGAAACAAGCACAGTTTCAAGACACCGAGAGGTAAATACATCAGCAACAGCTCCTAGACAAAACTTGAACATATGCTTAGCAAGTCTATTTGGTGCACATCTTGGATCACCACCAACATTTGCACGAGCAGCTAAGGGCCAGCCCTGCCAACTTGAACCCCGACCCCTGCCAGCGATCTTGTATCGGATAGGCCGTCCAACAAGGTGTGGAGCCGAGGCAAGCAACAAGAACCGACGTTGACCAACTCTTTTGAGCTCTTCCCAAGTGAAACCTTTTTGCTTTGGGCCACACGTCATGTTCGGATGGAGCAGCTCTTGCGCTTGCCGCAGATTTGCAGCCACATAGAGTAAAGACGCAAAATAAAGTAATGTGCGAAGAAGCATCCTGGAAACGGGTAAATCAAGCATTAGGTGCCGAGATTCCAAGCGTGGCAACTGCAAGTGTCACGCAGGCTGGCTACTTGCCCTTCGGGTCGTACTCGGACGGTCAGTCTTTCGATGAGCTTTAGATGGAGTACTGGCGAGGAAAATGTGTGCCAAGCCTGCGACAAGAGGTGCAAGAGGACTTGATCAAATCGCAAACGCAACAACTTTGAACTTTGTTTACGGAATATTCGCTGTCCGCAGCTGGTTTTTGTGAGACTCATGGAGCGGGAGTCGGCTGCAAAGGTGATGGCGGCCCTTGGCGCGCTGGCGAGCGGTTCCGAGGCCTTCGTGGCTTCCTCGCGCGCGCGCGGAGTGTCCGGCCCACCCACAGTGCCCAGCACCGGAGCGGCCCCGGCACCGCGGCCTCATGGCGCTGGCCGAGTTTCAGGCGCTCCTGTGGGCCTCGCGGCCATTGGCGGCATTGGCGGCATTTGGAGCCGCAGGGCGCGGAAGCCGTTGAAAAAACGGCTGGTGGCTGCAGCCCTGCCGGAGAGCGCGGACTTCCTGCACCACGTGGCGCAAATGTGGAACCACGGGGGTCAGGCCGAGTTTGTGCAGCAGGCACAGCAACTGTGGCAGCATGCTGCGCAGCATGCTGGGGATCAGTCTATGCCTCATGCCGCGGATGTTGCTGCAGCTTGGCAGCAGTGGGCGGACGCCCTCTCTGAAGGTGCGGGGCGTGTTGCACATGATCTCGTTCCACCTGCTTATGCGGCCGAAGTGGAATTGGACCCGAACGCGACGTATCTCTACGGAGCTGATGGCGCAGTTTTGGTGGATCCAATGAACAACAAGCCTATCACGGACGACTGGTGGAACGGCTTCATTGGCTTCCAGTCTGAGTTGATCAAGTCCATTGATAACAAGCTCCGCGAAGTGGGCTCGTGCCCCAGTGCTCTGAAACTGGCTGAAGTTCCCTGATTAGTTGAAGGCACATGTCTTGAGGCGTAGAGCAGGCCTTCGGCTGGACCATCGTTTTGTACACGGCCTTCATCAAGCTGGTGTTCTTCCCCTTGCAGCAGGAGACTTGCTCACTGCCAGCACACACACACACACACACACAGACACGCGACAGTTATAACTTTATAACCATGCTCGCAGGGGCAGCTGAAGAGCACCTCCATGATGCAGCTGCTGAGCCCCAAGGTGAAAGAGATCCAGGAGAAGTACAAGGCTCGAGTGACTCGAGTCATTTTGATTCAGCCCCGCCATGCTCGCCTCAATTTGTGTGAGCGTTTATGCGGGTTGCGCTCCACATGGGCCATTGGAGTCTTAGAGAAAGGCAACCATCCTTCGCAGTGCCAGGATGACCCGGACACCCAACAACGGCTGCTTGGACAGCTGTACTCGGTCATGGACGTGAACCCGTCCCGGTCTCAGTTCTGCTTTTGCATCCGTTGCCATTCTAGCATGTTGTCGTTGTGCGCGACCAAGCATACTGTCTCCATGTCGGAAACGTATTGCCAGCCGTTGAACATTGTGAAGGTGAGATTGAGTCGGGAACTTGAGGCTTGGTGGCTGCCTGCCTGTGTTGCTGCAGCTGCCTATTTTTTGGTGGAGGGCTTAGCACCCGAGACAGGCCTCAGAGAACGCTTCAGAACGCAGGACATTGAGATGGTGATTGACCAATTAAACCAAGGAGCTTATACGGCGTTTGGCGGCGCTTGGCAGCGGAGAAGTTCCCTCACTACACAGAGGGATGGCTTTGGGTTCCTTCTTTGGCGCAGCCCAACCCGGACTTCCAGTTCAAGTGGCTTATCTCAAATCAAGGGAACATTTGCAACAGTTGTGGTGTTTATCCAGTTGCCTTGCGCGAAAATGCTGGACATGAGTGACAGTCGTAAAATTCCTGAAGAGGAAGCAAAGCATTTGCACGAGCATTGTTTCAACTGCTTGTCGAGGAGGGGAGGACACATCAGACATGGCCAGTGTCGAGCAACTTGAGTTGACTTGGACTGTGGCCTTGGAGCTGAGATATGATTGGCTGCTGCAATTCCAAGATGGCCAGCCGGCCATGGGTTGGCATGACTATTTGTGCTACCTCGCGCCTGAGCAGCATAGACCTGATTGAGTGAAATGGTTGCGGCCGCGGAAGAAGCTGTTTGAGTTGACTCTCAGGTCTTCCCAGCACTGCTCGTGGGATTCACTGTCTTCCAACAGCAGCAGGCGAGAGACTGAATTGGAAAGGGCGCTGGGGTCCGTGTGAGTCTGTGGCTAGGCGCAAACCGGCAGACCGAAGACATCAGAGGACGACCCCCAGAACGTGGTCTTGCAGGCCGGGCGTCAGGTCGCAAGGCTCATGGAGCTCACTTTGACGATGGAAGATGAAAAACGTTGCAAATATGGCAAAGACATCAAGTCAAATGTTTGAGAAATATATATATATATATATATTAATAATATAATATTTATATATATATATGGCACCCATGGATCTACCTTCCTTTGGAAATCACTGGTGTACATATAAATATATATATATATGTATATATAGTACTGTTTCTGAGGTTAGCCCTTTCCCTGCAGGTTCTGCCCTGGATCTCGGTGTACTTCATTGGCAGCCTGTCGCTGCAACTGCCGCAGGCATGTCCGTGATTTGAGCGAGCCATGGGCATTTGTAAGCACAGGAAAAGCGGTGCAAGCAGCCGTTTTGTTTGAGTTGAACTGGGGAAGCCACTCGCCAACCCCAGACTTGCTGAGCTGGCAAGGCAGTTTCCGTGTACTACTCCATGAATTCAGCGCTCTCTCTGCTGCAGACGCAGGTCGTGACTTGAATGAGTTTGGAGGAAGCTTATGGAAGCTTGTTGGGCCCTGGTTGGACCTGTGCTGTTGGCAACAGCTTGAAAAACCTTCGCTAAGGTGAAGCTTGGTCTGCGCCAGGAGATTGTAGGCTATGAGGAGTTCGAGAGGACAGCGAAGTGGGCCAGTTGCGCGTTCTGCCATCAGTCTGAGGGGCTTCCTCGCCAGGACCGGCAAATTCCCCGACGGCGCCTTTGAGGACATGGTGAGGCTGGAACATGCTCCGCTGGCAGGGCTTGATCGGGCTTAACCCGCAGGCAGTCAACGCCAGCTCCCAAGAATTTGCATGAGGCGGGCTCGGTATGTGGTAAGAAGAGCTGCAAGTGGAACGTAGAGCTCCTAAGCAAAAATGACTGCCTGGCATGGCAGGCTGCCTTGCGGGGTGAGGCAGGCTTCTCAGCACAACACGTCCAGGTTTGTTGGACACGTACACAGCCTGTGAAAACAGATGTTCCACATCATCAGAGCAATTTGCAAGCAGTCAAATGAGGTCAGCTTCATCAACGAGATGCTTGATGAGAGCCTTGTCAGCTTTTGGGAGAGAACCACACTGTGGATATTTGAGCATGTTCAATGAGTTCAATGTTCAAGTAGCCTGAGCAAGTTGCCTTGCATAGGGAAGCCGAAATCGACAAATGGGACGAGAAGAAGATCGCGTCTGCCTCCCAGCTCGCATGCAGAGGCGATCTGTGGCCTCCCAGAGGGACGCATCAGCAGTGCATGTGCACGGACCTTGAGGCCTCTGGGCTATGCAGTGGCATGCCGCCTGGAGAAATCAAGCGGCATGCGAGGCTTCCTTTCAGAAATTGTGACTCTTGTGTGTATTGCCTCAGGTGGCCATTTGGAGGCAGTGAAGCTCCTGCTGGCGCGAGGCAGCTTGGATGAGCTGAGCTGGATAGCTAGCTGAGTCATCGACAGGCGCTGACGTCACTCTCAAGGATGGCCAGGAGAAGTGTTCTCATCACTAGTACAGTATAGTTCCATGCAGAGGGCAGCACTTTCGGCCAGCAGGACAACACAGTGCTGCACTATGCTTCTGGCTATGGACATATGGAAGTGCTCAAGGACTCCATGCTGCTCAAAGCTTTTATTTGGTGGGTCTAGTCAAAGAGATCCTTTCGTGGCCAGTGGCGTCATAAGGCACTTCAAAAGTAAATTTAGACTTGATTGCCCCCATGCTGTGAGTTCAACAGACAATCGCTAGTGAAAACTCCAGACTGATGTCCGAGGCTTGACCGTAGATGGTGACAGTGACTTCACAAGATGTTTCTGTACCATGCCTTGCGGATTTGTCCCCAGGTGCATTGTTGGGTCTCTTTTGTTTGGGCCTGGCTTTGTACCCCAAGCTGTTGTAGCCCCATTTGTGTGACGATGTCATCCTAGTCCCAGGCCTGTTTTGAAACATGTTTGTGACGTTGCACTGGCGTCACAGCTGGTGTTCTTCCGCTGCAGTGGCGGATACGTCACGGCTGGTATTCTGAACAACCACGCAAGCATTGATTTGGATTAGGATGGGTATGTGTGTATGTGTGTGTGTGTGTGTGTTTGTGTGTGTGATGCATAAATCACATGTTGGTTGTCCGCAGATTGTGATAGATGTCGCAATGCACTCAGTATAGCAAGGCCGGCATGCACACTTGGCCATGCCATTTGGCTGTAGCATTTGGAGCTGGAAACTCTCCGCCGTCTCTGCATGGTGCATACTGTATGATCCAGCAATCCAGAAGATTATCAGCTGTGTTACCGTTGCTGTGACAACGCACTTCTTGTTCAGTACTATGAAGACCATTTGCTATGTTGCATACACAGACACACACACACACACACAGAGCGTTTGTGCAGGCTAGTTCCAAAAGGCAGCTCATTCTAACGGCTACCTCCATGTGGCTAGGGAAGTGCCAGGAAAAAAGAGCCATCTCAGAAGTCGTGCCAGCATATTTTGTCAAGATCCCGTAATTCCGAACGGGGAGCTCTTTCCGTGGCATGTTGCGCCTGCAAGCCAAGCTGTTGGTTTCGGCTGTTTCAGGGGAGGGTCTGTAAGTGAAAGCATGTACATGCCAAACATCTCTTTTGAGGAGCTCATCCAGGCGTGCGAGGAGAAGTGGCCTGACCAGTCATGGAAGGACTTCCGGAACAGCCAGGATCCCAAGAAGGCCGAGCGGCCTTAGAGCACCAAATGCCTTGAATCACAGGGTTTGGCTTATTGGTTTCGATTCAAACCCAGGCAAGGGGCAGACTGTGGTCGACGCGGCACGTGCAAACCGAAAGGGGCAGGCCTGGCCCTTCGAATGTGCCCTGTATTTGTTTTGTCTCTTCAGAAGTTCAGGTGGTTGACTATCTGTGCGAGCTCTTGGGCATTGACGTCCAGGCCGTTGTCTTGAACCCGGCAACCCTACCGGCCTTGAGCGGTTTTTCGCAGACCGTGAAGCTGCCCCCGGCACCTGGCGGACCAGGCTGGGGCATGCAGAAAGGTGCCGTCTTGCACCTTGGGTTCCATCTGAGTCATCTGAGTCATTTGGCTGTGGGTCGAAAATAGGGTAAACCCAAAATGGAACTTTGATAAATGGAAGCATGAACTACAATCTGCGGTTTCTTGGTGGCTTAGTTTTGATCCTTCTCCATCTAAGTCATTTGAGCAATCTGAGCCATGCTTTCGAGGAGGAGAGTCCTCGGATGCCGACCGGGCCCGTGCAGCGCTGCTGGCGGCAGCAGGGGCCGCTGACAAGGCGGCGCCGGCAGGCGCTGGGCAGGCTGGCAGGATGCATGAATGAAATAAAACAGCCAATTAAACAGAGAAGCCCCCAGTAGTACCCTTTTACCCTTTTGTGGGGGGAGGGTTCCCCCAGTAAAATAAACTACAGACCAGAAGGTACCCTTTTTCTAGCCTCTCAACTGGAGGACCTAGACAACAAATGAAGATAAGAAACCAGTGCGAAGTGGCGAAGTGGCTTTTGATCAGGCCCCAGCAAGCCCGCCCGACACCTCAGCCATGCGAGCGGCAGTGGAGAAGCTGCGGTCGAACCCAGAGGCCAGTCTGAGCCATAGGTACAATCATCTTTTCCTCCTTGCCATCGTATGTTTTGCAGGCACTGGAACAGGCCAAGAAGATGATGGGCAAGATCCCCCCGCAGATGTTGCAGATGTGTTGCTCCCAGCTTGTTTCCGGTCATTCCGGTCATCACTGGCATTTGTTCTTGAAGGACACGTCACAGAGAATCGCAACCAGGTTGTCCGGCAACAAGATCTCTACCGAGCAGGCAAAGAAGGCGCGGCAAAGAAGCGTCACCGAACGCATCATTCTGAGCTACTTGCCACCATCAACAGGGCTGAGTGCACGCTTGGGCAGGCCATGGATGCCATGGCAGACATGAGCACAGAGGACAGCACAGTCTCGGGAAACAAGTGGCATTAAAATTGTTATCCATGATTGTTGCAACAGACGGTGATATATATATATATACATATTATATATAATACGTAATTCATGTGCTTTGTCATAGCTGACCAGGACCTTCTGGAGCGAGCAGATTCGGTGCCGGGAGCCTGGGTAAAGTTTGAATTGGGGCTGACTATGTGGAGATGGTCGGAGATGGTGTCGATGCCAAGGATGAATAAAGAGACGGTGCCTCCTGCGTCACTGCCGCCGCAGGGGCCTCGAAGAAGCTTAACAAAATTCAGATTTGTGAACATCGTGGACGACCCACGCATTTGGTTGTTGCAGCGGAGCAGCTTGAGCATAGCTTGAGCTTCAGCTTCGTCCAGCAGAATGACGGGCACAGCGAGAAGCTAGCACGGAACAGCCAGCGAACGATCGGATGGCAGATGAGCCATCATGGACGTCAGCAGACGACGATTTTGGGCTCGCCGGCGAGCAGGTCGTCTCACCGTTGAGCGCGAGCATTTCATTGCGAGAACGGGTGACGGGAAAGCTCAGTCGGGTGCCCCGACACTGCCAGCAATCGGGAAGAGAGGCAGATCGACAAAGCAACTCAAGTGCAACGATCAGATTCTTTCGGCTGACCGAGTGAGACCTGACTCACTGACGCATGAGCCGATTTGGCGACCGCGCCTGGAAAGGCAACGAGATTTCTTGAGCTTCTCGGAAGGCAGTGCACTGAGCTTCGCAGTCCGGCTCGTTGCTTGCGCTTGCGGTTCTACCCTGCGCTTGCGGTTGAGGCACGGTGCGCAGTGGCTGTAGAAAACAGTTGCGCTAGATCCGTGTTTTGCAGAAAGGACAGATCCAATAAGAGAAGATCCGGCCTTGATGGTGGCGGGCGTGGGCAGGTGAGCGGCTTCGGACTGCCTTAAGAAGCTTGGCATTGCTTTTGTCTTGGCGCGTGGCGGATGCGTGCCCAACAAGCTGCGAAGAGCCGCCTGGAAAAGAAGGACCGCAACAGAGACGATCAAAATCGGATGAAGCGAAGCTGCTGCTTCAAGGGCAGGCTCCGGCGTGGCAATGGCGGGGAGCCAGGCTGACTTAACTTGGCGAGACGAGTTGAGCTGACTGAACAAGAGACGCGGAAGGGATATACGGGTGTTAGAGTATGTGTGCATGTGTGTGTGTGCCGGTGTGCGTCGAAGAAAGGAACAGCGCGGAAGCCAAGCAAAAGCGGCGAGTTTCTCAAGGCAAGCCGCTGCAAGCCTTCCACAGAGGAGTGCTCATTGGCCGATGCCGGACATCTTTTTTCCAGAAACCTGGGGACGGCTGCCCTCCAGAGCTCCAGCGCTAGTCTCATCACGTGGCAAGCTCGTAAGTTTGAAAAGCGACCGAAAACCACGAGCGAAAACCGGCAACAGCCCGTGTTGAGACTTAGATGTCCAATCGCGGAAGAGCAGGGAAGATTCGCTGCAGGGCGGCGGAAGGACAGCTTTCAGGAGAAGTCATGTTGAAAAGCCCCCAAAAGGCATGTGCGACGGATGTTGGAACTCGTCATCAATGACACCGGGATAGTTTGGCTCACACCCAACTAATTACCATACTTGACCTTTTGCCTTGTGATGGGTTGTTGGTGCCATGATTGCGCCCGTTTCTTATTGCTTTGCCTTGTGGAATTTGGGCATGCCAGACTCAGGCCCAGCTCAAACAAGCCGGCCCGCTCAGTGGATTGAGGACATGGGCTGACCTCCAAAACAGAGCAAAAGAATGCTAGCGCGCACATTGTGAGACGCAGGAGGTGTTGCCACGTCACAATTTGGGTGTTCAATTCGTGGTTTGGACACGCATGGCACGGCCAACTCTGTCCCAGTCTTCTAGGATGCCTTGGATCTGCTGAGATGGCCGGGGTATAGCTAGGTGCTCTTGGATGTCCCTGGCACCTATCAGACACCCCCACTTTGACCCGGGAAACCCGGAGATGTGAGCAAGCAAGTCAGTCCGGGACTGAGATATCGCCTCCCAAACCCACGCCCAAGTGCTGGCGTGGCTCATTTTTCTACTCATCAGCCTGGAGCATTTGTCTCAGCTGGGCTGAAGTGAACAGAGCAGTCTTGACCCCATTGTTGCCAAAAGAATCATTGCGAAGTGTGCCAGAAGTTGAGTTTGCAAAGAGCCGGCTGTTGGAGATTCATAGTGAATCATGAAAGGCCGGAGTGAGAGTGCAATTTGCTCAGCCACCATATTATGCAAGAGAAGGAGAGCAACTGGCTTTGCTCAACACTTTAAGCAAGCACTTCTTCAAGGCAAAAATAAAACTGCAACGCCTGTTTGCAAGGTTTGATTTGCAAGCTGGGGTTGGCGACAGTTGAGTGGAGGGAAAACGCCAGCAACCATTTTCCACAAGGTCAGGGCATGTTCTGCCACAATTTCCCATGGCCGGCTGGGATGCCGCTCCTGCCCCTCGGCCCATGGGCGGGGGTTACAATGCAGCTCCCGCGCCTGCACCGCTGGCGCCGGCGCCACCGGGACGGCTGCAGGCCGAATTCAGAATGGATGGACCTCAGCGGCATGGCCAAGCAAAGAATGGGACACCTTTGTTCACTTCAGGATTTCATGCGCTTGCATTCTGCTTCCAGTTGGGCAAAGCGCAAAGCGCATGATTGGCGTCAAGCCTACTGACAGGTCTACAGCGAAGACTGCGAGGTGTGCAGTCAGTCAGCACAGGTTGCTCACAGCTTGTTGAGTGCATTTCAAAGGTTTTGGGCGCAGCAGATTTCATCATCACAGCTTGTTGCTGTTGCTAGGGGCCAGTGGTATCTGGGCAAAGCCCCACAAATGTCTGAGCCTGGGCTTCGTTCGGCCTTGCATTGCATCCTCTGACCGCTAGAAAGGGAGCTGGCAATGAACTGAGCTCTCAGGTTTCAAGAAGCCCGGCGCGCTGGGGCCCCATTGCAAAACGGGAATCCCCGAGGTCAGTTTGAGGCCCACGTCAAGTCCCCCTTTTCTCGAGGTATCAGTACGCGACAGGAGTTCTACGTGCAGGACTTGCGTGACAACCGGCGATTCAGGCACAACTCTTTCAGGTGATTCAGGCAGCGCAAACGAAGCTTACGTGGAGCGCAGAACCAGATGCGTTTCTTTTCTTTTTTTGGGCTCCGCGCGGCGTGCCACAGTCGCTGAAGCTTCGCGCAAGGGTTTTGTCCGCGAGGCTCACGGAAGAGTTTACGGCGTATGTTGTTTGGGCTGATATTGCGGCTTCTGACAAAGCGAATGACAATGGTGCCAAGGATCAAGCAGCGTTTATTAAATGAAGAGACTGAGGCACGTGCCCAAAAAGGCTGGAGGGATCCCGAAGAGTCCCAAGCGCGGATTTTCGAGAAGCGCTTTGCGGAAGTGGCGTGGAAGCGGAGCCTGCCCTTTCCCACCGAGCACCAACTCGTTTTCTTCTGCAAGCAGCGGCAGCTCCTGAACCTCCTGGGAGGAAGCCTCGGCACTTTCTAGTGGCTCAGGGCTTGCGCGTCTTGTACTGTGCTGAAAAACGCATCGCAGCCCTCTGCCTGATGTAGAGAGTGCTCGTCACCGAACAAGACTTGCCAGGCGCAGCAACAACAACAACAACAACAACAACAACAACAACAACAACAACAACAACAACAACAACAACAACAAGACGGACAATGCTAGTGCGCCAGAACAACACAGGCTCGAGAAGGCTGCGGAGATGTGGCACAAAGCACTTGTAACTTGCAATCGGACATCGAAAGACATACACATGATCAACGGCTTGCTTCACGGCCACGTGGAAAGACTGCCAGCACTTCAGCCTGGTATAGAAGAGTGGTCCAAGTAATACAAATGCAGTATGGTTGAGAACGGGGCACTGTGCGATTTGGTCAGGGATCACATCATAGCAGCTATGCCAGCTGGTGAGATGCCAGGCCGGTGTCCCGCAAGGCTTTGCACGAAAAGACAGGCGGGCCATGTGCGACCAGTGCAAACGGCTTCACGCCACAAGTTGAGCCTCGTGAAGGAAAGCGGGATCGCGAAGGCACGGAGCTCGCCTTTTGACGAAGTGGGGCGACAGCCAACGCCACAGGTGACACTTCGAGGTGCGACGTCTCACAGCTTGGCGCCGATGCTTCGGATGTCGAAGCATTCAAGTCATGTTGGGACTGGCAAGCCGGCGCAGGTCCAAACGCATCACTTCCTTGGGCCGTGAGAACCTAATGCTTTTGGATCCAGATGCAGGGGCCCCAGAGATGGCCTGGCTGAAGCGCAGCTGCTTCTCCCCCCAACAAGTTGTGAGACATTTTGAGACATCCGACATGTCCGAAATCTTTGGTTGCAAGAGAGGTTTGGCTGTCCGGATTTGGCTACGGGCATCTAAGGGTCGTTTGTTGAAGGAACAGAGGGCTGTGCCAAAGAAATGCACTAAGCATTCCTATCAACAGAACTGGCTCCAACCCAGCAGGCAAATCGTGTTTTCTGTATTTTTGTTGTATCTTTTGTTTATTCATTTTTCCGGGGAAGGAGCACTCTTCGAGGCCGCCGAGTTGCTGCTGCTGGAGCCAGAGGATGCCGCGGTGGCCGAGCTCCTGGCCGGGGCCTGGCAATGCCAGGCGAGCGCGCAGCTGTCACTTTCGCTTGGGGCGAAAACATGGCGAGGCCTTTGCCAAGGGATGTTAGGACTCTAAAACATTTTGCCCACTAATGGGTTTTCCATTGAACCACTAGTTAAACTTTTGGCAGGGGAGCACAACGCAACCGAGGGTAGGTTGAGGATCCAGACACCGGAAAGCCATGCCACGCAATTTCTGCGGTGGCCCAGGTGTTGGTTGAATCCCAGGTGTAGTTTCTGAGCCAACATGGATCTTCCGGCACAGTGGCTGATCAAAAGGCAAAGGACCCTGAGAAGATGGAACTTAGTTTCAGCATCTGGCGAGGTAGCTCAACAGCCGCTTGTTTCAAGCAAATACGTGCAGCTTGGACATTCTGCGTGGCATAATCGTGCAGCATCGCGCAGCATCATTGATATGCTTATCATATGCGTATGATGCATATGATGCGTATGATTGATGTGCATGCTCAACTTCCGCCCTTCCAATCTCACTCCAAGTATTTCCATCTCATCTCTTCCTCATTCGTGGAGTTCCCTGCAGGTCTTTGCCTCGGTGTGCTGCGCCACCTGTCAGGCTTCACCGACTGCTTTGTTCAGCTCCGGGGTTTCGGGGGTTTCACCTTCGTCTTCTCCTTGCATTCCTCTTAGACCCGGAAACTTGGCTCGGCCAGGCTCTGCTTGGCGGCCTCAGCATTGCCAACTTGCTGCTGGCACTGGCTCTCTCAGAGGCGAGCTGAAGACCTGAAGATCCAAAGAGATGCCACGAGACACGTGCTGACCATGTCTCACGTCAAGCTTGCCGCATTTATGTGCCCTGTTTGCTTGCATTTCCAGGAGCTGCTGAGACTCAGTGAAAAGCTCTGGCCATACCTGGGTGTCTTTTTGATGCTGGCAGAGGTTGGCCGGCAGGGGCTAGCAATGTGCACCAGTCAAACTGCTTGAGACGTCCTTGAGTTCCGTCAAAAGTAAGAAAACCATAACACGCACTTCGAGGGGCGGGGTGGGAGGCGTCGAGGCGTGCTGTGTGAAGTCCACATCCGGCAGGCAGCCACTTTGGGCAGCTTCCTGGGCCTGGCGCGAGCGCTCTGGATCATGCAGGCGGGAAGTGGGAAGATACGCCGTGCCGCCAGCGGATGTGTCTAAAGTAGTCGAGATTTAGACGACCACTAAAGTGAGGGTAGGTGCTTCCTGTTTTTTTGCACCTTGAGGCAGACAAGGCACATGGTTGGTCCAGATGGTTAGAAGGCTTCGTGGCACCTCATGAGTCGGCAATGCTTCTTTCGATGTGTAGCAACTGTGCTTGACAGGTATCCCGCGGCACAGATGAGCAGATATCAGGCTGCGTGGAGTGGGAGCGTGCAGTCGGATTCGTGGCGATGTGTTGCTTGCTTTTTGCAAAGCCTTTACAATTTCTGGGCCCTGCAATAGGACTCAACATTTTGAACAGGATATGAAAGAAGCCTGCGAACTTGTTACAAAGCTCCTCTAGCTGCAGCACACAGGTTCTGACAGCTTGCATAGGATGTCAAGATTAGCCGCGTCGCAAGACCTTGCTGCGCTAGGGAACGACCTTCGCAAGGTACGCATTGCAAGGAGATGGTTTAAGTGAGTTCTGTTCGACAACCTCTAGCAAGAGCACCTTGTGGGTCAGCAGACTAGAGTTTCATGTGTCCTGCGATGAGGACTTCAGCCAGAGTTGGAATCCTTCTTGAAGATTCGCCTCCTCTGACTTTGCGCCATCCAATTCATCAACTTTCTTCCTACTGCTTCGGATATTTGTGCCGCCAAGAGTTGGCAAGGTTTGGAATGTTCACAGCAAACTATGGAATGAGTTCTGTTTGTTCATTCTGCCTTGGCTTGGAAGGTAGCGTTGGCTTCGTTGGCTGGTCAGCTGGTCAGCTGGTCAGGTGATATCAAAAGCAGAAGCGTCCCTAACCCCAATTTCCACCTTGAGGAGCACCCCCCGGGTCGACCAACGCCTACCCTCAAAGCTCAAATCCAGCTTAAAATCAGCAGCCTTTTCAACCAGCCAAACTGAATTCGGCCAAAGCTTCCGCAACATGCTGGGTCAACGACCTAGGTCCGCTGAGCGATTGAGAAGGGTCGTGCTTTCCCGAAACATGCCCTAAAATTCATTGGCCAGACGTTAGCCTAACATGGAGAGGTCGGGGTTTGGGATAGGGGGGTTGGGAGGTAAGCATCGGCCTCAGGTGCTCCCCCTTTCGAGCCTTGTTCTTGTTACAAAAGTGCTTGCTTTGTTCGGAGATTGTATGTGCTCCCACATGGATTCAAGGCGTGTGGCCACGGAATTGGCGCTTACTCTTGCGACTGCAACATCCTCCACCAGGTTTGAAGGATAGTTGTTGGAGAACAGTTGCAGATTGCACGACTTGGTAGCAGCGTTTGTAGAGGCCCCGAAGACGTTGCTGCCCACACGGGTTTGGAGCCCGACCTGGGTGGACTGCGATCTGGTGAGATTAGCCAGGGGTCCCTTTTTGCACGGGCAAAAGCACCCCCCCCAAGGCCACACCCCAATCCATGTGGCCGACGATCGAGAAACCAGGGACGTACACCCAACCTGGCGCTTACTTTCAGGCAATGAGAACGTTGCCCCCCCCCCCTTCCCCCCTTACCTGACTTCGGCACCAAACCACAAGGCACTTGGCGCCACAGCTAGGAAAGCCCTCCGACCTGCAACTCCTAGGTATGTTATGGTCAGATTTGTGTGCGCACTTTCGAGAGACGGGTCAACTGTTGCCAGCACCTGCACAGGTGCGAGGAGGCACAGCGCAGTGCGAATGCATCTCAGCCAACGGCCTTGCGGCTGTGCCGTTTCTTTTCGGTAAGGCGGCTGTTGCTGGCAGTGCTCCATGCGCTCACCAACACGGCTCTCCTGGTCCTGACGCTGATCTCGGGGCCACGTGCACAGGTCACATCTGGGGGTTGAACGGTTGTCGCAGAGTTCTCTTTTCGTAGCTCGTGCGGCCTAGGCCGGAGCCGCAGTTGTTGATGGCACAGGGCATCCTGGGGCTCGTGGCCTTTGTGCTTTGCCTCCCAGAGGCAGCACGGCACTCAGGCATCTATAGACAGTCCACGCTGGGTTGGGCAGATGTTCTAGGTCCAGCTAATGTCTTCCTCGCCACGGCGGGTCTTCAACAGAGCTTGAGATATGTGCGCGCCATGCGCTGCCGCAGTTTCACGGGTCGGTGCCAGCCCAGTCTGAAGTACAGACCGGGCATTCCCAACCATGCCAAAGAGCTGGTCCAAAAGCGCTGCACTTCTAAGATGTTCGAAGCTGCCAGTCTTCCGCGCCAAGTCTGTCTTCCGCACGGGCTCAAGGTGTGTGGGCAAGAATTGTCAGCCATGTCGAAGCTCAACGTGGATAATTTGAAGAAGGGCATTGCCAGGCCCTCAGGGCCCGAAGACACCCAAACGCCTCAGCGGATTTTCCATCAAATATAGTCATGGACCGATATTGCTGAGGGCCAGATTCTGGATGGCAGCAAGGAGAAGCAGCGGAAGTTCTTGGAGACGGCGCCAGTCACAGAGGGGCAGGGAGCGCTGACCGAAGGGCAGGGGGTGCCTGCAGCATCCGGTATCGCCCCCGCTGATGTGACCGAAATCTCAGGTGGAGTTGCAGATTGGCCTGAAGGATTACGACACTCAGCGCGACAAGCGTTTCGCAGGTGATGGTCTTAACGTAGTGATACCAAAGCTATGTGGCCTTCCTCCAGAATGGCAAGCTAGGCACCATCAAGCTGCCACACGTGCCACGCCCGCGCTTGAAGGCGCTGTTGTTATGGCAAGTCACTTTCGCTTTGTGGCGGCAGTCCGCAGCTGTGTCCAGGTGTGCGTGCTTGGCGATGCTGTGCATTGCGAGCAAGCACAGCGGGTGCATGCCTGATGTGGTTTGTTCTTGAGCGTATGGAATTGATTGAGCCGAGGCCAACATTCCCTTCAAGAGTGTTGAGGCCAAGGGCCCCAGTTCAATGTTTGGGTAAAACGAGTCGATAGGACTCATTCCTTCTACAAGTCGATAGGACCTGAAGAAGCTGAACAAGAACAAGAAGATGGTGAAGAAGCGCCGCTCCTTTCGCCTTTGACGCCGCTTGGCTGCGGTGTGCTTGCCTCAGGCTGGCAGACAGCTTCGATGCCTTCGTGGCCTCGCAGGACGGCTGCGACGGAAGTGCCTCTTGCCTCCGTTTGCATGAGCCGAGCCCAGGTGTTGATCCCGCAGATCCCCCGCTTGTTGGGGCCAGGCTTGAACAAGGCCGGATCTGCGGTTTAGGCCATGTCATTACCTGATATTACCTGATGGATGGCATTGGAGGCTGGCAAGTTCCCCACTCTCGTGCAGCACGCCGACAACCTGGAAACCAAGGTCACAGAGGTGAGAAGCCAGGCGCGGCATTCCGGAGTAAACTAAAGGGCCAAGGTGAGGTTTGGAAGCATTCAAAGTGCAAAACAACCAAGAAATGATGGCAACCGAGAGTTTTCTGGAGGGAGTGAAGGGATGGAAGTTCTGGAGCCCATGATAGGTGAAGTTCCAGCTGAAGAAGGTCCTGTGTATGGGCGTGGCCGTGGGAAATGTGGGCATGACCCCAGATGAGCTGAGGCGGGCGCTTGTGCGCTTGTGCGCTTGTGCCATTCCTCAGAGTTGGGGAGAACATGGTTGGAAGTAGATTCTGCTTTGGCTCAGACCTCGTGACCTCATTCTCGTATTATTTATCCTTTCCCGTCTTTCTATTCGTACTCGTTTGGCGCCTGTCATATCTATCGATTGACCGTGCCAGGCAGAATTGCCTCATGGCCATCAACTTCTTGGTGTCGCTGCTGAAGAAGAATTGGAACAACGCGAGCCTTCCATGTGCATGATCAAACAGTGACAGCATGTTCCAAGAGCGGCTGCGTTCCTTAAACCTATCATGTATGCTAGGAGAAAGACTGTTGAGTGTGGCATTGGCTTTTGCATGGCCCGTTAGAATAAGGCACCTGTTTAAGCTGGCTTGATGTGTAAGCGTGCCAGGTGAAGAGGCTGCACATCAAGTCCACCATGGGCAAGCCCTTCACCATCTACGGCTGACCGAGTCAAACCTTAGCTGCCCTAGCTTGCCCGGCAAAATAATTCGCTGGCCTCGAGCTGCTTTACGGATGCGCATTGCATGGAAGCATCACGTCCGTGGCTTCAGAAGGTGAATGATGACAAAGCACCATGAACAGCACCAAGTCGACTTCGGCATAGAGCATGCCAACCTTCTTAGAACATTCCAGAACTGAGTGAGGCAGTTCGAGCCTGCTTTTGACTTTCAGAGTATCCAAGTCACAAGAGCCGCCTTAGGCAAGCTTTAGATTCCCTGAACCAAGAAGTCCCCTGACAATCCATGACCGTGCATAACCCATGACGAATCCATGGATGTGCAACATGGCAGCAGTGAGCTGATGTGAGCTGTGCGTTGAGGTTGCCCTTTCTCAGGCTCAATCTCCTTCGGCGCCTCTTGAGTTTTCCAGGCTATCCTCCCACAGTTTTGTAGACCTCAAATCCCAGACATATTTGAGGAGGGCGTGCATCATTCCTCAAAGGTCGTCAGACCTGCCAGGTTTGCTTTCGTGCCAGGACGCCATTTTTATGGTTTGAGACTAATATTGTCCGGTTTGCGAGATCCCCAAAGCCTTGCGGGCTTGCAAGCAGGCCCAGGCAAGAAACAAAAGAAAATCAAGCAAACAATCCCGAACTTGGCTGAAGCCTTTGTCATGTCCTTTGTATTTGGGGCAGCCGCTGGTCGGGGTCTAGCCTGCATGTACCCAGGCAGAACCGAGCGTTGGAAGAGCTCGGGCCTAAACGTCACTCCTCCATGGCTCGCGCTTCACGAATCGCCTTCGCTTTGCTTTTGTCCGATGTCAATGTGGCCATGGGTCATAACGTATGCCTCCATATTGGGGCAGATGAACACCCATGTACCACCTATGTAGATGTTCACCAGGGGTACAGGGTTTTGACCCACAGCCATGTGGAGCAGGTGCGAAGCAACGAGTCTGAGGTTCTTCCAGTTCCTGCAGTGCCAGCTTCGTATGGAAGCTGCAGAGTGCTTGCAAGAGGAGCTGGACACCGACCCGGAGGCCAGGACTCGCCATGAAGTGCTCGGCCCGAAAAACTGCTGACAAGGCCAACAAATGGTGGCAGAACTTCCGCAGCTGGGTGCAGCCCAATTTGGGCAAGAAGGACCTCTGTTGAGTGATTGTTGTGCTCGCCAACGCAGCCCTGCTCGAAAAGAGAGCGACTGCATAGAGAGACACACCCAAAGTCAAGCGCCGGGCACTGTCCAGTGACCAGTGGCATTGCGGCATTGCTTCTCCCATAGCCTTGACCAGATCGGCTAGGAGAAGTGGATGCCCTTCCACACGGTCGCACGCTCATTGACTCACTTCATATCACCTCCCGTATTCAAAAGAGACCTTTGAGCTGTGAGGTGCTCGGAGCCCACGAGCTCTTCATTGTGGAGAACATCCACCACGGCACCTTGCCCTGGGATGAAAAGCGTGCCTTGGCGCAGATCTCTCGGGTTCCGATGCCAAAATGTGGCAGTTGTGTGGGCCATGATCAAGTCTCCATGAAGTTGGTGGAGCCCGCAGTAAACGTTAATAAACCCCAGGGCCAAACTTGAGGCATTGCCAAGCAAATGGTGTGTGCCAACTGCAGTGCAGAGACTCCAGAACTCCCAAGGCAAGTTCATTGCCATGTTCGTGCAGCGCACTTAGCCGTCGTTTGCACTTAGTCAAAGTTAGTGATTGGAAGATGTCTTGCATGCGGCACCCAGGTTCCGGGCGCACTGCCGCAGCAACGTCTTCCGCGAGGCCCAGCTGCCTCACATGCTGCAGGAAGACTTCTGGAGGCGTGAGAGAGGACTCTTCTTGTCCAAGAGCCTTTCAGCTCCATTGGGTCAGTGGTTTTGCTGTTTGTCTGAGGCTCGATGCTTTTGCTGGGATTCAAAGACCTCCGGCAATTTGCTTCATGGAGTTTGCGCTCGCAGGGACCCAATTGCCCAGTTCGCCGACAATGGCGCCGTCACACGTGCCTTGCTGGAGCTGCTCGACCGAAGCCTTCTGGCACTTTTTCTCTGGCTTCATGAGGCCGCTCCCTCTCCCTCACCCTTTTCGATCCTTACGGCTCTGGCTTTGACACGGTGTGAAGGCGTTTGTATGCTGGCCACGCCCCTTCTCATGCCTACTTCAAGCCATCCTGTTCCCGTTCCGGCATGTCATTCAGAAGCCACTGTCCCCCAAAACCCCCTTTCTTGCGAATGTCACTTCCCCACCCTGTGAAGCTACCTGAATCTCATCCTTCAAACGCTTTCCAGTGGCCTTGAGCCAGCTGAGGTATCGACGACGAACACGTCAAGCGCTGCAGACATCAGCATTCCTTGCCATCCCCGAGCGGCTTTGTCAGGAATGTGCATGCTTCGCTGATGGCATTGACTATGTTTGCGTGTTTGCGGATTTCGCACTGTTGATACGCCAGGCTCGGTTTCAAGACTCTCGCCGCTCTCCTTTTGGCAGAAGTGTGACTCCGGGCCTGGCGCGGCAGGACGACGACGAAAACTTGGCCCGCAACGTGGCGATGCGCACCCGCACGCTCCTGGAGGCTCCGCAAACCCATAGCGCGAATTGGCGCGCAGCGGCGACATGGGCAGGTCGCGGAGAAGGTGTGGCCGTTGGTGCATGACCAGAAGCTGGTCGGCTCGGAGAAGTTCCAGGATTCCGTCCACCTTCCCCTTGGGAGATTTTTTTTTGGTTGGGGCCAGCTGAGCGGTAAACAAAACATGGGTTTGGGTGGGGGTCGAGCTGGATCCTGGGGTTTGTGGATACTCAGGCTGCCTGTATGTTTGGTCTTTGGTGTATAATGTGCGTACACAGTTTGCGCTTTCCTGCTTTCTTGACTGCCTGCTGTTTGGTTTGAGTGACAAGTTGAGGTGCGTTAGGGTTTAGGTGTGTCTTGTGTTCTTGCATAACGCTTCCGCCAAAACTCCTCAACTCTTTCCTTCACTCCTGGCCTTCATAGCCTCCAGTCGACTGTTCGCATGCGCAAAATGGTGGCACGCAGGCACGCAGGCACGCAGGCGCGCACCGGGCGAATTTAACGCCAGGTGTTCTGCGCGCAAGCAAGACATTGGGCTCCAAGCTGCGTGACAGCACGTTGCGTTCCCTTCAATGACTCGGGGAAGGCCGAGTTTGAAATGAGAGGAAGGGAGACCATCATTTGGGTGTTCCCAAGTGAGAGACGATGGGAAGGCAACACGACAGCCAGAGTATTTGCAAAACCCCAGGATCTGCCTGAACCCCCCCCTAAAAAAGCAAAGAAAACGGAAACAACTCTCGGTAATAGAACCTTTCTCGTTTGGGCCACGCATTCACAATCACAAACTGCCATATTATTTGGATGGAGGCAAAACCATAGCCCAAGCCAGTCGTCTTTTCGTGCGTATGTTGCCTCCCTCTTGACCCAGGGCTCCGGCGGATTGCCATGGCGAAAATAGGGCATCCTTTATGCGGTAGCTGCTTTTCACAGAGAAATCCATGGACACCCCATATGTTCCCCTTCCTGAGTGGATTCACCACAACGCACAAATGTTGTGTTTACCGCTCAAATGGCTGCAGCCCAGCACCTTCGTCGGGAATTTATAAACAAAAGCGAGCTCGTGGAAACCACCTCTCAAAGTTTGAGACGATTGGCAAATGAGCCCGTGGATGTCGGTGTGCAATTACTGCCTGGGCTCCTCTACCTCAAATTGCCCACACCAAACAGCAAGCAAGAAAACTGGGAAGCGGCAAGGTATGCACATTGCACGGCACCAAACACACAGGCAGCCTGAGTATGCGCAGAACCCAGGATCCAAAATTTAACTACATCTTGGCAGGTTGCACATTGAGAAAGCGTGTCATCTAGGGTAGTCCATGATGTGGGGCAGCCTCCAAAAATAGGAGGGTAGCCCACTATTCAAATCGTAGTGTGGGGCCTTGGGGGGGAGCTGCAAATTTTGGGGGCAGTCGTTGTTGGATTGGCACGTTGTTTGCACTATGTTTGTGTCTCGGATGTGACCGTTTTTTCATCTTTCTGTGGAAGATAGCTCCGGTAGATTGTTGCGAGATACTTTCAAGGCTGCAAGAACCTTTGATCCCAATGTGTTGCATACTAACTTGTTGCTCAGTACGGTAGAACGCAAGGAGCGGAATGTCTTCTTTTTGGTTTCAATCAGCTCCCGTATTTGCACAGCTGGCACAACGTTGAGGGTGACAATTTGAGATCTGTTGACTTGACACAGGTTTCTAATTCGTTGACAGTTGCTACACGTCATGGTGGTTGGACTCACCAGTATTCGCAATGGCGATGGCCATAGTGCTTGAGGCTGATGGTGATGTCAATGATGATGATCCACCCTTCATTTGCCAGGAGATTTCCAAGACAATCCAAGCAGGGAGGCGGCTTGGGGAGACCTGGGCGAAGATGCTGATGGCGCGATGCCTAGCTCACACCCGTGACCATTTGGGTTTTGGGCGTTTTGAATTTGGCACATTTTGGCAAGGTCAGCATCGACATCGCGTACCCCAAGCTGCAGCTGTTGGCAAGTACCTGTGATGCCAGAGCCGCAGGCACCAGCAGGCGAGGTTTGAGGCAATTGCACGCAGCTTGAGCGCGTGCAACTCTGGAACTCAGGTGGGCGTGGGAGCGCTGAAAGCATTACAGCGACTTTTCCCAGGTAGTGAGAAGCTTAAATTGCTGGCCTTGCTCACTTTCTCCCACTTTATGTTTCTGGTTGCTAAATGGGGCATGAATCTTCATTTTCCTTCCAAAAAAAAACAATCAACAGCTAGAGTTTGGAGTCATTTTTCCCTCACATTCTCCCCTGAATTGACTGAGGCCTGGAGCCGCGTGAGGCTTTGGTGCGCGCCACCCGGGCAGCCAACTGTGCCCGGCTGCCGGCAGCAAGCAACTTCTGGGGGCTGCTGGCGAAGGTCCGGGCCCCGTCGAAGGCAGAAAAGGGGCGCCCTTTGCGCCATTTTTTGTTTAAGGGACCTTAGTGGGTTGTTTAAAGGTGATTTCAAGGTGTTTTCAAGGTGTTCTGGTATGTGGTCGTGTCATTTGCGTCATTGAATATTTTTCTTTCCCTCCCCATTCGGCTGTGGGTCAAAACCGTTTTGGGATCCCATTTTGGGTTAGGTGCACCACCCATTTTAGTCCATTTTAGTGGGGACTGGGAGGTTCACTGGGGGTACGGGATTTTGACCCATGGCCATATACTCATAGTTCAGTCCGTTTTACTTCGCGGTGTTTAGGCTTTCGACTTAGGTGGAGAGCCGCCTGCAGACGCGTTTCTCCGGGATGCCACGGGTGTTGGACCAGGCTTGAGGCTCTTTGTTGTCATGCGCTGAATCATCATTTTGCTCCGAAAATGGGAGGTCTCCACGCCACCTGGTCACCTCAGCGCAGTGACAATCCAGGTGCGACGTGAAACTCTACAGAGTCTTTGCTCTCATCCCGGATTTCTCGAATCCCCTGGAGAATCGACTAGGTGTCGATGTCTCAAGGGAAGATGTCGCGTCAAGGTGCAGCTGTGCGAGTGGCGACAGTTCATGGACTTCCTTTCCCGGGCCCAGGCTTCAGCCAGGAGAGACAGAGAGAGACAGAGCGAGAGAGAGAGAGGGAGGGAGGGAGGGAGGGAGGGAGTTTGAGAGTCTTTGGTTGGAAGCAGTGAGAGGGCGCAAGCCCTTTCTCAGGCTGGCGTGTCCAGCATTCCGGCACTCTCTGAGGCCGGAAGCCCAGAGTTTTGAATTCAATTGGCGTGTGATGGTGTTGATGTGCGTTGCATAAGCAACCATGCAAGCCCGTTGCCGCTGTACAAGGATTCATTTGCTTGCCACAATAGCTCCAGCCGCTGTACACCGCAATAGCCACCAGGATTTCTATTCCTGTAGCCGTTGAATGTGAAGCATTGTGCCACAAAAAACGGAGGTGGCAAACTCGCGTGGCATTGCTTCAAGCTACCCAGTGCCAGGCTGCGGAGTCGGAGGTGCTCTCCGAGCCAACCAAGAAGGTTCGTCGCCCGCTCTCGCTCAGCACGCGTCCATGGTTCCATTTGGAGCAAAGCGCGAGTCGTTTTTTGGGCGATTCAAAGATGTCAAGATATGTCAAGATATGTCAAGATATGTCAAGATATGTCAAGCTTCAGAAGCGCCCTCGCAAACTGCCAGTTCCGCCGCATCACTGGGAAGCGGCCGGACTCTGTGCAGGAGACTGGAGGCAAGGCAACGTTGCAGAATCGTCTATGAATCGTTTCACTTGCCTTGCACTGATTGCGCTTGCCTGTTTTGGAGCCTGCCAGGTGCTGCTGACCAGGCTCAGATGAAGTTACAGCTGACAGGTAGTGTTGCTCCACTTGCTCAATCAGGAGCCAGCTGACTCCGAAGATGAGATGCCACTTACCAACATCCGGGTGCCGGGCTGATGGCAGCTTGTGGCAGTTCTGTGTTTCAAGGGATGAGTGCCAGGATGACTCGAGTGGAACGAAATATGCCTCAGGTACCGCCCATGGCTGGCCAGGCGCAAAACGCCACACTGGATGCTGTGCTCTGAGATCTCTTGTGAGGTGCTGGCAGAGGTTACAGCCCCAGCGCTGGGCCATTGCAATCGCAAAGGAGAAAGTGAATTCAAGACACCGCAAGACTCGATTGGCACCAAGCTGAATTGTAGAACTGATGCCTTATCAAGTTGCTGACCAGAAGAGTGATAGAAAGTCCTCCTTCCGTTTGTTTACTTGCATCTGCAAGAATCTGGCACATGCGGATTTCTTCTCAGGGAACCTTCATCCAGGCCACTGTCAAAGTGCTAGAAACTTGTCGTGCCACACTCTCAGATCGTCCAGGTGTTATGCTCGTGTCGGGAAGCGGTCACCATCACCAGCGTTGCATTCACTTAAAGATGGTGACAGGCCGCACTCACAATGTATTCAATGTACCATTTGCATTTACATTGACATGCATAGTCCTTAAGGCCGGCGGTCTTGTACCGGCGAGTTAGATGGTTCCCGGGTTCCCTGACCGAGTGACGTCCACGCGCGCTCGCCCCCAAGCTCCTCTAAAGCGGACTTCATAAAGCAGCCTCTGGTAGCCGCGCCACCGAACCAGCCAAAAGCACAGCAAAAGCAACTGCTGCTGGGTCCGCGCACACCAAAGTAGTGGCCCCAAAAGCAGCCCCCCAAAAATAGGACGCACCACGAAAACATGCAACACAGTATGTGGTGTTTAGCGCGCACAATGCAACAGGCAAACTCCAAGCACCGCCCGTACCTGCCACAAATGCCCCTTTCTGCTAGGACGACCTTGGCTTTGGATTAGGTTTCTGTTCTAGTCTGCCAGGGTTGGCATCTTGCAGCGACTCGCGAGCCAGACTGGGTTTCAGCTCAAATATGTTGTCACTGCAATGGCTCCATGATCTCAAGACAAGGCAACTCCCAAACTGTTTGCCTTCTTTTTGGCTTCCCTTTGGAATCACCATCCAAAACAAGTGCTTCAAAGAACGATAAACCGACGTGTGTGATATCCTCTTGTGATCACGTTCTTCAAGACTTGAAATTGGTGTGCCCATAAAACAGCGGTGTTTGGTTTGATGTTTAAGCTGAGCAGAAGGATTTACATACACCCCCATGTACATGTGCAAGAGAATAAGCATAGGTATGCATGACATACATGGTTCACCTGATATACATGAACATGTACGTTTGACAAACACATTGAATATACCTATGCACATGCACCTACATACTGTTCATTCAATACATGCATTGTGCCCGCCCTCCAAATCCCCAAAGGCTGAAACCTGATCCCTGGAATTTGAGCCCTAAAACGAGGCCTAAGCCCCAAACCTAAACCCTGTGAACCTTACACGGAAACCCTAAAAACCCGGCCTAAAGCCGAAACCCAAGGTTAACCTGATACCCTGGACTTTGAACCAAAACCTAAACCCTAGGCCTAAACCCCAAACCGACATCCTGAATCTAAGTAAGTCCGAGGCCCAAAAGCATTTTGAACATGCACGGAGCGGCAACAATATTGCCAATGATTCGTTTGTGGCCTGTTGCTGGATGCTGACCTGGTGAGAAAACGAGCCAGTTGCGGGCATTGAGCTGGGGCAAACCATGAGAGTTGCTGGAACATACGCAAACATGTATAGTATTGTGCAATATAGAATAGCATCATTATATAGTAATTTACATCATATTTATACCATATACATTTATATATATATATATATGTATATATATATATATATAATTGCCATTTGTAGATGCACGTGCGTTGCAGCGCACGCAATCAAGTTTGGATCTGCATGCTCAATGAACAAACGATTTGCCGCCACCTTGGCATTGAGGCCAAAGTAGCATCGACTCATCAAGCCGTCGAGGCAAAGTGATTTGTTTCGCAGATTCCTAGAGCCAAAAGCCGCTGGCCCCTTGGCAGGCGGCCCGCGCCCAGCTGCTGCGCTGCGACGCGGCGCAAAGGCAGGCCACCAGCCAGGCGCGGCATGCCGCCGACATGCCTCCGGCGAATGGAGCCCCGAAGCCCATGGGACCGAAACTCAGGTCGTGGAGGCGCTGCGGCGGAACAGCGCCGCTGAAGAGGCAGTGCGCTGCATCGAGCCACGCGGCTCAAGGGTGCCAGCGCCATGTGTCTTGCACTCCTTGCACTCCTTGCACTCCCCTTTGCCTTTCCAAGGATGCAGACTTCACAGCAGGAGTACATGCTGCAGGCATCGCACATGAAGACCGAGGTCACGAAGGCGCGTGGAAGCGTTGGGCTCGGTTAGCCAAGCAAATCTCCTGCTTTCCAGAGGAGGTCCTTTGCCAGCTGGAGGACGCTCATGTTGTGGCCTCAACGCATGGGGGACAGGGGGCCAGAAAAAGCCAATGCAAATGCCGAGGAGAAGCTTTCAAAAGCTGACTCGAGCGACGTTGCAAAGGAGCGTAGCGGCGAAAGACTTGCAACGAAGTTGCCGTTGGCTGAATCTGGGCCAGGAGTTGGGACTGCTGGGAACTCGGCAGGAGTCAGCGACAGATTCTTCCCTACCTAGCCTAAGGCCGCTTCTCAAGGAGTCGACCTGTCTTGAGAACGCGATGAAGTCCAGGCAGGACGCACAGTGCCTGGCTCTTGAGGGTGCGCTGATCCTGAGGATTGGACACCTGGAAGGTCTCATAGACGTCCGTACCTCAGCTCGCGCTCAGGTTCTCGTTGCCTGTTGGAGTTGCCCAGGATCTGGGCAATCAAGCTCATGTACTGGCCTTGGCGAGAACTGTTGGTTGTAAACCAAGTCCAAGTTTCAGCTGAGAACATCGAGCATTTGGAAGATTCAGAATGGAAATTGGACAGCTACAAGTGTTCCTTCACACTCGGGACTGAGCCCAACATTCGTGCCTGGGAGCCCCAATTCATTTCTAAGGCTGATGAAGTTGCGCGAGAGCCGCAAGAAGAGCAGCATGCAGCGCAGGGCTCAGTCCTCGCAGTCAGCATTTCTCCGGAGCGGTTTGGCTCTTTCAACTTGGAGATGGGTCAAAACCAATGCTACCATTTTGGGGTAGGTGCACCACCCAACTTAGTCTATTTTAGTGGGGATTGGGGGTACGATTTGGATTTTGACCCATGGCCGACTTGATCCAACTCAAGCAGGCCCTGTGCGGCCGTCACAGGAGCTGATCCGCCAAAGCAGCGTGGCCCTGGAGGAGAGGGGCAAAGCTCGCGAGGCCGTCACCGCGGCGATGGAGGTGGGAGCTGTGTGTTCGAGCGGCGAGCAGCCATGATCCCCATGAACAGCTTCTTGGTGGCTCCCAGCCATCCGGTTCCTTAGCTTTTTAGCCTTTTAGTGTTTAGTGGTAGTTTCCATTAACCCACCAAGAGTTAAACTTTAGCAGGGGAGCTGAGGGCAGCCCAGGCTTGACAAACGTTTTGAGTTTTAATGTATTCCGGGATCCTTTGCCTTCTCGTCAGCCGTTGTTGGTCTTGTTTGGTGGCCCTCTTCAATCCCTGTTAGTCGTTCTTGCCCAAATGGGCACCCCCCCTTTCCACAGCGAAACATCCCGCACATAGAAGAGGTCACGCATTGGTTTTTGTGTTGGTTTTCTTTGGCTAGGTAGGGGCCAATATGATTATTGAGCGGGCACGCTTTGCAGCGGCGTTGTTCTGGCCGTGTGTTTACCATATCATTCCTGTCTATCAACTTGATGTGTATAAATCTGTATCAATATGTAGCACGCATAAATAGCTATGTAAAGTTTCTTGCATGCCATGAAGGCGGTTGGCTGGCCCCAGACCGGCAGAGCGGCAGAGCTGCGTGCAGGTACTGCGCCAGGCACAGCAGCACGGAGCCACGGCTGGACAGGAACTAGCGCAGCTACGGCTCCAGCTCCACTTGGAGGAGGCCAAGGCCATCCGCGACGTCCGGAATGTTCTCGATCTCGGGAATGCGAAATCGTACATGCTCTAAACCGATATGGCTGTGGGTCACAAACATAGGTACCCAGTATGGAGCCCTGGTAAATGGAGAAGTAGACTAAAACCATGTCAGCAAAAAGCGGAGTCTTGAATGGCATGTGCAAAATATCATGTCTCCCGAGGCATGACTCAGGCTTGGCAGACCCAAAGAGTAAACCTGAGCCGCATGTTTGGATGAGCCAGGTTCTCTCCCTGCAGCAGTTGGTGCGTCAGGAGGCCTGGAGGCTTCTTGTTCGCTTCGGCGTGAGTCAGGTCCGTGTGCACAGCCAATGAGCTCAATTGATTCTTTGCTGACTAGCCGTATTTTGCCAGGGCCAGCATAAGAATGAAAGCCTTAAGGGCCTTGGAGAAAAAAAAAATGCATTGCACGCGGGTGGGTTTTGCAGGCCTTGTGCTTTGCTGCTCTTTCCGGACAGGCTGTGAGCAATGGAGTAAACTGGCCAAGCCCAGAGGTGCAGAAAAGCCGACGCTCGTCTCGTTGCAAAGTGCAATAGGTTGCAACACTTAAAAAGCCTTGGCCGGGGACAGGTTGTGATTCTCAAAGCGTGCGGGTAGAAAACTCGAGCCGCGAAGCTACCTCAAAGGCCAAGCCTCCAGCCCACCAGCAAAGTCCCACTTGACATTTGGTCCGTCTGAAATCGGAGCAATGGGCGTGACAAAGACTGTCATAAAGGCCGGTAGGCTTCGGGTGGCTGCCCTCAATTGTCCTTTGTGCAGGAAGGCGACAAGGTGACTTATCCAAGACCACGAGATACTCTCCAGCTGCTTGAAAGCGGTTGGTGATGTTTTGGGCTGTTTTTCCACAACACTTGCGCTCAGGATGCACTATGTTGGCACATTCAAGGAGAACGGCAAGGTGTTTGATTCATCCCGGCAAGCCGGTCAGCCCATCAAGTTCACGGCAGGAGTTGGGCAGGTGCGCTTCACGATGCCAAAGTTTCTACTGAGCTCAAGTGCCTGCTAGGTCATCCGTGGTTGGGATGAAGGTGTCACTTGGCTGTGACATCTAGGTACGGACTGCCCACAGGCATTTGTGGACAAGTGATTGACAAGCCCGGCATTTACCTCAGGTGATGCAGATGTCCCTCGGTGAGAAAGCCCGACTCGACATCACCTCAGACTATGCGTGGCTTGGCAGATGAGCCAAAATAAGCGTTCCATCCGAGCACTTCTGGGCTGAGGTATGGGCGAGCAGGCGCACAAAATGTGATTCCTCCAAACGCAGACCTTGTGTTCGAGGCCGGCGTCATGATGCACTTTGCACTTCGGGATTCCAGTGCCGCGCTTCTCTTGCGTTGTAGGTGGAGCTGCTGGCTGTGAACGAGAAGGAGGCGCCCAAGGAGCCACGGTTGCAGTTGGCTGGTTGCTGGCAAGCTTTGGCCAATGCCAAGCAGAGCGTCGAGCGTCGGTCCAAACAGGTAAAGGCAAGGGACCTGCCGATCTCAGCTCATGATACTCATGGCATGGAATGCCCATGGTAATTTGTTGGACCATGTCTCCATGTCTTCACTGACACAAGAATGGTTGCATGGCTGTGCGCTCTTCTGGCCACCCGGATGGATTCCACTTTGGGTTAGCCTGTCCTCGAACCTGTGCGTGCACTCTGCAGGACATGGTGGACCAAGCTCTGTCCTTTTTATGCTACGCAGGTGGGTCCATGTGAGCGCGGCAATCTGTTTTCTGTGCGCAGATTGCGACAAACGGCAGGTGTCGGAGTGCTGGCCCTGAAGATTTGCGGGTGCATTTGAAGCGGCGCCTATTTTGAAGCTAGCCTTCGCCTAGCAAAGGGAGTTGCTGGCCCCGAGAGCCGTGCCAAGTCCCCCCAGTCCCCACAGGTCACGTGAAACAGCTTTGGCTGAAACCGGTCACGCCAAAGTCGCTGTGAAGAAAGACAGCTATTGGAAACTGCGCCATGAGATGGAGTGTCTGGAGCAAAGTCGCCCGTCGCTCTTGCACATTCGTGTTGGGTCAATGCATGTCAAAGTTGTTTGTGAGGGATGCTGATTACTCATGTTCTTTTGCTTAGGGAGGTGGCTGGCCCGCAAGAGCTGGCTTCGTCCGCGGATTGGGGACAACAGATTTGGGAGCAGGGGGTTATTATGTCCGTGGGACAGCAATTGGCTTTAGCAGATTTATTGACATGAGCCCTATCATGAACAAAGCAGCGGCAAGCTGTAAATTCATGGGTTAGCTTGTGTGCGTCGCAGCTATTTCTGCACCATTGTGCGTTTTCAACGTCCTTGCAGTCTTCGCAAGGAAGTCCAAACAAATCACCCGCATTGAGTTCAAGCGCGCCCTGGCCAACTTTGGCTGCTCATTAACCCTCAGCTTGCGAGGTAGGTATCAGAATCCGCCGAGCCATGATCACTGCCCAGCTTGGAAAGTATTCTGTGAACGTCGATGTTGTCTCTGAGACGGAGGAGGAGGGTGGCCTGGCATGCGCAAAAGTGCATGTGTGTGTGTGTGTGTGTCTCTTTGAGTTTGTCTGTATGTGTGCGCTTGTATGTGTAACTGTGTGTGGGTCTGAATCTGTGTGTGTGTATGTTTGTGTGGGTGCCTATGTATGTCTTGGCCTATCTGTGTGTTTTCCAAGTGTTCGTGTGTGTGTGGGTGGGTGTGTGGTTGTGTGGTTGTGTGGTTGTGTGGTTGTGTGGTTGTGTGGTTGTGTGGTTGTGTTTGTCTGTGTCTGTGTTACTGTGTTAATTACTGTGTTACTGCGTTACTGTGTTACTGTGTTACTGTGTTTGTGTGTGTTTTGTGTTTTTGTGGTTCTGTTTGTGTTTGTGTTTGTGTTTGTGTTTGTGTGTGTGTGACTGCGCATGTGTGCGTGGGTGTGCGTGGGTGTGCGGGTGGGGATGTGTGTGTGTGTGTACGTTCCCATATTTCTGTGGTCCAGTGTGGTTGTGTGCCCTTATACCCACCACAAAATAATAATAGCCGATGTTTATATCCGCAATCAAATCATGATTACACGATAAAGAACATGATACCACACGATAAGAAATATCATAGCGCACGATAAGAAACCCAATATCACACTATAAGAAGTTAGCCACATGATAACCACAAGAAAAGAAGTTAGTAACATCCGATTGGATGTTGTGCGTGTGGGTGTATAATGAAATTGTGTATAGTATTGTGCATATATATATATATATATATATACATACGTTATATACACATGTGTGTAACAATATGTGTGTGTGTGTGTGCGTGCGTGCGTGCGTGCGTGCGTGCGTGCGTGCGTGCGTGCGCGCGTGCGTGCGTGCGTGCGTGCGTGCGTGCGTGCGTGCTGTGTGTCTCTGTGTGTCTCTGTGTGTCTCTGTGTGTCTCTGTGTGTCTCTGTGTGTCTCTGTGTGTCTCTGTGTGTCTCTGTGTGTCTCTGTGTGTGTTGTGTGTGTCTGTGTGTGTCTGTGTGTGTCTGTGTGTGTCTGTGTGTGTCTGTGTGTGTCTGTGTGTGTCTGTGTGTGTCTGTGTGTGTCTGTGTGTGTCTGTGTGTGTCTGTGTGTGTCTGTGTGTGTCTGTGTGTGTCTGTGTGTGTCTGTGTGTGTCTGTGTGTGTCTGTGTGTGTCTGTGTGTCTCTGTGTGTCTCTGTGTGTCTCTGTGTGTCTCTGTGTGTCTCTGTGTGTCTCTGTGTGTCTGTGTGTTTGTGTGTCTGTGTGTCTGTGTCTGTGTGTCTGTGTCTGTGTGTCTGTGTGTTTGTGTGTCTGTGTGTCTGTGTGTCTGCAGTGCGTGGGCTTCTGCAGACTTCTGCTTGCCCTGCATAGTCGACCGGTTGAGAAAGTCCGAGGTGGTTGGACGGTATTCGACATTTCGGCTGCGGGCTTTGGCACTGGGGACCTGTTCCTGCACTGGGGCGTTGGAAAACAGCATCTGGCCAGCACATTCGGCAAGCTCCAAACTGTGAGCGCTGAGACATCAGGTGCAAGTCCTGAAGTCCTGACAGTTGGTGTCCCATCCTTGTCCTGAATGACTGAAGTGGGTATGGGTCAAATTAAGCCACCATTCGCAGGTTTTTGTCCTTGGAACCCATCCGGGGCTTCATGTTGGCTACATATGTTTAACCCAAGTAGCCGGTCTGCCGGTCTTGGCGGCAGCCTTGGATCTTAGATCTGAGGAACGCAGAGGAGTGGGTGGTACCTGTGGAGATCCAGGCCCGCACGGAGCCGCCAGCGTCGCGAGTGCCAGGCACGGCGGCAAAGACTTGTTTTGTTTCCCCCCACCCCCGCAAAATAAAAAAGTAGAGTTTCTCTGGTGGTGTGGCTCAAAGTTAAACAGCTGGGGTCGTGTTGGTCTTGGTTTCCCTCCAAGGGGCCCAACAACGGGTAGCACTGTTTTTGAGCAGCCATTTGTGTTGCAAGTTGTGTTTTATCTTTGATGTGTTGCTCTCTTCGCTCTTGTTTGCTATCTTGTACAGCGCCTCTTGGCGCTGTGTGCTCTGTTGCGGCTTTCGAGCTGGATCTTGTATGTTTTGTACTGGGGCTGCCACTTGACATGTATTAGGATTCATGCGAAGTCATGCCCCTTGAGCACTTCTGAGGAGCTTTGCAGACAGCATTTCCTCCGCCCAACCAGCAGAATGTGCGCACAGTGCGACTGGAGATCAACAGCGATGCCGACTTGTGCCCTTGCTATGGCAGTTGCATTCGGATTGTTGGGACAGCCAAGATTTTGTCAACCACTCGCTAGCACTGCCCAATTTCCAGGAAAGCCTGCCAGTTTGTGCTGCACAAGAAGCCGAATGAGCGGCTTGAATCGAAATTGCAACAGCACGATCAGCATGTAGTGCAGCACATCACATCCTGCCTGTGGGGCAGGTGGCTGAAGAATGGCTCCAGGAACTTTTTGCTCGTTTTTTCCAAGGCTTCGCTCTGCCGATGTGTGCAAGTGACATGGGCTCCGGATTCAGGTGGCAGAGAGCCGCAATTTCCGCGAGCTGGTGAACCGCGCTTCAAAGGAGCCCAGTGCGAAGGCTCGGCAAGCCAAGTTGCTGTGCATGGCGCACAAAGCTCTTGATCAGCGCTCCAGAGCAGACAGAACTTTGGGACACTTGCTCCTCTGCATTGTCAACGTTGGCTCAATGTCCGAACGGGATTTTTTTTACCACTTTTCTGTGATAGTTTGTGGGCAGCATCCCAGAGCTCAGGTCTCCTGCTACAGCTCAAGTGGGGTGGAGGTCGCAATCATTGCAGCGTCGAAAGGCGGGCACTTGGTGGAACGGAGCCGCATCGGCTCGTTCATTGGTTCATTGGCATAGACGCGGAAATGTCCTGCGCACATCTTTCCTGCAGGGAGCTCCTGTGACGTGCAAGCGATTGTCCACTCTGACAGGGCTTCTCATCTTTTGATCAGAGATATTGTGTTCAGCCATGAAACCATGCACGGCAGAGATTCCTTTTGAGCACGGAGTGGTGGAAGGCCCTTGAGCAAAAAAACAAGCGACGTTTCTGAGGATCTGGTGCTTCAGTATGGCCAAGCTGGCAAGGATCATCGCTGGACATCCTCCACCAGGCCTCAGGAAATTGCATTTTTTGTAAGGTGCTCCAGAAGGACCAAATATTCTAAGAAACAAAGAGAGATCGAGAGGTCAACCTGCGGACTTGCAGGTTGAACCTGGAAAAGTCCCCTGGCGGAGTCTCACAGGCGCCTTTGTATCAGTCAGTCCATTAAGTTGCTTGGTGCTTACATTTGCGGCAGGGCAATTTGCAGCTGGACAGCGCGGGCTTGAACAAGCAACCTGAATTGTGTTTCTCTCTGTGCGTGTGTGCGCGTGCTGGTCTTTGTGGCATGGATCGGATGGCTGATTGCACGGCTGAGCAGTATTCTGCGATTTCAAGGTATTTGATGTTTGTGCTGCACGACCCGTCCGTGAACCAGTGGCTGAAGGCTGGCATTTGCCGTCGAGTGAGGCCTGAAGGCTTTGTTTGTAAGCTTCTCTCAGGATGCGGGCCGAGACTTTGCATTTGAGCTTCCAGATGAGTTCAAATCCGCTCCGGCGGAACCTGCAAAGTCGCAGGACGCTGTTTAAGAATTGGAGCGGGAGTTGTGATGCCGATTTCCAGGAGGCGTTCGAGCCAAAGATGCGCTTGGAGCGCAGGGCGTCAAAGCTCTTTAGTGCCCTGCCACGTATTGACATCGATTTGCGCCAGTCCCACTTGCCACTGGAAACTCACTTTGCTTTCGGACGGTCAGGTACCTTTGTGGAAGAGATCCAGACACTTGTCGGCAAGCTGCTTTCCTGACGGGCAAGGATTTTGACCAAGGCTGCCTGTGCTTTCGCCCCAAATCTCTGGCAAGCAATCCGTATCTCCTGAGGATGGCGGAGCCAGATGCAAAGTCCACATCCTGGACTGTCCCTGGCACCCAGATTGAGGTGGTCATCCTGGCAACTGCAGCCTGGAGCTGAGGGTCTCCCATGAATCCACTTGCAAATATCTTGCTATATTGGATAGTGGGGTACTGTGAACATCCTAGGTTGAATCAGAGTGCCAGCTTCATGTGCTAGTGCACTGCTCTGACGCACTTGTCATCCAGTCCAGCCTGCCTGTTTTTTTCCTACGCTGCCTGGTAAGTATTGTCGACATGGTACACAGGTATGGCTCTGCTGGAGACGACCGCGCCTGGAAGTTTTCGAAGCGCCTTCCTCTCGTACGGAGCGGCACTGACAAGTACGAGGCCCAACGAGTCTCGCAAGCCAGGATAGTCCGGCGGCATTGCCTATGTAGGTCTCCTTCTCCATGCCAGCCGGGGAGGTTGAGAAATTTCTCATGTTTGCGCCTGGGCGGCTAGATGCTGGATCTCCCTTTGCATTGTTTTTGTTCAATTCCAAGGCTGTGAGAGAAGATGAGTTGAAACAGGGGTGTCCGAGCGAAGGTATTGCATGATGGAGCTGTCAACCGGTGGATCAAGCACGGCGCCCACGACTTTGAGTTTGAGCTTCCTCGGCACGAGGCGTGCGTCACGGCGCGCCGTCACGGCGCTTTGAGAGAGTCACGCATGGAGCTCACTTTCTCAGCCCGCAGGAGTGGGACCGCGCCAAGAGAGAAGCGGAGGCGCGCAGCCAGGAGGAGGCCAAGCAGGCGCAGACGCTGAAAGAGGCCTTCATCCAGGCGCGCGACTCGCGACTCAGAGCACTTCAGCACTTCAGCTCTCACTTCATGAGTCCACTTGGCGTTTCCTTCGTTTCGAAGGACTTCCCGGCCAGCCTCTGTGAATAGTTTGGGATTCATTTCTCTCGATCGGTTTGCAGGGCCGGCGCATTCGACAAGACATGGCGGATATCTCTTTCTCCAGCTTCGCGCTGCAAGGTGGGCTCTGGCCAAAAACGAAAAAAACGAGACGTGTCGCATGTCAAATCGCAGGCGACTTTGGGTCTGTGGATGTGTCCTGCGTCTCGGAGGGCAATGACAAAGCCAAGGCCAGCAGCAGGCTGTAAGCGAGATGCCTCTCTTCCAGGATTAACTTGAGCACCAGCTGAACAGTTGAATAGAATTGAACCTATCTCTCTGAGGGCCTATGCCAACCCAAAACAATCGTTAATGCCGGCAAAATCGCACACCCAGAATGATTAACCCCTGAGCTGAACCTAAAAGAAACCCTAATACTGTTCCTACACCAACAATTCACCAACGCTGCCTTAAGCCAACCATAAACCCAACTTCGGCAGAGCTAGAGAACCATATGAGACGGAAGCGGGATCGCTGCTCGAACATACCAACTACTGCGGTGGAAGGCTAAGCACGCCGAGCGTTCTGCCAGAAACTTCACAGACACACGCACATCCAGAAATAATGAGCAGGAGATGAAGTATTCACGAAGCGAGTTATCATCAGCAAACATGCTTCGCGACGCCAAGGAACTTTGGAAAGCCGTTTGCTCGCGTGTGGCTTTCGCATCCTTGAGTTCAGATCGGGAGTCAGGTGGAGATTCGAGCCTGGTTGCATCCGAAGCTGGGCGAATGCCTGATGCACTTTGGTGTCTTTGAGAAGCCACAATCACGGCAGTGGACCTCAGCATCTCGGGTCCACTTCTGCATTTTTTGCGCACATCTGCACTGACTATGAGTCGTCTTGCTTGCTTTTCGGTGTTTGCTGCAAGCTTCAGACGACCTTGGGCGAGGCAACGAGCATCAGCAGTGTTCAATGGCCTTCCGACCTCACAAAGGTGGATGAGAAGGTGCCTGGGGCTGCAGCTGCGCGCTGTGTGGAGTGAAAGAAACAACATGCCATGTTGTTTTGTTAGTTATTATTATGATATTGTGTTTGTTTCGTTTGTTTCTTATTTTTTTGTAGTCTTAGTTTTTCGTGTTTTTGTTTGTTATGTTTTTGCACTTTCGCAGGCCTGTCGGATGAAGCTAGAGAAGATGGAAGGAGGCATCCAGGGCTTGGACCTGAGCGTCACGGCCCATACAGAGAAAGACGGCTCCGACACTCTCATTGAGCCAGACGTTGGAGGCACGATGCGAAGCTGCCGCTTGCAGCTCTTGACGGTCAACTTAGCCTACAATGTTCGTGGCCAGGCTTGGGCTTCGTATTGAAAACTGTAAATGGCGATACTTGGATCAAGCCCACCGTGCCCAAGCAGCATTTGGAGACTTGGACAGTGCTGAGCCATGTTCAAACTTTGTCCCATGGCAGAGTCGCATTGCAGGATGGCGGTGATGCCATGGTGCGCTTCTCCAGTAAAGGCCGCTGGAAGGGACCTTGGTCGCAGGCGCCGCTTTACCCGAGTCGAGATTCAGCGTGAAACACGCTGATGATTTGGGTCGCATTGCGATAGGTGGCGGATAAGATCGTGGAATCAGAGACCACGTGGAATCAAATGTCATTGAAGAGGAACATCGGCGCAGAAGTGCAGGGCAGTGATGTCACGTGCTTGTGAGCCTGACTTAACAGCTTGACAGAGCTCAGATGTTTCAACCGTTCCAACGATTTGCTGACCGCCAGTATGAATGTTGAACTTGGGTTGGCATGGCCATACAGAAGCTACCCTGCAAGGAGATATGAAAACTGCTTGGGCTTTCTGGACCAATGGGAGAAGAACTCGCAAGGCATGGAAATGCGACGCCTGAACTCGTGGACGACACTGGTGCACGTGGATTCCAGCAAGGCTGGGCAGTTGACCGCGAGTGTCGTTGAGCGTTTGATGTGAAGGCAGTTTGGTCCCGACAACCCTCCATGCCGCTGATTGAGATGTCCAGCGAAGAAGAGACTCTTGGCACAAGTTGGGAACTTCTCCATTGCGGCCGAGAGCCAGCCTGGCCCTGCCACATCCTACGCTCCCGTTCTGATTCTCTTGTCTTGATGTTTAAGGGAGCACCTGCGCTTAAGGAACAACGAGGAGTTCTGGAGCTGGATATTCGTGTGGCAGCGCTTCTCTTTCCAGCAGCTCTTGACATGGGAGCGCAACACTTGCACGCAGCCCCGCATGCTGGCGGCCACTACAAACCAGATCACGCAGCGCTTGGTGGCTTGCTTGCAGTCAATATATGTTCAGGCAGAGGCAGGACAACGCGAGCTAAGTGCAGCTGAATGACATCATCAAATATAGCACGGCTTTTTTGCAGCAAACGTCCCAGGGTGCAAAATGCATCAACCTGCGTGCCGTTTTTTCCCCGGATACGATAGAGCTCTCTGAGGCTGAGCTGTGGAAGTCCACTCCCAGCTGCCGCCTGTGGATTCGATGGACGCTTTCCACCATGGGCCGTGGAGGATCGGCAGGCCAGCAGATCAGAGATGAGATTCTGGTGATCATGCACGGCCATGGCATCAAGGAAGCGCGGAGCGCGAGGTTGCATCATACTATAATATATATGGACATATTTTCTACATGTATCTACGAGTGCCATTTGACATTGGATTTTGCTTTAGCCTGCTCAACCTTCTGTCATGAATCGCTAAATTCGTACAACTCGTGGGGAGGTAGACTTGGTGTAAGCGCCTGGATGCACTGAAGCCCGAGGAGATCCATGGAACGTACTACGCTGCATGGCTGCAGGACACATCAGGTGACGGTAGTGACTGCGATTCAACTTGCGTTTGGCGATGTAGAATATGCAGGAGCTGTTGTTTTTTTCTTTTCCATGGACTCGACAATTGCAAAGACATTGAGGAACAGTGGCATCAGAAGCTGCATAACAACACCACGCCGGCCGACATTGGCATCTGCAGGGCCATCATTGCGTTCCTCCGATCAAACGGGGACATGGGCGCCTACTGGAAAGTGCTGGGCGAACATGGCATCACCAAAGCGCCTTGGCGTCCACGAGAGAGACAGTGCGCCCTGCGCAGTGGAACTCAACGAATGCAGATGTTGAAGCGCAGGAGCACCTCTCGTCCTACAGTCGACCAATTACCACAGAGCCGTACATGGTTCAGACGGATGTTGGGCGCCTGATTGGTGACTTTGAACGGTCGCCTGGCAAGAGAGGGTTTTTTGTCGACTGGAGTTCCGGAGCTTCGGAGTATCGACAGATATCGATAGGTATCTCGGCATCCTCCGCAGTGTGCACGATGCCTTGGACTTGCAGCTGGCTTTGGATCATGCTCGTGGCTGCCTTCCTGGGCCGGTGCAAGGCTTGACTTTGTTGGACACGTTGGCATGTTGCAATGCTCCCAGCCCAGCTCTGCTTTTGAGAGTTCACTTCGGCATTCTCTTTGGGGCAAGGCAAGCTGCAAGACATTTGCCACATGGGCGGCACTGGCTTTGGCAACCTGGATGAAGGCGGGTCAGCTTGCCATGGCTTGCAGAGTATCTGAGTATTGTTCACCCATCGTCTTGCCAGGCCATGGGAAGTTCATGAAGATTGCATCGGCGCGCGATGACTTGCTGGCGATCCTGAATCATAAGGTGACAGTAGTTGGCACTTAGCTCGTCGCACACTGCCGATCGCAGAATGTGAGCAACTTTGTCCAACTGACCTGCATGCACGTTCTGGCAGGGTACAGAGCCAGGGATCATCAAAGAACTGCTGGTCATTGACTACACCTTGGAGACACAGCAGCGGCTTGGATGGCCAAAACGCACGCACGGACATCAGGTTGTGACCAAAGCTCTTTGTGGTTGTGCCTTTTTTGTTGCTTGTTTTGTTGCTTTTTTCCAGACCTGACATCTTCTGAACGAATCTCAGGAGCGTCTTGGTGCAGGGCCTCACTGCCGAGACACGCCTGCCGCAGCTTTGCGATGAGCTGAAGGAGGTGCTGACTTCCCTGGTGGGCCATTTGCCGCAGGCTCCGAAAAAAGACAAGAACACTTCGCCAGAAATCGTGAAACGACGAGACGTTCGAAAGATCTTAAGACTTTTGGCATGTTTCGGCCAAAGGAAGATGAGCTCCAAGCGCTCTTGGCGGACTGGACCACCTTCTCAGAGAGCTGCTCTCACAAGCGCTGGGGCAGCCCGGAGGACAGCGCCCTGCTGCTGAAGGCGCGGCTACATTTCTGATGTATTTGGCTGGTTTGTTGCGCTTTCTTTTTGACGGATTCGTTTGTTGGCGTGGGAAAAAGTGGCTTCAACGATGAGTTTGTCCGCAGGCAGTATCATGTTGGAGTGGCTTTTTGCATGCAAAGCTCGTCAACTTTCTAAATGATGGCCTTTGGAGAGATCCACTCCAAGGCCAGTGTGTCTTGAGAGTGTTGGCAGGCGCTTTGTGACCGCACCAGCCGGGTTGTGGGGGAATTGAGCGACAAGTGCCAGACCCTGATGGGCACTCGCCTGAGGATTGCGAGTGAAGCGCCCCCGGTCAAGCCTTTCTGACAGAGGCCCCAAGGCGACCTTCCTGGGCACCGCGATTGAAGCGCCCAAGAACAACATCGATGTTTTCGTGGACGAGGCTCACGTCGCATGACCTTGCGGCTTGCATCGGCTTGTCAAGCCCTTGCATGCCAGGTCCTCCGTGGCAGCTCCTTGATGGTGGGGGCCTGAAATCAAGTTTCAACATTTGTGGCGTGGTGATGCACAACATACTAGAACCAATGCCACGCCCAATAATTACTCATTGCATCCTAACGATGGCAACATCATCAAGGTGATTTGAACATAAGGCGCAAAAGGCCTCGGCGTAAGATTGGAACCACGACTTGATTCGTTAGGCCGTGAGTTTGATCCTTCAGCGCATGGAGCCTGTGCTGCGGGACATTGCCCACTTGCGCCGAGCTCAGGGCCGAATGGCCAAACAGCCGGGCCAAAGTGACGGCGTGGCGGCAGAAGTCTTCGCGTCCTTCGGCCTTCCGAGGCCGCCGTGGCAGATGATATCTCCCGTCGACAAGCCGATCAGGGTCTGGCTTCCGAGTGTGGCACAACTTGCGCCAATCAGCTCTCTTGCGCGAGTCGCAGACTGTGTGCATTGAATATTGACAAGATCTGCCCAGATCTGCATCCCGAGGGCATCTTCAAGCTCATTGACAAGATGCGCGGGGTGCAAGGGGAGACTTTCCACACCCCAACCATCCTCCTCAGCGGTGCTGTGAGCGGTGAAGAGGAGGCGATCTTGGCGTGAAGAAAGTAAATCCACATGCTCAGAGCGCGGCTTGGTCTAGGTGCCTGATGGCGTCCTTGGCGTCCTCGTGCGAAGTGCTCGGGAGCGGGAAGTGATTGCATGATGCAGTGACATGTGGTAGTGTTGATGTCTGGTAATGTTCCTCATTGTATCTCACTCTGGTTGACGGCGTGTGCTGCAGAACATACACTGTGCTGCTTTGCGCCCTGCAAGGAAGCCCCAGACATCCTTTCGCACTGCGCAGTGCGGGCAAGAAACTTTGGCGTGCTGTTGGCAACTTGCCCCCTGGATGCAGAGCTGAAGGGCGTGAAGTGCACCATGACACAAATTGAAAGTGGTGCGAGAGCCAGGCTTCGACCCCAAGATTTCTGAGCAGCTGGCGGCAGACTTTGCCGAAAAGTGGGTCGAAGTCAGGCCTCATGTTTTGCAACATATCGCACATGCAGCGATTTGCAAAGGCATTGAGCAGATTCAGATAGCAAAGAGGAAGCTTCATACCCGAAAGCGCAAGCACACGGACTGCCGTGTTCCAGGTGCAAGCCAGATGGCAGCCTCATCATTGCGGCCTGCGATGCTCCCAGTGCAGATGCAGACGTGCAGCAAGCGAAGAAGGAGCAAGATGAGGCAGCGAAGGCAGGAAGATGAGATCCGAAAAATGCTGTGCATATGTGTGAATATAGACTTGTTTCATGTGAGTTACGTGAACAGGTGCAAGGCGGTGGCACACGCCTTCTATTCACTGCCTGATGTTAGCCATGTAAGCCCCTCAAACCTTGCTTCGTTGCCCTGTGTTGTCGCTTGTTTACAAAGCTTTGTGGTTGCAACAACGTTGAATGTCTACCAGCCGTTGCAACATGCAAGGCTGCAGAGGCACAAGTTAAGATGAATCTGACAGATCCTCTGGGCTGCTCTTGGACGCTTGTCATGCAATGACTCCGGAGCCAGAAAGCTTGCGACTGTCAACTGCAGATTCAGCTTTTTGCAGCCCAGCGGAACGGATCGATGTAGTCATGGGGTTGTCCTTGGTCAGCTGAAGCGCTATCAGATCCCAGGTGCGTACGACCTGATGAGATGTCAAGGTGGGCGTAGAACACTCGCGGAAGCTACTTGCTGTTGTCCAGGACGAGCGTCGGCTCGAAGAGTCTCAATCTGGCGCTCTTGAAGCCAAAGCTTCCTGCTGAAATTCTCACCCCGCAGGCACGCGCGCAGCCAGCGCTGTGTCCGGTTTGAAACAAGTGCTCGGGGCCGCCACCCGGCCACCTGGCTGTGGGTCAAAACCAATGGTACCATTTTGGGGTAGGTGCACCACCCATTTTGGTCTATTTTAGTGGGGATTGGGATGTTCACTGGGGGTACAGGCTGTTGACCCATGGCCACCTCACAAATGAGAATTCAAGTGGCTCGCAGGCGATAGCTTTGCCGTACGGCACAATGCAGACCCTCGGCAGAGAGGGGGGGGGTTGTGAATGCGCCGGCATATGCTGCATTCTCACAGTGCGGAGGTGACACCGCCTGTTCCATGAGTCATTGCAATCACCCGACTGTCCACTGAGGAAGTCGTTGATTGATGAGGCCAACAAACAGCAAGTCCTGCCCATGTTGGAAAAGGTGCTGAGCCGGCTTCACCCTCACACCTCCAACGAAGATGTTGCTTGAATGGAATAGTGACTGAGCACAGGTCTGAAAGTCTGAATGATTGAATGATTTCTCAATTGAGGCACAGGTCATCTTCGAAGAGGCGCAGCAGATCATCGAGTCTATGAAATTTCCCAAGGCCGGCCCCAGGGCCCGGAAGTGATTCATCGGCGAGCGAGCGAACTCGTCGCAGGATCACACGGCCAAGTCAGAAGCAGTTTTCAACAGTTCCCGGTTATTTTTTCAAGAGTGTCAAGATGTGTCGAGTGCTCAACGCTTGATGATTTTCTGTCTGGCTTTGATGCCTACACAGCTTCATCCTCAGATATGTCTGGCTCTAGGCATTGAAGGAGGCCATGAACAAGGCCATGGTCGATGTGGGTTCCAAGGACAGCGAGGATCGACTGACCAAGTTGTGCCTTGCCAAGGCGTTCCGAGCTGGTCGAAGCTTGCACCTGACATCCCAGGTTCCACGACCGTGACGCGTGGAGTGCCATCAAGGGCGTGTGGTCCTCGCTCTTTGCTTTGCGGCCCTGGGTCTCTTTGGCCAAGGCGCGTAGAGATTAGACGACTCGAATCAGCCGCAGTTTTCCCAGAAGATCCATCGACTAATCAGCATGGAACGATTCGACTGCGATGGGATAGGCGGGCCGCAGCTTCCACGATCTGAACATGGCGGTGCTCGTCCAGGAAATCTGAAGATGCCCTGAGCACGGCAGCCCTGAGCTTTGTGCTTGCTATGTTGGTTCAGGCTGTTGCGATCAGGAGCTGGTTGAGGCCAAGTACGCCTTTGTGCTACACACCATCAACCCCTTCACCAAGGAGCACTTCTTTAGGCATGCTTTGGCTTTCAATCGTCATTAAACTGAAAGGAGATGAGCGTTGGCGAACTGTGTTTCAAGATCATGGAAGACTATTGAACATAGATTCAGTGCCATTTCGCAATGCACTAAATGCTGATGCTTTGTGTAGCCAACTTGTTGAGCTGATGGGGTCGGTCACGTGAAGAACAGCATAGCACCATAGCAAACCAGGCCCAAAGAGTGTTTGCAGGACAAGGACGAGCTGTATGGAGAGCTGGTGGCCGGCCGGGGAGAGACTTTGGCTTCTTGTCTTAAGGTGACGCCTCTTCCACCTTACTCATCCCAAGTGCTGAATTCGTGCGAGGTGGGCAACTTCTCCGGGCGAGCTTTGAGCTTTGCCATGCGCAAGGGCGGGGAGCCGCGTGTTATCTCTTTCCCCAGCAAGAGCGTTTCTTGACGCGCCATATGCGCCACTGAGAGATGTCAAGTGTCGAGAGTGAAGTGAATGTCAGCCTGAACGGTCTCCAAATCCCAGGTTGCGCTTCACACGCAAGCCTGCCTCATCTTCCGCTCTGACAGCAACTCGTATGTGTCATGGTCTTTCGAGTGCAACTTTCGGAGTCCTGGACTCCTTCCAATATATCACAGAGCCACGGTCACAATGGGCTGTTACCGACACTGTTACCTGTGATGGACATGAGACAAATTGTGGGTGCCTGTTGTTTGGACAGTTCAGGCGCACAAGGTCCCCCGCAAAGTGGGATAGACTGCCGGAAAAGCTTGATCGAAGCAGCAGGATTCTAGTTTCAGGCTGTGCAATTATGACACGCGCAGTACTGGTTGATTTGCCGGCCTGTTGACCTTATGACTTTGCATCCGCATTGCGCATGTTTGTTGTGCCATGTCAACCTACCGCTTGTTGCAAGCCAGAGGCGTCCCTGGAAAGCCATGCCCAGGCAACGGTGAAGACCTTGAAGGTTTCGCCGGCGCGGGGCTCTTTGAGTCGATTTGCGCAGAGGAGGAGCTCGCAGACACCTTCACGTGATCGTTGGTGATATACATGAGCTTAGGGGTGCAAAATCAGGTTCAGGATCTTCCAGTGCAATTCCCACGTGTTTGTTTCCGTTGTACGTGCGCATTGACATGAGCTGCTTTCATCTTGGGGAAGGACCTCGGCGGCTTTCAGAGACTTCATCGCCTCCCGACGTCAACCCATAGATCGCAAAGTAGGCTGATTGAGTTGGGTTCGGTCGGGTTTTGCACTGAGGCTTGAGCGTTATTGTGGATGCTGAGTATCGGACGAAGCTCTTGAAGCGCATTGCAGAGGCTGGGTTTCTGCCATCTGCGCGCGCGAAAAAGCGCGCGCCTTCATCACAGGCATCAAACCTGCACCAGTATGTATTCACATGGCTCGATATGTTCACATACACACTCAACGTACTTGTACATTAGTATTCATATTATGCACTCTTGCCCTTCTTGACACTGGCTCTGGGTTGGTCAACCATGTTCTGACAAGCGGCTTGAAAATCTAAGTGCTTCTCCCTGTTGCCCTCGCCCCAGGTTGGCTGGGCCACAGAGAAAGCCTTTGACGGTGCGCCACAAGCTGCTGGGCGGCATCCCTCTAGCTAAATAGTCATCTACGCCAGGACCCTGAGGCGCTCTTGTGATTGCCTCAAATGCTACAAAGGACATTGAAGGATGTGTGGATGTCAACGAGCGCATATATATCGTACAGAGTCGTCCACAAGTTTGAGACGTTGCTTGAGGACAGCTGTCAAAATAATGAAAACGAGGCTGGATGAAGCCTCCAGGGCCGTAGTTGCAGGGTCAGGGGACCAGCGAATCAAGCCTGACGCTCTTCGCAGTTGCCAGGACGCTAGCTGCATCCTCTAATTCGCACATTTGGTTCAACTTTAGCACCCGCTTGGGTATTTAAGATGGGCACGAATAGCCGATTTTGTTTCGTTACGTCCACTCTGGAAAATTACAAGGAGTTGGAGCAGGTACAGCCAACAAATGCCAAGCACAGTCGGATAAAAAGCGCGATGCTTTGCCCCAGTACTTCGACACGGGTGTTGTTTGTTGATGCTTGCGTGCTAAAACGTGCCTGTGCTAGAATGTACAATGAATTTGTGTGTGTGTGTGTATGTGTGTGTGTGTTTGTGCTTGTGCGTGTTGTCTCCGCGTTTGTCTCCTTTGTGTGTGTGTGTGTGCGCGCGTTTGTGTGTCTCTGTGCGTCTACTTCTGTGTGCGTGTAATTATGCTTGTGCGTGCATGTGTGTGTGTGTGTGTGTGCGTCGGGGTTTGTCTTGTTTGTTTGTTTGTTTGTTTGTTTGTTTGTTTGTTTGTTTGTTTGTTTGTTTGTTTGTTTGTTTGTGTGTGTGTGTGGGTGTGTGGGTGTGGGTGTGGGTGTGTGGGTGGGTGCGTGCGTGCGTGCGTGCGTGCGTGCGTGCGTGCGTGCGCGTGTGCGTGTGCGTGATTATGCGTGCGTGCGTGCGTGCGTGCGCGTGCGTGATTGCGTGATTGCGTGATTGTGTGATTGCGCATTGTGTGTGTGTGTGAGCGTGGGTGTGGTAAACGTGTTGGAGTTGTGTCTTGCGCGCGCTGTGCCAGCCTCTGGAGACTCTGGTGTGGCCTTGCTGAAGTCAAACTGGATATCTTAACAGTACAGCTTTGTTGCTGTCAATGTGACTCTCAGTGGTGACGGCTTTATGATCTCAAAAGGCTCCAGCGCGCGAGGTGTCTTCTTGAATGGGCAGCGTCCGGGTTGGCCTGAAGACGCTTTGTGCATCGAACATCGCGGAGAGATGGCACGTCGAGATTCATCCAGGGGTGTCCGAGAAAGTTACAATCATATATTGAGTCATTTTAGGCAAGCATGTTGAACACCTGCGTGATTAAACGACACTGGTGTGAAATGTGTGATGCTGTCTCCTACCGCATGCGGATGAGACCGCAGCATGTCCCAAGCCTTCACCGCCGATTGGAAGATAGACACGCGCCTGCGTTTGGCCCAAGAGTTTGCAGTGGCTTTTCAATTCGCTTTGCTCGCTCGCCCTGGGCCGCCATGGATCCCAGGCGCCTGGCCCAAGCAATTTGCCAGGAACGCGAAGCAGCGACGTCAAAATGTGCAGATTTCAGTGACAAAGACATTGTGTCACTTGACTGAAGCTCAGCGCGGGGGGAACCACTGCTGATTGCACAGATTTGTTTAGTGCTGTTCCGTGTTTTTTTTTACATAATAATAAGGTTGCTGATCGGATGCTGCGGAAGCGGCAAGACGACGTTAACATCCTACGCATTGGGCACATCTTTTCGCTACAGTCGGCGAACTGGAAAGTTGGAAGCCGAAAACCCCATGGAGGGTTTTGTCATGAGTGCGCAACGCGCAGATGTCACTCGTGGGCTTTCTTGTGCTGAGGTGTCTCGGCACACAGAGTTTGGGGTTGCTTTCCATCAGATCGATGCCTTGGCTTTTGCAACAAAATGTTCACCCCGGAAACAAGGTGCCCACCACTGGCGGGATGATGATTGTGGACAATGCTGGCACAGGTGCCACCGAAGGGACGATTGCGGAGGCGGGCTCAATGTTGGAACGTGTAGTTGCATGAACAAAGCAATCGTCTTGGCAGGTCTGTGGGGCAATAAATCGCAGTCTTGCTTTGCAGTCTGCCCGTTCTGCGCGCGTGGTCTTGGTGCTCAAAGAAGCTCGTGGTGATGTGGGGAATGAGCGTGGCCGGGTGCTTTTGAAGGATGTGGAGCACGTGGCTTCAATGTTCGGTTGCCTCCAGAGTCTCTCGTCAGTGGGCCTGATCGTGACTAGCGAACCACGCGGGTTGCAGGTTGCAGGGGTGGCAAGCGAGCTTGCGCAGTCGATGCGGGACAACTTCAGTGACTTGTTGCAGACTGCTCTTGCGGAAGATGAGTATATTGATCTCGGCCTTTTGGTTGCAGTCTTTCTTCCAGGTTTCAGGGGTTCTTGTTTTTCTGTTGGAGTGGCGCAAGAGTTAGAGGTTCGTACCCCGAGGTGCTGCAGCACCTTCCCATCAGAAGACAACTGCATCTGGAAAGCGCTTGCTGCAGCACTTCTTTTCGAGTTGTGGCCTGGAAAGCATTGGTGTCTTGCGTTTGTTGCGCGCGGTTCGTACACATTGTGGACTTGACATTCGAACTACTGGCAAGGCGAAAAGGCGTGCAGGATTGCGGACGCTGTCGTGGAAGGAGATGACGATGCGTTCTTGAAGCAAGTCTGCTCTGAGAGGGTTGCTGTCTTCCCGGTGAATGTACTCCAAGATCAGCAGCGGCAGTCTATTCAATCGTGGCTTTACAATCTACCGCCCATCCAAAATCCAGGCGCGCGCTGTCCTTGGAAGCAGCCCCACAAGGTGAAGACCTTGAAAAAGGATGGTTTCTAGAAACCCCAGAAAAGTTCTCAGAAGCCGTCCTCGGTCGTTTCAATTTGAGTGGACTAGGTGAATCTCTAGAGTACGTCCTGCTGAGCGATGCCAAGAAGGATTTGGAGCAGACGTTGAGCAAGTTCTTCCTTGAGTGCAAGCATTCCATCGGAGATCTGGGGCTAAGTTGGGCATTCGACGAGGCGCTTGTTTCCAAGATTAAGGACTTGCTGAACCTTACCAAGACATTGGAGGAGCTGGGATTGAGTTTATTAATGCTTTTCCATATCGTTCTGCATCCTTCAGAGGTGTCTTTCCTCAAGGTTGAGTGTCTATGGCAGAGCTTACTTGTCAGCGGCAGGAGACCAAGCTGATGCCTTCTGCAGAGAGCTACAGAACGGACCTGATTGTCCAACTTGTGCGCGAGAACGAGCGGATGGCTGCTTTGGTACTGGAAGGTGTCAGATCTGGTCTTTGTGAAAAGATTGAAGGCTGGGCTGGGGGGCTCAGGGTGCTGCAGGTTATGGGGTACCTTGCTGCTTCCTGCGCACTTGGCAGGCGCTAGCAAGGAAGGTTTGGAAGCAACAATTGCAATTACAGATTGTGATGTCGAAGGCATGTTGCATTTTGTCTTGCGTGTTGCAACCCATGGCTCCTTCAAAAAGCCGTGATGCCACAAAAATCATTTTTCCCTGGCTGTCCAGGCTGTTGGCCGGCGATGCTGAAGATGGACGCTTTTCGAGAAGCTTGCGGCCGACTCCTCTTTGCTGGATGGATGAATTCTTCGGCAATGATGAGACAGGGCATCAAGGTAGCAAAAGAGAGCCGCCGCCTCAAACTGATGCTGGGACGCTCGCTTCGGGTTCGGTCCATGCGTAGCAAATTCCAGCAATGTGGCAACTATTTGTTTGCAGCCTCTGTGGTCTCTGCGTCAGGTCTTGAAAAACATCTCCCGGGAGGTTGCGTAGGTGCTCGGTGGAACCTGAACTTGGCCTTGCAGGTAGGGGTTGTGATGATGTAGCAAGCGCCGTTGCTTGCAGATGCAGGTGAAAGGTGTCCTACGTGCCTAGAGGGAGCTGAAGTCTTGCAGAGCTGGGCTGCTGCATTGTCTGACAATGTCACACCCTGAGTTTGCTAGTGTTTGTTGCCAGAACAGCCGCCTGTGAATCGAGTTTGTCAAGGTGAAGGGTCTGCTTCAGACTGCGGCTGATTGCGAGAGTGCTGCAAGTGTGATCCATGCCATGAAGTGTTTGGAAGAGCACCGGGAGTTCTTGCCAAAGACCCTGATGCCCCTTCTTGGCCCCTATGGATGTCAAGCCCTTGAAGGAGAAGGTTTGAGTCTCGCCATGGAATCCGGGAAAGCTGCTGCGCGGGCTTCATTGACCAGACTATCCACCAAAATGCTTGAAGATGTTCAGTCCAAACAGCCGGCGGATTCTGAACGGCTTCTGCAGCTGTGCAAGTCAACCGAGCTCAATGCGATGCTGGGCACAGACCTTGAGGAAGAGTACATCTTGAAGCCAATGGCGGCAAAGTTGGCACCGAGTCAAGGCGGCTCTGGATCAAAACGCTTGCGTCCAGTCTGGGGGGTGGCATGTCCACACGACGATGGAGAAGAGTGAGGGAGGGAGGGAGGGAGGGAGGGAGGGAGAGATGGATGGATGGATGGATGGATGACCATCACTACACATAGCCGGCACATCTCCACTACCAACAATGATAATCATCACTACGCATCCCCCAGCATCTCCAGCAGCGATGATCGATGATGATAACCATCACTACGCTTCCCCAGCATCTCCAGCGTAGCAGCCCTTGCTTGCATCTCCAACTGTGCCTAACGTCACTTTTGACATGTATATAATATGAGTCAGACTACTAAGTTGATAATCATGACTACGCATCCACAGCATCTCCAGCAGCGATCATCATGATGTTGATGACCATCGCTACACACCCCCGGCGCATCTCCACTACCAAACGATGATAATCATCACTACGCATCCCCAGCATCTCCAGCAGCGATGAGCATGATGATGATACTCATCACTAAGCACCCGCTACATCTCCAACTGACTTTTGACATGTGTATCATAAGAATACTAAGGTGATAATCATCACTACGCATTCACAGCATCTCCAGCAGCGACGATCGATGATGACAACCATCACTGCGCATCCCGAGCAAATTGAATTATCGTCGTAGCACCCTCTGCATCGCCAATGCATCCTGTGCATCACCAATTGGGCCTAACGCTGATGATGATTGATGATGATGATGATGATGATGATGATGATGATGATGATGATAAGAGATTGTGATCATAATTATCGTCGTAGCATCCTCTGCATCACCAATTGAGCCTAGCGCCACACTTCAATTTGTATAAGAAAGACATGCTGATGCGATAATGATGACCATCCACCCTTCCCGTGCAGAAGGGGTCGGCGGATTCCTCGTTTGAGCCTGAGAGTTTGTGGAGTCAAACTGCGCAGGTAACATTGACAATCTGGCTGCGACCATGGAATCATTACACACCGATGACTGGCATGCTCAGCTGCTGAGCATCAGCGAGCGTATCACATCTGCAGGGGAGCATGGGTCCCGCGTGCTGAGCTCCGTCGATTTGAGTTTCGAGAAGTTCAGTGCCATGGTTAGCAGGCAGATTTCCACCTGCAAAGAGAAAGTAACCACCGCCGTGAAGAAGTTGTTGGCCCCAAAGTGCGTCCCTGAAGTTTACGAGAGATCTTGGGCAGCGCTTTCTTGGAGTGAGATTCCGGACGATGCACAAGATACAGATTCTGACAGGGACGCAGTGGAAGAGGCTGAAGCAGCCATCAGTCATCTTGAACAGTTGCTCCCTGCGGACACGCTGCTCAAAGTGATGTGGCAGCGGGATGTGGTGGAGACGGTGACTGTGGCCTTGCAGTGCGTAGGATGGACTTTGCACAAGAACTTGTCTGACGCGCTGAAAAGAGCGAAAAGAAGGGCTCATGACAAAGCCTTCATCCCAACCCATTCGTTGGGCACGGAGATCATCCGTGCCATGCAGCAGGTGAAGGCCTTGGCTTCTCTTTCAGACACGCTTGCCACAGCTGCGCAAAGCTTGCAGGACCATGCTTGTATCAATTTGAACAAGAAATTGTCATTTGCAGCAAAGGATGCAGCCGGTTTCATTGATGACCTGGTGAAGAAGGAGTTGGGTGAATGGGAGCAGGCCGACGTTAACATCAAAGGCTGGCCTGAGTTGTTCAACCGCCACCTTAGCATGGCCAACCAACTCCGATGCCTCGACAATGACGAGGGCCACGTCAGGGATGCCTGCGCCAAGTTGTTTACGAAGGTGAAGGAATGGCGTGAGCAGTGCTTCAAGGAAGCCACACAAGTTTTGGAGGCAGGAGGCTTCTTGGAAAACCCATCTGCCTGGTGCCGCTTCGTGCAGAGTTGTATCAAAGAAGGACTGGCTTTTGAACAGAGTGCGCTCTGTGGGCAGCTTGGATTCCAGACACAGTTCCGCCCCATGGTGGAAGCACAATGCGAGATTTGTCATCAAGAAGCTGCCTCCGCACAGCAGAACTTGAAACTCGCGACGTGGCAGAAGCTCACAACATTGATTTCGGCCCTCCAGCAGCTACAGACTGAGGATGCAAGGGTCGGAAGGTGGGTGAAGAGCTTGATGGATAGTCGCGAGCCTCTCAATGTCGCTCTTGAAGATGATGAGTCTCGCTTCGAGAAGGCCCTGGCAGAAGGTCGTTTCTCTCAAGCTGCCCAACTTCTCCACAAGGCAGATGGACCCAGATTGCTTGTTGCGAAATCGCCAATCTTTGCAGTCGTTGCTGAATCCTGAGATTTCGCAAGGTACCTTCCAGGCAGCGGCATGGAGATCGGCTGATAGAGCACTTGCTGGATGCCATGAGCTCTGCTTCAAAGTGCATGGACGATGACACAGAGGCCGGCGTGTTTTGGTCGCCGGGACTTTTCATTTTGGTTGCGCGCTGCTTGTCATGTCAATGTACATGTGGCGTGGTACTACATAGCTTGAAGATGACCGCAGGCCTTGAGCTTTGTCACTGCATGAGCCCATGCAAAATAGGAGCTGCGCAGACTACAGGTTTGACTATTTGTAAAATAACAGTTCGATTTTAACGTGGTAGCGGAGCTGAGATCCTAAACATCACAGCAGTAAGCCCAACAACTGCAACGACAATCACGTGCCAAACTACTACGACATGTCAGGAGAACCAACGTCAGCATCAGCGCGCTACAGGAGCAGACAGTGGGCCAACAGCAGCAGAGACAGCAGGAGCCTCGACTGTGGGAGCAGGAACAAAACAGGCGCAAGACAACGACGTCCGAACACTGCATGGGTTAGCTCTGTTGAACTGGCATGCAGAGCATGATGACACCACGCGTGCTCCGGCATGGACGTGTCCGCTTGTACGCGCGGGCGGGCGCGCGGCTGCACGGGCGCACCTACGAACGTACGCGCGGGCGAACGGGCGTGCGCGGGCGCGCGGATACGGGCGTGCGCACAGGCGTGCGTGCAGGCATGCGTACGGGCGTACCGACGTACATGCATCCGTCCGCCCGCAAAACTTAGGCCTTGTTTCTGAAGAATAAGGCTATTATTATTTTAGACAAATCCTATTTTCGAGTAAAGCCTTTTTTTCTGAGCCATCCGCCCACCCGCACGTGTTTCGGTATACATGCGCGTGCATCCGTATATCAGAGAGCGTGTCCGCACACAAGTCCGTACGCCGCCGCCGCGTCCGCGCGCATGTCCGCACACACGTTTGCACGCACCTGCGCGGTCACCCGCACGCGTGTTGAATCTAGCCATCGCATAGAAACAAGTCTTCTTCACTGGTGACTATTCAAAGCACGAAGAATGCTGTTCAATCTACAAGCATTGGACTCATAGACCGAGACTTCAAAGTGGTACTACAATTAGTACAAGTAGCTACACGACAAGTTGAGCCTGCAGATACGAGAGCGCACACACACACACACACGCGACCCCACACAAGCGACAAAAGCAGCAGGCCTCGCAAGAGATCTACACTACACCCTTGTCAAGGAGCAGCAGCTACAGTAGATCAACAAAACCGCTACAACGCAACTGGATGCGAAACACTACGACTTGCGCGCAACAGGTTCAGTTTACCAGTAGGAACAAGAAGCGGGGGTCGGCACAAACTACAATGGAGGACGGAGGACCTACGCTAATGGACGTTGACAACATTTGGAGGGAAACAAAGGCAAAGGGAAGAGCAAAAACAGAAGCAAAGGCTACTACAAATAAATGGACAAGGCAACAAAGAGGCCTACAACAAAGGAGCACACAACAAGGCAAAGGGGGTCAAGCAATAGCTACAAAGGCCAAGGAAACTACACTACATGACATGCCACAGATGTGGCAAGCCCGGCCACTGGGCACAGAGTGCCTGTTTGGCAGTTTGGCACAGAGGAGAAGGAGATGAACTACATCCACCTAAGCAAGAAGAAGAAGCTCAAGACAACAACTAGGAGCTAGCATGACATCTGGGGTTGGTACTACGAAGGGGAAAAAGGACATTGACATGATGCGAGCTACATGGGGAGAAATGGAACGATTACGGCTATGACAGCAGCTGGGATTGGAACAATAACAGCTATGAAGATGCAGCAAACTACATTGGAGGCATCAACGAGTCGCACCTCATCAGAGCGACCACAACATCATGAACAGCCACAGCAACAACTCTCAACAGAACCTACCAGAGGATACAGCACAACTGCACTTCGACGTAGCAGCAACAGCGCGAAAACAGAAGCAAAAGCAAATTGATGACAACATCACCCACCACAACATGTACTCCAACTTCATATCACCACCTGCTAATTGGCTTAGTGTTTGCCCAAAGGTCTACGCGCCGGATCTACCACTACGCGCCTGTCAAGAATCAGTTCTCTAACTCTACACTGTTGCCAACAAGGAGATCCTTGTCTATGGCAGCAGGACAAGTTCATCATGTTGTTGCCCTACTACGTTTGTGATGTGAAGTATCCTACCCTCAGCGCATTCAGATTACAACAACACTTAATCTAATCAGACACTTAAAGCTTAGGACTTTTCTACTTGCGAGAAAAGATCGACATCCCTACAGGACACGACATCTATCCAGTGATCCTGTGATCCAACCCACAGAGAAACCAAGCAAAAACAACAGGAACAAATAATTGCACCACTAACACACACACCGACCACGAGTCCGTGATGGAAACACTGACTACTGGAAACTCGAAGGTGGCTACGCCATCACGCAAAGCACTCTTCACCTCACACAACAGTGGCTGCCCAACAACGCAACAACAACTAGAGGATTGGCGACTGACCAAGCGCAAGGGCAAGAACAACTACAAGAAACACAAAACAACCTTCCAAACAAGAACTACAAAGAAGACTTGATGGTGATGATTGACCTGGAGAAACCAGATTCTTCACGGCCCGCGTTAACCTGATTGCCATCTGGCGGAGGTCAACACATCAGTCGGTTGTCACTTTGTGGCGCGCCCTGTCTTCCGCGCGATGAACTGATGGTTTGTCCGGAACAAAGACCGCCGGGCCCAGTTGTGTAGCAATATCAACTTCCGTTAAGACTGGTACGATCTCCGGGTCCTGCTGCGATTGATGTACGCAGAACCTACTTTAATGTTGTTTCTTGTCATTGTCCTGGCCTCCTCTGCCTTGCACGCGAATTGGACAGCTTGTTGTGGAATTGGTTGTTGCGGTTGTCGTTGGCCTCTGGCTCTGTGTGCTTCGTGGTGTTCGTGGTGTTGCTCCTCGTCGTACTTCTCTAAGAGGCGCTCGTAGTCTTTCTTTACCGTGAACCTTGTTGCACCTTTCCATTGGAATTAGTGCTGCGTTGCCGATGACTGTCCAGTCATCTTTGTGTTGCGAAGCTTCTGCAGAAGGTGCTGCTCTGGGTCTCCACACCATTTGCCTTTGTTGGTGGTGTCTCCATTGTATGTTAGTGTAGTCTTTGTTGTTACCCTGTGTGAAGGCGTGACTTTTCTTCGGATGACCAAGTTATGACGCTGCGCTTCAGATTCAGAGGAGCACAAGCCCCGAAGTTTCAACAGCAGCTCTCGTGCGCAAATACATATCAACGTTGCGAAACTGCGCTTCAAAAAGTTGGAGAGTTAAGTCTTCCTGTTCTCCTTTTCGGCTCTCGCGTGTCCTGCGCTTCTTTTCCTTGCCTCCGCCTCCGTTCTGTGGCATTTCACCACAACGGATGCGTCCCAACCCCAAAGGGTTGCTTCTGCCCTTTGCATTGCTTTCTCTTCGCTCGCGCCACTTCTTTGTCACCTTTCCTCTGGTTGTAGCCTTTCTTCCGTTGCCTATTTTCTCGCGTTGGTTTTGCTGCCTCTGCCGCCAGTTTCACCAAAGCAGTCCCAGAAAGCAGGGTTTGCGCAGCCCGTCGCGCCAGTGCGCTGTTTTCGTTTGCCAGGCAACTGTCCCGGCCACCTGGGAACGAGTTTGGGGGAGATCAAGCCCAAGTCGGTGGACGAAGCCACGCCTGCGAGGATTCGCTGTCTTCAGGGAGCGGGAGCCTGGAAACAAGTTTGGGGGAGATCAAGTCCAAGTCGGTGGACGAAGCCACAGACGGCCGTCGGGTCAGGGCGAATGCCGGTGATGTGCCTGCACCACCAGGTTCAGCCCGTGGCGCCAGAGCGCTGCTTTTGTTTGCCAGGCAACTGTCCCGCTGCGAGGATTCGCTGTTGGAACTTGGAAACGAGTCTGCAGGAGACCAAGTCCAAGTCGGTGGACGAAGCTACGCATTCGAGGGCTCGCTGTCTTCAGGGAGCGGGAGCCTGGAAACAAGTTTGGGGGAGATCAAGTCCAAGTCGGTGGACGAAGCCACAGACGGCCGTGGGTCAGGGCGAAGGCCGGTGATGTGCCTGCACCACCAGTTCAGCCCGTCGCGCCAGCACGCTGTCTTTGTTTGCCAGGCAACTGTCCCGCCCGACTGCGAGGATTTGCTGTTTTCAGGAAACTTGGAAACGGGTTTGCGGGAGATCAAGTCCAAGTCGGTGGACGAAGCCACGTGTGCGAGGATCCGCTGTCTTCAGGGAGCGGGAGCCTGGAAACAAGTTTGGGGGAGATCAAGTGCAAGTCGGTGGACGAAGCCACAGACGGCCGTCGGGTCAGGGCGAACGCCGGTGATGCGCCTGCACCACCAGTTCAGCCCGTCGCGCCAGCGCGCTGTTTTTGTTTGCCAGGCAACTGTCCCGGCCGACTGCGAGGATTCGCTGTTTTCAGACCTGGGAACGAGTTTGGGGGAGATCAAGCCCAAGTCGGTGGACGAAGCCACGCATGCGAGGATATGCTGTCTTCAGGGAGCGGGAGCCTGGAAACAAGTTTGGGGGAGATAAAGTCCAAGTCGGTGGACGAAGCCACAGACGGCCGTCGGGTCAGGGCGAACGCCGGTGATGTGCCTGCACCACCAGGTTCAGCCCGTGGCGCCAGAGCGCTGTTTTTGTTTGCCAGGCAACTGCCCCGCTGCGAGGGTTCGCTGCTGGAACTTGGAAACGACTTTGGGGGAGATCAAGTCCAAGTCGGTGGACGAAGCCACAGACGGCCGTGATGCCTTCAGCGCAAAGCAGTTTGCCTGCGCCACTAGTTTCACCAAAACAGTCCCAAAAATTGGAGAGGGTGTGCGCAGCCCGTTGCGTGCGAGGATTCGCTGTCCTCAGGGAGCAGGAGCCTGGAAACGAGTTTGGGGGAGATCAAGTCCAATTCGGTGGACGAAGCCGCAGAGATCAGCCTTGACCTCCAGACGCCATGTTCATTTGGCTTGCCAATTAGCAGGTCTACATTACTTGAGAGGCGCCAGAAAGGCCAACAGCCCAAAGAAGCTCATGATGAAGACGGGCTGCCGGACGCTCCAGAAGGTGATGAAGATGCAGAA